ACAAAAGAAGACTTACAGGAGGTCGTATGCCAATCCATAAGAAGAAGAGAGCTTTTGAGAAAGGAAGATAAGCTGCAATGACTAAATTGGTTTCAGGAGAAAAGAGAGTCAGAAGATTAAGAGTGAGAGGAGGAAATTTCAAATTCAGAGCTCTCCGTTTATCTGAAGGCAATTTCTCTTGGGGAAGCCAAGGTGTTGCTAAAAAAGCTAAAATCGTTGAGGTGGTTTATCATCCATCCAATAATGAATTGGTCAGAACCAAAACATTGACCAGAGGTGTAATTGTCTAAGTTGATGCTACTCCATTCAAATAATGGTATGCCAAGAAATATAACGTTGAATTGGGATCAAAGAAGAAGAAGGTAATTGATCATCATCATAATCATAGGAAACAACTGGAGAATAACCTAAGAAATTAAGTTCAAAGTAAGAGAAAAGAGCCAAGGAAAATGTTATTGATTAATTCGTCTAAGAATAATTTGCCAATCAAAGATTGTTAGTCAGAATTACATCAAGACCAGGATAATCAGGAAGAGCTGATGGCTACATCTTGGAAGGAAAGGAATTAGAATTTTACATCAAGAAAATCGAATAGAAGAAGAAGTGATTTCCATCATCAATACATTAAATTGCATAATAATAGTACATCCTAGAAAATATTGTTTTCATAAACACAATTTAAATTAAGATATTTAAATTGATATCATTTTTTCCTCTTTTCTGATCCAAATAACTTCTAATATTAGTTTAATTTGTTCACAGTACTGTGAGCTGTTGTTTTAGGAGATGGCAAATTACAAAATTATTCTGTTTTAATTCTTTCAATTTAATTTTTTTGATTTTAATCAGGGATTGTTGTTATTCTGTCCGAACTTAATAATTGCTTTGATTGATCAAATAGAAGTTTTAGTTTCTAAAATATGGGATTTAACTTACTTTTAATTCTTAAAAAGAAATTTGAGAATTTTACTATGTTTTCGAATAACCATGACTCATTTTTAGAGATTCTTACATTATTTAAGAAGGCTTAGTCAAAAGATTATGCTTCTTAAAATAATCCTGAGTTTCACTTTTTATACTTGCTTTTAAAGATTTTTTACTTTCTTAAGGAGAGTACTAACATGTAAAGGATTTAATAATACCTTAGCTTTATTTATTACCTATTTTGGTGGAGATATTGGTTCTTTTTATAAAAATTGGGAATACAATTTATTGCCATTTATTATATTAGATCTATTGTGGTATTCCTCCTATTTCACTTTTTAATAGTAGAAGTTCTATAATTAATATTTTGCTGCGTCGACATTCTTTAAAATACAATATAACAATTACTTGAAATTCATTAGTCATATTGATTGCAAACTATTTCCTGAATTCAGCATCCCCCTTATTAAACTCCTCTTCATCAAAATTATATTTTAAAGGTTCAGGCTTATAAGGAGTTGGTAATTGCCGATTCATAATTTTTTCAAAATCAACATCATTAAACCAAGGATGACTTAAAATTTCAATAACTCCTTCCTTTGATCCTAATCTTTCTTTAGCATCTTTTTCTAGAAGAGATATAATTAAATCTTTTAATTAATTTGAAATTTAAACATAATCAGGAAATTAAATGGTTTCTGTTAAGATTGAATGATAAATTTCTTAAGTATTATGAGAGTAATAAGGAGGCAGACCTGAAATCAACTCATAGAGCAATGCTCCTAAACAGTAGCAATCAACTAAGTAATTATGACCTGTTTTCATAAGCATTTCAGGAGCCATATATTCAGGAGAACCACAAAATGAATAAGCAAAATCATCAGCTGCCATATCAGGTTTAGAGAGTCCGAAGTCACTTAACATGAGATGGCCTTACAAATCTAATAAGATATTTTCTGGTTTGATGTCCCTATAGACAATATTTTAAGAATGCAGATAATTCATTCCTATGCAGATTTCAACAAAGTAATATTTAGCATCTTATTCATTTAATTTTTTCAATTTTCTTAAATGATAAAATAGCTCACCTCCTGCACAATAATCTAAAACAAATGCAATGTAAAATTTTGATTCGAATGCATAATGCAAGGGTATGATATATTGATTCTCCATTTTAATCATGATATCCCTTTCATTTTATACAATAATTTCTTTGTTATTGTCAATTATAAACTTTTTATCAATCAATTTTAATGCATAGAATACTCCATTATCTTTTTTTCTAACTAAATATACCCTCGAGAACCCTCCTACACCAATGCATTTTATTAATTGAAAATCCTTCAATCCAACCTTTTTTGTAGTTTATGGCTAAGAATACATAGGTTATAAAGAAAGCTTTATTCCTTGAAATACTGTCAAACTCATATCTGATAGAGATAAGTAATAATCAAAAGGAACTTTTTTTTGTATTGTGCAAAACTAACAAATCTTTTTGATCTCTAGAATCTATTTTAAACTTTACCAGCTTGTATTTAATCATCATTAGTAGAGCCTGTGCCTCCATCCTATTGGGCATGATGTTTTTCAATGCTTGCTATTTATTAGATCAAATAATTATAGAGATCACATGTAGATTAGTCGGCATAATCGAATAAGTAGTAATATCTATTAGGGTTGTGGTGATGCATTACTTTGAATTTTTGTAGTATAAAATTATCTAGAGTTTCTGTTTGGGATCATACTCCAACATCTCATCACTCTTTGTTTTGGTTTATTATTTAGGTTAAGGAGTTTGTTCAGTTTTTGAGTGTCCCTGATTCAGAGATTTTGATTCAATATCGGTTTTTCTGGTAATTTTGGGTTGCATTATTTAATAGGAGCCTTTTGTGCCTTTTTAATTGAAAAAAACATCTTCTATTGATTATTTATGATTAGTTGAAGTATCTGAAATAATAGATTATTTATTTAATTTTTAATTAAAGTACTTTTGATATTAGTTTTAAATTATTTAAGCATTTTTCAACTTTAATATATTAATTAATTACCATATCGCATAAATATTATTCTTTTTATTGTTATTTCTTATTTTCTGGTTTGCTTTAACCTTTAGGTGTCTAATTGTATGAAGTTTTTGTTGTCAATGGACGCTTAGCCAATTCTTTTTTCTATATGATAATCCTTCTTTAATTACTTCTAAAGATACTGTCGCTAATGATAGATTCTTGTTTTTCAGAGTTATCTTCTTTGAATTGCTACCCTCCTCAGTTTGAACACGCAATTCAGCAACCTATTAAAATTTACTAATGTTCAAATTACATTAGGTTATGAAGTTTTGATTCGATCACTTTTTAATGTTTGCAGAAACACATTATCAATACTTTTACTCCCTTTTAATTTAGCTCTCATTAGATTAGTTGATTATGCCATTGAATTTCTTTCCCTCTTAAAATAATCAAGTAATTTTGCTTTTGCTTTTTCTAAATGTCTCTCTGTTTTTATTGTGCCAGCAATGGTTTTCATATTTTTCTTTTCTAATCTTTGTGGGGAGTCTTAAAAACTATTTTTGTCAGCAACCTTTTCCGACTAATGACTAAGCTTCTTCATTGATGAAGTTAAATAATTTATATAATGAATTTATATTATACAAAAATCATTACATTATTATAGTTTACACTAGTTATTAAAATATCTGAGTACTTTTTTGTTACTCAATCTTTGATATTTATTTTGTTTGTTCAAAAATTTAATACTTAAAATCAGTTATTATGATACTTCATTTAATAAATTAATAATCTGAAAGCTGGGACGAAATGAAGTACATGAAAAATGAGTAACGCTAACTTAAAAAGTGTTTTCACGTATTTCATCAAGAATATTATATATATAAAAATGTCAGGTCATAATCATAACAAGAAATCAAACTAAATATTTGATAAAAATATTTCGTAATTTAAGGAATTAGACTGGAAAAAGATATTAATCCTAAAATGAATCTCTTGAGTCAAATAGAAATTCAATAAGAAAAGGAAGAGAGATTGTACAACAAGGGTTATGTGATTCAACGAAGTGATAGAAAATTTGCCATTTCACTTAAAAGTATCTATATTATTTTCTAAGGAATTTAATAGACCTAGAGAGTCGATTATATATATACTTTATTACGATTACAATTCAGTTGATTATAAATTTCAATAAAGAATTATTTTATTGATTCCTATTTCGATGAATTCTTAAACAAATTCTCTAGTTTATGTGATCATTTGGTTAGATTAGTTATATTTTCTATCTAAACTCATAATAATTAATATGTCATTAACTTGGATTACAAATCAAATCATTAATAACACCACATGATTTTAAAAAGATTTAAAAATACGTAAATTAATTTAAAATCTACTAATTAGTATCATTCTTCATAACTATAAGAATTATCTTAAAGGATCTAATTAGTAGATCAATATAATGATCAGAATTTGTTCGGCTCTAAATTACAGTAACTAAATTAATAATTTACTTGAACTAAATTCAATAAAAAAACTAATGAAATAAAATTAAGTTGAATAATTTCTTCTATAATCATAAATTTCAATTATTTGATAAAATTTAATAGATAAAAATATACACTCAATATGGAAAATACTCATTTGGTTGAAGAATCTTAATAAATCAACTAGTAATATTAAAACCCACAAACATCAGAAAATAGATTTCAAAGTTTGTAATCCTAAGATGAAGATGATGAAAATTAATAAATCAATAATTCTCATTTTAAGAATTTAAGCTCATCATCTATCTAGAATGTTCTTTCTTCTTAAAATAGTAACTTAGATTAAGAGAACCAGGATGATGACTTTAATTTTATTACGCGAGAATAAAACTAAAAAAATAACATTGAAAATTAATAGAATGAATAATAAATATTACCATTAGAGAATGATCAAAATGAAGAGAAGATAATCTAAAATGACTCTAAGATTACCCAAACTTAAGTTGTACAGAATGAAGAACCTTAGACAGATTAATTGGAAGATAAAAATCATTCTCAAATAAACAATAATTCAGAAGATAAAGATATTAAATAAGTATCAGTTAATATCTTGATTAAACATATTCCAACTGAAACTTCAGATTAAAAATATGAATTATAAAGGGGCAATGAAGTTGAGTAGAATATTTAAAAAATACAGAACAGTTCTTAACATGTAGAAAAGCTTAAATCAATCATTAAGTCCCCAAAATCTGGAACTTCAAATGTTTAATCAGGAGATCCTTCCATAGATAAAAGTATTTCACCAGAATAAATATTAAAATAAAAAAGAAATGAAAAATTGTATAATTAGATTATGGAGACTAATTTAAATGAAATCTTCTTATTTTACTCTAAACAGTTCCAATCTCCATTAAAATTACCCACAAAAACAAAAGAATCAATTTTTGAGAAAAAATCATTTTTGAGTTTGCCTTAATATATGCATTTTTGTAGAGATTTTTAATTAATTGATTTGTTGGTCACTAATGAATTTATAGAAAAGTATGCTGGTCCCAAAAACCAAAAACCATTATACAAAATAAAATATAAGAATAGAGTAAAAGATTCATTTATTGTTACAAAATAAATTTTATAAGAAATTTTTCAGAAATGCTCTGGAATCTAATAATTAAGCTTTTCAGAGTTTTAATACTCATTAATAAAAATAGCAGATGTTGTATTTCCAGTTTCTAATTCTATTAATGCACTCTATTTATATTTAGGTATTCATGATCCAGAAATCTACAATAAAAAGCTATCTACAATTTAAGATATGAACTAATCACGTATCTAAAATCAAGACAATATAATAACTAAATAAGACGTCAAGAAAATACTACCTACAATTGTAAATAAACCATAAATTGATCATCAAAATAGTTAAGATACATCTCAAATTTCAAAATTTAATTATATTTAAGAGACACATAAAAGACATAAGGCCTAATAAAATACTAATTAGAGCTATTCAATTCGATGGGAAGATTTGGTAAATAGTGAAAGCGAATTTGATCCTAGAAAGTTGCTATTGGATGAAGACCTTACAGATTAAGATGATGCAATATATTTGAAAGAGTACATGATAAGTGAGGTAGGAATAAAAAAAAAATAAGATTTTCTAAAGTAATATTAAGAAGGAGAAAGGATAAAGTATTCCCAGTATCCCTACCAAAACTATTAATAAAGAAGAAAACAAGGTTATACTGAAAATTCGTCTAGAGAACAAAATCCATCAAGTTTATAGGGGAGGCTAATTTTTTAAAAGGAAACTATGTTTTTATAGAAAATATAGGAATTGCCTGAAGCATAATTAGTTTATCCAACCCTACCTATAAATTAAACTTCTCAAATGCTTCAAAAAGAAAGAGGTCAATAATTAATTCATCCTAATTCTTTTGAGTAAAGAAAAAACTACAATGTTATAAAATAACTTCCATCTCTTAATAAATCTTATGCTAATTAAAATGTTAGTTCATCAATTGAGAGAGGACAACAAAATATATCATAAATAGATCATGTTAGTAAATAGAACTTACGTAAATTGGAAATAAATTAAAAAAAAAGAGATTAGTAAATTTATGTAGGAATGTTAAAACTTTAAGATATCAAAGCAAGAAAAGTATAAAGGAAATGACTTTAATAATGTTATTTATAACTTAAAATCTCATTTAATTCTTTTTAATTTTCTTATAACTAGATTTTAGTCCTATAATTAATTTTAAGAACTCAAATTGAGAATAATCACTACTTTAGGAGTAATTCAACTTAAAAAGTAATAATAAAATTGGGCATAAAATACTAAATAGTAGAGAAATAATAAGGCTAAGAATGGATTCATTGAGCTAAATATAATTTTGATAACTAATAGTGAAAATTCAAAGAGCAATATGAATAAATATAAAAAAAATATACGTTTTTGAATATAATTATATAATGAAATTCATTGCCTTAGCGATGTTGGTGATGTTAGCAACATCACAAGAATTCGTAGAATTTTACTCGGCATTTTAAAATTCAGATGCAGCTTAATTGGATGGATGGACAATACAAGGATCATTGTCAAAGGCTTAAACTGATAATTTCTTTACTTGTTCAGGTGCCTCAGTTTTTGGAGGACCTAAAGCATTTGGTAAAGGAGCAATAGTTACCAAATAATTTTAATTGCCTCCTCATTTTTAGATTAAAATATAAGTTGAAGTCTGGAAGTATAGCAATTTTACAAATCTAGATTTGATGCATGGGACACTCAAAGATAATTTTTTTATTTGGATAATTACCTCTGGGAAACAATGTGGACTGGAAGTGATGGAACAAAAAGATGCGCAACTCCAGCAGGTGGTAATGTGAATTCATTCCCAGTTGATTAAACAATAACTCATAATCATGCAGCATTATTTATTGCATTTACATCATCTGCTGATAAGACAGCCGATAAAGTATAATCAATGCTAATCTTTAGATGTCTTGGGGTTTTAGAAACTTGAAATTATCTTATTTGCCATGTCCAACGGAATGTGGTACATGCCTTGGACCAGATGCAATTGTTTGTTAGATGTGGGTTCCAGTATCATCAAGCTGGATTAAGAATGTAGATGCTGATGGATGGAGTGCAAAAGGATCTTCAACTGTTATTAAATCAAGCACTTGTGCAGGAGTTCCAATTATTGGTGGTCCTGGTAATTTTGGTAATAATGTGTCAATCTAAAAAATCTTTGATAAATTAGTGCCACATTATAGAATTAAGGTGATAGCATAATTTTGGAAGATTGATAATTGGGATAATGATAATGCAGTTTTGTCTATTGATAATCAAGAAAAATGGAAATAAAATGTTGCTTAAGTAGAAGATAAGGAATATTTCATTTGTGATAAGATCAGTCCAGGAGGTGTTGATGGAACAGAAAAGATTATTAATGTTAACTTCGAAACTCCTCATAATTATGGAGCTGCTCTTGTAAAATGGACATCCACAATCAAGAAGTCATCTAAATAAGCATCTTGGGGTATTAGATAATTCCAATTGTATGTTGCATAATGTTCAAGCAATTGTGCAACTTGTACTGGACCAAGTGTTGAAGATTGCTACTGCTTGTGTTTCTCCTTATGTATTATTGGATCCAGAAGATGGAAATGGATCTGGTTGTGTATTGAAAGGAGATTGGGTTGAATTCACTTCAGAATTTCTAAGGAGCAGGTTGGACAGCTAATGCAGATTGGAAAGTTGCTGATGGTAAAAATGGACCAGATTTTACAACACAATGTGGAGAATTCAAATTCTTTGGTGGTTTTGATAAGACTGGAAAAGATGCTAAAATCACTAGAAAATTCAATTTACCTGCTCATAAAAGAATTAGAATTGCATTTGAAGCTTGGAAGATTGATAATTGGAATGGAGAAGATTATTTTGTTAAAGTTGATGGATTAAATGTTTGGTAAAGAACATTTGGATTTGGTGATCCTGGACTTGCTGATATTTGTGGGTGGAGATGGATTTGAAAATTATGCTATTGTTGATTTTGTTATTGGACATGAAACACCCACTTTGGATTTACTTATATCAACCACCATTGGAAAGAATAATGATAATGCTTCATTTGCACTTAAAGGATTTAAACTCTATTATGAAAAACCAGATGCTTGTGCCACTCTTTATACAGAATGCAATTATACAGGTAGTTATTTTATTCTATTAGTTTCTTAGGAAAATCATTCAACATGTGTGAAGACTTACCTAACTTCCAACTAGCTAAATATCCAAGCAAAATCAAGTCAATTTAAGTTCCAGCAGGAGCTAAGGTGATTCTTTTTGATGAGATGGATTATAATGGTATTCAATATTATATTATAAATAGGAAAAACCATTGAATACACAGAGAATTAAAAGTGCATTGAAGAATATCAATACAAATTCCTTTAAAAAAACTAATAAAGTATTGTTTTAACAGCTAACAATTGATATAATAAATAACATATAATCATAAAAATCCTGCTTTTTTTTTTTAGTGTTTTTGCTACGGTTTTACTTTTATTCATTGTTATCATTTTCCAATACTTATTATCCTTTTCCTTCAAACATATCAGATAATGTATTTTCATAACTCTACCAAATTTTGTTCCTCTAATGATTTTAATAAAGTATATACTTTTTATTTATATTTTAGGAAGGATTGTCATTTTTATTTTATTGTTATGGCTGTCTTTTTTTGCTTTGCTGTAATGTTTTATTCACTTTATTAATAGCATAATATTGGATGAAATAATTTGCCATAGGAGTAAAGTTTATTTAACATATTTTCTCTTGGTCAATTTGATCATCTAAAATGTAGACACTCAAGTCTTCATCTTTATCCCTAACTTTATATTAGGCTCTTTCCTTTTCATTTAATCTCTTTATATAATCCTATTCTAATTAAGAAAATGCTGTTTTGTAGTTATTGCATCTATTTTCTAAAGAATGGATAGTCAACAGCAATGGATTTAAAATGTCATTTATCAGAATTTTGTTATGATGTTGGTCATCTACAACTTTGCAATCGAAAACCCATGTTAAAGTGTAAATCTTGATGACATTACTGTACCCGTAATACAAGGAGGAGTCATTCAACTTGAAGGAGTATTCGGCTTAAGGATCAAATTTTAAAGCTAAATCTAATAGATCCAGCACTCCTTGGAAATTTGTAGTTTAAATTGATTTGTTGTAGAGTTCTTTATCCTTCTCGATACGATCTTTGTTGAGTTTGCAAATCCAAGATTACCTTAGATTAGTGATGACTTTATCTTATAGACATAATTACAGATCAAACACTTATCAATATTGATTCCTGCTCGTATCAAATAGGGGGTGTTTCTGCATCCTGTCCATAAGGGTTGGGCTGAAACTAATTTTAAAAATAATACCTTTTAAAAAAATTAGATCATCTTCTTCAACATTCATTTTAATAATATTAATTAAATTATGAATTTCCGATTCTCATTAAAGTAATTAATTTTAATTATAAGAATAATATATCTATCCTAAATTTAAATTCTCATTAAAATGTTCAATTCTCTTAGACAAAGATTGATTTAGCATTATTTAAGTTAATATTGTTAATATAAATAAAAGGTATTGGCGTATTTTTATTTTTATGTGATAATATTTATTCGCCGATTTATAATGCATTACATAATATCTTTCTAAAGATTTACAAACAATTTAATAATGAACAGCAAATATAATAAATATTTTATCAAATGGGCTGCTCTCTTAAAAAAGAGAAACGAATCTCAACCATCAATATTAATGAATAAAACACTTTTTATTTTGTGATAATAAATGGAGACCAAGAACTTAAACATCTTAAAAAAAGAAAGAGATTGTCAAATTCAGTACCAACTTTGGGCTCAATAAGTAATATATATCATTCAGTAAAATCTAGCTGATAGCACTATTATTTTAAGGAGAAACAAACTACTTCAATCTTAATTAGGTCAGGTGGTATTATAAAGAAATAATTTAAAGACTTCCACCCAGTAACATCACAAGGCTTGATAATTATTTATATTTCTAAATGATCGTAAAGATAATAAATTATTTTTTTGCCTAACTCTTATGGCATCATAATCCTCTTTAATAATGATAAGTGAGGAAGGATAATGTAACATTAGATTTGGAGCGATCAAGATATGTAAATTATTCTTAAAAGCTCCATTTAGAGGTTAAAAAAAATAGTTATTAATTTAATATCAATTTAAAAATAATTAAATTATTTTATATTTTCTAATAATGGAGGAGAGAATTGTCTAATTTGCACCATTCTTGGCAAGCAGAGCCAATGAAATTGCTTAATTGTAAAATACTCTTAAAAGCAAATTTCTAAACTCAACTGCTCAGCCATTTTAAGTAATCCATAAGCACATGAGAAGAAGAGCCATGTCACATAATAGATATCGTATCCCTAGTTCAGTAGACTTTAATCATTTTACAATTAGTTGAGAAAACATATGTCTGGCCCAGGATTGGAAGAGAGGGACTTGAAGTAAAAAACTCCAAAGTGTAGAAAGCATATAAGAAAGCGAAGAGATTTAATTTTTCTGAATAGATCAAATAAAATTTTATGGATGGAAACTCACTTGTATTAGGTCAAGAGAATGAAGATGATTAATTACTGTGGATTTAAGGTGCCAGAAAAAGCAAACGAAAAGAATTTTAGAGCAGTTCACAGATATTTCGATCATGGAAGTATGATTTTTGATGCTTCATACTATTAAATTGTTGAGGGTAGCATAGAAAATGAATTAGTTGTTGATGATCACACAATTATTCATCCTTAAGAAGTACCTGATACAGATTTTGTTGTTCATAATAATAAATACAACATTTTTTAAATAATTGGAAGAGAATCCTTATAAATTGTTAACTCTTTATTAAATATTTTTAATTGCTCAATAGATGGTCAAACACATAAATACTTTAGTTTTAATTATTAATATGAGAAGATATAGAGTGTTACTACAAAGAAAGGTAGGAAAATCAAGACATTAGCAGATTATGATGAGGATATGAAAGACATGCATGAAGTGTTTGAAAATAAAGGGGATGAAGATATCAATAAATCTGTTTGGCAAATAGATTAAAATTAATTTATGAAGAGATTCAAAATTGATACGAGAAATCGATATACACATTAGAGAAATAAAAAATAAATATTCAAAACTCTTTTAGAAATTAGATAAAAATAATAATAATAATAATAATAGCAATAAGTTGAACCATAAATACCGATTGATCTCATGAAAAAAAAAAGAGCCATGAGATGGTTATTGAACTAAATGGATAAAAATGAGAATGACATAAGTGTTGAGTTGTTTGATTAAAATGAAAAAGAAGAAAAACCTGATAAAGAAATTTAAATAGAATAGCCTGATATTTAAGAATAGAAACCTTAAAAAGAAGAAGATTTATAAAAGTTACAATAAAATACTACTCTAAAACCCAAGGATATTCAAATAAAGATGTTAATAATACCACCATCAAATTAGATAAAGAAGTAAATTGATATTGGTTACAAATTGATTATTAATTTGGGAGGAGGATTAATAGTTTGGAGATTGTTCAATTAATTAAAATTAAAGCCTGTTGGCCTACGTGATATTCGCCAATTATGTTTGGAAAACAATGTCTTATTTAATGAATACGAAAATGAAGATCTCATTGAAAAGTATCTAAAAAGCACTAATAAAATCAATTATTTGGCTCTACAGTTTCCTTATCCTTTTTCATTTGATTTTTCCCTGTATCCATCATGGTGTTCTTGCCATTTAATAGCTTATAAGAATGTTCCATAAAAGCAAGCATTAATCCTTCAACCGACATAGGAGGATTTTGAACTCCTTAAGAACAAGGTCTTTAAAATCCAAATATAAAGAACAGAGGATGAAAAAACCAAAAATAAGCAATAGAGTTGAGATTTTGCAATATGAAAAAAGACTATCAGAGATGGAATAGAAACGAAAAGTCTTGGGTGTGGTAACTTTTGGAAATATATCATTACAACATGGGAAGGGAGTAGGATAAGGAAAAATTGATGGAAGGTTGGCTGGAAAAGACATTATTGTTCTCTTTCGTAATCATGATTCTGAATATTGCTTCTTTGCAGATTGCAAGGTAAATACCATTTGAATTAATACGTATTTGATATATTAAAATATACAATTTAAATTTATACAAATCAAACTAATTCTATTGATTCTGGTTTTCGAACATAGATCTAAAAATCATAAAATCTCTCAATCGCCAAATCGAATAAAAATAGCATACAAGTTAGAGCTAGAGCTAAATAGAGTTATGGTCTAGAATATTGAATGAAATAAATACGAGACAAGATATCTGTAAAAGTTAAATGAGGGAGACAACTCATAATCATTCACTAGAATCAAGATTAGCCAATAAACAAGAATTGATAGTACAATGAAAAATATGGTGAAGTTGTAATTTGTATATGTAAAAGTGAGTACCTTAAGATTAACTAGAAGAATGATGATTCCATATATAAATACTCCATCTTCAAAAAATTCCATTGTCATACCACTGTCCATATTTTAGTTCTCTGTTGAAAATGTGCAGACTAGAAATATGATCAAGCCTTGAACCATTCCATTGAAAACCCAAAGCCAGAATTTAATAATAGTAAAAATTGGTTATTATCTAAACTAAACATAGACATCAGGTTTATCTTCAAGTAAATTATGTGATGTCTTGCTCCATTATAAGTATTCAGAAGAAGGGTGCATTTCATCAAAGAGAGCATAGAGCACCTAAGGTAGAGAAGCAAAGACTGTGTTAAATAATTAAGAGAGCCATTGATCGTATAAGTATTGCCCACTAAAGCCATTGAGGAATCCAAACCAAAAGTAAGGAGTGATGAACACCTAGTTCTTAAAAAATATATATAGAATCGTAAGTGCATTTCTTCTCGAACACTCAACTCCATAATAAAACATTAATCGTTTGAGATGCTTGAACTCTTGGATGGCAAAGTCTGCAGCTCTGGCCGCTTGAGTGCCTTCAACGCCTTGGATTCCAACTCCAACATGGGCCTTGATAGTGATGATCTAATTTACTTCATTAATCATGGAGACGTCATTGGCTCCATCACCAATAGCCAAAGTGTATGCCTTTGGGAGATACTCTTTAACTAAAGCTACAACTTATTGCTTTTGTTTTGGAGATACTCTGGCCACAATGACAACCTTGGCATAGAACGCTCTTTTAAGTAGCATTGATTTAAGTTATAGATTATCTAACATTACTGATAATGCTTATCCGCTAATCACCAATGCAATATTAGCTGACTCATTACAATAATGCAAAAATACTTCCTCAATGCTCCCAACTGTTGTTTCCGTTACTACTTAGAGCATATCATTGCTGTCAATTAGATTGCAAGAGTATCCTATGGCGATTGCAGTTTCAACTTTATCACCTGTAAGAACCCAAACCTTTATTCCTGCAGACTTTAGATCTTAAATAGTTTATCCGACATCGTCAGCTAGCAAGTCTTCAACTGCAGTAATTCCTAGAAACTCTAAATTAGATTCCAAAGTTTTTTGTAACTTGTTCATCATCTCTTCATCTTTCTCTTCTTAAGCCTTTTTATAACTATAATTATATTAAATTGTTAGATACTCTGCCAAATAAATGTCAATTTCGTTTTATTTAAATGTCTTTCTGCCCAACATTAAGGTTCTGTATCCTTTGATTGCAAATTGATGGATGACTTGCTAATGTTTGCATTCTCCTATTAATTCAAGTAATACTTCATCAGCGCCTTTGCAAAATAAAATATATTCATCCCCTGTTTTGACAACGATGGTCATTCTCTTTTTTTCACTGCTAAAATCAAAACTCATAACTCTATGGAAATGAGTTTAGTTGATGGTAAGATTATTATTATTATCAATGCCTTAAAATAAATACCCTTTTTATTCACAATAATCTAATATTGCTAATTCATCAGGAGAAGATCCTATCAATTTATTTTTTGATTTTACAACAGAATGACATAAACTCAAACATAATAAGGCTTCTTTTTCATTTTAAGCAAAAAGCTCTCTGAACTGCATAGAATTTTTGGTTAATGTGCCTGTTTTATCAGTAAAAACAATATTGATTTCTCCTAATTACTCAATCAAATTAGATTAATGTGATTTTGAATTCGGCATAACTTTGTCTGATTCTAGCATTTTAGCTTGTCCAAATTTGACTAATTCCACATTCACCACCAAAGATATGGGTATAAAGTAGGAAAGCAACGAAAACCATAATCCCAGATCTACAAATACATTGTCTTTAGAAAGTCCCAAATATGAATAATTAAGATGATTGTTAGTCCATAGGAATTCATAGATCGATGCCATGATACAGAACAATGCCAAACTGATGGAAATAGATATAATACATATTCTCATATATTATTCTAATCTACTTCGTTTGGTTCTTTCTTAAGAGCTATTCAACATTATTTTGCAATCCATGCCACTGTAAATACACAAACCTATTATCCATTCTGTGTTTTTCAATATACAATCTCTTTCGATAAAGTTACCATAGTTTAATGAATTTACTTCAGAATTACTAATTTGATAGGTTCCTGATAGTTTATAGAGTATTGGATTCTTCTAATCGTATACGAATTTTACACTGTTATCTTTTTTCTTCTGTTTAATAACTATATAAATACATAGTTTATTGCATTCTCAATGTGATATTTTTGTTATAAATCGTAGATTGAATATTTTTGCTTTAAGTTAGTTTCGCCATCTATTTGCTTTGTCTCCACATATGCTATGCCTCCTTAATAACTCGATGACAATATCAAAATGTCACAAGGAATACTTTCATTCTCCATCACCATGACAATGTCTGCTTGATAGATGTTCTTCCAATTGCACTCTATAAACGAATTTTCAAAGTATTTGTGCGACTTGCGATTATTCTCTTCCTAATCAGATTTATATCTACATTAATTAGAGTCTTACCTTGAATATTCTTCAAAAGCATCTTTAATTATACTAATACTAATCATCATCGACAAAGGACCATAAATAACAGGTACACCACTAGTATAAGAAGTGACAGGGATTATTTGTAATATCCCAATGACAATGAAATAGATATTAGCAGGTTACGTAATTTGTTTGATAAAAGCATATGGAAGAAAAGTGAGCCAAGTTGTTTTCATAGTTGTTATGGTGTTAGGTCTATTCCTCATAGGAGTATCATCTGGCAAGATAATCTTTTCTGTTTATGAAATTGATTCATTAATTTGGAAGTAACTCTTCATTTGACAAAATAATTGCTGCAAATTATAATATATATTGTAATTGCTTTTAATTCACCCAATCCAATGGCTCATGAAAAAACAACTTTATGAATTTATATAATTTATTAAAATTTAAATCTTCAATCTTAAGTGGTCGTGCTGCTATCAGAATCAATAACTCCATCGATAATGGCTGTGTCCTTTGAGAGGATCTCTTCTCTTATTGATTCATCTATTTTTATATTTACAGTCGAGGGATCAAAGAATTGTTCTTACCCATCCTATTCATTTACTAATTCATTCTTTTCCTCCCTCTCCAATTCCTTATCAATTTAATCTGTATCTTTGATATCCTCACTCTTATTCTCTGCTCCCTCTTGTTTTTCTGTTGTTGTTTCAACAATTGGCTGAGTATCATTTGCCAATTTGATTTTATTTAGGATTTACTTAATTTCATGATTTTAATTTGGACTATACATATGAATTGTGTGTTTAAGTTTATCTGCTAATTTAGTTCTCTTTAATAATTGTATTTAGTCCATATCTAGAGTGAATTAATGAAGGGTTTTTATATCTTCCACAAGTTCAGATGGTATCACAGTAAGATGTTTTAATTCTAAAATGTGGAAGTTATATTCAGATCCTAAAAACAAAAACTTTGCTTCAAAATGAATAGGCTTGCCCTTTTCTAATTTTTAAAATGTTTAGATTGAATATTAAGATTCAGTTACACCAATGATAATATCAGGTAAATCTTCAGTTGATTCTGTGGGATCCATCTTTAGATATACCCAATAATTGAAATGGAAATTTGGATCATGATTAGGTTTGGTCTGAATAAAATCACTAAAATTAATTTTGTATAAAATACCCTTTCCATGAAACTATTTTATTCTTGAAATTGGTTTCAAATTGATGTCTTGCTTTCAAGCCATTATCGACAAATTAAAATTTGCCACAAAATTATAAGAAATCAACCCACGATTTGTTTGCATAGACATTTGCTTCGATTTAAGGATGCTCTTACTCTACAAAATATTCGAAATAAAAAAACAGAGAGATTATAATTGCCAACAAAATTAATGCATACTTTCTAGATACTACTACTATACAATTGCCAAATCTAAATTATAGAACTTGATCGTTGATGTTGGGTAATTAGAAATATTTTCTTTTTTCCAATTCCTAATGACAATAGTAACATCTCTTTATTATTATCTTGACGGTTATTTATTTTTATATACTTTCGTTGATTAAAACACCAAGGGGATGATAAATATGCACCAAATTCCAAAATAAAATAAAGAGACAAAGGATATTATAAATGAAGCTGAAGATGGCACCTATTCTAAAATACCTTCCCTTGCTGCACCACAATTAGGACATACAGGCTATGTTGAATCAACTGCTGTTTCACCTTACTCCTCGTTTTCAGTCTTAGATATTAACATAATTAATTAAAATTAATGACAAAATTCGATCAATTCTCAATTTTAACATAAAATAACCTTCCACGCACTCCTAATTATATGAATGTTAAAAGTTATAATATTTTATATGACATTCTTAAAAAATAAATCATAAAAAAGGTTGCTTAAGATCTAGACGTGGAGCTTGAGCCTTTGATTATTCCAACCTGTTCTTTTGAACATACTCCTGACCCTCTTCTGTGTGCTCATCTGCATATCCAATCTCAAATTAAAACCTTTGAAAACCCAAAGCTCCCAATAGCTTATCATATATGTCAAATATATTGCAAATGATCAAAATCACCAATAAAATTGGAAAGGCCAATTTGAATTCGGCTATTCATTATATCTACAATTTAATACTTAAATATTAATCGAAATTGAAATTTCCAACAACATTTGCAATATCTGCATCTGATTCATTGAACATCCAAAAGAAATTAAAAGCCAAAGGAAAGGCAATTCTTGAAATGAAAGTGGCTGAAAAGATTAAAGATGGTCCATCTGTGAAACCGTAATCATAAAATCCATATCTATTCAATCTTATACTTAGTAGTCCATACTATACACAATATAAAACATAGAGTAAAGGAATTAACACGAGTATTTGAACTGCAAAAAACTCTTCCTCATCATTTACGAAATAGATAAAAACATTGAACTTAAGATTACCAAAGATTGCAATCTCAGACAAAGTAATTAAAGCTCCAAGACAGATAAAAATGATAGCTGCACTGTACATGATAACTCTCCAAAATTTGACGTACCAATAATATTGTACTTTGTCTATGAAGTTTCCAAAACAACCAGCTCTTTCTGGTCTTATGGCTGATGTTATTTTCTTCCCTCTCATATCACAATTTATGATGTCCTCTATAAATAATGCTTATTAAGTTAATATTTCCAATTTCTTTGTATTCCTTACACAATCATAGGACAATTCCTTTGCGCGCTTATGAATCTCTGCAAATTTATCAAGATTCATATCTTCTAAACCTTGGTCGTTCTTACTTCTTAGACGACTAAGCTTTGCTGAATCTATCTATTCCTTTGTGAATAATTGAAGTATCTTTTAGATATAAGGTTGATATTCTTCATTGTATTTGTATTTTGATTCATAAGACAAAATCTCAATCAACAAATCATCTAGATCTAGGGATTCCTATTCAAGCAACTATTTAGTCTTGTTTATCGAATGATATTTTAAGTTAACTTAAATTTGATGGTTGCTTTCTCTAAAAAATTATTTGGGAATGGCAACGATCGCATATCCTAAAAGAAAAGTGACAATCAACAACCCTCTAAAGATTAATCAATTTTAATACAATGCATTACTCAGCACAACTGTAAATGCTAGCAAAGCTTGAAAAGTAAATGACTTCTCAACTAGCAAATATATTGTAAATGCTATTCCTAAAACCCCAAAAATCGCATAGGTTATCAAATTTATTTTAATCGCTTTAATGAGTTTTTGTTTAAAAGTGAATTCTCCTGCATCTTCATAGTCTAAAGTGATTGGAAGAAAAAACCTATGATATAGAATACCATAATCATTACCATGTTAACAAAAATGTTACCCAATACAATACGACCCAAATAATCTCTATTTTGGTATCCTCCAATTCTTATTCATTCTAATTATCATTCGAATCTTACTTTGTAGATGTCTAATGGTAAGATTATAATCAGACTAAATGAAATCAACCAAGAAATTAATGTTAAGGCTTTAACATAAAAATTCACTTGTTTTTAAGCATGACTATGTATTACATACCATAAGTATGCAACAAGGAATATTGATTCGATTATCAATAAAATTAACATTTAATTAACAAACATAGAATCGAATAAATAAGTATATGAATATTATATTAGATCAAATTTTTCAATTTTTATCCATATTATACTAAATGCCATTTCAAAGTTTCATATTTCCTAATGAAGTGATGCACATAATAACTATACATATAATTATCATACTCTATTTGCAGAATTTATGTTTTTTAGATACTTTTAAATTAATTACCGATATGTTTATGATATAAATGCAAGATTAGATAAATCATTATGGAATTTATATGAGAATTGTTATATAAATTTATATATCAATAATATAAGATAAATATTACGATTAACTATTAGTGTAGAGATCGATTTATAAATTATATTTGTTCATCAAAGTTAGTTTATCCTAATACTGTGTTAGAAATAAAATTTCATTTATATGGAATTACAATTAATTCTTTAAATATAAAATTGTGTTCCATTAGAAATTAATTCAAAAGAGATAATTATAATTGATGACGTCGAGCGGAATTTTATTCATTAACAGTATTATTCACTTATTAAATCTAATAATTGGTTAATTTTCTAGATATAACACTCCAACTATTTCGTTTCTAAATAATATTAATTTCTTTATAGCCTTATTATTTGAATCGAAATTGAACATAAAATTTACATGATGGTTTATTGTATAATTGCAAAATCTTTAATTGATGATTGCTTATTTGCATCAATCATTCTCAATCTAAGAATCAACTATTTTAAGTATAATAAGCTGCATTACTTTGAGTTTTAAATAATTAATATTATAATTGCTGTTATTTTTAATTTCAATGGGAAATTGTGCTACTTGCGATGATCCATCTATTTATGAGAATGCAAAACCGGTTAAAAATAAAACAAATTTAGAAAACTAAGAGAATATTTAATAACTCACTCCTAAGAGTAAATTATCTTAGAGCTTAGTTAAATCAGAAAATCCCAGTTTGATTGTTTAATAGCATATTAGGTAAAATAATAGTTAATTTAAATAGATAAGATCTAAAGGTATTAGATTCAATGCCAGATTTCACTAATTAAAATACAAAAGCCTTACTAGAAAGATTATAACAATTTAATTACGATCAAAATGAACCATTTGAATTTAAATAACTTCCTTTTTACGGACCAGTTGAGATGGAACCTAATGTATTTTATTATGGACAATGGAAAAATGGGTAGAGACATGGAAGAGGCAAGTAAGTTTGGGTGGATGGTTCGATTTATGAAGGATATTGGTTTTAAGATAAGGCTTGTGGAAATGGAAGATTAATTCATGCAGATGGAGATCTCTATGAAGGAAAATGGTTAAATGATAAAGCACACGGCTATGGAATTTATCATCATAAAGATGGAGCCTTTTATAAAGGAGAGTGGTATGAGGATCAACAACATGGATACGGTTTAGAAAAATGGGCTGATGATTCTATGTTTGAAGGAACATATAACAATGGTATGAAAGATGGTCATGGTAAATTTAATTGGCCAGATGGCAGTTGCTATGTTGGAGAATTTACAAATAACAATATCCATGGAAAGGGACACTATTCCTGGGCTGATGGGAGAGTGTATGAGGGTGATTGGAAAGAAAATTAGATGGAGGGTAAAGGAATTTTCACTTGGTCTGATGGAAGGTACAAATACATATTAAATAACATAGAAAATACATAGGAGAATATATAGATGATAAGAAACATGGTTATGGAGAGTTTTTTTGGCCTGATGGAAGAGTCTACAAGGGACAATGGTAGGATGGAAAATAACATGGAAGAGGAAAATATAAAGGAATTAATAATGTCTTTAGGGAAGGAGAATGGGTAGAAGGAAAATTATAAAAATGGATATAATGAATTTATTAATGATTTACTAATCAATTAAGTTTGACTTCTTAGATGAATGGCCAATTTTTCCCAGTAATCCAAAAAGTTTGTGTTTTTTAATTGAATGCAATTCCATTCAGACATCCGTCTGGCCTGTTTGCTTCGTTGACGAGATTTGCGAAGTTATACTTTGCCAAAACTTTGCCTTTGTCAAGATCTATAGCATAGATATGTGTTTTTCCATATTAATTTGCATATAATATTCCATTTGCATATTCTAATTCATTGAGATATTCCGTAGGAATTGTAACATGTAATATTTAAATTGATTTCAACAATTCAAAATCTTCATTAAGAATATGTATTTTGCTTGTTCCATCAGAAATAAGTATTTAAGTTTCTCCATTCTAAACTCGATGAGTTAACCCCCAACCTTCCTTTATGGATGGATGTAAATCAATCTATCCTATGTATTATAGATCTTCCTTTTCATATACCATTCTAGGAGTATTATTAATGAATACATTTTTCTCTCCAACCAAGTTAATTAATAGACTTTGTTATTTATAATATCGCATCCTTCTCCAAAGTACTTATCGTCTAAATTTTATCTATTTTAAAGTTTATTAACATTCTTGAGATTAAAATAATGTATTCCACTCTTTTTGTAAAGTCCTGCTGACTCTAATATGGTATCTTCATTCAAAAATGTGAATCCCTAACAATTTTATAAAATATGTACCTATGTATATTAAGGATTGTTTGTATTATCTCTGTATATTCGTTTTAAGTATTAGTAGCTGCCTGTTGGCTTATTTTGAAGAAATTTTCCTTCAATTCCCAATTGCGAGTTAGCTGATGTAATCATAATAATCAGGGCTATCATTCTTTTGATCATTGTAATAAAATAATTTTAAGAAAAAATCTAAGAAATCAATACTCCTTATCCCAATTAGGATCACGAGCCTTTTCAGGTTTGTAAACATTCTAAGCAGTGGCAAGATCATTCTAGTCTACTAATTACAAAATACTTTTATTTCTTCGGTAATCAATTTACCGACTTGGATAGCCTTTTAAATATCTTTATCGCTATGTAATTTATTTTTAGGTGGTAAATAAGGAGGTTTCAATTCTCTATTGATTAAAAGATCCTATTATATAAATTTATTGATACATAATCGAATCTTTCAAAAAAAGAGTTATTTTTTAAACTAGCATAAGATGATCCTAGTCTAAGCTCTGGAGTCTTACTAAGCAATTACTCAATTAATTTCTTAGCTTTTCTATCCTTCAATACTGATGGAAATGTTAATTATTTCTTTTAAATTTCTTCATAAATTTCATATCTAATATATGATTTATAAACAAATTTACGGATCGTCTGCATCTTCAGCATACGGAACATTTCCACACATGAATTCATACAAACAGATTCCGATAGACCATAGATCTACTGAGTAAGTGTATCCCTTGCCAGTTAATATTTCTGGTGCCATGTAATGTGGAGTTCCAATAATTGTGTATGTTCTCCCATTTTTACTCTTTAAATTTTTTGCAGTCCCTAAATCAATCAATTTCATGAATCCCTAAGATTTATAAACTTGGTGATAATACTTTTTCATCAATCATAATGTTTTCTGGTTTAATATCTCTATATATGATATTATTCAAGTGTAAATATTCCATGCACAAAATCAATGATCCAATATAGAATTGAGAATCATAAGTGTTAAGCAATCCAATGTCTCTGATTACATCGAAAAGTTCCATTCCTCTAATGTACTCTTCTAAGAAGTAAATATAAGTATTGTCTTTGAAACTTCGAGCAAAATGCATTATTAATGGAAAGTTAACAGTTTCCAAAGCTATTTTTTCTTATGCCAAGTGCTTTTCAAGATTTTATTCAATAATTTATGCCTTTGAGATACATTTCAAAGCATATGTCTTTTTATCCATTTTATTATGAACCAAATAAACATTACCGAATTATCCTTAGCCTAATTTCTTCACATAAATCAATTGATCCAATTAAAAATGCTTAAAAACATCTTATTTTTGACCTTCCTCTTTCTTTATAAACCGATCATGAGCTTTTTCGTTCTTAGCAAAGATTTATTCTAAAGAACCTCCAATGATCTCAAAGAACTATTTAAACGTTATTGTTGCTATCATTCCTTCATCTTTCATTATCACTGGCTCTCCTAATTTAACATTTTCTCCTTAATCTAAAAATTTATCACCAAACATTTATCCTTTCTCCAATATTTCCTTTCCATATTTAATTGAACCTTATAACACAATAATAATCTCTCTGCAAGCTTAGCCTTTCTCTATGATTACTTCTTCACTTTTCTTTTGTGTCTGTTACATATTGCTGACGATTCTTTCTACTTGCAATTTAGTCAATTTATTGAGAATAGCATGTCTTTCAAAAGCCCATCTTTAAAGATTGCTGTACATAATCAATTGTATCTTATCTCCCAATATTCTAGTTAAGTCATCTCTTGCTAAAGCCAAAACTGTAGCATCCTCTTTTATAGCCTTTGCAGTAGCCCCTCTAACCGAATTCTATTGTAATGCTTATTCTCCCAAAGAGTCTCCTGCCTTCATTATTCTTATTTCTTTCCCTCCTCTAGATATCTATATTTCTCCTTTCTTAATTATAAAGAAAGAGTCAGCTTGATCTCCTTCATTAACTATAATTTCTCCAGCTTTAAAATTTAAATTTATCAATGCTGATGGTATTGCTGCTTTTTAATCATCAGTCAGTGATTCTATTTGTAAAATGATTATGTACCAAAAAACTGCACTTTATTTATGAATTCCTTATTCTAATCATAATCTTTTTACGAAATCGATTCTATTGCCTTTCTGACTGTATTTCTATCAATTGCCCAAAAAGCACAATCTAAAAATAAATTTATTTTTACCTCCTATTGCCTTAACAGAAGCAGATCTTGGCGCATTATATAATAAGGCTAATTCTCCAAAGGCTTCACCACTTTTTAACGTTTTTTTTAATTCATTATTGATTATAATCTAGCACTGTCCACGTTCAATTAAGAAGTATGAACTTGCCTTATCCCCTTGCTTAAAAACCATTTCACCATCATGAACTGTGCAATAAAACATTTTCTCAATGACCTTCACTCTTATCTACTAAAAAATAGTGTTTATACTTGTCATCGGGTTGTAATTACCCAAAAATAAAGCTATTACCAAAAGCATTCAAAAGTAATTGAAAATCAAATGGGCTTTTGACTTTTTCCTATTTTTGGACATTCTCATAAATGACTTCTTGATCAATGACCGCAGCTATTTTGGCCATCTTCTTCTGCTCTTTTCTTTTTGGCTAAGAAATATTGAATCCTCAAATATACTTCATTCTCTTATTTTGCCTAATCTATTTCTTGAGCCGGCTCCTCTTATTTCTCAGGCACTTGAGTCTTCACTTCCTCCGGCTTAGGAGGTTGCATCTATTAGATAGGAGGAGGCTAGGAAGTAGTAACCTCTAAATCATTTTTATCATTAATTGGATTTTACCGACAAATGTTTCCCATTAATGTTAATATTTATTTATTAATAAAATAAAGGAAAATAAATTTATAATTAATCCAACATCAGAAAAGCAAATTTATTGGATAAAAGTAACAAACTTCTACACAATTAAATGATATTTTTAATCGAAGAAATGCTTATGCCTTTATGAGATGCATCTAATAAAATGGCATGGTTATTAATCATTCATTTATAAAGATTTAAAGTCGTAATAAAGCTTAGTTGGCTCATATTTAATTAAATAAATTGATTGAGTAATATACTGGGTATGAATATTGTTCATTATTCATGATTATATTGTTTCATCTGAAAAATTCCATTGATTTAAATCGCTCCAATTTTCACTCTGTTTTCTTTTAACATTAGAAGTCTTCTTTATAACAATTCTAGCTGATTGTGGGAATTCAGCTAATGTTACAAATCTTCTCACTTTATTTTTTAGTTAACACTATCCATTCTAAATTGGGTACATCGTTCGGTTTACATTAGTTTTAGCTCTATAGGTCTAATTGTGACATTTATTTAAATCTTTTAATTCCATTTTGGCCAACCTAATTTTCATATATTTTTAAAAAAGGTTTTCTCTAGGTTTGTTTCTCTCAGGCTAGTTTGATAGCATAGTTAAGGGCTAAGAATTCTATTATTAGAATTCAAATGAGTTTTTATGTAAGCATAATGAGAACATTGTCAAAAAGTTTAGATAAATTGAAAAAAATAAGAAATTTATTATCTGAAAAACGTGTAATATGAACTTTTAGTCAATTAGAATACATTATTAATGATAATAATGAAAATTAAATATGATTTTATTGATAAAGAGTAGATATTTATTTAATTCCCTTACATTTTTAATATTATTTAATTATTAAAATGCTGCCATAGTTAAAACTCATCTCATTAATTGTAAGAGTATTTGCGAGACCAATCATTACAAGCAGAAAAGAAGTGTCAATCGAGAAGGTCCTGATGAGCAAACAAAGATTTTTGACTCAATAAATATAAAATTTAGGAAATTATTATTATTACACTGATGTATAGAGATTATGAAAGATAGTAAAAAATTGATAGAATGTATTTGAATTAAAATTTGCACGATGAATATGATAAATTAAATGATGAAGATGCTCTAAAATTGGTTATTTTAATTACTATTATCTTGTAGGGCACAGAATTTTTATTAGAAATGATAATATATACCATTTTGATACTAGTCTCCTTATTTGAAATATACAAAACTTATTTTGAATAATAAGAAAGATTATAAAATATGAATAATACAATTAAAGTAATTTTTATGTTAAAATAGAATTTATAATAATAAATTAAAGTTATTAAAGAATTGAAATTGAAAGACTTGAATAATCTTTCGAGAGTTTATGAAATTTACGAAGCAAATCTTAAGTCATTTCAAATTAAATAAGAAAAAGCATTGTAGTAAGTCTCCTCAGTCAGATAAGTAAATTTATTTTGATAATATAAGCTTTATCTTGAGAATTTAAAAAAGGACAATCAAAATTGTTGATTGTATTTAGATGTAATAAATTTGATATCATAAACAAAATGATTTTTTTCAAAATTTGATAGTTGAATTCATCATCCTTTCTTCTGTAAGGTATCTGAGTCTTCTATTTTTTTACAAATCAAATGAAAATCTCTGAGTTTATTATCATAATAATGGTTGTATGACTTACTGTTCTTAGGACTAGCAGTATTCCTCTGCTTTAGTTCTTTGATTGTTTAATTTTCCTATTGGATCACTTAGTATAATTGATATGATTACATTTGATGAAATCTCTTAATTTATAGAAATACTTCTTTCTATGTTCAGCATTTGTATCTATTCCTGAATGTCCAATGTTTTCTACTTCCCAATGTTCATATAGTCGTTAACAATTATTTGCTAATAACTTTGCCTATGTAAAATCGATTATTTCGTCTTCTAAACCATGCATGATGAAAACTGGGCATGTAACATTTTAGATTCTATCAACATTAGGAAAAATATCATAGAATGGAGTTGATTTCAATTTATTATTTACAACCCTCAATCCAGAACTTAAACCTGAGTGAACAACTAGGCCACCAACTGGAAATTCATTATCAGAAACTAGCATAACACTAGGTCCAGATCCTATACTATAACCATAAACAATTATTTTTGTCGGATCAAATTTTAATTAAGTGACTAAAAAATCATATGCCACTTAAATATTATTAATGATATTGAGATCGGTGCATTTACCTTAAGATAGTCCATAACCTGAATATTCGTATGCAAAGACATTGATTCTCAAGTTCGTACACAAATCTAGTATTATATTCATTTCAAGTTACCAATTAATGTATCAATCATATAACCCAAATCGCTTGCATTCCCATGGCTAAATAATATCACCATATCACTCAATGGAAAAGTACTTTTGACATAAAGTGATGCTATTCTATGTCCTTTTCTGCCTTTTAAAAAATATCCAGTCAATTCTAAATTTTCTTGCTTTGGTATTATTATCTCTTTTCCATTCTCATCAATTAAATAAAAATCATGAGTCGGATATATAGGACTTATTAAATTAAATTTGACTATTACTCCTCGCGTGTAGGACTAGTACTTCCACTTGAAAATTGCATTAGTTCTTCTGCTAAATCGATCAAACCTAATGAGTTTATATTTTCATCATCATAGGATTTTGATTTCTATCTTATTTCTGGATTAGCATTCAATTTATTTTAACGAATAAGAAGTTTTATTTGTGCTTTAAGTTGTATTATCTTCCAATCTTTATTTTAAAGCATAGCTAACTTTTGGTGGTTGAAAGGCAATGTTTTTTAATATTTTTTATCTTAAACCACAAAAACTTAGTGATTAAAATATCCCTACTGTTAGAGAAGACTTTAGATTTGACATAGCAAATTTTTGTATATATAAATTTTGATTAATCATTTGAAACAATTTCTTCTAATATCATTAAGAAAAACTTTCATATAATTGATATAGATGAAAAATTTTTGCGATAGCCTTTTTAATAAGATTTAATTAATTGTTTAATCCCTTTTAACATCCAATAGAAGAATGAATAAAATTATTATTTTAGTAAATAATCATAAAAAGTGGAAATAAAATTGAGACAATTGTTTTAGATATGTTCATTAATTTAGCAGTTAACAAATATAAAGGTGGCAATCTTTTTCCCTTGTTACAATAATAACTTGAGGACGAATAGTCCTCTGGCAACTCAAGCCAAATTATAAGTCAAAATAAGAAAAATTCAACCTTTCTCCTTAAGCCTAATCAACTTGAATTGTTAGAATTACGTATAGAAATTATTTTTATACTTGAATTACATTATGAGAAAATAATTATTAAAGTATTCAAAAATAATTAAATTTTTCAAAGAATATTAAAACTCAACTAACTAGTTTAAAAAATCACCTAAAAAAATAAATGTCAAAAAAATAAGACTTTAAGTATTCATCAAATTCACTAATAGAAAATAATTATTCTCAATTTAATATTATTGATTTCATATAGAGAGATTAAATTTAATAAAACAAAGATTATTATCTATTTTATTGTTTATAAATTCAAAAATAACTAAATAATTAGGGTATTAATTTAAGAGTTTTCCTATTTTAGTTATTTTTTATCATTCTACGTTCTTTATTGCAATTTTTAATATTTTCAGATATATAAGTATTAGTTGAGTCAATGGAAAATCAAATATTAATTGGTTGAATAATTCTTCAGATATTTTATACATTCTTTTAATTTCATTGTCAGACGATTTTGAAGTTTTTCTTTATTAGCAAATCTCAAATTGATTTTAATTCATTTAAGGATATTTTAAATAAGTTTTATCTTATTAAGAAATAAATATTATAATAATTTTAAAGAACAATATTCGATTTATTTTAGATTATTCTAGATTATTTTATGGCCTAATCGCAAATAGAGCTAGAACCAAATCTAAATACAAAATTATTATTATTTTGCATATATATAACAAGTTGAACAGTGAATAGTTACTTTAAAAACAACTAAAACCAAGATTAAAAAAAATGTAAACAGTACAAGAAAAATTTGTAATAAACTATTTTATGATTAAATAGTAACATAAATTGTTTGGCCGATTTATAATAACATTTTGGAAGTCATTTAAATTTATATTTAATGTAATAGTACTTTAAAATTCACATTCAGTTTAAGTTCTTTTATTATAATTATTTTTATTTAGAACATTTATCATTATTTTATTAATAAATATCACATATATACAAACAGATCGTCTTCTGTACTATCATCTTTATTTTAAACCATATTTATTCCTTTATATTGAGATAAAATTTACATCAATGAAATTAAACTCTCCTTAAGCTCTTAAGAATTCATCGGTATGAACTCATCTTATCTGAGCGATATTTTATGTTATTGTCCCAAACGAGGTGTTTTCACCCTTTAAATCAATTTTTAGAGATAGTTTAATTCAGTTGTTTAAATAGTTTAGACTATAGTTTCAGTTTTGTTAATTATTGGAGGAGAATGACAACATTGTTTATCTGATTTCTCTGATTTAATTCGGCTTGTTCGATTACCCCTTATCTTTGGAGAGGCTTTGTGTCTATCAACTGACTTAAAGTTTAAGTCATATTGTAACGACGGCAAAATAAATTTGGAAGGTCTTTTCCTATCTTGAGAAGACCCAAAAACAACAGAATTTTTATTTGCAGAAGCCTTCATAGTGTTATTAATTTTGCATGCCAAAGAAAAATGGTTTTGATGCAAATTGTTTAATTTGAACCTTTAAAAATTAGGAGATGCATCATATCTATCGTTTTCAATAGTTTTAGTCACCTATATGGATTCTATGATGGGTACATATATCATTATTAAATTTTATAATATATTTTAAGTTGATGATATCACTTTCTTTTCGTATTTTTGAAATGTAGAATAATTATAAATTGATTATCAAATAAAATATTTATCATTAACAAGTTTTTAAAAGTCTCAAGTGTTCCTCCTTTATTTTCATAAACTTATCGTTAAATGAATTGAGCATATTAGTTAAATGTTTGATTTATTCATTTTGTTATGCAATGTGCTAAGCAGATTGGTTATCATTTATTAAAATAGTCTTTGATTCTAATTGTTTAATTTTATCTTCAGATCTCTCATTAAGTTATTTCCAAGCTTTTATCTATTGATCTTGGTTTTTTATTTTTTCTTTTAAAATATCTATTTCCTTTTTATAATTCTCTTCCTGAATTAACATACTCATATGTAAAGCATAGTATTAATCATTAGTTTAGTTTAAATCTTGAGCGAGGTTGATTTGATCATTTGTATTCATTCTAGAATCCGGTCTCAAATCAGTAGCTTCAAAGGAATTCAATCTGGACTCTCTTCTTGAGGCTTCTCTAATTTTTTCATTCAAACAAGCTTCCTTCTAATGGAATTCATGATTGAGTTCATTAATTTTTGATTAGAGTTATTGAACATCAGATTCAAGTTATAAAGTTCTTTTTTTTTCATTTTAGAATGAATTAAATATTTCCTAAAAGGAGGTTTGCAATTTATTTAATTATCTATCCTTATCTTCTATCAGTTTAGTATAATATAATTTTTATTATGATAATTTTTCTTTGGCTTGTTCATATTTTTACTCCTATTTTATGTATTGCATGATTTTAAGTTTCAATTATTCATTTTCCAATCGAGTATTATCTTTCAACAAATTTGCCTCCTTTATTAAACTTTATTAAGACTAAACTTTGATTTCTAATTCTCTAGTTTTAGATTAACTTGACCATAACTATTTATTTAAATCTTCTAATTCTTTAATTTTCTCTTCATTGAATGAGGATTTTCTCTCTAAAATTGATAATAAATACAAAAGTAATACCATGTGATTCCAACATGACAATATGTTCAGCTTTTTCTTTGTTTTCCTAATCCAATTTTTTTATTGACATCTTTTATTCAATGATTTCATTCATCAATACTTAATGTTAATGAACTAATTTTTGATTTTCTGTTTCTAATTCATCTATTTTATCTAATAAACTTTTATCTTCAGATTATGTAAATGGTTCAACCAATGTTTATAAATATTAAGAAATTAATTCCTGTTTTTTTTCTGGTAATTACAAGACTGGCACAAAAAAATCGTCTTAGAAATCGCTCTATAAAATTAGCTAAAAGAAATAAAATTATTTAACAACTTAGCATATGACTCCAAATAGTTTTAAAATTTAAGTCTCATTTCTATCTTTTGCTATTTCCATAACATTAATCTCTAATTATTTGTGTGTATAATCTGTTAATTTGTCAACTATCAATTTCAATCTAGACATATTAAGTGCCCAATTATCTGTGTAGGCTTAATTTTCTAAGACCTAAGTAATTTTGATTTAAATTTTACATGGAAAGTAGATCCAAAATGATCTGTATTAATGTGATTTAAAATTTATATGAATAGAGTACCATCCACATATTCTCTAAAACCTGTATGGTATTTTAAAAAGCTTATCTTGTTCATCCAATCTACTATTGCTGACTAAAGTTCTTAGTTTTACATTATTTTTTTAATTAAAATAAATTAAATTTAATATGCGGGGATTCTTCACATTTGCTAAATCGTTTATCAGCTTCTCCTCTGTAAAAACTCAACAAATGAAAGTTTCAATTAGATTGTAAGCATAATTTTGATTTGAATTTAGAGTCAATCAATCAATTAATTGCTAATTGAGATTGAGTTCCACTTTAACAGCACTTAGAATGGCTAATCTATATGGAATTTGGTAAAAGTCTTCAATGTAGGAAGTTGATGATGGTAATAATGCCTAAATACTTAGAATCCGAATTAGATATCCACATTTCTCAGCTTATGTCATTGTCTCTAAAAGCAGAACAACAAACCATACAAACCAACATTTGATTATATTATACATTAATAATAAAAAGATCAATATTTACATTTATTCTGTTGCAATTTGTTTAAAGAAGTCAAATCTAGAAATCAGGGTTAATCTGATTAATAAATGATTAGAGTTATTCTTTAAAATTAATTCATTGATCAAGGGGATTTTAAGTAAGGAGTAGAATGCTGTTAGTATATTAATTATGCTTAGGATAAAAGTTAATAAATATTATAATGAAGTAATTTATTTGGGAAATAATATAATTTGAAAGGAAGTTAGAATATTGTCGTTAAGATTTAGCACTTGATTAAGGATTTTCCATCGAATTTTTTCCAGAAACTATCACATATTTAGGATTAAAGTAGTTATTCCATAGAGAAATGAAAGGATTTTTCAATAGGTATGATTCTGATCGAGATGGAAAATTATCATTCAACGATATTTAATAATTTGTCTAGCCACGATAACTAGAGTATTAGTGCTTTATAAAGAAAGGTGGAAATTACAATCGATTGATTGAGTTAATTGAAATAGCTGAAGAATATGAGAATTATTTGATAGACAATATTGAGACCTTGGAATTTTAGGAAAATAATTAGATTTCAATAAAATAATTTTTAAGTTCTAAATTTAAACAACCAACTGAAAAAGACATATGGTTTTTGAATCAAAGATTTGAATGCTATACAATTGAGGAGTTTTTGGGATATTTTGAATAGTATAAAAAAGCTAATTGACTCAAATTTTATATATATAATAAATATTTATCTATGAATACTTAAGATGAAATACTTTTGTTAAAGAAGTGCATTTGTGAATTTTTAAATAAGTTACTCCCCACAATTAAGGATCCGTTAATTTTAACAAGATAAAGACTAAGCTAATTTAAAACTGTCCTCTTAGATGAATTGAAAACTATACAAGATGTGTATTATTATGTTCAAACACTTTAATTTCAAGATGGAATGATCATCAGAACTGATACAAAGATCGAGCATTAAAGAAATCCATCAGGAGCTAATTAAGACTATATGAGTTTAAATTCAAACCCATCACTACAAGAAAAGAGAACCAATCCCCCCTTTGGGTTGAATAAAGGATAAGATCCTCAATTGCCAAATGCTGGAAATGCAATAAATATGAAAACTAACAATACAACAACACTCAATTAACAAAATCAGATTGTTGAAGATTAATAAGAAATACCTAAGTTAGGCAAAGATATCTTTTTTAAAAGACCATCAACAAGAAAGCTATCTATTAAGACTAAAGATGTAAAGGTCTAAGAAAATAATTATAAACCGATTGATGAAATCTAGAAAGTGAATGTTTACGGATAAAAGGCAGATACTTTTAGTGTGTTAAATAATTATAGCAAGAGAACCCCATTTTTTGATAAAGAGACCTTGTTAAATGAAATCAAGGAGAGCGAAAAGATTATTCGTAAAAACACTACTACTTTGAATGCAGTTTATAGCAGGAGCTTTGAAATTTTAACTGGTGACAAAGAATAAAATACAGAATAACTAAACAGTATTCAACAAGATTTACGCGCACAATAGGATTTAAGAGAATTGCAAAATGCCTAAAGGAATGCCACATTGAAAGGGTATTCGATTTATGCTAAGAAGGATAAGGATATTGCTAAATAGAGAATGGATGAAATTGCATAAATTAACGATAAGAAGAAACTATATTTTTGATGAATATATTTAAATATATAGATTAATGAATAAATTATATCCAACAGATAAAACACATCATCAATATGTTGAATACCCTCAACGTTGGATCCAATTAGTCTTATTTTTATGCGCTTTGCTTTCAAACATTATGTTCGGATTTTCGCTTTCGCCCATTGTCAAGGAAATGTCATTAGTTTATTAAGTTGATAGTAGGTAAGAAAATATTAAATGCTATAGATATCTGCAATTTTTGACAATAAGTTTTACTGTCTTCTCAGTAATTATGATAATTCCAGGAAACATTATTAATGAAAAATATGGAATTCGTATGAGTATTATGATAGGTATCAAATAATTGCAGTATTAAAGGTTGTGCATTGACTTTTATAGGTTCGATATTTGCAATTTTCATCAATGTTTCTTTTTGGTTTTTCTTCATTGGATAATTGATTTCTTTGATAGGATTTCCATTCAGATTGATTAGCGCATCAAAATTTGTTGCGAATTGGTTTTTCCCAGAAAACAGAATACTTATCATGGTTATTATCGCATTAGTTTTTAATGCAAGTTCAGGAATAGCTATTAGAATACCACTGATTGTTTTAGGAGACTTTTAAATACATGATCATCCAACAGATGAATAAATTGAGTTAGGAAGAGCCTTAATTGAGAGTTTGATGTTCTTACTTTTCGGGTTGATGATTTTATTATGCATACCTCCAATTCTTTTTTTCCTAAGCAAACCAGTCACCCCTCCTAGTTATAGTGCTTCAGATGTATAGATACTTTATATTATTAGGAATGCGTTAGAGAAGATTATAATAAAGCCAGTGTCATAGTGGCTAGCAATCCGGATTTTATATTGCTAACTATTAGTTTTGCTTTTATCTTAGGAACAATCACATTATTTACATTGCAGATGGAATATTTTATATCACCCTTTGATTATTCCCTTAAAGATTAGAGTAATTTGGTGTTAGTCGGAGTGATAGCTGGTTTGATTGGAGATATTTGTGTTGGAACAGCTATAAAGAAGACTTAATCCTATAAAAAAGTGTTGAGGATTTGTAATATATTAGTGACTGTACTCTTCGGAATACTCATACTAGCCCTGCATGTAAACAAAGTTTTCTTCTTTATTATTTATTTTTTATTGTGTGGAAGTTCTGCTATCATGGCCTTGACTTTTGAGTTCTCTTGTGAATTATGTTTTCCATTGAGTGAGAACACTACTATAGCCATGTTAGGGTTCTTTGGAAATCTTCTTAATTTCTTGCAAGGAATTCCTGAAATCTTGATCCTGAAGGTATTTATTACTTTTCATTGACTTAGGGAGACAATTAACTCTGCTCTACTATGACTATGATATTTATGTTGATCTTGATTGGTAGCTCAAATATATTGACGATGAAAATTAACGAAAATCTCAAGAGATCAGAATAAGATATTCAATTGGATGATAGGATTGAAAAGAAAAATACTGAAGTCAGCTTATTAGAATAATCAAAATTTAATAATAGCAATGATGATTATTGATTATATATATAAAAATTAATATAATTTATGCTAAAGGTAATTGGCTTTTTATTATTAATTCACTCTGCCATCTCATTAATTAGATATAGAAAGCATTTGATCTACAAGGATATGGCAGATTAATACCATATCCCACTGGATGTATGAATATTTATACAATTTGTAGATCTTATTAGAAATAATTGTTGGATTTACTTTGAACATGTTTTTCGGAGTTATTTTGGATAAAAAATTTACTAACATTCACCTCTTTCCTCACAAGAAAACGTACACTTTAAATTTACTATCATAGATATGACTAGGCATTCTAAAGACCTAATTTCAGATAACCTGGTGGTCGAGGAGGAGTGTTATAATCTGTTGTAAGAGATAAAATTGGAAATTTTGATATATAAAATTGATAAATTTGTGTACATTATGAAATTTGTGTGTGTTTTTATACATTATTAATTCATCTAAAATAATATAATGCTCTTGCTGTAAGTCCTTAAACTTTTGATTCATCTTCAGTCTAATTAAGCCAATATTCCTCGAATAATGCTCTGTCTTATGGTTTAGAAGCATCAAGCTTAGTCAATTATAAGTATTCAAATGTTGGATGGTCTTTCTATATAAGATTATATAAATGTCTTACTAAAAATGATGGGACTTCAGTTCCTCTCCATATCCAAGCTCCACTGATTTGAAGATCTGGTACATCTCCATAGACACCATGAATAGCAAATGCCCATTTTTTGAAATGAGGATCAGTTCTTTATAAAAATCCATTGCAATTATTTCTAAAGGAGATCAAAACCTTTCCCTCTTATTCAGCCTTAATGTATTTCATAATCCAAATTGACCATCCTTAAGAATCAAAAATGGTCCAAAAGTTTTTGAATTCAGCAGCGAAATCTTTAGAAGCCAAAAATTATCTCTTCCAATCGTCAATATTGAAAGTAGATTAAGGTAATAAATCAAGTTCACATTATTATTTTTTTGGTTTCTCTTCATCATCTTCTTCTTTTGGAGCAGGCTTTTATTATTATGCTTATTGGGCGTTTTAAGCTTATTATTTTTATTATTTTTATTGTTATTATTATTGTGGTTATTATTATTATTATTATTATTACTATTATTCATATTAAAATGGGAAAGCTTTTACACAATATTTGGTTTTTCCATAATACTACATTTATATATGATTAATTTTACGTCCACAAATGCTGGTAATTCAGAGATGTGTTTGTACCATCTTGAAATATTTGGAATGGTTCCTCTAAATTATTTATCAAATGCAAAACTAAATAATCCTTAGAAGTAAGATGCTAAATTTAAATCAGCAATTGTCAATGATTCGCCAACTAAAAAATTATTTGCCTTAAAATGATTTTCTAATATTTTTAATTTCCAATTTAATTCTTTCTTAACTTCTTCTTACTTTTAGGGTGTTGTCTATTCATAACCAAGGATTGGCAATAACAAACCAAGGAGAGTAGGTTCCAATTCAAGGGATGTGAAGTCTAACCATTGTCTAACTTTGGCTTGTTGGAAATCTGTCACTCCAACCAAAGGTGTTCCTCTGGCAACATACTATAAAATGGCGTTGCTTTCAGTTAGATATCCTTCAGGGGTCTCTAAAATTGGAATCTTGCCAACTGGATTCTTAGCCAAAAAGGCAGGGGTCTAAGGTAAATAAAGCATTGTTACTTCTAAGGATTTGTATTCTACAAAATCACTGCTGATTTAGACATTGGCTAATTGGGCAGCCACTATTATTTTACCAGCTCTTGGATTGCCAAGTATATATGTAAGTTTAAGTGACATAAAAATATCTTATTATTTAAATTTTAATTTCTCACTTTTTAATGAACAACAATTCTTAAGGCATTGACAATGCTCCTAATTCTTTCATCATTCATTGTATCATCTATTTATTGTGATTTTTAACAAGAAGTAGAATTGATACTAAATAATGATGTTTTAATTGGAGTCATAGGAAAGTAAGTTCATGTGAGAGCAATAAATAAATAAAATAAAGGGTAGATTGAGTATTATTATCAAGAATTGATTTTATTTATTAAAATGTCCCTCAGCCAATTGTATGGGAAACAAACAATTAATTATGCAAGTACACTATAAAATTAATCATTTTAAGAGAGCTCAGACAGATGAGATCTCCAAATGATGCACAATCATTTGGATTGCGTCAAGAATTTAATGATTTTTCATAGTTACATCGACAACCTGTTGAAACGAATAAACATTAAAGAGCGAAGTCAACACTATAAAACAATTATAGACAAGGTACACCTCTTACAGATCTGGAGGAGATGGAAGGAGAGAAATTGTTTGATTAGTTTTTTAAGTTTAACAACTCTAAAAGTGAAAGCGATTTCATGAGGGATTCAATGTAGAGAGATTAAAAGCAGCCTCAATCAGAATTTTTAAGATTTGTAGAGAATGCAATAGAATATCATAAGCAATCTGAATTGCATTTTCGACCTACTATAAAAAAGAATTAACATTTAGAGTAGAAGACAAAAGAACTTACAGTATAGAATAGGTTATTGGCAAGTGAAATTAATAGATACAAACAGAGAGAGATGGAATTAAAAAATAAGATAAAAATAATCCAAAAAGAATGTTAACTAGAATTGGGTCAATTGATATAGAAGAATGAATGGTTGGAAGAGTTGTTGGTAAAACAAAAAATTGACAATGAGAATTCCTTGTTGGCTGTTAAGAAATCTTTAGAAATGATGTAAGGAAGGTGTATGTGTCAAAAGGGAATGGCTGATAAGATAATGAAAGAAGTTAAATAACAATCTAGACCATAATATGATCTTCAGGCTACACACTCGTCATCTGAATTAAGCAGTAACACTGGAGACGAAGACTTGGACTTTGATTATGTGAGAAGAAGGAAATCTCTATCAAAGGTACTTAAATACATTATAGACAGACATCTGAAGAACATTAATTTTAATTAGCGAGAAGCAAGAACTTGAGAGAGTTTGCTAGAGACCAATTTTTTCGAAAGAAACCTACACAAGACCCTTATTATACATGAATATTAAATTATTATATAATGGTTTTCATAAAGAGATTGGTGCCTCTTTCAATTTTGTATTGTTTCGAAGGAATCATGCTAGGACTGATTTTATACAGTGTTCCATCTGATTTGATAGATAAAGGTGTTGAGATAAGTAGATACAAGTTTTCATTCATTGTGCTATTACCTTACTTGTTCAGATACATAGTAGGACCTTTGATTGATAGCTTAAGTTGGGATAAGATGGGTAGAAGAAGAAGCTAGTTGACGGTGTTGTATTTTGGATTGGGGTATGGTTTTGTTGAAAATTCTTAGAGTTCTGTTATATTTTTCAAATTTCTAATCGCTAGATCCTAGTACATGGTTTTGGAACATATTCTGGATTGTATGTTTGTTGGCTTGCATTGACATCATAATAGCCGCTTGGTTAGTTGAAAGTTTAGAGAAGCAAGACAGAGGGTATGGAGCATTGGCTCAATTTCTAGGGATTTTGATTGGAGGATTTATTGGAGCATACATATTTAAGATGTTCAATTCGCTTGAATTTTGCAATACATATATTTATGCCATTCCTCAAGAGATACCATATATTACACTCTAAAGTTAAATTATAGATATATTTTAGTTGCATTCAAGGATTTGTCTTACATTTCAGTAGGACTTGCAGCTGCATGCATTATAATAATACATAATGAGAAAACTACTAATTAGGATGTATGAATGTCATTATATTAGATAATCGAAGCTTACAAATCAGCTCTTGGAGCATTTTCGAATCGTCATTTGATCGTTCTCTTTCTGTTTTTTTGTTTTTTCAGAATTGGGTAGATGCCAATAGATTTGGCTCATATTCATTTGATGAAAGGCTAATTGACAGAGGGATAAATTCAATTCCTGGAAATACTAACTTTTCCTATTGCTTGCATTTTACCATACTACATGGCCAAAATGGTCAAGAAAAGTGTGTTGGAGATTAGACTTATCATAGTGTTTTCCATTTATGAGATTGGTATATCTATTTTACTAATTATATTCGACTAGCCATCTCAGGAGTATTTATTATAACATTGTTTGCTTCCGAAGAGAATTTCCCATTCCCATACAGAGACACCTTAATGAAGATATCTTTATTTAGTGTCTGGCTATTAAACTTGATTAATCTCACACTGGCTTAGTCATTCATTTACAAAAGCACTTAAAGTTCTGTGTCTGCAACTTTCATATCTTTGTTAAGTAGAGATATTTGTAATATTTTAAGCCACTGGAATAAACTTCCAGTTCATTTTTGAAGGATTTGTTGAGTATTTGTTAGCCAATTATAATTATTATTTGATTTGGATATGTGGAGTAGGAATATATGCTCTATTTTTTTTCCATCTGGCTTCCAGAGTCACTATGATAGATTAATTGAATTGTGAAGAGTTTAGTTTAGAAATTGATATAAAGAAAGAGAAACTCCTAATTAACACAGAATTAGCAACTTTGTCCTGATAATTAAATATAATTTTTGTATGCAATCATAGTTTTATAGATTATTGAGTTAGATTATGTTATTATGATAATGTCCAAAAATACCATTAAAATAAAAGTCTATTTCTTTAATAATTTTATAGTATTATAAAAATGGAAGATCGATTGATTTAATTACAAGAAGTAAGAGCATTTTAATCTAGTTTTCAGGCATAAAAGATCGAATTTAATTAGACAACTCTTTTTCCTCTTAGGATGAGAATTTTATGCCTTAATTTAGTTCGAACGTACAAAAGGTACAATAGAGTTTAAACATTATCAAAAATAACAACCTAAGAATGAGGGAAATGTTGAGCAAATATTCTATAGCCACTACATCCTCTGTTGAATAAGGTATCCTAAAATTTGAGATTTCTTAGGATTGTCAAGAGAATTAGAGTAGATTATGATGCAAAATTAACAAATTAGTAAATAAATAAAGGAAGCGATGAAGGATATCAAAGAAGAAGTTGAAAGAAGTAAAAGAGAGAAGGATTAAGAGGATCAAACTGAAACCAGAATATAAATAGAACAGGAAAATGCATTGGCTAGTTCAGTTTATGAAGTTTTACAGGCTTCTTCTCAGATTTCTTACTAATATTAGATTGGAGTGAGAGAGAAAATCAAAAGGTAAGCCAGGATTTTAGATGAAAATGCCACAGAATAGTTTTTAAATGAAATATGCAATGATCCATAAGTATCTTAATTTTATCCTATATCCAACTAGAAAGCAACATAATTATTGCAAAATAAACTCTATGGAGGAGCTCCTTCAGTTCAACTCACTAGTGCTGTTTCAGACATATAAGAGAAGTATAAAGACATTCAATAGTTGGAAAAAGTAAAATCTTTAATTATATTTAGTCTGTCTAATTGGTTTTTTAACTATAGTAAGATTTAGCAATCTTAGTTGGGACTTAAGGCTAAATAACTACTAATATCGAAGGTAGTCTTACTTCAGCCAAATCTTATGTTAACAAAGCCAAAGATGATCTTATAGATGCAGAAGGTGATCATAAATCAGCTAAAAAGGTATTCATACATGCAATTCTTCTAGAAAATCTGTTGTATTATCCTAATAGGTGTTGTAATTTTGGCTGTAATTATTGGACCTATAGTTGCCACAGCATGAACTATTCATTTTATAAAATTGTTATTTCCTTTTAATTTTTAAATAAGGATAATCCATTCTTCTTATGATATCCTTTAAGTCGATTATATAATATCTCTATTTTAATAGTATAATTTGTAAAATTTAACTACTTGGATACATCAAAAAAGATCAATGAATATTTATAATGATGTTTTCGAAAAATTTGATTTAATACTAAATATCAATCATGATAAAAATGGCTAGATCTTTATTAATTCACCGCCTTTTATTTAGTCGATTGATTTGAATTCAAAGGTACATCAAAAGATTGATTATTATGATTAGTAATATGAACCCTCTCCTTTTTATGATTCTATGATCTACCTCCACTTTGAAGCATTCTATTATATTATTATTGTTCTCTACTGGAGTTACGATAAGGATTAATAGCATCCAAATCTCTTTTATTTCTGGAACTGACTTTTCTGAATTCTTCTTTATTATGGTAATCAATAGATGTCACATTATTATTCTTAAATTTGACTCCATACTTTTGACACAACATATTGGAGTAAGGAACATTCTTGTTTTTGACAACAGGTGACTGTTCAAAGTAGTTTTCATCCTTTTATCTTGCTTACACACTCTAAGCCTATCCATTGTTTCCTACTCTGTTAACACTTAAATCATTATCTGCCAATATTTTATTTTAATTAGTTGTCTTAATAATTCTGCCTCTATCCTTATCAGTGGAATAAGATCGTTATTTAATTATTTCATCTTTCATCTGCTGTCTGATAACTTCATTATTAACTAATGAACTAATCGGAGCTATTGATAAAAGGAAAGATTACCTTTGTGAGGTCTTTGTTTAGGTTCTAGAAGAGTGATATCAAAAGATTCAGAATTAAGATCAGCAGTTGATCTGCCTCCATTTGTCAAATGTCTTTTCAGAAGTAAATGATAAAAAGTGGTTATATCATTGTGTTTATTGGCATCTAAACATTTTTATGCATGATCAATATCTATGCCATATTATTTTAATTGTTTGAGTATTTCTTGATCTATAGGAATCCTATTATACCCCACCACAATTCCTGGAGGAATATCATAAGTTCTTTTATAGATCTTAAACCATGGGTGATTTCTAATATCATTAATAGTAAATCGCTTATCTGGTTTGACTGTTAGTATTCCTTAGATCATTGATTAAGCTTCCTTAGAGAGATGAGTTGGTAGTTGGTATGATCCACTCAATATCTTCTTGTAAAGAGCGGAGGTGTTTTGATCCTCAAACGGCAAATAACCGCATAAGCATGCAAACAATATAACTCCAGAACTCCACAAGTCGACTTTTACTCCTTAGTATTTTTGTCCTTCTATCATCTAGGTAATTAGACTATTTATACTTCTGGAGCTGCATAGCATGGACTTCCACAAGCTGTCTTCAATAACTCTTCTGTCTTGTAAGTATTGGATAATCCAAAGTCAACGATTTTGAGATTTTTATGTTGATCTAACAACAAGTTCTCTGGTTTCAAATCTCTATGGACTACTCTTAGTTTGTGCAGATATTCTATTCCTGCGATTAGTTCTTAAAACAACTTGCAGGCCTCCACTTCTTCCAATCTTATTAATTCAATTTTATTACTTTGTATTTTAGACTATGTAATCAAATAACTCTCCTCCACTAATCATTTCCATTACCAAGAATATATGTTTAGGCGTTTCAATTATCTAAAATATAATATTGTATACCTCATACAGTTGGATTATATGAGGATGGCGCACCAACTTCAAGATATGAATCTCTCTTTATACTCTCTCCACATCTGCAGTTTCAACTATTCTATCCTTCTCCAGTATTTTTATAGCCACTTTCTCTTGTGACTGTTCATGAATTCCCATTTTCACCTTTCCAAAAGTTCCAAATCCCAACGTCTTCCCTATCCATAAACTGATGTCCTATACCTATTACATAATTCCCAATCATTCTTGTACGAGCAGCTTCGTTTCTCAGCTATTATTCTTCCATTTTCTAAGAATAAGCAAACTTTGTTAAAAATATTATTATTTATTTTTTCATGTCCTTCAACACTAATGACCTTTTAGACAATTACAAAATTTCATTATATAAGGAATTATAATCCAATCTCAAGAGGTCTAAATTTTTGAAGAAAAAAGATGTAATTGGTGAATTAACTTTCAATAGTATAATAGAATTGAAAACAGTTTGAATTCATAACCTATTTTTGAGAATGGCCCCCGACTAGCCATTATTAAACCGTGTTTGACTAAAGAAGATTCAAATTCAATCATGGCCCTAAGTGGATCAACCTAAAGTTCTGTTAATAGAGATTTGAATGAAAATAATAGCAAGGAGTCGATCGTAGAACAATATACAAGTTTAGCCGTCTAAATTCTAAATGCAATTTCAGCATTATCTGATAATCAATAGAGAGGTAAGGTGATCAAGCATTTCCTTTCAATTTCTACTACGTATTAAAAATACGAAAGGATGAGGCATATTGAAAAAGAACTTCCTCCTAAACTCATTTACTACCTTTAAACCAAATTCTCTCTTGATATATTTAAGCAATTGAACGATTCATACAAAATGGTATTTCTAATCACTTAAACTAGCAATTGGATCAATCAATATCGAATGTCTTATTCTTTGAGGCTGCCGTTGAAACTGAAAACAAAGCTCTTTACAACTCTTCCTTTTTAGCTTCTTAATTGTTGCTATTGTACTCTTCAAAAGCTTAATGTACATTTATTTATTCTATTTCAAGAAAATGGTATTAAATAGAGAATAATATTCCTAAATTTTACTGGCATCTAGAATGAGGATGCCGAGCTTCACAAGGCTTACTCTAAGGATGAATGTCTCTACATCTCATTATAAAGAAAAAAAAATCCAATTTTTCAAGTTCCAAATGAAGTGCTGAGTTCAAATGAATCGAATTTTAAGACTATATACCTAGAAGACAATCAGGAGGAATTGACATGGTAACAATTCAGAATTATTTACAAATACTAAATTAAAAGGAATATCAAAAATTTTAAGTCAAACTTATTCATTCTATCAATTGCAAAACAATTAGACTGTGTAATTTTTTATAGTATCATAGTAAAGTTACTTCAGATTTACTGAGGATTGCATAATCAAAATGATATCGAAGCTCTCAATCCTAGCCAAAGATAAATTGATAATACATTCCTATATTAGTAAAAGTTCATCTATTCAATACCAAAATTACAATGCATCTACTCAATACCAAAATTATGATGCCTCTACTTAATTCCAAAATTACGATGCATTATTAGAAGCATAAAATGCAGAACTAATATGTTACATCAATAGTTTAGAATAAGGTATATTGTCTCAAGAAATCTTTCTGAATCAAGACAAGTTTGATTTGTAAACAGACAGCACAGAATTAAGGCAATTTGATGATTGGGTTCAAAATTTAATATAGGGAAATACTAAATTTTTTAAGCCAGATTAGCAAGAATTAATTCAAAGAGAAAGAAGAAATTTAAAACTTGATTCCTAATTTGAATAAGTCAATGATCTATCCGCCATTAAACTTGGAGTGTATATTTTTAAGGTTAGCGAATATTGTGAGTAGGATCAGATAATTTACTTAACTTATGAGGATAAGAATCTTTAGTTTTTCACTAACTCCATATTATATGTGGATTACATTGGAAGGTAAATAGTCTTGTTGCAATATGAGGAATCTGTGTACTATGTATATTATACAGAATTCTAAGACAACGACTCAAATAAACTAATACAAAAGGATTAAAATTGGTAAATTTGAGTATTATTTTAAATTAGTTAAAGGATAAATTTGTCAGAACTATTAAAAGATTAAGAATATTTGGATGATTCAATAATTCTTGACTCTTCTTTAATTGTAAAAGAGCAGAAAGTGTATATTATTTACAACAAAGATGCTTCGAAAATCTTTAGGATTGAGTTGAATAATTCTTCTGCTGTTATTTTGAAAAGGAGGGACTTGAATAGTTTGAGATTAAGACCTAAAAGTTAAGAAAAGTTTTAGAATCTAATTCATTAGCGTTAGGAATAAGTTGAGAAAATAGTTTAAAAAAGAAGAAAGCCTGCTATTGTTTAATAACCTTGCGTTGATGGATTTGATTTTATAATTTTCGGAGGAGAATTCGCTCAGTACCAACTTATTAATTTATGTTAGTTCCAATCAGTTTTGTAATCTTGTTGAATTGCTATAAGTTGAAAGCCATGGTTTTTCTTCAGTGACTATTCCTAAGGATATTCTATTTTAGAAATGTGGTTATTACATCCCTTGGCCAAACATGATAGTTTTAGTAAATACTACATCTCCAAAACAGTATATTCTATTACCTGGTGATTATAATAACAAGACTCATTGTTATAATTAAGTCATCAATAAGGAGCATCAAGAAAAAGCAATATTAATTACATCTGGTCGAGATACATTATAATTTCAAATCGACTATTTGAAGATTGAGTATAAGGTTAATTAGCCTGAAACAAATGTCTAGCAGATTGAGTTGGATGAAAGATAGACCAAAAAAAGAAAACCAATTCCTATTCAATATTTTTCAGGAAGTTAAATTAATATTAAGAATTCTCTTAACTTGGAATAAAAATGGAATATTGCTATCACCATGTTAGAAAACGGATATTCAAAATTTGTGTAATTATTCGTATTTGCTGAAATTAAGATTGAGATTGAAGGTTAAAGAAAGCAATTATCAATTACATAATCAATCGTTTATGATGGAATTACATAATCAATCAAGCATGGTACTTGTAAATAAAATGAATACCCACTCAAACGATATTGTTTTGCGAAATTTCAAAAAAAAGAAAACACTCTTGATGAGTATGGTAGAGAAAAAGGATAACTCATGGATAGAGTAACCTCGGTTGAATCGGGCTCAAATTATCAGTAAGAAACTCAATAAAGTAACGAAAAATAATATCCATCTAAGCCCAAACCCTAATTCAATTGAATCATATAAAGTTATAGATATTCCTAATATTGATCATTCTAATCTATTATTCTATTTTAAACATTCAATATATTAATGGATTAGGTTTATTCTATTAGAATTTTGTTGATTCTATTTATCCACAATAATAAGTTTATTTTTTAAATTGATTTATGTTTAATATTAATTTAATTAGAGGTATTAATAATCATTAATTCATAATTAAAAATTGCAAGTAAATGATGAAATCAAATAATAATAAATTATTTATAAATTAATTGAGTTGATAAGATTTTTGAATAATAATATTTATAAATGGATAGAAGTTAGTAAGAAGAAGAGAATAAGAATTAGAACCCATTGGTTTAATACTCGAATTCATTGTTATTTCCATCTTTAGGGTTATCCTGTCCTTCATAGTTCTTACCAACTTATTCTATAGATACTTGCTTCATTCTCTCCCAAGAAGTTCAATCTACAATATTTTAATTAGAGACACAAATGATTCCTAAAAAGAAAACCATGGAAAAAATTCTAAGGATTTCAAAAAGAATTCAAAGAAAAACTAAAAAAAATCAGAATTCTAAAATTATTGCCAATCCAGTTCTAAACGAGATTCGAGATCTTATAATCTAAGTTAAATCGGATACTCCTTTCTACCGAATCAAAGTTGTTTAAAAATTGAAATCTGTGATTGAAAATCTAGAAAATCTGTTAGAAAATATAAAACATCAACTCATTGATTAGCTTTAAGATTAGGAGTCCCACATAATTATTCAATGAAATTTTATACAATAATTTAACTTATGAATAGTTTTTCTTTTTGTATTAATGGTATTTTCCTTATGAATTCATAATAATAATGATACTTAAGATTATTATAACAGCATTACTTGCCTTTATTGTTAAAAAATGGAATAAACATAATTTTTGTCTTATGAATAGAGATTACCATAAGTAGTTTTAGGCTTTGGTGTTCTAAATAAATTTTTTAATTAATGATATCCATTATGTGCTAGTAGGGTGAACAATTATATATAACTACATTGAGGAGAGTTTATAAGCGAAAAGACAATAGGATAATATGATCAATATGTTAATATACGGTGGGGTTTAGATAGGAAATAAGAAGATTATAAATGTAATTGAATTTACTTTATTTTTGTTTTTAACTATTAAAATACTAGTTTAAAAATAATTGATTATTGCTTCAATGATTCTATGATAGTCTGGTTTTGGTTAAGAATTCTCTATTTATTATATAATGTAATAAAATTAATGCGTATAGACTTCCTCATTTGAGTTGGCTTTTTAATTATAAGATCTAATCTTTAGAGAAACAAAGACAAAATCTCCATCTCAATTATACAATTTTTCCACATCAACAAAAGCTATTTCATACTCAAAGTAAATAAAATAAATAAATTCACATCGAAGTATTGGTGAAATAAATACAAATATCTAATCTCCTGCCCCTCAAAAGCTTTTAGGTAAGGGAGTTGAAGGTAAAGCAATGTTGACTAATCTAATGTTTCCTAGTCAAGTAAGGATGAAAGTGTCGATTATAGAATATAAGTAAGAGAAAAAGGATTAACCAATGTCAAAAAATATACATATGGCAAGGAGACTGAGTTAATACAACATGAATGAGTCGAAATCAGGGAGATAGTTTGAATGGATCAATAAATTTAATTTACAATTGCAAAAGTGCAATTATTATGTGAATAATGAAAAATCAGTAAAATTAAAACCACAAAGAAAAAGACAGTTATCTGTAATAGATGATGTTCGACCAATAAGTTCTCAAAATCTTTTTATAAATGGAACTTAGAGTCAATTTTCAAGTCGAGCCAGGACACCAAATAAAAAATGATTAAATTAAATATGAATACTAAAATAACTTTGCGTAATTCAAAACAGAATAGCTTTCTGAGTTCATTCAAAACTACGCATCGACATACATTATCCTAGGGTATGGAACTAAAGTTTGAATCGCCTACAAACAGGGAAACTTCTGGATTCACCTCTTTTTAATCCTTGAAATCTTCATCAATGCACTTGAAAAAATTAGTGAAATCTCCGACTTCATCACTATAATCTGCAAGATAATTCGATTTAAATGAAAATTTTTTAAATAAGAGGACTTCAATAGTATAAATGATGCAAACTTTTTCAAACAATTATGAAATTATCTAGCAATCAGAACCCTTAGAAAATATAGATTTGGAAAAATTGTTTCCAGTAGAAGAATAAAAGAAATTATAAAATAATGAAATAGTGTCTGATGAATCAAAGTTAAGAATATTTGAGTTAAAACAAGAGAGCAATAATTGGATCTCAATTAATAGATTTAGATTTCATTACTTTTCAATTAAAATTTAAGGTTAGGAATCGCCGATATAAGTTTACGTAAAATGCGATTAATCAAGATTGCTTAATTACAGAATGTACATATCTACAACTGCTTCATTCCCTACTAAATTCAATTGTGAAGCAGTTGTATAATCTAAATATTTTAAATATTAAGATAAAAAACATAACGATAAATTTTTGGATAAGTATTTATACATTGCAATATATTCTGAGGAGGACTGTGAAATTTCTATATCATTTCTTTATGGAAATAAATTCATCAAAAAATAAAAACCCAAAAGAGAAAAGCCAAACTATGATAAATATAAATATTGGTGGCAGCAATAGAAATTTGATATGAGTTATGAAACAAATAAAATAAATAGCAATCTTGATACCAGGTAATACTCAAGAGAAGCACGAAAAGAGAAATTAATTCAATCGCAAGATTAATTAGATCTAAGATTAAAAAATGCAATGAGTAAGAAAAAGGAGTTATGTGAAGACAAAAAAATGGATTTATTATCCAAATATTAAGCAAATGAAGCTTTAAAAGAAATTAGAAACTAACAAAAATTCAAATAAAGAATTAGATAAGCCCTAATAAAATTTCAAATCAGTTGGTTTGATATCTTTCTACTTATACATTTAGCTGAAAATACGAAAGTTATGTTAGATGTATTTTAGTTGATATCCTTAATTAGGAAGCAAAAAGGAGAAGCAAATATCTAGCCAAAGGAAGACTCATAGTTTGGAAGTATAGAACTACAACTATGATTAAAATAAAAGAGAGTGGACAAACTGTTGATTAGAGAAATCTATTTAAATTATGTATGGCAATGTGTATGTACGCATTTCATAACAAAAAGAGAATAAAAACCGATGTATCTAAAGTATTAAGGTACTTTTTCACTCTAACTCATTAATATTGTCATTTCATTTAAAAACATTAGGAGCTAACGAATAAAGGTACGTAATCATTCATTTTTAGTAAATTATGTTAAAAGGGTATTTAGAAATTTAAAGTAAAAAGAAAAAGCTTATAAGGATAGATTATGGAGGATTCTTAACAAATACGCTTAGGAAATCCTTCATTCTTTGGGAGCACATTTTAGTAATCCTAAAAAGCGAACATACATCATTGATAGGTAATTAACTGACTTATCAAGAGTTCAGCACTAATGAAAGCAACGGAAGATTTTCTAACAACTAAAAAGAGAAAATGCTAACAATTTATTTAAAGCTATGTCAGAGAAAAAGATCAAAAATAAGTAAAACTATAAATATTTTATAAAATAAGAGAGTAGTTGACCTCGCTTTAAATATGATGTAACCAGAAATGTTTGACACACCTTCATATGATGATTTATATGGAATTTTTCGTACTTACATTCTTTACAAAAAAATGACATCTCAACACTCATAACAATAATAACTCAAATCTTAACAAATATAAGAGCAATGATAAATGATGATATATATTAAGTATTTAAATTTTAAATGTATAGATATATGCTTTATAAGCTATCATCAATAAAGTGAAAATTGTAAACTCTAATTTAATTTTCAATTAAATTATTAATATTAAAGACTTTTTTGAATTAAGCCTCTATTATTGATAATTATAAAGCTAAAACTATTCTATTTTTATTGTAATTGTTGCTATCAAAATATTGATTTGACACAAAGAAATAGCGAGACAGGAGAAGATATTATAAATTTATTTTATAAACTGTTATCCACCAGAATATGCTTATACAAGTTGATATTTATGTTATTTATTTTTATTGCCTATACTATTTTATTAAACATGAGAGTATTTAAGAAAATATAAGAATCAGATGTAATTATGGAAATTATATGATAAAATTGAATCAGATCAAGTTAACTTGGATATATTAGTTTTGAATAATAAAATGAAATTATACTTTTAAGGGATTAAAAAGTATAATCTATAATTAAATACGTATTATTTTTTCAATCAGTTCTAAAATTGAATGCTAAAGCAGTAGAGCATTTTATCCCATTACATACTGTTTTATAAAAGTTTTAAATAAATATTAGCGAATTTAATTATTCAAGTTGTGTGTTTGGTTTAACTAGTTTATAATTAATATTTTAAATGAAACTTTTAGTTATGCTTGTTTTGAATTTTATGCTAACATTCCAACAAATGGGTGGTGGAGGAGGAGGAGGTGGTGGTGGAGGAGGAGGTGGAAGCGGCGGTTCTGGTTATTATGATTCGAGCAGTGGAGAAGATTGCTCAGATAGTTGTGTGATTTCAATCGCCACTATATTCTCATCAATCATTGTATTCTTTATATCTTTTCGATGTTACAAATCTGGTTATTTACGGTTTGATTGTTTTAAGATTAGAAAGGCAAAATAAAGTTTGCTTCAAAATTTCATCTAAACAGATAATATATCAACTAGAGATGAACTGTTATATGGATTAGAAATCCTTTAAAATTGCAATTGGAATATGATGTATTACCAAAAGGCATGGAATAATATAAGATTAGTTCAAAAGGAATTTAAAATAAACTATAATTAAGAACTTAATAAATATTACATTGATCTGAAATTAAGAGCACATGATTCAATCGGAGATTCAACTTACACTGGCCATATTAAATAAAGTAATAATCATTGGAGGATATTGATGATTAAGACCTACGATGATAGGATTAAATCGCAATAATTTGGAGACTATGCAATATTGATTTATGAAGCGGTAACTAATTAACTACCTAATGGTTTTAACGGAAGATGGTACTTCTATGATGATTCTAAATCAAATGGAGAGTGGAAATGGTAAGGTTAGGAAGAAACACAATTATGATAAACAAATATAAAATTTACATTAAAGGACCTTTAAAACAGTTGTCTTATTAAGATTTGATGTTTTGTTTTATTGTCATTTATTATAATGTAAAGTCTATATCTTTATTTTTGTTTTAACTTTATATTATTTTTAAGGATATTAAAATTAAACTATAAATTTATCTTTAATATTGTTAGTTAGAGATTATTTAATTTTGCTTTAGAATAAAGAAAGTTTTAATATAAAAAGATATATATGATAAATTTATTTTTAACTAAAGATTTGATATTTTTTCATAAATTATTCCCTTTGTATTAAATAGTAGCGAAATAAAATTCAATAATGATTCTGGGGATTAAGAAAAATGAAAGAATGATCCAAATATGCCATTTGAAAATGATTAAAAAACAGAATTTATAAAAAGATAAGGAGTATCATCAAAAATTGTTGAGATGAAAGAAGCAAAATATTTTGAAAATCTTAATTTATAAAATAAAAGGACACGTAAATAAGCATAATGGGAACCAGTATTAAAGACAACTAATTAAATTCGGTAATCAAATAGAATAATCAATTCATTATCTATTCTTTCTAATTTTATATTAGATTTTACAAAATATTAGTCGTAATATCAGCGAATTAATAATTCTATTTATAATATTAATTATAACGAAAAAATAATAAAATTTATGCAATAAATAATAGAACCCTCTGGAACTATGGGAGATTTGCTGTTTTCGTTACAGCGATTTTCGTTAGAGGATGAAAAGCTAATTTAATATTTCGGAACTAGAATAATTAATTAAAATGAAATTTACTACATTAATTACTGCACTCCATTAGAAAAAAATTTATTTTTAAATTACCTTATAAATTTATTCTATTCAAATGATGATATCCCGAAGCAAGATATATTATATATAGATTCCCAACATAATTTTAATATTCCAGAGAATATTTTTGTAGGCAATTGTTATTCAATTGAGGAGATAGTAATTCAGTTGAACTCAGCAAGGTATATACTAAAGAAGAATAGAAAAATAAGACTGATTATTATTGATTCCATTCATTAAAGATAGAAGGATAATAAAAGAAGAACTTCAAGAACAATAGGAGAAAAAATCTTATAATTTGATCGAGAAGTTGAATATGTTTTGGAAGAATTGATAAATTTATTAAGAGAATTCAATGCCATTGTGATTGTGCTTTGTTTAATGTAGTATCCTTAGAATACGATAAAACTATCTCATAATTTTTAATTTCTAATTTCAGATAAAATAATAGGGTAATTGTTGGAGAATAATATATTCTTGATTCCTCCATTATTTTATGATTAAGAACTGTATAATTACGTTCAGAATAAGAACTAGAAGAACATATCATCTAGTTGTATTTCAATAATGGAAAGTAAAAGCAAGATAAAGTATTATATTTTTGATAGTAATTAAATTATTTAAACTGGAGAAATAGCTCAGAATTTTTGAATATTGAACTTCTAAGATATATGATATTATAAAATATAAATAATATATTGTAATTATATGGGTTATAGCTAATATGATTTTGAAGCAAAATAGGTGTAGTAATAATGAAAATTGGGTTGTTTAGAGACAGTATAATTGAACAAAATATAATATAAAATTAATTATTCGACACTAGGTTTAACCAATAATTATAAATTAATATAAAAGATGGGCTAGAGTTGTGCATCTTGTTAGAATAAAGATGAATCTACTGCAGGCTATAATTGTATGGAACAGAAGGATTAGTTTGATGAAGAAAACCTAGACGACAGTTAAGAATTTGATGCTAGTATTACATTATTATAGTCAAGAAAGTCCTCCATCTACATATCAATGTAAAACAATGGAAGCGGATATTCTGCAGTTTTAAAAGGTTATCCCAAAAGAGAAGGAAGAGGAAATTTTTGAGGAAAGAAAGGAACAATAATTGGTATTTGAGGATAAATCGCGATATGAGGGTAGTATAGTAAATGGAAAGGCCAATGGTTTTGGAAAATTACACTTTGAAAATGGGGACTATTATTAAGGTGAATTCGTTGATAATATGATGGAAGGAAATGGAACTTATAATTATGCAAAAGGTCCTTTTTATGAAGGGCAATTTAAGTCAAATAAACCAGATGGTATTGGGGTAGAAACTTGGCCAGATGGATCTGTTTATGAAGGAGAATTTAAGGGAGGTCGAAAACACGGAAGAGGCTGTTATAAGTGGTATTAAGGCTGTTTTTACAATGGGGAGTGGAAGGATAATCTGATACATGGTATCGGAAAATATGAATGGCCTGATGGAAGGGTATGGTATAGTAAATATTGCAGTCTTATTCTGGAAGTTGGGTTAAAAATAAAATGCACGGTCGAGGAAAATATATATGGAAAGATGGGAAGAGTTATGATGGAGAGTACTAGTATGATAAAAAAAGCGGTTTTGGCATATTCCATTGGCCTGATGGAAAATAGTACTAAGGTTAATGGTTGGATGGAAAGTAGCACGGAAAAGGATTAATGATAGGGAAGGATGGTAAGAAAAAAATAGGGTCTTGGTTGGAAGGCAAACTGATGAGTTCCATTGAGGATGACAATTTCTAAATTATACCAGACGGTTGGATTTAAGAATGACAATGATCTTATTATATTGTTCTCATAGTGATCTAATAGCAATTGTTTATATTGAACGCCTAACATAAAAATTTATTTTGGAACCTTTTTACAATATAATTTCAGTATTCCCTATTTCCGTTTCTATGAATTTATAACAATTTAGTTATTATTATTAAAGTTTGTGTTTTGAACATAGTTCCTTAAAAACTTAAATATTTATTAGTTTTATATTGAACATTTAGTTTAAAGGTTAAAAAATCTAAAAACTTATTGCTTAAGAAAATATCAGTTCTGACTAACAGAAATTCAAATCTATTCAATAATATTAATAAAACTAACATATTAAATGTTAAAGTATCATTCATGTTAATTCAAGTTAACTTGTGATAAGATGTGATTCATCCTTTTACAAAATTAAAATTAAGCAAAATAATTTTGAATTAAATTTAGTATAAAATATTTAAGTTTTTATGTTAAATTAACCTCCAAATTATTAAAAATGAAAAATAAAAGACAAGCACAACATATTTCTGATGAATCTGGACTTACTTACTTTGAGGTATTCTAAAAGGCCATTTCAAAATTCGAAGTTGATAACTAAAAATAAAATCACAAGCAAGATAGTGATCGAATAACAATATATGAGGATTTGAAATTGATCTTAGAATTATCTAAAATCAGTTAAATTGAACCACAGCATTTTGAAAAAATATCAGTACTGCTTAAAAGATCTAAAACAGTCTTAATGAAGAGGTAATAATTAAGGTTAGAGTAGATATCGAGAGTACTTAAAGAATATAAATCAAGATGACTTACAAACAATATTTTCGTTTCTGTAACAAAACGGGGCTTATGGATATCTCATTTTTAATTTGGAAAACGGATCGTACAGATTATAAGACATTGAGCCAATAAAATAATAGGATTCTCCAAATAAGACCCCAATTCAAACACCAATAAAAAAAATATATCAGTAAACTGCACAAGCATCTGCAATCGATCATGCACAATAATAACAAAAGATAGAGCCAGAATCCTTAAAAAAAATAAAACCAAATAATTTTTTTTAATTGTCTGCAAAGTAAAGTTCTTATTCAAACTTTTAGTTCAAAATATGACGTTTCTCATAAAAAAACCAACCCTTTTAAGTAAGAATAAGTTGTCTTAGATGCAGAGTAGAAACATGAATAAGAGGAACTTAAATTTACATTGAAAATACTATCTGAAAGTTTAAAGATATCATATTAAGAATTATGTCAAAGGATGTATCAGTGTTCTGGAGATTTGAATACACTCTTGGATGTATACTTAAATCGTTAAGAAAATTTGCTTTGGACAAAGGAAGCAGATGAAGCCTTAAATGCTTACTTTATCGAGGAAAACTAATTTGAAAAACAAAAATTAAGAGCAATCCTACATGGAGAAGAGTAGATATAAAAGAGAAAGGAATGGTTATATGGAAAATGAGAGTAGTAGTTTAACAGAATTAATGATTCTTATCAAATAAATTTTAATAACAAACTCATTTATGTGCAGTAGCATCCATTTTAAGAATATCAGATGGCAACATGATGTGATTTCTAGATTCAGCTAAAATAGCAGATATCTCTCTTGCATATTCAATCCTTCTGACATCCAAGAAGGCTAAAAGAACATTAAAATACAAAATACCTGGATTAGTTAAGGCAGATTTTCCTACTAATTCAATAGATTTAGCTTCTCCCAAGGCCTTGATTACAATACTTTTCTTGGCTTCTCTTGCTTATTCGACAACAAACTTGGCTCTTTCAGCTTCTTATTGAGCAACTTATTTAGCTTCAACTGCTTCCAAATATTCTTTTCCAAAAGTGAGTTCTGTAATTGATACATCGTCGATTGCAATTTTGAATTAGGCTGCTCTTTAATCTAGGGCTTGTCTGATTTTGAATGAAACCTAATCTCTTTGACTCATCAATTAGGAGGCAGTATATTAGGCCACAACAGATCTCATAGTTTCATTAACAATGGAAGGTAACACTTTTTCATCATAATCAATTCCCAAATTTCTATAAATGGTTGGAAGATCATCACTGTAAGGTCTATGGAGTACTCTGAGAGTCAATAGAACATTTTGCATATCTTTTAGAATATTTTAAAAAGGGGGATACCTCTATTGGCTGTATTGGCCTTGATTTGTCTTGGTCTTGTCTGGATATTATAATCAATGGGGGTCTCGAAGTAGGGAATTCTGAAATGCCATCCTTCCTTGTACTTTTCTTCTTGGAGTCCGAAAAACTTGCTGAATTTGATAGCACAATGTCCAGGCTCAACAGTGAAAAAGCAATTTTTAACCAAGAAAATGCCGAAAATACCTGCTGTTCCAAGACTCATAAGCATTTTTAAGGATTCTACTTAGGCAGCCATCTATCTAAGATTATATTTGTGTTGGAAATTTAATTAATTAAAATGGGGGTACCCGCATTCTTCAGATGGCTTTGTGCCAGAAATCCAAAGGCTCTATTGGAAGTCTTGGAAAACTCAGATGAATCCTGCTTGTCAAACAACCCAGATATTGATAATCTCTACCTTGATATGAATGGAATCATCCATCCCTGCTCTCATCCTGACTAAGGAGGCATTCCAATTCCAGTCACATATGATGACATGTTTGTGAATGTATTTCACTACATAGATCGTTTAGTTGATATTGTTCGTCCAAAGGAATTGATATATATGGCCATAGATGGTGTTGCCCCAAGAGCCAAATTAAATTAGCAAAGAAGTTTAAAAATACAATAAATCTATATAGGTCGTAGATTTAGAGCAGCCTAAGAATCCATTCGAATTCAGAAAGAAAAGGAACGTTTACGAGATTACTGGCGAACTTAAGGCTTAAATTCGGACGCTTTAAAATACATATATTGAGAAAAACTTTGATAGTAACTAAATTACTCCAGGAACTGAATTTATGCAAAAGTTGAATATTGCCTTGCAGTATTACATTTATGATAGAATGAACAATGTAACAATAAATTTCATCTAATATTAGAATCCTCTATTTAGAAATGTTCTCATAATTTTCAATGATTCAAGTATCCCAGGAGAGGGAGAACGACAAAATCCTTTAATTTGTTAGAGATCAAAGAAAACAAATGAATTATAAAACAGTTAGACATTGTTTGTATGGAGCAGATGCTGATTTAATTATGTTGGGTTTGAGTACACACGAACCATACTTCTATGTGATAAGAGAAACAATTATGGCTAATGATGATAAACAATGTTCCATTTGTTAATAAAAAGGTCATTTCTTTACCGATTGTAAAAAGAGAGAGAAGGTGATTGATGATTTGAATGGAGAAATTAAGTAATATAATTAGATTCAATAACAGCAAAAGAATAAATTAATTTAAGTTGATTTTCAAATATTGCAACTTAATATTGTTAGGGAATTCTTATATTTTGAGACTCGAGATTTACAAGCTTCACTGAAAGGGTAATATGATTTAGAAAGGATCATTGATGATTTTGTATTTATGTGTTTTTTAGTCGGAAATGATTTTCTACCTCATATTCCTTGCTTGAAAATAACTGAAGGGGGTATTGATTGTCTACTGATTATATATAATAACAATTCTATCAAAAATAGGAGATTATTTAACAAATTGTGGGGAATTGAATTTGTAATAGATGAATTAATTTCTATTTCATGTTGGATTAATTGAAGATGAACTCATTAAAGGTCAAGAGAAAAAGAAGGAGATAGTTAAGAATAGAAGAGAAAGAAATGCAGAAATGAAGGAATAAAAGGTTTTGACTGCTCCTGAGTTTAGTATTGTAGATACATAGAAGGAGATTCTATCTAAATTTAAATCTGCATTGAAAGATAAATTGACAGAAATTAATCAATAGGAAATTGATTAAGCATAATCAGCAAAATCATCCCAAGAATTGAAAAAATGGAAATCTGTTAGTTACAAGTAAAGATACTACTAAGAGAAATTTGGAATAAAACCTACTTAATTTAGCGAGTTTCAACATAGAATAAAGATATCTTATTTGGAAGCATTGGCATGGACATTAAAATATTATTATCAAGGATGTGTAGATTGGGGATGGTTCTATCCTTATCATTATGCACCCTTTGCATAAGATCTGACTAATTTAGATTAATGTATGTTTGAATTTTCATTGAATACTCCTTTTAAGCCATATTAATAATTATTAGCAGTATTACCACCTTAATCAGCTTAATTTCTACCTAGACCCTATTAATAATTGATGTTAGAATCCTCATCTTCTATAGCTGATTTCTATCCAACAGATTTTGTCGTAGATTTGAAAGGCAAGAAATTTGCATGGCTAGGAGAGGTAGTATTACCATTTGTTGATGCTGATAGACTAATAAGTGCAAGTAATATTGGTGTTAATCTATCTAAATTGGAATAAGAAAGAGATAGATTAGGATAAACATTAATCTTTAGTTTGAAAAAACATGAAATCTTTAATTTCTAATAGTGTCATATCTAAGCTTAAGTTGACTGGTTACCTCGCTTTCCAGTGGGAAGTGAAATCAAATCACCCATACCTACTATGGGAAACATTCTCAATAATTAAATTATATGTGGGGCCTTGTTGAAAACAATGATTGAAAGTGATGCAACATTTATCTAGAATTAGATTAGGAAAGGGACTATTATGCCACCTGAGTTTTTGGATGAATATTACATGAATTAATGTGAGTAGAATAAGAGATCATTCGGAGGCGAAGCTGTCAGAAGAATAGTTTATTCTATATTAGGAGTCAAATAAGTAAGGAGATTAGACAGATCATAAGACGATTTTGATTAAATAAAAAAATAAACAAAATTATGATATTATTATTATTGAATTTGGGAATCATTTCCTAATATCTTGATGCATTTATTATTGTGATGTAGATAGTTAAAATGAAGGCTATCATTTATATCAATTTATCATACCAATAGATTTTATGCATTACACTTAATGATTAAATATATATATAAATAAATAATATGAATTTGTTAAAATATGAAATATATTGGAGTTAATTATTTTTGGATTGAATTTCAATAAAAAGAAAAGTTCAAAATTAGCAATTTATAAAATTATTTAAAAATAGAATTTTAGTAGGAACTAAAAATATATGATGATTTTATTTATGTATTAGTTAAACAATATAATAGAAAATTCAACGCTATTGGTTCCTTTTAATTGAAAATTGCTAATTCACTTAAATCAAATAGAAATAAATCAAAAATTATTCCTTTCTACCTTGCTGTTATGCCCTTATACTAAAAATACAACCTGAGCATGTGAATATGCATTGATTTATAAACGCAACATTTCGATTCCTCTAAGAATATTTATTGTTGCTATAATAGATCGATTTAAAATATATGAGAGGATAGGGTAATAAATTTCATGAGATATGAATTAGTGAAGGAATCATTAAGAATACTTACATTTTATGAAGTATTTCACTATTATTGAAAAAATTCAAATGAATATAAATTTACTCTACTATATCAAACGCTGAGTTCAGTTTTTGAATAAAAAAATAATATTCGTTTGATTTTGAGTAGCAATCGAAATACAATTTGTTATTGTTGATTGATAATAAGGGGAGTTTTGATAAAGGGATATAATTATGATTGTTATTTATTTATTAATATATTGATCATAATCAAATAAGGTCTTGAAAACCAAGTCTCTTTCTAAAACTTATCACTTCTTCGCTTGATAATGTGCTATCATTTCTGTATTAGATTTCATCAAAATCTATAGTAAATTCAAAACTTTTATTTACTTCTTCTTCTGTATTTTCTTCTTCTATTGTTGAGGAAATGTGTGCCCAATCTTGGATAACCTAATAATTCAAGATATTATTGTACTTGCCAACATCAATATGGGTACTGTGAAAATAGTGACATCGATGCCTAATCTAACATACCAAGGAATAGGTCTCATTGATAATATTTAATAAATTAATGTAAAATAATAATTGTTTGTTTTGCGAAAAACAAAGAATAGAAGGGACCATCCATTATCCCACTCTATTACAGACAGTACCAATCTAATTTATAAAGGCACTTTACTTGAAATATAATTCTCAAGATGAAATGTCAATCGATGATCTGATTAAACATGCCCATAAGAAATGGGTTATAGATTTCTATGAGAAATCATAAGAAATATAGGATTAAGAGTTTCTTAAGAAATACTATGACAGAGAACATGGGATCGTTCCTAAACTAATTGATTTAACTGAATACTACAAATATAGTTTAGATACACCTAATCTATTTATGCTCCCATTGTTTAAGCTAATAAAAAACTACAATAAATTAAGAAAGTATCATCTTCAATATTTAGAGAGTATCATTACACAAAAATCAAATACAAATTAAAAATATTGGTGCCTCAAAATGGCATTAAGGTTGATAAAAAATATACTCAATTATTGCAATTGACGATGAGCAACCAAGAAGATGAATAGTAATCTTTGATTTCACTCTTAAATAAATTCTAACCATAATAAATAGCTATCCCTAAATAACTAAAATCATATACTCAATAATCATGTATATAGACTACTAAGTTGCATACGAAACCCCTGATTAAAAAGAGTGAATAAGCAAGCTACAAACTTAAGTCAATTGTAAATGGGGATATAGTGTAACAACAACCTTAATTATTGTCTCAATAATAATAATATTAATTATAAAGGAGAACATAATCAAAATCTCATTCGAATATTAAATTTCATACACTTCAAAGTGTAAATAACAATTCAAAAAAACAGAGTATTGCTTACAATAAATCAAATCTGTAACCCATTAAAACTCTGGGACAAAGCAAAATAGGATCTCAAGCGGATATAATCAGCAATATTTAAATATAGAACACCAATTCTATAGGTAAAACCAGATCAAGAAGAAAATTAATTTAATTATTTTATAAATGATTATATTATTTGCATAATTTTTACTTTCAGTTTAAGCAATTTACATCTTACACACCAAAGGAATTTCAATAAGTCAATTAGATTATTTTGTAATTGAGTTGAATCAAATTGATTATAAAGTGAAGTCACAAATTGCACATAATGGATCATTTACAATATCCAAACTTTATTAGGATTCTGCTTTATTTGATATATTCATCCTAGATTAACCTGGTTATACTTGTTATTTATAAGCCTATTACAATAGTTCTTGGGAAACAGAATGTTTTTTCTTGTTTAATTAGAGTTAAACAAGTCTCAATAATTTTGAATATGAGCAAAAGTATATAGTAGCAGATGCACAACGATATTTGGTTATAGATAACACTCCATTCCCTCAAAATGGAGCTTATTTTGCTGATAGATTGTATTTGCAATTGGATTATATATAATTGATCTAACCAATACCTACCTATTATCAAGTTACCATAAAAAGTATATTATGCCATAAAAAAAATAGTAACAATTGTATTTGTAGGAGTGTTAATTTGTTTTAGTATTTGGTGTTTGATATTGAGTTTAAAGTATAGAAAAGAAACAAAACACAAGGAATCCATAGAAAGGAATAAATTAAATAATACCTTATCACCCTTAAAGTAATATAAATGATTTATCGAATTCAAAATATATTGCATCTCTTTATTTTTAATTATATTATAAATTTCATACGTCACCATTTATTTGTATAAATCAGTTATGAAATATCAAATTACATACATTTTGGAAATGGATGATTAGTTTTATATACAAACCAAATAGCAATTTGAAAATCTCTTAGTTTACAAAGGTGGATGTGTTTCAAATTATATTCTAAGTTAAAATAAACAAATAAGAAATTAATGATTTTTAATCTTTATTGATTTTAAAGAGAAACAAGTTACAGTTTAATATTGTGCTCTTGTACAAGAGAAAATTATTAATTAATTCTACAAAGATTTATCACTAAAATAATAATGTATATTGATATTTAATATATAAAATTAAAGTTATGGGTTGTTTATAACCAAAAAAGCTAAATAGGATAGTGGCAATGCAAACAACCAATAAAGATCTCGTATTCACATCTACCGCGGATATTCACAAACTTTATTCTTTTGGTAAAGTATTAGGGATAGGTGCTTTTGGTAAGGTATTGGTTGCCAAAATGAGAAACAACAATTCGAAACAATATGCAATTAAAATGATCGACAAGCGGAAAGTAAGAGGGAGAGAAGCAATGTTGGCAAATGAGATCTACGTCCTTCAGAAGTTAGATCATCCCAATATAATTAAATTTTATGAAGTTTATCAAAATGAACTTTACTTTTACATAATTATGGATTATTGTGAAGGTGGAGAATTGGTAGAACGGATATAAAAAAGTCAAAAAAATCTTAGTGAAGGTCAGGTGCAGAACATTATATTTAAAGTAAATATTGAAAGTAAACCGAGATCTGTTCAGCAATCATGTATATCCATGAATAGGGCATCATCCATCGAGATATCAAACCTGAGAATATTTTGTTTTCGACCAAAGATCCAAATGCAGAACCTAAATTAATAGATTTTGGATTGGCTATAAAATTTGACTCTAGCAATCTTAAGTATGCGAAAATTCAATTATTTAGACAATTAAAAGCAGCTGTAGGCACTCCTTTGTATTTGGCACCTGAAGTTATCGAAGGCAAGTATAATGAAAAGTGCGATGTTTGGAGTCTTGGCATTTTACTCTTTCATCTATTGTGTGGCTATCCACCCTTTTATGGAAAAAATAGAACGGATCTTTATGAAAATATCTAATATCAAAATGTAAAGGTTTTGCTCTCTAATTTTAGTTAATTTTTGATAGGAGACATTGGAATAATGTTAGTGAAGAAGCTAAAGATTTAATTAAGAAAATGTTGAATAAAAATCATAATATTAGACCAAGTGCAAAGGATTGTCTTCGTCATTCTTGGTTCCGTAAAAAATTTCAAAATCCTGTCAAATTGTAAAGAGGGAGGAGTACTATAATTTCAATGAAATCACCTTAATCAGAAGATTAAAGATCCATCTATTAAATGTTGAAAACATATAGAATAGGAGCTAAATTTAAGAAAGAAGTAATGAAGGTGTTAGTAAATTAAATGAACGAGAAAGAATTGGGGAGATTAAAACAAGTATTTTAAAAAATAGATGTCGATAATTCAGGAACTATAACTGTGTAAGAATTGAAAGAGGCATTGTTGGAGGAAGTATAACTAATATTTAAATTTAGGGATCGCAAATATCTCATGAAGAAATAGAATAATTGATATAACTTGTGGGATTTGAGGTTTTTGAAGAGGATAAAGATGATAACGATTGTGCATCTACAACCAAATCTAGCAAGCCACTTGTAATCAAATATAGTGATTTTCTGGCTGCATGTGTAGATGAAAGAAGAGTGTTAACCAGAGAAAAAGTAGTCAATATTATTATTATCTTAGTTGTGGTCTGTATTCAAATATTTTGATACTCAAGATGTGAATTTCATTATGAAAGAAGATATCAAAGAAGCATTAGCTAGACATGGGAGATAGTTATCAGATGAGAAAATAGAAGAGATGATTTATGAGATCGATCCTAATCACGATAACAAAATTAGTTTTGAGGAGTTCTGTTAAATGATGGGTGTTGCTGGAGTTGAATAAACTATGGATTTTAAGGATGAGGTAAAAGAGCAATAAATTTTTCATCAATCTCCAGAATGATTCTTAATTGTTTATTTTTTCATATTATTTAAATCATGATAACCAAAACTATTCTCAACTTCTTTATTTCAAAATACTAATACAGAATATAACTTAAATTAACCAAAAATTATATATACACTTAATAGATAATTTTAGAACAAGTTTAATATTAGATAATAGCAAATAAATTTGTAAAATATGACATCAAATATATGTCATATTATTATGAAATATGACTTTTTATTATTTTATTATTCCTACCTTAAATCAATATATTATATGGTATTCATTATTCTCATCCTGCTACTTGGAGGAAGTTAATCATAAGGATGTCAACCTTACGGTGTTAGATTATTTTTAGGACATTATTTTAGTTACCTGAGAAATAGCTAAGATCTAATCAGAGTAGTCTTCAATACAGAAGTATATGAAATGTTTTGATAATTTTAGAAAGAATGCAAAGACTAGTTTATACTTGAGTTAGTTGATAATAAACTAGGTCACAAATTAATGATTTCATAAATCACATACTACGATACTCAATTACTAAACATGACATAGATATATGAAAAGAATGAGACTACCCATTTTACTTATGAGACTTTCATTCATACATTTAAAGTTGGATTAAATAATATAGATCTCAATGCATCAACAACTTATGATTACACTATAATTTCTAAATAAAATTAAATATTATCCGGTCCACATAGGTTTGATATTCCCTGGGCTGAGAGCGAATAAAAAATGATAGTGTTTGGAGATATGGACTCAAATTGGGTGTAAAATTATTCAAAGGACACTTTCGATTGGTTGGAAAATTAGGTAAAAGCTGATAAACGATATGATACGGTCCTATTTACAGGGGATATGGCATATGATTTGGAATCAAAAAATTGTCAATAAGGAGACAATTGGCTCAGAAATCTTTCGGTATTTACTAGTAGGTATCCCTTTATGGCAGCACCTGGCAATCATGATTGGGGGAATAATACTTATTTCGACTTCTTTAGAGCAAACTTTGGATCCTTGTTCTTAAAGGAATACAACACTTAACACTATCTTAATGATTTCTTTAGTTTTGATGTGGGAATGGTTCATTTCATATAGTTTAATCCAATAAAGGCAGTCTACCAAAATGACATCTATAACATCACACCTTTAATAGTCGAACAAATGAGAAACGATTTGATTCAAGCAAATTATAATAGAGAGAAGGTCCCATGGATTATAGTGTATACTCATTATCCCATATATTGTGCAGTTCCAAAAAATGATCAATGCATAAACAATTTTAAGTACTTATCAGCATTTGAGGATATGCTTGTTGAATTCAAAGTAGATCTATATCTAAGTGGTCATGTTCATACTTATCAAAGAAATAAACCATATTATAAAAATACTACTGCAAAATACATATAGAAAGATAACATCATTTCATAATATTAATACCCAGTGTAGATAATTGAGGGTGCAGGGGGAACAGATTATGGAGAATAAAATTCCACTTATCCAGATAGTCCGTTTATGGAGATACAAAACCCCAATCATGGAGTAGGAATAATCACGGTGAAAAACTCTACGCATTTGTATTTTGAACATATAACTGTGGCTGATAATAAAGTCATAGATTCTATTTGGTTGGACCGTTCTAGTGATAAAACTAAAACAACAACTCGGGATGGTTTTGAAGTTGCTATGTGGGTAATCTTTTCTGTTTTAATTGTTATTACTGGTGTTTCTATATATTACAAATCAAATCAAGGAAAAAAGCTCAAAAGTAAACTCTTAGAAGAAACAGTAACTATGGTTGTCACTTGATTGGTTATCTAATGATTTCTTTTATTAAGTAATAAATATTTACGAAATGTAAAGAATAATTTTTAAATTCATATTAAATTCAAATTTCTCAATTTTACAAGTTCGTTCCAAATCACATATAATTTTCTTTCGAATAAATTCTAATAAAAAAAGAAAAGCGATCTAAAAATATATGAGTGTGATTATGTCAATAATGTAACAATAGAAATATAAAAGATATGATAATACCAATCCATTCTGAATAATTAATTACCATTAATAACACTGAATTATAAATGCCTTTGATTATTTAATGGTTATCTTTAATTGTGATTACTTTAATGTCTGAATTATTTGATTCTAAATATAGATGTATAATAGGAATTATTACTCAACAATTTAATTTAGTAAGTAATTGGGTTTATAATTATTTATAAATGTTATATTTATTTATCATCATCATTCTATAATAATTACTAATAACTCAACAATGTTAGATATTTAATGAGAAAATACTGCTTGGAGATTATTATACAAATAATGGTTCAATTTTGGCAGTGATCGAATTCAAGTCTTATGTATAATTATTTAATGAAAGCAGGAATTTTGTGAAATACCAATTAAAATCAATTTGATCTAACTTAGATATGAGAGCAGTTTTATTGATCAATAGTATTATGTTTATACAGTTCCCATCGAATCACACTTTATGATTAAGTTCAATATGGATAACAACGTAACATTAGGCGACTTGTAATTGACACTAAGATTACCAAAAAAATATGGAAGAGAATCGATATCTATTGTGGAGAAGGAAGGAAGTTATTAACTAATAAACAATAACTCAATATTTAATGTTCCACCTTTCGAAGCTACAAAAAGTATAAATGTGGAGTCCATTCATTATATACTAATAAACAGATGTGAAATTGGTAAGGTTATTAAAGATTTACAAAAACCATTTGGTAAATGGACTCTACTAATTGGCAAATACTCATGTATGAAGAAATTGAGTCTTCTGAAATATGATGCATATATCCAAATTGGTGAGAATCATTTTATTACATTTCTTTAGACTAATTAGTAATTTTCAGAAAATGTAATAAAAATGACCTTCCTTATACACAACGATAATAAATTAGAATATAATTATTATTTTAATGAAGAATTAGTTTAATAAGAATTTGTAGTAAAGAACACATTACAGCAACCTGGTCCTGAAAGTGATTGTTTACCATATGGATAAAGAATAAGTTTAGGATATTATTATACAAATTACAACGATTCAAATGAATTAATTAATATTGCTTATAATACCTTAGTAATTACAAATTGTATAATTTTAGTCTAATTGTCCAAGTGGATTTCTACATATTTATGATAATGACAATGTAGATTAATTGGTATCACTCTCTGAAATTAGAACCTTGAATATGAGTTAGATTTATGAGAATACACCCTACACTTTCACCTATGTGACATATATAAATATTGTGTCTTTAAACTAGTCTATTCTACCAAAATTAGGATAAATATATAATTATCAGATTTATGGAGATATAAATTAAGAGAGCGAGACATATTAATTTAAAGTACCTTTGAAAGAACCTGACAACTAAATACACAAGATAATATTCTTTGGAGACATGGATTCTAATTGGACTGGAAATAAATCCAAATAAACATTTGATTGGTTTTAGTCCATCCAAAATAATTAAAGTGATTATGATGTACTCATATTTGAAGGAGATATGGCATATGATTTGGAATCCTTAGATTGTTAATAAGGTGATTTTTGGTTGAGGAATATGACTACTTTTACATCATATTATCCATTATTGCCAACTCCTGGAAATCATGATTCTGGTGACAATTATGAATTTGACTTCTATAGAGTCTCATTTTTATCCCCAGAAAAACCATATAACACAAAGGAGAATTATTACAATTTTTACAGTGTTGATTTGGGGTTAGTTCATTACATATTCTATAATCCAACAAATATTGTGTATGATGAATGCAATTAGACTGAAATCGATATTATGGTTTCTATTATGGAAAATGATCTGATAGAGGCAACAAAGAACAGAGATAAAATACCCTGGATTATTGTAAATAGTCATTATCCTATGTATTGCAGTGACGCAACTGATCCTATGTGTTCATCTAACTTTATTGCACTCAATCCATTTGCAGAATTATTCACCAAATATGGAGTTGCAATTTACATGTCTGCTCATTAACACAATTATGAGAGAGATGCTCCATTTATATATAATAAATCATAGATCAATACAGGTCTTATAACTGATGGTCCAGAACAACATTTAATCATGAATTCAGCAGCTCCAGTGTATGTTATTGAAGGTTCTGCAGGTTAAGAGTATTTTACACCACTTGTGCCTTGTAATTATTAATTATTTATTGAATATAGATCCAGCATAACCATACACAGTATATTAGACTGGCTATAACGATGGAGTAGGCATTCTATCTATTTATAATGAGACTCATTTGTATTTTGAATAAATAGATCTTATTGAGAATAGAGTAGTGGATTATTTTTGGGTAGTACAATCAAGAGGACTTGCTAGTGAGAGGACATTCAATATATTATTATGGGTCATAATGGCATTTGCTATGGTTTTGGTTATTGGGTTGGCTGTCTTTTATGTGATGAGAAGGTAAATGATAAAGGAGAAATTAATAAATTGATCCTTTGATATTATATTTAATGAATGTTTAATTTTAATATTCCATTTTACTCTAATTGGGAATGATTTATGGACTTATATACAATAAATCTCTTTAATTATATAACTCCTATCATATCAATCAATATTAATAATTTATTATTTTATATTTAATCATAATTCCACTCAATCTGTCAATTCAAATAACATTAATTTGAATTCCCAGACCTTGTCCCTTTAAATACTATCTAATTTACTATTTACAAAAGATATTAATGATATTCACCTTCCACATTTAAGAATATATTCAATTATTATGAAATGTTAATATTGCTTCCTATGGTAATCTGGACTAGTTTCCAATCAACGACAATTATATGTTACCTTATTAAGGGAAAAATAATATTCATTCTTTAAATAAAATTTTGATTGATTTTAAATTAAGCATCTGTACTGAACATTCACTTCTGTAATTCTAAAGATTATCTGATTTTTAATATATATTAAGTTGTGCCAACTCACAACTGGATTTCCAAGGTTTATATGATCATTAAATTTATATTTATTTACTCCTTGCTAATATTAAATATTAATGGAAATCAGCAATAGAAAGGACATCGAGAAATTGATTGCCTATAGTAAAAGTATCCAAGTTGGTCTCATTGAAGATGTATTTATGTGAGTTATGTGAGGATTTCAATGACCAATACACTCCCCCTGAGAAACATGTATATGATTTAGAACCTGTTCCTGAAATAAAATTAGAAGAACTTGAGACAAATCTAAATGAAGACGAGATGCTCAAATTATTAAAACAGAATGTTCAATCTGCAAAAATGAAAGAAAGTGTAAGCAGTGAACAGGATAGTGTAGAGAGTTAGGATTCAATGGAAAGGAGATCAACTCCTCCGAAAAGAAAATAATAATAATAATAATAAGTTCAAATCCCTATCCAAGTCCCTGTTCAGAAGAGCTAAACTACCGTTGACATGTCTGAGTTCAATAAAGTCCCTGAAGAAGTATTATAGTTTTTGGATGGAGCTAAAGGACGTAAATCCATGTTAGGGGCAGCCATAAAAAATAATAAGGGAACTAGTATGTTGTTAGCATCCCAAGGGAAACCAATTAAAATTTACTTTTTTAATACTCAACAGCACATTCAAATCATTGTTGCCAAAAATACAACAGTTCTATAAGTTATAAGAATGAGCATAACAGAATATTAGAATAACAATAATTTTGATTAGAAGTTGCTCAGATATCCCAATAATGTTGATGCCTATGAAATCAGATTTGTCGATGATGATTTTGAATTTAAAGCGGAAATGGCATTTGGTGCGATTGATAAAAAAAAAGAAATCTTGTCCACCCAGACAAATATCTTCTCCCTTATCGAGATTAGCAATTACAAAGAACAAAAAAATGATATGTAAATCTTTGAAAAAATTAATCCCAATATGGTGTTGATGGACGTAGTGATTATTGACTAAAAACCTGAAAAGAATGTCATTACAAAAGTTCAATTAGACAAGAATTCCATTGTTGCAGATATCATCACATAAATTAGCAAGAAAAATAAATAAGTATAATAGTAATCATTGATTTTAGATCAATCAATTAAACTATCTTATTCAATTAAATGATGATGACACTATTTTGGATCTAGATCTAAGAATGCCCGTAGTTTAATTATAGAATAAAAAAATTTAGATCAAATAGAAGACATGGGCAGATTAGGCAGAACAATAAACTATTAATACTTAAAGAAGAGATACAATCACAGAGTAGGATGATTATGTAGATGCTCCATTGAATCACATCCAAGCATTTAAATATGAGAAGTTTACTGTGGTCAAAATTAATGAAAGAGGAAAAAGGTAGGACAGAATATTAGGCATAGATCAATTCAGAATTTATAATATGAACAAAAAAGAAAATTTAGGTATCATTACATACAAATATAATCTTAGGGCTGTTTGAGAGGATGTTAACTAATAAAATAACAGGTACCAAATTTCCAGAGAGATTGATAGAAGACATTGTGGATATTCGAATTGCTAATTAATTTTTATACATTACTTTTAGATAAGAGAGTATTTAATTGAAATATGAATATTTTAGATGACTTCAAAGAGTTGAAATTTGACACATTAGATTCTAAAATTGCCTAAAAGATTTATAAAAAGATTAATTTTATTAGAGACTTTTAGATTACAACTTAAAAAGTTAGAACTTATAGTTAAAAATTAGATTGATATTTTTATATATATGATTTAAAAATATATTTAATTCTATTTATGCTGGCAGCATCATATTATATCAAATCACATAAGTCCAAATCCTTCACAATTTTACAAAGCTATTTATAATTTCGTAATCATTTTCCCTATAGAATCATACTATGGCAATAAAAATACATTAAAACAAGTATGTGCTGAAGGCAATTACTCAGAATCTTAATTAATATAAATAAAAACAATACTTTCTCCATGTTTTTAAATCTATAATTTTAATGATTTCAATCCACCAACAGGTATTCTGTCAGAACCAGTGCAAAAGAACAAAAAGCGTTTTTGTTATTCCTCGTTTAAAGAACGTAGGAATGTCCAAAATTATCTAAATGTACTTACCATAATTTATACTTAATGTATTCAGAATTCTTATCGAAACCATCATACTCTGTTGAATCCTCTAGTTCTTGTAGATTAAAATTCTTTTATCCAACTATCAATTGTTATAATTCAGAGCCCGAAAACAATTTAATTCCATTCCCCTCCACGACTCTCCAAAATCCTTTCTTAAATGAATTAAATGGAGTTTTGATTGACTCATTCAAATAATAATTGACGCATAATTATATATATTCGTGCTTATTCTTTTGATTAACTAGGATTTAAGATCCATTAGGCTAAATGTATGTGAAATAGATTATACAAGCAATTCAACTACAATAATGTCATCCCAAACTGATTCAGTAATAGTAAAATTGAGTGCAAATACTTCTTCAATATTATCTTATTTGTATTCTGCAAGAGTATTCAGTCCCTTATAAACTTCTAGATCCAATTCCTTTAGGTCTTCAAAACAAGTTGGCTCATTCATCAATTTCGTAAATATTACTTATGGAAACTGGAGATCCAAATTCACTACTTATTTTTTATATGTACCTTGATTATACAATGCCAAACCTAAGATCATTCCTATTAATTCATATTTGATTGGCATTTCCATATTATGTTTATTAAACCACAAAATGGAATTATTGTTTTTTGGAAGAAACATTCCGAAATTCAAATCAAACAGCTTTTATGTCAATAACGAGAAGAACTCTCTTGCTAATCCACCCTGATCTATGCCTTGTTCCCCCTAAAATACTACTTGAAGTTTGGCCTTTAAATTAATATCATCCCTTGATAGTGCTTCCAATGCACTTCTTACGACATCATTACGATCAATCTACAACTTTAAGAATGGTTAAAAGAGCATTAATGAGCTCTCATAATAATGTTTTTAGTTCATTCTTGAATCAATTGCTAAGATTTCACTTTTGAATTCCAATGGTATAACCCAAGGATATTAACAAAATGTAAAATAATATCTTTCTAAATCATTTTTAATATAACTATCGAATTAGAAGTATTCCAATTAATCACCATATTTGGGATATAATTTAGCAATTTCTGCTATTTAAAATTTAGTTGGATTTAATCTTTTAACAATTAAGTTAGATCTATAAAATACTTGTAAAAGTTCAAGCATCAATTGAACATATTGGATTTCAGATTTTTTTAGTAATTAAATTTATTTTATAGATTCTTTTTTCAAAAATGTTCCAACTATCTCTGTAATAGTCTATATGTATCTGATAAAATATTCATCAGGCAAAATTGTTAGATAATTGGATAATAGATTCTTATCTTCCGCATTCATAGTCAAAAATGCTTCTAAAATTCTATTCTGCTCTTAATGTAAAAAAACATTAAATTATTTGAAATGCATAATTATTATAATTGATCTCACAAAATAAATATTTTATTTTTAGTTTGCAATCAAATTGTTCACCCATTATCCAAGGATTTTCACATTTATTACATTATTCACCTATTAAATAACTTATAAATTCAATTCAGGATTTAGATTATTGTAATTAATCACATCATAACAATTATTAAAGTTAAGAATGAACGATGCCCCAAAACTATTCGGAAAATTAGATAATGCACCTAAAGCAACAACAATATCACCCTCAAATTATTAAATTGGTTTTTATTCTATAACTTAATTCCAACATACATTATTCCAATCTATAGTGTCTTCCTTAAATTATTGTATTAGGAATTGCTACAGAGTTTTCTTATCAAACCCAATTTATGAAAATATTGGATTACTTTTACAATAATCTTTATCACAAATGAATTTACCACATCCTTTGGATGCTTTTTCATACAAATGTTTAAACTATTCAGAACAAGCAATCTAAATTAGGAGATATCATACTTTCATCTCTAAAATATCATATTGCCATTTTCCATCTGTTTGAATATCAATAAATATTAGATCAGCTTTACAATCGCCAACCTTAAGATTTTCATCCAAAATTTCTCCATTGAAACGTCCCTAGTGCTCCTCCAACTATTTAATTGCATAATCTCCTTAGAAATACTTGTGTTTCCACAGTCTTATCTTTTCAACTTTAATTTGGAATTCATTTTTCACTGCTGCACTTAACAACTAAATCCAATTTTTAATGAGGCAAGTTTCATCTACTTACAGAATTCCTCTTTTTGGATTTTGAACATTGATGTAAACAGATTGCTAATTTAATCATTTTAAATTACTCTTAGTAAATTCACATTTGATAATTGAACACCTTATTTATTGAAATGGACTAATCTTGCTATCTTCAAATCTGCACCATACTCATTTTCCCAAAAATTAATCATTTCTTTATTGACCTGTTATAATAAGGATAAATAATCTACTAAAACATAATCTTCAGGCTGTAATTTGATTATTTTCTAATTAAAGGCATGATCCCTTGGATATTTTAATAGAAAATTCTCATTTGAAATTAATTCGCTATTTAATGCTCCAGGCTAATTAAATGAGTATGCCTCATACTTTATCTCTATGTTAGTTTGGAGCAATCCCTTCGATATACTCTACGTAGTATTTCCATTATCGAAGCCATTATTTTGAAACAACATACAATTCTTAACCTTAATTTTTTATTGCTTTCAAACTCTTAGATCACATCAATATTTACCCTTCTTGTCTTAGAATAAAGTTCTATCTCTTTTAAAAAAGGATCATACTTGAGTTCTACTTATGAAAGCATTTAATAAATATCGGTATAATTATATAATGAATATAAATTAAATGATATATTCTCTCTCCACATCCTCTTAACTCCATATTCCTTCTCGAAAAATCAAATTAATATTTTGTAAATTATCTAGAAAATTTATTATGGAATTAAGCCAACTCTCTCTTTAATCAAATTTTGATTTCTCTTTTTGATATAAACTAATTATCCAATTGAACTGTTACAAACTCAAATTCAATATAGATTTATTTAATTTGCATTTCAAAAAGAATCCATTCTTAAATAACATTACTTTTATATAGAGCCAATATAAATTTTATTTGAATTATTAAATTACAATTATCGTTTTTGACCTCTTCATATTATATATTTATTTCAAACCTTAAATATACTCCAATGTTTACAATTTATAAATATATTGATTTTATTTTCATACAAACATATTTATAATTACTACTTAGCTTCAATAATTTAAAATTTTTAATTTTTTAATTTCATCTGTTAAAGCAAGAATTATAGCTCTATAGCTAGAGGTTTGAATTATATTTATAGTGCATTCATTCATTTTTGACTTATATAGTTATTTAAAGGGTTAATATTAAGCTTTTCTTAGTGTTTATCTATAAAAATTATGGTTATCGTTATTAATTGTCAATATTGTTCAATTCATTTTGGAAACAATTATAATTAATTATAAATATAAAAAGATGTGTTATTATAAAAATTAAATAAAAAAGAGCATTAACAAATATGAATTAATCTAAATCATCAATGAAATTTTCTGATTTTTTTTGAAATACCAGGTTCATTAATTCTTCTTTTGAATTATCTGAGAAGTTCCTGTTCCTCTTCTGACAATAAATTATCGTATGAGTAATCAAAATCATTGTTCTAATCCATTGAATCATTATGTCTCAACAAGTTAATCAGATTTTTTATTGACTCTATTGATTCATACTGAGATAACTAATGGTCATAGAGTAGTTTCAACTCTAATTTTGATAATGTGTGATAAGCCTCGTTAATTCGATGAAACTGATCTAATGCAAACGCACGTTATTCTCTATTTTTATCCTAATATTAGATCAATTAAATACAGGATGCCATTTTAAGGCTAATTTATGATATGCTTTCTTTATTTAGTGTTACTTTGCATCTCTCTTAATTCCTAGGATATCATAGTGATTGTCAATCATTATTATTTTACTAATTTACTAAAAGCTTCAAAATAATTATATAATATATAATAATTCGATTCTAGAATTTTCGAATTTAATTAATGAGATGCTATAGAAATTTGAGTTCCATAAGAAATCAAATTAGGCTTCTCAATAGTCTGAATGCCACCTTATTAACTAATGCTGATATATAAATATATATAAAGAAGATAAAACTCATTTTAGTGACTATTAATTGGATAACATTTCATCTTACGGTTCTTAAGATGAAGCGTCGGTCTAATTTTTTACATTTAACTTTTAAACTATATATTCAATCAATAATGCCATAGTGACATTAAGGGTGAACAATACTACAACAATATAAAAACTAATGAAAAATATGTAAACTAAATCAGTATTAAATATTTTGGCATAGTTATAAGATATTACATTCCAATTATTTATTATTAATAAAAACCAGCATGTGCACATTCCAGATAAAAAATCATTAAAGTTAGCTAATTCATAATGAACTTAATTTTCATCAGAAAAGAAGATTCTTCCTCCAAAAAGTAATTGTCCAACAGCTGTAAACAGCATAAACAAGATAAATAATGCCCCAAACAATTAGACTATATACTAAAAGGTGGATGTTATGGAAATTATCAACACTGTAAAGCTTTTATTCTTTAATAGCCATCGGCATCCCCTCAATAATCTATAACACAATAAAACTAGCAAAATCTTCTGATCATGATATCCAAGCATGTTTAAGATAATTAAAAATAGTATCGAACTGGAGAAAATAAATTCAATAATTAAAGATTTTTTTCTCCAAATCCTCCTTTTACCAGTATAATATATTAATAAGAGGCATTCTCCAAACATTATTGAATTGCAAATTAGTAAAATCCATAATTTCACATTAGTAATCGTGAAAAATATCATAATAAATGATAATGTGGAAATTATTTCAATAAAAATCTCATAAAATCTATTATCTAAAATTTAGTAAATTGATCTTGATATTTCATTATCTAATGAAGATAGGTCTGCTAATCGTGTTATGTCTGATCCTGTCCTCGTACGAAAAAACTTCTGAGTTTTAAGACTAAATCTGTGATTATACTTTGATAAAATTTATTTAGTTTCTTTCTACATAAGATCTTTATAAGATGAATAAAAGAAGGCTAACACAAAATTTATGATTAAAGTTGTGTTTATGAATTAGAATAAAATAAAATATGCTACGTAACCCCTAGATTCACCATAATATGGTAAATAAATATCAGGGGAATTAACTGTTGTTTAAAGAACAAATAGAATTATTACGATACATTATTCTGGTTATGAAAAGGGAGGTTGATCTATCTAACAAATTGTGCTTTCTGATGGAACATTCTCTTTTTATTAAAAAATTGCTGAACCTAATCCAGCAAAAAATATTAAGGAAAAAATCATCAAGTAGTATATTTCCTTTCCCTTGTTTACTATTTAACAATAGTGAAATATTGTGGCGCGTAATGTTCGTCTAATTGGAGAATTATTTTATTTACTTTTAAAGGACTATTAATATTGGTTTCATTAATAAACTGATATTAATTGGACTGTTATTTTCTAGTATCATCACTGTAACATCATTCACAATAATTAAAAAGGTTATAAAGAGTTAAACTATAGCTGCTCTCTTTTTACTCTCTGATCCGAGTATTGTTGCTTTGAATACCTTAGTATAATGATTTGCAATACTTTACTCAAACAAAGATATAAAACGATCAGTATTTCAATACAGTAGTATAAACTTATTGGAAGATAAAAATTTACCATAGTTGGTAACTTTTAACCATTATAGATACTGCAATATTCCTAAAATAACATAGATTTTACTTAATAATCAACAAAGTTACACCAAGTTGGACGCTAAAAAACTGTAATTATTAAATATATATAAAAAAACACAGTTCTTATCATTTTTTGCCTTTTGTACTTTTACATTAATATAACAGATTAAGAGTTCTAATTGTAAGATGCTCTATCTTTGAATATTTTTGATTAATACTTTCTAAATGATTGCTCAGTCTATTTAATGCATAGAATGAAGCAAAGTTATTCGAATCATTATATTAATCGATATTTTGAAAATCCAACACTTTACTATTACTAAAATATGATTCTTTTGCATCATCCAAATGTTTAGCATTTTCTTCAGACTATTATGCATTTTCAATTTTTAAATTCATAATAAAATTTATATGAATTAGCCGAAAAACAATATTGCAAAACCAAAAATAAGAATAGACTACGTTAAAATTATATAAAAAGGAAACGAATAGTAAATCAATACAATTTATTTTAATAAAGTATTCATAAACCTAGGACTATACAATAATTTTCATAATAATCTTACTCTACTTATTTTTATCAAGATTCACTATAACATTATTAATTCAATCTAATCATTCTTAGTTAAAATGTAGAATCAAAATTAATCGATAAGTAAAGCAATAAATTATGAAATATATAGGAATTTTATTCTATACATGTATATATAAAATAAAACCAAATATCACACTTTTTACTTTTAAATCTTGCTTATTAAAGCATCATATTTCTCTGAAATGATTTTTTTAATTCTTTAAATCCAAAATTGATATGGTTATTAGTTTTTATTATAATGATAATATAACCCATACAATAGATGTAATGAAATACTTCTTACTGCCTTATTTGTTAGGAACAATGACAAATAGGATATTCCTAAATTTAAAGCGATAAAGAAAGCCACAGTGTGTTACTAAATATTTATATATTCTTACTATATTCTTTAGGGTAATAGCATCAATTAATTATGGCATAATGTATTATCTTAACAAAGTCTCAGGTAGTTTGCTTAATGAAGTCAATTTTTGAATATTTTCCATAAACACAGATTCTGCCTATTCCGACTATAATATTGATTTTACTTTTTCTTTATCTTATAAAACCCACTATAAGGTATACTTGTATACCTAAACACCTATTGTGATCCAAAGGAGTAGATGGAAAATTTGATGTTGCAAACTTACATCAAAGAAGTCATTGAAAATTATGAGTATGTTTAATACTACATAAATTAGATGAATCAACATTGATATAAATATAATAAATTAATTAATTTTACTTCTTTTCATTTTTATATTAGAGTATTTAAGAATAAAGAAAAAATATACATACTCTTCATACTTTTGAATTTCTAAATATCCTTTTATTTTAAAATTGAATCTAAGGTGTATTTTGAATTAATAGATAATATAATCAATAATCTTGTTTCTTTCAGTGAATCATATCAATTTTCTTCTTATTTTTAATAAATGAACTTTGATTGTTTACCTTTTTCAAATATATTATTTAATTAAAAGGTTATTTAAATGTAAATCAATTAAGCCATATTTATCTATAATGAATTTTAATTATTTCTTTAAATTATGGGTACTAGTGAATTTGAGATTTAAAGAAAAATAATATTCATTTTATAAGAAAGAGATTTTAATATTTAATTCTGATATTTTTTGTTTAATATTTTATTTGATATTAATCTAAATTTATTATAGTAATGAATATTCCTAGCGAATTCAAATCTGTGACTGATTATGCTGTAATTTGTGGTAAACGTTGTCAATTATTTGAAAATTTTCTAAGAGGTAGAAAATTGAAGAATTTTGAAGATTGTTTATGTATAATCTATTATATTCTAGATAATTGTGCAGAACATGTAAAAGATAATATCTATAAATTGCAGATTGATAAATCAGATGAATGAATATTATATAAATTATAATGAAGACATTCATTTTTAATCTTTTAATTTTAATCATCTCCATCAATTCTCATTAATCATTCTTTTTATTGCATTCTCGAAATTGATTTATTGTATTTTTTTATATTTTTCCCTTGTTTTCTTTTTTTAACAATTATTCTTTTAACTATTAATTGATTTCTTCAATTAATTCTCCCTTCTATTTAGTTTAATCTAAAATTTTAGTTGTTGATTCTTCAATCTATAGCTGCTTTTCCTTGATATCAAGATCAGTCACTTTATCATCTTTCATTTGATTTCAAGTAATTTATTATGAATCTCAGAATTTCAATGGTCTAGCCATGACAAACCATCAGGAGCTAAGTCATCACGTAATTCACAATAAATCCACCTAAATTCTTCTTCAATCCTTCTATGATTACATCCCTTTTTTACCAAATTTTTCATCAATATCTACAGAATCAGTATTAACTTATTATGATTTTGTGTATCTGGGATTGTTCTTGTCCAATTCCCCAATTTCAACTGCTTACTAATTAATTATGGCAAACTCACTTTAGTATAGATTTTATGTTAAATATCCTATTTCTATTTCCCATCTTCACCAACTGATTTCTAGACTATTTCCTCTCCTCTTCTGTTATCTTTTGGGATATGTTGGTCAATCATTAAAGTATATAATATAAATTATATTATAATTATAGAACAATATTTCTAATAATTAGATGAGAAGGTTAGTATTCATAAAGTTATTTCCTTTCATTCCCAAAAGGATTTAGTATTCTAGACAAAAGACTGGTGCCTTGAATTTAAACTTAATTTGAATTCAGACTTTCTTAATAGCAAATATCTATTTTTTTGAAATAAATCTGATTTACATCTAAGTCAAATGTGTAATTATTATCTTAATTCATTTTTCAATACTTATTATAAAAATTTTACAATATTTTCACAACATATTTATAATATTGCTCTTTAACATAATTTGAATTCTAGTTAATAATTACAATTGGTTGTCATATTACTCAAAATAATGATTTTTAAATTGATAAAATTAATAATGCAAACTTTATTGTAGTAAAATTTATAGAAAGTTCTATAAACAATAGTTAAGGCATCAGAAACAACTAATAAATAAGTTACTTTAGTTGCCGTATCGAAAACAAAACCAGTGGAATTAATTAAAGAGGCATATGAAGGGGGACAGAAACATTTCGGAGAAAATTATGTAAATGAGCTAATTGAAAAAGCCCCATTGTTGCCTAATGATATTTCTTGGCATTTTATTGGTCATCTTCAAACCAATAAAGTTTCGACAATAATGAAGATTTAAAATCTTGAATTCATTCAATCTGTAGATAGTCTCAAATTGGCTTAAAAAATAGAAAAACATTGTGAAAAGCTTGGAAGAAATATAAATATCTTTGTCTAGATTAAATTAAGTGAAGAAGAAAGTAAGACTGGAGCAGAAATTGATGAAGCCAAGTTAATAATTTAGGAGATAATTACTAAGTTTAAATTCATCAAATTGATTGGTTTAATGACAATAGGACCCATTGGTAATAAGGAGATTTTTTAATAATTGGTGGATTTGGCAAAAAAATTTGAGAATGAATTTAATCTGTAACCATTAAATTTGAGTATGGGAATGAGTGGAGACTATTTAGATGCTATTAAATATGGAGCTGACTATGTGAGAGTAGGAAGTGCGATTTTTGGAGAAAGAAATGTCAAATAATGAAGTATGTTTTCATATTGAATAATACCACATTTATAAATAATAAATTTATTATGCTAATTATTATTATTATTATTATTATTATTATTATTATTATTATTATATAACTGATATTTAATATATAATATTAAAGTACTATAATATCGAAATTCACATCAATTGATTTTCTCCAGGTTTCTTTATTAACTTCAATCCGTATATTATCTTATTGTTATTGTTGAGGATAACACTTTAAAGTTATATAGAAAGTAAATAATTATTATAAAATGCTTTCATAATATAATTTAAAAATGTAAAAAGTAAATATTGCTGCCATCAAAAGTGACAAAGATTTTATTAATTTACTAGATGTATTAATGAATCTTTTATCATATTAAGAAGGTCGGAAAAAGACATGAAAGGGACGATTAAAAATAAGATAAACAAAATACTGAAAATAGAATTTTGACAAGTAATAAGAAAAATAGCAAATAATTTTACTCTTTTTCTATCCTCCATAAAAGCAATGTGGTTGTCAAAGATCATAATAAAATAATTCTATAAACATTTCACAACAACATCAAATTGTCTGAAATTAATTCTGTCTAATTTAATGACATCCCTCTATCAGAAAGACAGACTAAAAGATCAAACATAGTTTAGAGAAACCTTTATTTTGGCCTTCATACATAGACCTAATAAACTCAAAGGTCAGAATTTCAATCAATAAATGAAGAAGTAATTCAATCTGGATTATGTAAGACGCAAAGAAACAATAGGATGGATTAAATACAAGAAAGATTCAATAGGTATTCTTATTTTAATTTATAAAGTTGTAAAGAATACTTATCAAAAGAATAATAGAGATTGAAAATGGCGGAGGAGTAAATAGAAAAAAATTAGCTTATACTTGAAGATCTAGCTTAAGAATTGGAGATTGTGAATAGAAATAAAGCAATTTTCAATTCTATAAAGAATTTAGATTAATAAGTATATAAAAATGAACTAAATTTTATTAACTACAGAAAAGTTACAGAGGAGTTATACGAATTTATATAATAAACTTAAATAAAGCATTTTAAGAAATAAGAATTGATTTTGCCATTTATTGAGAGTTTTAAAAATGAATTAAATTGTATGCTTATAGAATATGAATCATAAATTAAAAGAAACTAAGTAAAATGAATGTTAACAATTTATGCTTGTAAATTAAAATAAAATTAAATCTAATCTTTTCTTAAAATGATTCTTTTAAACAGTATTTTTGCGACTTCAAAACTTGTATCTGAAAATTTATTTGATTAACTTAACGAAAACAAATTCCTAAACAACTTATTTAAATTGACTTAGAATTTGAAAATAACATTGAACTGTAGTGAAACTTGCTAACAACATTGAACATTAAATTAAAATGTAGTCCAAAACTTTATTAATTAATCACTAACAGTGTGTTTTTTAGTGTAAAATAACAAAATTTCATTATTAAATTATATATTCATTTAAATCAATCAAACAACCTTATTAAATTGATTTGTATAGCCACTCGGCATGAATGATTTTAATATTAGGGTTTGAATTTAAAATAGCTTATGCAGTAGTCTTGAACATTATCTTCATAACAATCATGATATCACAAAATTCTTTTTAAGTAATCTAGTCTTAAATTGAATATGGTTACTTTTCCTCCAAAGTTTTAGATCAACTATTCTAATCCAGACCTAAGATTTTAATTGATCGTTTTTTATTAGGATGATTTGGGCTTTGAAAAATAAACATAAAAGTTGTAGGGGAATAATATTTCTATTTTAACAATGATATATGTACTTTTTTACATGTTGTAAGTTAATTGAAAGGGATTAAAGGCTATCTCTTTTTTTAGATTTTGTTATTATTTGAGAATCCATTTTTAGGAAATAATTTTTGTTTATTTATTTAAGCAACAACAACAGAAAACCAGATCATAGATTAGCTTGTCTTCATTAATAATAAGAATATCACACTTAATTTTCATATCTTCTTCTGTAACCAATTGATACTAATCGCTTTATTATTAGTGAAATTTACTTCGAATTTATATGTTCAAATAAGTTCAACATGTTACAATCACATGATTTGTGTATGGCCAGAGTGAATTTTTAGTCAATTTATTATTGTTTTGATTTTAAGGCTTTAGAACTCTTCTTGGATAAGAATTATGAGTTGATCTTTTGAGACGCTTCTAATTACTCAGTATCTAATTCTTCATGTATGAGATCTTATATATAAATACCTCTAATACTTTTGGAAGTCTGTTTGAAATTGGAAATGGGTACATGAGATTTATTAAACCCTTTGGCTATTTGTTGTAATTGATTTTTGTATAAACTAAAAATGTGTCTGGTTTTAAATTCGTTGACTTCTTCCTCTTCTTCATCCTAAATCTATTGATTTGATTATTTTCCTTTCTTTATATGAACTCTCTATATAAGTTTATAACTGTACTTCTTTTTTGAGCAATTCTTATATCTCTTGGGGAGTTAATTCGATGATTGGGAAATTTGAAGCATCAACTTCCCTCTTTTTTGTTAGACATCTAGAAATAGCTTTTATATTTACTCATTTACCCACATAGGATTGACTATCTTAATATTCCATTCCTTAGCCTTCTCTAGTGTACTCAAAAAACCATCTACAATTTCAATTAGAAATTACATTGCCAAATCAGATAGTGAGTATGTTTACTTAATTTTTTTACTATTGAGGCACCCAAAGCATAAAGTATCTCATCTTCACAATCAGATTGATTGCGATCATTCTGCTGGGGACCTGAATATATTTCAACATAAATTTTCTAAATTTGATAATAGAAAAGGTACTTTTTTTGCTAGACATTAAGTAATGTTATTGATCATAGTGATTTGAATTTGATTGTCACCTAATGTGATGGCACTATGGGAGATTTTCCTTCCCGATTAGACAGCAGATGCAGATCTTCTGTAGGATTTCCTATTTTATTGTTCAGTATGCACAGATGATTGACGTTACTTTCCTTAATTCATAACATTTTTGTTACCTTCATCTTTAATGAGAAATTCGATAGTTCAAAATTATTATTAATATATATTCACTTATTATTAAAATGGTTAACTTATTCCCAAAAACTCAGGAGTGTATTAACTATCCTAAAGAGAATGCATTTTTTGTCCATATTAAGGAATGACTATCTCTGGGGTACAAGATAATTATAACGAGTATTAATTTGGTATGTTATTGAACTGATTGTCACTCAAAATTTACTCCTACAATAATTATTAATCTTAAGATAAAGGTCTTATGTCATTCGAATGTGTATCCAAATTTGATTCTTCTGTTGAAGGTAATTTGCAAATCTATCCCATCCGAACCTATTAATTTATATATATATATTAATATGTACCATCCTTTTTTCTAATATAAGATTCAGAAAATAAATAAATTGATAATATATCATAGATCTCCTTAGTATATTGGTAGGATAGTCTGAAATTATTAAATTTGTGAGGATAACTAATTTGGTAAAAGTAGAGCACTCTGTTTTGTGGCGGTTTTTGGTGAATCAAGATTTCCAATGGATTCCCTTTTATTAATATATATATTACCATAGTGATTCTGTGTTTGAATATTTATTAACTGGAAATGTAGATTCGACTATTTCTAACTTTTATTTTGGTGGAAATAACACATCAATTGTCATTTTGAATGCATCATCTACATGATAATAAATAATTACCTAACATTCTAGGTAATAACATTTTTAATATTCCACTTGATTCCTCAATACAAGGATTAGTATTAATTTCTATCAACCATGTCTTAAAATCTTGATCTATTATGAAGTCATATCCAAAAATTTCCATACAAAATTTCCTTTAATGAAGGTTTAGCTTTCTCTTCACTGATTGCATAGACATCCAAACTAGTTATTTCATCTTGGTAACATTATTTTATTAAAAATCAATGTTGAATCCTTATTGATTAAGATAATTTTAAAAATCATCGAATGACAATTGATTTCCATCTTCAAACTCTCCATATTTTTCAGAGTATTTTTAAATGGCATTATTGGTCAAATGAATAAATTAGTTACTTACATCTTCAGTGTTATAATTCTCACAAGAAGTACGAATGTAACCTTCTTTGAAAAAATAACAATGAAGATCTTAGGTAACTAATACCCATACTCTAATGTCAAATTTCCTTTGATTGATAAGAAATGGTTATTCTATATACTTCTGAATTACAAAGGAATTAGCCTTGATATTATTATTTTTTTTGTTATTTTTTGGATCTTCATCTTCTACAGTTTAATGTCCTTCCTGGTATTCACAAATGAGTGATATTATAGTATCTAAATCATTAACGACATGAATCCCTTGTCCTCTGTTCAAAAAGGTGGGTTTCAATAGCCATAAATATTAATTGCCACTCTATGTTTTTGGTATTCTAATGGGAATTGGCTATATTTTCTTATCATTCATAGGTTAGACTGGAATCTGTTTTATTATACAATGATACTTTTAATTTCTTTTTATATTCCACTAATTTTTTTGCCATTTGATCAATCTTCTTGGGAGCATACTTATCAAAGAATTTGACAAATTATGTAAATTGCTAGTCAACAGAGTCATCTTTAAAATCTAACACAAATGTTATCGGAACTGAATCATATACACTTTATTTGTTTTGCTAAACATCGATTAATAATAATATAATACTTCAGAATATGAGCAGAGATTTCTAAACAAATATTATTTGTTACTTAGTTCTGGATGATTTTCAAAATGATTAACCATCTATTTGTATTAATTATTCAAGATCAATCTATCATATTTGTAACCTCTATTCCATTATTGCCATCTAAAATTAACAAACATCGATGAATTATCCTTAGTTTGCTACCAATCGACTCTGGTATCCATAATTCTTTATACTAATTCATGGTTGTTTCCCAATCCCAAATTGTATTTATATTCATTCGATTACTCAATTATTTTTATTGATTTCTCTTTCTGTCTATGAGTATGTTGATCAGAAGAGAACTTCATTTGTTTTGCAATCAATATCATAGAGGATTGAACAGCTACAGGGTTTCTATAAACTCCTGATTGAGATTGAACTTTATTGTTAAGGTACTTAAGAAACCTATCAGGAGATGTCGGTTTCTCATCTGGACTGTTTAATTGTTTATACTTAGGCATACTGTAAGCCTGTACTTTATGGCCTTGCAATTTTGGGAGTCTAACTTCTTAACGATAATTCATATGAAATCCTGATCCACTCACTGATAAAAACATTTAATTTTGCATATTTATATTTATTTCATGTATCAACCAGCAGATAGAGAAAAGATTGAACTATACATCTCAGCTCGTAAGCTAGCAAATAAGGATGTCATTTCAGACAGTGATCCAAAATGCAAGATATTTTTGAGAGATTTTAATGGAGTCGAAAAATAAGTTGGTCAGACTGAGGTTTTAAAAAATAATCTCAATCCTGATTGGAAAGTAATTATATACCATATTAGACAACCATTTAAATGGATTTCATATTTGAAATTAAACAGGAGCTTAGATTTGAAGTCTGGGACCATGATGATGGAAGCATTGATAAAGATGATTTAATTGGCGTTGTTAATGTATCTTCTATTGTCTAAATATTTTAAGACTACAGTTGGTGAGATAATGGGATCAAGAAATTAAGTTTATAGTGGCCAATTAAAATTGAAGAATAAGGCCACTGGAACATTACTTATTAAGGGGGATAAATTGAGAGATGACAATAGATACATATTTTGGTAATGGGAAGGGAAAAAAATAAAGAATGTAGATGGTTGGTTTGGAAATTCAGATCCGTTCTTGAGATTTTATAAGCAATCTGGGAATGATTGGTTGTTTGTACATGAAACAGAGTTCTGTAAAAATAACGAAAACCCACATTGGAAAGCTTTTGAAATTTCTATGGCTAAATTAAATGGTGGACACACATAATAATAAATAAAGGTTGAATGTTGGGACAACCAAGTAGATGGTAAACATTAATTTATTGGTGAAACTTTTTTCACAACTCATTAAATTGAAAATGAACTCAAAAAGGAATTTATATCACTATCGAAAAAAGGAGTATCATATATATATTAATTAAATAGACTAATCATGGTACATTTGTATTAACTTAATTTAATGTGTTTATAAAGCCATCCTTCATTGATTATATAAAGGGAGGAGAACAAATTAATTTGATGATAGCTGTTGATTTCACAGGTTCCAATGGAGATCCAAAATCAGCCAATTCTCTACATTACAATAGCCCGCATCAAATGAATCAATATCAGTCTGCTCTTCATCAAGTTTCAGAGATCTTATTAAATTATGATTTTGATAAGAAGATACCTATGTACGGATTTGGAGGTGTCCCTCACTTTCCCAATTATTCAAAGAATGAAGCTGATCATTGGTATTGATGCGTTATATAATCATAGTTTTCCTTTGACAGGCAGTTTCCAATAACCAGAAGTTATCGGACTGGAAGGAATTATGGCATAATATAGTGGGGCTCTATAACATGTCACTTTATCAGGCCCAACGTATTTCGCTCCTATAATTTAATATGCTTGTTAGACAGCTTAATAAAATGTGAATCATAATATTTATTCGGTTTTAATGATATTGACAGACGGAGAAATTCATGACATGAATTAAACTATTCAATTAATTAAAGGAGCAGCACGAATTCCACTTTCAATAATTATCATAGGAGTTGGAGATGAGCAATTTTAACAGATGAGAACACTAGATGGGGATAATGGTCCATTAAAAGGTTCTTCTGCAAGAGATTTGGTTTAATTTGTTCCATTTAGAGACTTCAAGTAAACAGGAGAATTGGCAAAGGAAGTTTTAGCAGAACTGCCAAATCAATTAGTTACCTACAAATAACTGTTGGGACTGTAACCATTAAAGGCTCCAGATGTTCATCTTAGTTAAATGATGTGAAAAATTATCAAATACAAAACAAATAGAATAATAGATTTATATTATATATCATAAAGTTAATCGAAATTTCTCCATTATTCAAATAAATAAGTTCTTAAATTGTTTTGAGTTTAAATTTATATTTAATTTACACTGATATATGTGATTATTATTATTTTTATGTAATAACAAGTACACAATAAAGATAGAGAAAAAATAGAGTTGTATTTTTCAGGCAGAGGGTTAGCTGACAAGGATGTATTGTCTTAAAGTGATCCTTAATGCTATATCTATCTGAAGGAAGGATAGCAAGGATAGGAACGCTTAATTGGCAAAACCGAAGTTAAAGATAACAATCTCAATCCTGATTGGAAGGTATCATTATTTTAATGATTCTAGACATCAGTTGTATTGGACTTTATATTTGAAATCAATCAGTTTTTGAGGATTGTTGTCATGGATCATGATGGGAAGAATGTTGAAAATGATGACATTATAGGTTCTTTAAATGTACTATTTAAATATGAAATTCAATTAGACAACTATTGGAGCAGTAATGGGATCCAAAAATCAAATATATATAGGATAACTAACTCATAATAATAAAAAGACAGGCAGATTGATTATTAAAGCTGATAAAAGAAAGGATATTGGAGAAGAGAATTAAATGATTTATTGGTAATGGAATGCCACTAAAGTTAAAAATATGGATGGCTGGTTTGGTGTTTCTGATCCATTTCTGAGATTTCTAAAGTGGCATTAAAATAGTGATTGGCTATTAGTACATGAAACGGAATTTATCAAGAACAATGAAAATCCAACATGGAAACCATTTGAAATACCTCATGATAAATTGCATGATGAGAATCCCTAATAACCATTTAAAATTGAACTTTGGGATAACTAAACAAATGGAAAACATTAGTTCATTGGAGCAATTGAAGTTACAATCGAATAAATAATCTTTAAGGAAATCTATTAATTTGTAGTTAAGACACCAAAAGGAGTAACTTTCTTTCTATTATTATTTAGGATCTTGGTGGAAATTTAGGAGTGAAATTTATTGATAAAAAGACTTTTGATCTTTAAATGAAAGATAAGCATACATTTATTGATTATTTAAAAGGAGGAGATTAAATTAATCTAATTATAGCTATTGATTTTACAGGTTCTAATGGCAATCCCTCATCTCCTGGTTCTTTACATTATAATGACCCTGAACATTTAAATTAATATTAAAATGCGTTAAAATAAGTGGCTGAAATTTTATTAAATTATGATTATGATAAGAAGGTGCCACTTTATGGATTTGGTGGAGTACCATCATTGCCTAATTTTAAAAAAAGTAGTGTAGAACATTGGTAAATAATAATTTTTATCGATAGCTTTCCTCTAAATGGCAATAAATCTGACCCTGAAGTATATGGATTGGATGGCATAATGAGTACATATTCAAATGCTCTTAATCATATTGATTTAAGTGGCCCAACTATATTTGGCCCAGTTATAGAAAATGCTATTGAAATTTCAAAGGCCAATCTTAAAAAAGATATTTATTCAGTTTTACTTATAATGACAGATGGACAAATAGAAGATATGAATCATTGCTTAAACCTTATTAAAAAAGCTTATCGATTACCTTTATCAATTATCATAGTTGGAGTTGGCAATGCTAATTTTAATATGATGGAAAAATTAGACGGGGATGATGCTTAACATGAAAGAGATCTTGTTTAGTTTGTTCCTTTTATTATACATTCTCAATAGCCAGGTGATTTAGCAAAAGAACTTTTAGCCGAGTTACCTGATTAATTTTTGATATTCAAAAAATTGATTGGTAAGAATCCAAATCCATCTAAAGATATTGATTTAAGTTAAATTAATTGATTTATTTTACATATTATAAAATAATTGTATATTGAAAAAAATATATGATTATATTATTTATATAAAATGGAAAAGATTAAAAAATTTAAACATTTAGATTTTCTTATAATTATTTGTTATTAAATTTTTGAAATAATAAATATAGGAAATAACAAATGTCATATAAAATCTTATTATTAAGTTACTAGTTAAGACTATACTATTTATGCTAATTTACAACTATCTTATTGTAGTAGATTATTTTAAGAATTTTGTAATGAATTGCTAATTGGATTCATTTATCTTTGTAATAAAAAGCTAATCGAAGATCCTGCTTGATTGTTCTCAAAATGCACAGTCTTAAATTATAATTTGGGATTTTTGGACATGTAAGGTAACAACTTTTATACTATAAATATCCCTAATTTGCCTTCTTTTACTCCTTTAAAATATTAAGAATCATATACTTTTGTAATCTAATGGTTGAGGAAATCCACTTGCCTTATCATAAATTTCAAATTTTATATCATCATTCGCTATTTGACTAATTTGTATTTACACCATGTTTGAGATATCTGGTTTTTTGTATGATTTGATGCTATTAACTAACAAATTGACCACAATCTATCGAAGATATCTGACATCAGTAGTAATCATCTTATTGATCAAATCATCTGATACGATAATGTCTATGCTTTTTTCGACCACTGTTGTATCCTGAATGAATTTGGTTTTGATTGCTTTTAAAAATTTGATTAAATTAAATTGATCTTATCTTGGAGAAGCCAAACCATCGCAGAGAAAATAGTAAAAATTATGAATCGACACATTTAACATGTACAATTACAGTTATGCTTAACTAAACAGCTTGTTCTCTTTCATTTAAGGACTGAGCAGATTGTTAAACTTCTATTCCAAATTCTCAATCATTTGAATTAATTTATTAAGCTACTTTTGGGTGACTTCTATTTTGTATCCATTTTAAACATTATTCGCACAGGTTTTAATATTCTCTATAGTCTCATCCTCCATTTATATGATTAGACCTTAAGTCCAATAATTAAACTGTATCTTCTTATAAAAAGCTTTATCAAATTGAATAATTCCATATAAAGGTTTTTTTGTGGATACTTGGCTATTGTTTTCGGGAGTTTTAGCAATGAAGTTATCCAAATTTTTCATCACAGATCCAGATAAGAATTCTCTATCAATGTACTTAAGTAATATAAGCAAATATACCTATAAAGAACTATTGTTTAAATTTAATGTATTCCCCTTTTATAAATTTGCCTCGCTTTTCTAAACGGACTGTAATCTGGATCTCTATTCATTCTGTGGAGACACTAACTTTTGTAATTATTGGTCATCATTAATGTCTTTTTATGATTTCCTTCTTTGTATTACTGCGCTATACTTTTCATCAATAATTTAATCTTTTATATATGAATATAGATTGGTTGACATATTGACAAACATATTGTTTGTTAAGATATACTCGCTTTCGTAAGGAATATTAAACAATTAAATCTTTTTCAAATATTCTTCAATTGTTAAAGTTTTCTCTTTTAAAATTTACATAAGAGATGAACTCATTTTTTCAATTACAACTTCGTTATTTCGATAAGAAACAAAGATATACTGTTATTCGATAAATTTTTCCCACATACTCTATGGATTTTGAGGAGGATATTATGATTAAATAGGGAGGCTGACTCTTCTTTGAACAATTGTCTTGCTTTATTCGATTTATAGGGGTTAGTTTTTGTTATTCGATAGGAGAAATTCATATGAACATACTATAAGGATCATAATTGCTGCGATGATCAAATATTCAATATGATTGGTCATATGTTTGAATATAATAAGGACAATGAAAATAAGTAAAAGGGCAATAGCCTAAAGAAGAATTTTGATGTTAAGGAATTGTCTTTTCTCATTTTTTTCATTTGATTTCAATTTTTATAGTTGGAGCATGTTTCCAAAGAGTAAACTAAGTAGATTTTCTGATAAATTATCATTACTCAAATACAATAGGCTTGCAAATTATAAAAGCAATAATATCGTAAAAAACATTGGAGAATGATCGATTTCTATAAAGATTGATATTGAGATATATTTACACTATATGTTCTAATTAGTTTTTCTAATGGCTGCAAGACTAAAAATTATTCCGAAAACTAAAAAAATGATTTGAGGAATTAGTAAATTGAATATTTAGCCTCTAAGTTGCAGGTAAATGATACAGAAAATCGAGAACAGAACATTCAGAATCTGTGGAAGTGCTAATTTTATTATTTACATAATTTAAATTAAATATTAATTAATAAAACTTTGATACTTTAAAACCTTGCATTCAATTGCTTAAATGAAAGACTTTTTAAAGATACCACTTGATTGAATATATTTTAAAACTAATCTAATATTTATCATGTATTTGAATTCTATAAGAAGACAACAATGACAGTAATATCATCAACTCCTTCACTGAACTTTTTCCATTTAGTTTTAGATTCCTAAATCAATTTCTGACAAGCTCCTTGTGGATCATTATTCAAATAGTATTGATGTGTTATTTCTGCTATCTTTATGATACTTTTAATACTTGATTATTGTCTAAAAATTCCCATAATCCATCTGAACCAATAATTATAAATAAATCATCTCTGGTTATCTGATGCTGTTTGATATCTGAGATATAAGAATTAAATACCTGGAACATGAGAGACTCCAACTTGTTCAGCTATTTAATCTCCTATGCTTCTGGACATAGCCAAACCAGGAAATGACGCTCCTTTAATATAAACTCTGGATGGCCCTACAGATTGTCCATTTTATAGTTTATAAGTATTAACAGCTCCACCTTAATTTTCTATTCTTTTTTTCTCCTTCAACAAGTGAGGTTTATGATCAATAGAGAGTTCAGTTGTAATTAATTTATCTTGTTGTTTAGAACATAGCATTGCTCTTGAATCTCCTACCCAAGCACAATGAATCACTTAGTCTCTAATAACTATCAAAGTAGCAGTTGTACCAGACATAAGTGAATCAAAATGAGAATGAGAAGCAACATTTGAATGAGCACTTGCAAATAGCTTGACAAAATCAATCGTTTTAAATTCCTTAATTGCATATTCTAAATTATAATATATTGTGTATACACTAAAAATAATCCCTAACAAATGTGCTTATTTAATCACCGTCAGTTCCATGTCCATCCATAACAGCAAAAATTCCTTATTCATCATCTATAATTTCAGCAAACTCTCTATCTTAATTGGTTTTTTCACAAAACCCATCAAATCCAGCCTTTGATAAGGATCCATAATAGAGTTAAATTTCAACCTTAGGGATTTTGGAGTTAATGATTCTCCTAGATTTTTATTGTAATGGTGGCTTTTTGAATGTTTTTTAAGAGATTTGTTTATCCATCAATTAAGGTAATTTGCATTTTTGGTCTGTGTTTGTTTATTCTCTACTTGTCTATCTTCGATTCTCTGACTTGGATCTAATTGTCTAATGAATATTAACTAATTTCATTATTAAAATATGTTGGAAAATCAAATGTTGTAATTTTTGAATTCAGACTTTTAACAATTTACATAATTAGATAAGCAGGATAAGCAAGATGAGAATACTGAGACTGAAGTTCCAAATACCTCTCAAAGACAATTGAGAGTTAAGAGTTTTGAGGAAAAGCCTGCCAATAAACCATTAAATTTGATATTCTAAATGTTGTTGCAGAAGAAAACACAGAAAAGACAATAAATCAAAGTGGATCCAAAATCAATACCTTTGTCTATTAATCTCTCTATTCAAGTGTAAGAGTTACCAATTATACGTAAAATTATGGAGAAGAATGAATGGAAAAAGGCTCATAATTTTGATGGAGACATCTTATGGTGCGGTCCTGATAATGTTCAATAAGCCAAACAATTTACTTACGATTTTGCAATGGTCTTTATGAATTTATGCATCAGTAGAATTCCTGGAGCTAAACTTATCTCTACAAAAAAGGAAACTACGTCAATCATGGCTAAAATGAGATAGTATAATATGTGTCATATTATATTAGATATTTTCCGTCTATTTATAATTTTTATCCAAAAACCTACACCATGCCAGAGGATTTACATGAATTCATTGAGGATTTTGAAAAAAAGGATGGCATCTCCTACATAGCTAAACCCGATAAGGGAACTTAGGGTTAAGGAATCTTCATAGTCAGCTAAATAGAAGATTTATTCAACAATGGTGTCAAGGATGTCTCCTATATAAAGAAGTAATGATATTTCAATAAATAGAAACTATATTATATAAGAGTATATAAGCAATCCCTTACTATTGGATGACAAGAAATTCGATTTTCGATTGTATGTGTTAGTTACTTCACTGAAACCATTGATAGCCTATATAAACGAAGAAGGCTTAGCAAGATTGTGCACTGAAAATTATTAGGACATCACATCAAGTAATCTCTCTAATGTTTATATGCATCTAACAAACTATTCATTAAATAAAAGTAATAGACAACAATAGTATATCCATAGATAGTCAAAATTTTATTATTCATCCTCCAGATTTCCAGAAAATGAATCTTGGAACTAAAAGAACTTATACATCAGCCAAAAAGACATTGATGAAAATGGGCATCGATGTTCCCAAATTAAAATTGAGGATTGAACAAACCATTGTAAGATTCTTATATGGAATTGCTCCCTTTTTAGTAAGAAATCCTCTCTATTAGTAAAGTTAAATTCAACCAGAGAAGTCTATCAAGACAAGTGGGAAAAAGCTAATTGTTTTCATGTTATTGGATTTGATATCTTGATTGATAAAGATCTAAAGCCTTGGATTATTGAGATTAATGCTAATCCTAGTTTGGAGATCACTTAAGTAGTTTAAAATGCAAATGGAAGTAAAAGAGTAGAGACAAGTTCATTAGATGCTTTTGTTAAAACTAAAGTAATTGAAGATGCTTTCATTATTGCAGTTAAAACACCTTAGGAATAAATTGAATAGATTGGTAAGGGGAAGTATTGTAATAGTTATAAGATGATTATTGACGGTTAACCACCTATTGAGAATTTAGATTTGGTAATTTATGCTTGTTTATTTTCAACTTTAGTTCTATAAATTGGTTGATCTGTACAGCAATCTTTGTGGATTGAGATATGGCAATTTGAATTAAATGAGATTTTGCAGATTGGCTAATAATCCTCAGTTGATTAATGAATTGCTAATAAAATCAGATTACGATTTGATTTACAAAAAAATCTAGTTAAAATCATTATAGACAGATTTGAATTTTCTGGGCTTCATTGAAGCTATCGAATCTATCTCGGAAAAGGTATTAATATAATAATATAAATCATAAGCTTTTGAAAAGGAAAGCTTCGAATTATACATTATAAAAGGCTGTGACCTATGTTGTAAATATGGCTTTAAAGGCTCCTCAATCATAGTAAAGACCTTTGACTGCAAAAAGATGATTTGGTGTTTTAAATAAAACATACTAATTTTTTTGTTTAATTATTAAATAATACAAATGTTTTATGTAGTAAAGGGACTCAAAACTAAATTGTCAATAGAGCCAAACTATTTAGATCAATTAAAAGATTAGAAGTTCATTTTAGAATAAATTGTATAGAAATTAGAAGGGAAGTACTTCGATGATGTAGGGTACATCATTTGTATAAATAAATGCATGAATTACAATTAAAATTAGGATGAATAAATTGATGCATTAATTGAAGAGGATGGAACCGTTAAAGTGGTGGTATAAATTCATTCCATATCAGATTAAATTTGAAGCCATAGTATTTAAAGTGTAGGAAAAGGAAATAGTCGATGTTGAAGTGATCAAATGTGAAGCCTAAGCAGTCTATGCAAAATTGGGGCCTATTGATTTTATCATTCCAAGAGATAAATTACCTACTAATTACACCTTTTCTAATGTATATTTATCATTGTTAACTCAGGAATCCTATAAAGATTAAGACGAAGAAGTCATTAAATAAGGTACTAAATTAAGAGTCCAAGTTCAAAAAACACATTACAAACAGGGCAAATTAAGAGCATTTGCTCATCTAACTGGTGACAATTTAGACAATATTTGTGGCATACTAAGTGATGATCTGAAGTTATGATATATATATATATATAATTTAATGTAAGAGTTAATTAACAAATTATTCATGATAGTAAAAATTACTCATCTATCTTGTAGTTATGTGAAGACGAACAATCAAAGTAGAAATATCAAAGAAATAACAATACTTAAGATTAGTTAAAGCAAATCACAGAAATTGTGATTAAAAAATAATAGGAATTTTTGGGATTAGAAAAACAATTATAGAAGTATGAATCAGAAGTTAGACAGAATATTAGAGTATAGTTTATAATGACATCATTAGGATCAATATTTAATGTAATAGTAGTGCGATGATTTAAAATCGAGAATCGAAGAATTAGAGAGTAGCAGAACTGAATTTTTAAATAATACAAAGAATATCATTATTGTAATTCTTCTATGTTATGTTTATAGAAATTTAAAAGAGAGAATGAAGAATTATATTAGAAATGCAAATCCTTAACTGCTTAATTATAAAAAATTGATAATTAGGTATTAAATTTACTATTAAATTTAGTCAATTAGCAAATACTCAACCATAGATAATACTGTAATGACCAACCTGACAAATATAGTTGATTAGAAAAAACCAAATAAGAAAACCAACACTACTCCTTAAAAACTAAAAACTGATTTCGATGTATCAGAAAAACGATTAAGTTAACCAATTTTCAAGCCCAATTATTTTTAAAAGAAATAATCTATACAAATTAGTATATAAAATAAAAAAAAGTCATTCTAGTAGTTAGAAAACTATTTGAATGTAACGACAAGTATGTGAATAATATATTTATAATATCAATTCTACTTTTAATTATGTTATTTTGAATGCTATATAGCTTTTTGAATATGAGCATTATATTATTTTTGGGATTGCTTAATGTTCTCATTTAATTCGTCTCTCTATTATAAATTTTATTCTGCAGATGGAATTTAAGTAATTTATTGTTTATCTTCTTCCTTTTGGTGAGTTTTCTTTTTATTATCTTCAAGAATCACTTGATGATTGGTTTGTTTCTTCTATTTTTAAACGAATGATAAAAACTGTTAAGAATGTGCTCCTGATCTCATCAATATCAAGTTAATATAATAATCTCTTGAGAAGGATGAAATCTTACTATCATCCATGTCCTATTTGATTTCTGAAAGTTCCTTAATTAAGCCTTTAACTTCTTCAATTGAATTAAATTGTCCTGTTCCGAATAAATAGCCAACAAGATAATGATCAATGAGTAGTCCTTGTCCTTTAGATTATGATTACTAAATTTCACATAAAAGTTGTTTAATAATTTCCATTAATCAATCTATTAAATCTGTAATTGAGTTCAAAACAAGATAAAGTCTAAAAAAGAAATTATAGTATTTTAAAAAGCAAAGACTTTTGAAGTCATAATGTAAAGAAAATTATATATTTAATAGAATTGATGCTTATTATTCACAGGTTAGCATTTATTATATGGTGAGAATAATATCAAAAGAATGATTAAATGAAAGATTGAGAAGTGACCATAGTAATAATCAATTCGTTAGAAGATTGAAATTGGGGTTAACTTACTCTTCTTGTTTATCTTAAATTTTGGGAGGATAATAGATTAATGACTAGTCAGTTTGTTTAAATTATAAAATATTGAGCATTCCAATCTAGTACGATTATTCTATGTTCATGTATTTAATCAAAAATGGTATTGTCTTATTTCAATTATAATTTATTAGTTTTAAGATTCATCATCAAATACCCCATTGTTTTATCATTACAAAGCAAACAAAACTAATTAGTGTTAATAAAATAAATGCTGATATTTTTCAAATAAATAAAAGCTTGTTAAATTTATAACTCCTAGTATACAGATTGTTAAAATTCTAACTTTTGTGTTATTTGATATATTAAGTTTTAAATTAATGTTCATGTTTTTTGCTTTATCCTTCGTTTAAGTTTACTTTCACACATTTCCAAATTTGTTCTTCAATGATAGTAAGTAATTTACTTGTAATAATGGTTAAAATATTCTTCCATAGTCATTTCTTAATCCACCAATAATAGAAACTAATTTTCATATCTTACCATGATTTTGAGTATGTAAATATTTAATTTTTGATAATATAAGGACTTTAACTTTTAATCGAAAATCTTAACAGCAGGGAGTAATTTTTTGAAATTAATAAAAATAATATTGTATAAGTTAGTAGGATCAGAAAACAAATATATGAAAATGTATTTAATATTATTTTCCAAACTAGACATCATTCATTTTTATTTCTTGTTATTGTTATTAAAATTTAATTTATATTGCTAACCAATTAGGTTTAATCTCAAATTGATTTTCAATCTCGATTGGATTTGTAATTCAAAGTCTAAAATGATGTAAAAGATTCTAATAATCAAATTTAGAGTATGTATTTTATATTGTTTTGTTCACTTCAATAATAATAATTATTATTATGATTTGAATATTATCCCATATTATAAATTAATTGTATAATAGTATTATTAAATAAATTAGATTTTCCTATTATCAATGATGAGCATAAGAGTAGTGAAACTACATAAAATATGAGTACATTCATCTAGGCTATCTGATTATATTTTTAATGTTATTTAAAGTAATTACAATTTCTTTTATTTGTCAAAATGATAAAACAATTAATCTATTAAGTCATAAATGAGTTTAATAATTGTTTATTGAATTAACACATGAAGTAATATTATTGAGGCATAAAAAGACTTGGTTGTCTCTACATTTATGCAAGTCTTAATTATAAAACAATACAAAAGGTTAAATTTTGATAATAATTAATTTTATTTATAAAATATATGAATTAAGAAGAGAAAAAAAATGAAAATAAAGAACCAGAAGTGAAGGATAACGTCGAGGATTTTGGCATTAAGGTGTTATCTGCAGGTTAGAATTTGATATGAATGTATTAGAGGAATAGAAAAAGATTATGTTACAAATAAGTTAAGAAGAATCATTCAATCTAAAAAATATCGAATAAAGAGAAGATGATGCTGTTTTTATAGAAGATGAACCAGAAAAGGCTTTGGCAAAACTTTTAGCACTTAATTAATTAAATTTTTAAGAAAGGTAATTACATCGAATTAAGTTTATAGACAAGCTTATGCTAAACATTTGGCAGAACTCATAATATTGATAGGAAATGAAGCATAATAATAATTGACTTAAATTATAAACCAACTAATTAACGATAGTGATGAAATGAAGAAAATCTTGATTCATTAACTTGATTTATTGTTTGATTAGATAGACGTATCAAAGATTAAACAACATATATTGCCAGCATTGATGTAATTAATAAAATATCATAATTTTGACATTTAATCCGATGTTCAAAAATAGTTATCTAGAGTGATTTAGAAACTCTCTAAAGAAGAAATAAAAGATTTGATTCTAAATGATTTAGTTCTTATGATTCATGATGAATCCAATGAAGAAAATAAAATGATAGCTTTACAATTTTTTGGCTCTTATGCTCAAATTGCCGATTAATAATCTTTAGAGTCTTTCATTTCAACTGAAATAATAAATGCAGGTGAGGATATAAGCGTTAGAGTAAGAAAGGAATCAATTTAATAATTACCATCTATTGCAAAATCAGTAAGACCTGAGTTTTTTGTGTCCAAAATACTTCCTTATTATCTTTAGTACATCTACCATTAAATTATCTTAATAGAAAATCTGAAGATAAGTCATCATGGCATATACGCAAAGCCTGTGTAGAAATAATTGTGAAATTAGCTGATATAGCTCCTAAATAAGTAAGACAGAATGAATTGTGCAATAAAATGATTGACTTCCTAAAGTATTAAATAGATATTTAAATAGGGATTCGAATAAATGGGTGAAAGCATCAGCATTTTTTCTTCTTGGATATTTCATTCATAAATTACATGATTGTAATTAAAAAAATGAATAATTACTAAATGAATATTGCAGATCCATTAACAAAGATGTCTGTGAATATTTCTCATCTGATTAAGAAATTTATGATGCTTGTGCAGCAACTTTCCATTAGGTGGTTGAAATATATGGATAAGAGAAGTGGCCTAATCTATTTAAACTATTATAAGGTCTAGTAAAAAATAAAGGAGTCAGAAAAGTATTGGCTGATAACTTATATATAATTGCTAAATCATGTGGTCCGAGATATGCTGAAAAAGATCTTGTGTTCATTTTAGATTCATTTTTGAAGGATTTGAATGATGAAGTCAAATATGCAGCTGCACAAAACTTATGGGAATTTATAAGGATATTCGATGAGGATAAAAGAGATAATTTATTAGATGTAGTGTTAATCATATAAGTATTTTATATTCTTAATATTCACAGAGAGATCAAAAGAAATGGAGAATACGCCACCTTATTGCTAAATAAATTAAGCATTTGGTCCCTTTATACAGTGTTGATAACATATTTCAAATAATAGTGCCAATCACATTGAAATTATGTAATGATATTGTAGCAGTTGTAAGAAAATAAGCAGCAAAAGAGATGCATTCTATTTTGTAATCTTTGAATACAGAGGATGAAACAAGCTAAATTTACTATTAATGTTTAATTGAGAATATTAAAGCGTATGGAATCAGTCATCGTTTTAATCAGAGATAAGCGTATAGCTATATATGTTTATTATTTAGATTTGCATATATGTGTTCAAAGTTGATCACTCTTAAAGATTTTGAATCCACTTTCTTGGAATAATTTGTATCCCTTAGTTTAGATCCGGTGAAGAATGTTAGAATTACAGTAGCTCTGATTGTTTAAAAAAGATTTTAATAAGGTAAGTATTAGTGTATTATTCTAGGACATCTTAAAGATAATTAGAAAATATAGTAAATGGTATAAAATTTGAAGAGCCATAAGGATAGAGAAGTGCTAACAATTTTGAACTGATTAGATTAAATTTACATGTATATGTTTATTATTATGTATAATTGAAACTTTCTTGGCCATTCTAAAATAATTGTTATACTTAAATGATATAAATACGTAATTAATCGCAAATATTAAATATAAATTCCTGATTAATTAAAATAATTGTTAAATAATCATATTAAACTTTGAGTTAGATAAGAAAATTTATTAAAGATGTTTGTTTTCAAAACAAATGATCCTAATTGTTGGAGATTGTCTAGAATTTAAAGAAGTTTATGTTTCAGTTAATAGCTATGAAAATTTGGCATATATATAAGTATGATTGAATATTTCAGCTAAATATTTCTATATTTTCTTTAATCAACATTTAGGGTGAAACTAAAGCGAAAGTACGATGCAATATAAATAAAAACAAAAGCAAAAATCTAGACAAGTCTTTGTAACAATATGATTAATTAAATACAGTTGATTGAACGTATCTTTTTCCTGCAATTAAATGATTAGACAATTTACTTGGATTAGGTAATTTACTCACGTAAAGTATAATTAAGAAAGTGATTAACAGATTATTGTAATAGATAAAGTCAAATAAAAAATGCCGAATTTGGAAAACATAATCAATATTATTTTTGTTAGTAAATATTAATGCTTGAGAAAATCTATGAGTTGAAAATATCCTCTATTGTAAAAGATTATTAAAAAATCAAATACTTAGAATACTTGCTACATTTAAAATATAGAGCAAATGCATAAGGACCAGTAAGCAAATTTTATAAGTTGAAGATTACAAAAGTGCTATATAATCCTATCAGATAGTACACTTTGTGAAGCTAATAGAAGAGATGAAATAGTTATTTAATAAAAGACTCTACTTATAATTAATTTTAAGTAACTGCTTATTAAATCTGGGTCTGAAATTGTAATAAATCAATCATCCTACTACCTTAATGCTGTTATCTCTTAATTTGATCGGAAACTTGATATCTTTACATAATAGAGATATTATTAATACAAAACCTCCTTGTATTAAATATTCTAATTATTGTTTTAATTTACCTTTATTATGGTTCCATGTTTATTATAGCAGGAGATATCTAAGAAAGGGCGGGGGATTTCAATACAATGAATATAATTAAGTATTTACCATAGGGAATCTATTTAAATTATGCTAAGATACTTATTAATTTTGGATGTTAATTTATTCTCAGATTATAATTCCAATCAAAACATTTATTTTTGAATTTATGGTCAACTTACAAATGATGAAAACCTTATTAGATATGAGACTTCAATATCAGTAATTTTATATCATAATCAATATACAAATCCTGGATAATGAGTATAGCTAATTTTTTAGTGTTAAAATTTAAGGATTAAAGTAATGATCTTGGGCAAATAACGATTATGATTAAAAAATAAAGTAGAGGGAAAATTATTAGATGACTAATTTTAGGAAGTAAAACTTTATCAGCTAAATATTAATGTAAGGAGAAAATGAATTAGAAAATCATTCTATATTTAAATAGCCACATAAAACAATGAGAAATGCATTTGTTGTTGATGTGAACTAAAATTATTCATTTTTCTCTATGAACCAAAACAATATACTTTGATCAATTATTGATGAAAATCTACAATCTGATGCTAATTCTAATTATTGGTTTATAAAGACAAATTTCTATAAATATTATATATTTTAATAATTTTTTTTTTAAATCTTGAGAGTGATGAACAAGATTAAAGACTTTTCTAGTGGGTACATTAAAACTATACTGTTTGCAATTGAGTATAAACCTCGTTTTTAAGTATGATAATGATTATTCCAAAGTTCCCTTAAGAGTTTTTTATTATCCCCCATCTTTTACATCATGTTCAATTATTAGGTTTATTTTTAGAGAGATCATCAGATTAGGCCTTTGATTACGCTGTGGTGTTGACACATTTCTCTTTAATTGAACCTATGTTGACATATGAACTAAGCACAATATTTCTATTTGTAATTTTTGCTTTTTAAATCATATTACTAATTTATCTACTTTTTGCAACATTTGAAACTTAAAGAGTGTCCTTAAACTTTAAATTAAGATTAATTTTAGAGAAAAAGATAGAATCAGTTAATTCTATACTGCACTGGTACTTTACTTTTTATAGCATCTTCACAATACCAATTATTGTAATTAGCGTCAAATTTATGTTAACTAATTATTATATATTCGGATATTTTAATGCATTATTATAGTATTGCTAAGGAATAATTCTCATTTATCTATTAAGGAATCACAGATTCGCAGAAAACAATTCCTTTAAAAGAAGATTTGCATATGTTCAATTATTTAATTATACCATTGGTTACTTATTAATCTTTTTTAGATTCTATTAAGAAATTTTATTTGTCAAGTATATCTTTGGATTTTCTTATGCATTTTTGCAAATATTAGATCAATTTTATAGTTGTCCTTATCGAGATCCATTTAGAGAACCCTCATTAAAAGTAGCTATGGTACTATTTAGTAGCATATTCATTTGTCTTATGTTTTCTTTGGAAATAATAGTAGATGGATAATTGTTTTGGACTTTGTTTGTTGCTGCCTTAATGAGTGGAGTGTCGACTTCAATAAGTTCATTGTTTCATGAATTTGCAATGACTAATTACAATTCTCGTTTCAATCTATAAGAGAAATATATAATTATTGGAGTGGATTAATTTTATAGTCATTTTATCCATTTTTAAACAAGTGAATATAATAAATTAACTTACTTTTAATAATTACTTAAACATAATGAGAATTGTCTCAGACTTAAGTGTCCTTCTTAAAGAACTAAATTATCAAAAATGAATTTTAATGATAAGATTTAATTGCAAAAACTAACAATTGATGTAGTAAGTTGTATCTTTAAGACTTGTCATAGTAGGACTGTAGTCAAAAATGGGGAAATTCATAAACCAAAGTTCGAGCAATTGCAATTACAATATATTAGTTTTTTATCATCAACAGCATAAAGACCATTAATTGGTTATGTTGAATTACGAAAATATCAGCAAGATTAAAATAGCGATAATTCCTTATATTTTAGAGAATTGACTTCAAAAATTTCAGCAGAGTTGGAGTTTTCCATTTTGTATCTCCAAGAGAGAATGATATAATAGCAATTTAGAAAGGAAAGATATATGGCAAAGGAGGAGAAATTAACTATTGCATAACTCTGGAGGAGTATTAATTTTTATTAAGAAATCACTCCTAAAATAATAGAAGTAATAGAAAAGAAACAAAAATTTTGGGACAATCTCATCGAAGGTTACGATGATTTAGAACCATTTCATAAAGAATAGCTTTAATTGTGCAAATCTATAGATGAATTATATAAGAGTATTAAATGTAAGAGATATGATCTATTAATAAGCCACAATCATAATACCAGAAGTGTTTTTTGATAGATCAAAAGATATCAGTTTATAAACTGTCCTAAAAACATTGGATCCAGAAGATAGAAATATCAATATACTAAATTTGAAGTTGTATTCTATTCTATACGCTGTGATATTAAATGACTTTGACAGAGTAATTTAGTATTTCAAAATAGGCATTTTAAGCAGAAAAACAAATAGAAGAACTTATAAAAGAAGATAGATAGAAATCGGTGGAAGTTATTGATGACTGTGCTCTCTTAAAGGATGAAGCTGTCATTATCTTAGTGAGTCTTGTAAGAAAGAAGGGCCATATTGTGAATAAGAATTTGTTAACTTTAGCTAATTTCTTTGAATTTTAGAATGTTTAAGATATAGCAGCTGTATAACTATTAGTCTAGTATTTAGTAAACGCTAATCTCATCCTTCCTGCCACCTGATTTAAGAATATTGCATGATGCATAGTTAAATGATTTTATATCAAAGGGTTATACTAAGTATTCTGTATAAAGCATCCATTCTTATTTTCTATAAAAATAGGGATATTTAAGAGAATGCTATATCAAATTGGGTAATTTATTTTAAGATTCCTCTGATTTCGTTTTGACTGGTTCAATTCTTAGATTACAACCCTCATATGATGTAATTATGTTTGATAGTTATGGCAAAATTATTGGATCTACTTAAGATTTCTTTGAAAAAAGGATACTGCCCAATAATCCAAATATGACAATGGAAAGATTTGTGGAGCAAGGACATATCTTTATGTTGATGCCATTTATCTTTATTAACCTAAGGAAATTAGCTAATGAAATTGAGACAGAATTTGTAGATTATACATATTTCCCAGAATAATTATAAGATATTTGCTTATAGTTTGGATAGATATTCAATGATAGATAAAAATACGATTAAAAATTGTCATCCTATAATTTAACTACTATAAAGTCCTAGTTAGTATCACATGGCTCTGCTGTTTCTGCAAGAAGTTTCAATAATTAAGAAGAGTAAGTTAAAATCAAAGGATAGAATATCCCCATGTTATAAGTGGAAAGAATGAATTTAATTTTAGACTTTTTATAAAAGTATCATGATGAATAAACCATCAAATGTGATGTACTTAAAATTAAGTACAATTTAGAGTTTCAGATAATGGAGACAAAAAAGGAGAGATACCCATATTTTGTATTAAAGTTGGAACCCTTAAGTGAATTTGAAAGATCAGATTCAAGTTCAATTATTCCTTATAAAAAGTCTATTCGAAGAACTTTGATGGCTCTAAAATATGGGGAATCACAAACTGGATTAGATTCCACCAATACAAAGAATTTCATGACTAGACATCTTTAAGAAAACTCTGATCAACTCAACGAAACTGCTGATTTAAAAGGTCCTTCAGACCAATAAATTTTAGAATAGATTATGGAAATAAACAATAGTAATATTTCTAAACTATTAAAATAACAGGATGAGTCAAAAGTCATCTTTGAAAATCCTCAAATTTCTAGGATTGAAGACTAAGACTTTCAATAATTAGTATAGGATATTGAAGAAAGTAAAATCAATGCCTAATAACCAGAATAGGAACAATTTGATGATCCAAAATATGAATCTGATTTAATAGAAAAAAAGTCTGATAGTTCAAAAGATTTATAAAAAAAGAAGAAAAATGATATTCTAGAAATTTTAAGAAAGAATATGAATAATTAGGAAGTTTAAGATCATGAAAATAAATAGTCTTCTAAACCTAGTTCAGCAAAAACCTCATCATCAAAGTCTCCATATCTATTGATTAGATCTCTCTATCAGTTTGGTGAAATCAATACTCAAATGTGGTTAATAATAATATTAAACATTGTTGTTTGTCTAACTGCACTAATTTTAGTATTCATTAAGATCTACATAGTCTAAGGTATTTATTTAAGTTATTTTCAGATTAATTCGGAATTCTTTAAACTAATTTAAATTATGTTTAATATCCGGAAAAAATCAATAATTACTTCTTAAAGACTCTGATGTTTTCATCAAACATTCTTCAATAAAAACTAAATTTCGTAAACTATAGCTAAATAGTGAATGATGCCTTCAAAACTGAATTCAACACTTTAGCTTTGAATATTGAACATGACTTAAAGAGTATTTATGAGGATATCATTACTTTTGAAAATTAAGTAATACCATTAAATGACAATCTCAAAATCATCAATAACCTATAATAGTTCGAAATTACATTTGATCTTACAATATTGTTAGAGCAGATATCATCAAATTCAATCAATTTAAATCAATAAATCCAAAACGAGTTAGACGAAAAATTCGTGTCACTCAACCTATTCTTCAAATTAAATATGGTTCAAGTCATAACAGTTAGTAAAAGTTATATAAATTATCTAAATGACAATTTAATATTTTATGAGTAATAAATTGTTAATGCTCTCATTTATGTAGTTGTTGCGGAACTTAGTGTCATAACAACTTTTATGTTTTTGATCATAAAGGTCTTGCAAGATGTTAATTAATTAATCAGAAAGATCTTAGTACTTATTACTAAATTGAGTGAAGATGATGTGAATCAGATTAACAAGATTTATAATGAAATCAAAACTATTTTAAAGGATCCAAAATAAGTCTTATGGAAATAAACAAACTTTGTTAAATATGTATTTGAATCAAACTTTGTGAAAGCAAAAGAAGATTTAAATTTTCTTTAGTCCTCAAGTGGATAAAGTACTGCTAAGAACAATAAGCAGAAATTCAAAAAGAGATATTAAAATAGTTCCTTAACTTCAAGAGTTTATAACTTGAGATTACCTCAAATTTGGAACTATGCCTTCTTATTTGGATCATGGTTATTTCTAGCAGGATATCTATTAGGTGCATTAGGCTTATCTATATCAATGGTCTAATCCATTAAACCAGCAATCACATTAAATTTATAATTGATTGAATTCAAATTAAAATTTGATTCCCTTGTTGTTTATGGAGAAATTTTGAAAACTGACTATTTGGTGAATAAAAAATTAAATCAAATTTTTGAGTTGTCTTAAATTGACTTTAATTAAGATGGTGTTTTATCAGAATTTTTCTCCTTACAAAATGGCTTTTAAGATTAATTATCTGTCATTTATGATCAATTAGCTTCAAGTACATCCCTATTAGAAGAACAAAAAAACACATTGTTAGTACCATTTCGAAGTTCCCTTTGTGAAAGTGATCCAACTCTGGTTCCAGCTTGTACAAATTCATTTGCACCAGCCTCTTCAGATAATAGTTTGGACTATATATCTGGAGGGATAGTCGATATGGTACATGAATTTTCTAAGACTTTGAAAACATTTTGGTAATCAAACGATTATGCTATAACAGATGAGGATTAATTGGAACACTTTTTATCAGGGTAAGTTCATACAACTGAATTTACACATCATTTTCTATTTTAAGGGAAGATAATGGAACAAATCGCAAGTACGATGCTGAATTTAAATAAAAGTACTTTAGACTCAGTTATTTTAAAATTTCAAATTTATATGTATACTATGGGCTTAGCAATGATTATCATTTATATCTTGTGTTTTTACAAGTGGATATTAAGATTGGATAATGGAATGTATTTGACAAAGTTAGCTTTAACTTTAATTCCTGCAGATTCTTTAACTGAACAAAAGACAATGACAGACTTGAAAAATATTTAAAATGAATGACAATTATAATATCTATATTCCGCAATTAAATAAATGTATTATAAACATATAAATCTTATTGCAAAGTAGCATTCAAAGGTAAAGTTCAAATTGAAAATTTCTATCATATTGATAATCATAAACAATAGGTGCATAGTTTTCAAATTCTCAAATAGAATAAGTTTGACATCAAAATAGTTATTATGGGAGTTAAAATTAAAAACTTAAATAAGCTTTTAATGGGATATTAGTTTGGTAAAATGAATTAAAATTTGTCTTATCACTAGTATAATTATCTTGATATTCTTTTCAATAAAAACAAATTAAATTGACCTGAATCTAGATATACTGTGCATATTTCCATTTAATTAAAAAACATAATAGTATAGAATTTGTTAAAGAATTGGCTATCCTATATTTAAAAGATCTCCTTATTGCATTTGTCAAATAAATAAGAAGAGCCTTAATAATGATTTATATGCAATAGATTTTCATTAATGTAGCGTAGTTAAATGTGATAAAGTAAGAATTAAGTTTATATTATGACTGCAAGTGAATAGAAAAATCATACTGGCAGAATTATGAAATTATCAATAAGCTGTGAAATAATGTAAATAACGATATATTTATATGAATTATAAATTAACAGAGCCTCTTTAAGCTTAGGATCAGAAACCAGAAATTGTAGGGGAATTTATAACTCCTAAAGGTAAAAGAAGGGTTTTGCATGGATTTTCTAATTCAATAATTGTCGCCAACAAGAAGAAATTTATTTCCCTAACCTTTGAAACCAAATTTTAATTATTAAGAGAATCGGTTGAGGAGAAATTTAAAGTTGGAAAAGCATTAGGATTATTGATTGAAAGAGAGAACATTGAGCACAAAATAAAATTATTTTCAGATGATCAATAGCTATTAAAAAGATGGAGAGATTATTTAGCAAAACACATAAATCAAAGAGCATTTCATGAAAGCTTTAAAGCACATCGAAAAATTGGAAAGGGCAATTTTGCATCAGTTTATTTGGCTGATCGTTTAGAGGATGAAAGAAGCTTTGCGATAAAAGCATTTTCAAAAGAGGTTGCGTATGGTTAAGATAAAGGAAAAGTAAAAATGTCCTTTTTATTGTAGTTGTCTATATTGAATGAAATTTCTGTAATGAGATAGTTTGATAGTCATGCCTTAATAAAATTGCATGAAGTTTACGAAACTGAAAATTCCTTATACATGGTACTTGATTTGCTGGAAGGAGGATCTCTCTACGATAAAGTAAAAAATAGGCCTTAGTTTAATTCATTTGAAATTGAAGTGCTTTTATTTACTTTATTGGAAGGATTGCAACATATGCATTCAAAGCACATAATGCATAGAGATTTAAAGCCAGAAAATATATTATTTAGAAAAGCAAAGTAATCATTATTCTATTGAATTATTAGCAATATCTAATCTGTTTGTATAGCTGATTTTGGGTTGGCTTAAAACGCTGATGAATTCCCATATTTATTTAATCGATGCGGAACACCAGGTTTTGTAGCTCCAGAAGTGGTCAACTGCAAAGATGGAGGAAGATACGATCCAATTTGTGATGTATATAGCTTAGGACTCATATTTTACATATTGTAATTTCATTGTAAATTTTATAAGATTAACTGGCAAACCTGCATTTCCAGGAAAAAGCTATAATGATGTCTTAGCAAAAAACAGAAAATGTGAAATATCCTTCGATGGAGCCATATTTGAGAATGTTCCTTAATAGGCCTATGATTTATTGAGGAAGATGTTAGAAAAAGAACCTCAAAAACGGATCACTGCTTAATAGGCTCTTGGACATTCTTATTTTGGTAGAAGGGTAAAATAGGTAGAAGAAAATGAAGAGACAACTTTAAAGATATAGGAAGAGCATTTAAAATTTGATAAATAGAGACTAAAATAGCTAAGTAATTCACCACTTCATTCACCATTGATAACTGCTTCTTCAAAATTAAGGAAGGATTGTTCAAATGATAGTTTATATCAAAATAGCCCTTTACTAAATGGGCACACTGATTAGATAGGTATTATTATCTAAACTACGTAGATTCTCCTTCAAACAACGGATTCAATAGTCCTTCTGCTTAGGGCAGATAATTAAATAGAGGAGATTAACAATAATAATAAAAGCCTTCAAGATTCAGAGATTTTGATGGAAATAATACTAATGGTTAGGGAAGTTATTAAAATTCTAATTCAAAGCCATTTAGTCTAAATTAAAATCCTTTGCATAAATATGCAATTAGAAATGAAATGGTCAGATAGTAAAATAACTAAGAATAAAAATAATGAAATCAGGAAATTTGAAAATATATTTTATCATTCTAAAATATCATTTTATATTTAAATCAATATTTAGATGTTTGTTGATGGTAGATTAATATTATGCCCCTTTCTTAATGATGAAAAGTATATTATTAATAAACAATATTATTTTTAATCTATCTCTTTATAATGGTATCAATCTGAACTTGGCAACAAATATTTATTATAACAAGTTCATTCAAATCCTAAGGAATACAAATAAAATAGAATTGTAATTAGTCTTTTTTAACACTTGTAATAGCAAAATCTACGACTATTATAAATCCACTTTAGGAAATTTGAGATTGTAAGGGTAAGATAATCTTTTTTTGTTTAGAAAATTAGCATGAAAAATAGTTTTAGATAGTCTCGATGATGTAGTATTTTAGAAATTAATTTAAATATAGAAGCCAATTCATACAAAATCTTTACAGATATTGAAATCACATATTCCATATTTAAAAGTAAATGATGAAAACGAAAAATAAATGACAAAATGTGTCTATCCATTCATAAAAGGTGGAAAGAAGAGGAATTAGATATCATTAAATATGTGTATCAAATGAGATATAATAGTGTTTGATTAGATAAATTTTTTGTTGATGGATTTCTAAACTTGATATATATTAAAAATGAATTATTAATTAAAATGAGTGAAAGTATTGATATAAATGATATAATCACTCTGAATAGGTATTTTCATTTAATATGAAGAAACATCTATGGAACTTAATAGTAGAACAAGGAAAGCAAGATACTTCAAAAGCCTGCAGATGATTCTAGTCTCACTATTGATAACATTTTAAAAGGAAATCAGTATGAAAATATATCTAAACATTAGAGCATTTTATGCTCCAGTCTCAGTTAAGGCAGAATAAATAAATGAAAAGATTGCAGAGGAATCAGCAGAAGAAAAGACTGACTTCTTTCAAGAGGTGTAATTATTAAGTAAAATCCCTGAAATAACTTCTCTCAATTCAATCTACAATTATAAGACAATTTTTAAGAATGATGGAATCCCTTATGATGAGGTAAAAAATTTAGATAAAAGTACATAATTATTCAATTGAAATAGCAAGGATCAAAAGAAAAGAAAGAGAATAGAAAGGCAGCGAAACATCTATAGCAAAGGAAGCAGTTGTTGTTAAAAAGCAATATGTTAGACTTTATAAAAATTAAATCTCAAAATTATGTTTTATCACTCCAAAAAGTTTATTATTGACTAGCAAACATTTGGTGAACAATACAAAGTGGGAAAAACTCTTAAATTTACAAGATTTCGGAGGCTAAAGACCATCTTTGTCAATAGTTCAAGAAAAAACAACTGGCCGCTTTTATATCTACGATAATAAATTAGGGAAGGTTCATATATATAGTTCAGATATGTTAATAAATGACAATAAGGATAAGCCACTTGTGTCGTTGAATTTAAATGAAGACAAGCCAAGACAAGATCCACTTCTATATTTAATAGAGTGTGAGCATGAATATTAATGGAAAAGTGTTTTGCTTGTTATAGGAGGACATCAACTTCAAAGGGGAGAAAAGAAGCCTCTGAAAACAATAAAAGTGTTTGAGATTAAGCGAAGAGAAGTCACTCTCACTCCTGTTCTAACTATAACTATGACTAAATCAAGAATGAATCCAATCGTATTTGATTTAATTAAAGATAAAGGAATTATTTGGCAAGACAAGGACAACAGAGATAAAGAAAAGTTTGATCCTTAGCATAGATCAGTTGATTCTAAATATATATTTTTTATGGGTGGCAATCCTCTATTGGAATATGAAAAAGAAATAAGTTAAGAATTAATTGAAGCTAATCAAACATGTGAATATGTGAGTTTGAAATTAGTATTAGAACATATTGCTAGAGCAAAATTAGTAATTGTAAATTTATACTTAGTTTTTTTAAACTGATTAAGCTAATTTGGGATTGAATTTTGGTAAATTTTCCATTGTTGATACTCTTACAATCAAATATTAAAACATTGTAGCTACATAAAAGGTTTATAACCATTTTTATAATGCTTCTGTCACCAAAATGGTAGATGAAGTCTTTCAATAAAAGGCATTAATAGTAGTGGGAGGAAATACTTGTTAGACTTTTCAAATATAAGCCATATCATTTAAATTAAATGAAATTACTTTGATTGGTTATAATAAACAAATATCTAATCCTTCTCTCATTCATTCAGCAAGTAATTTAAGGTTTGATTTATTTCATAATTAGATATTTTGAAAAAAAGGTTTGGTATTTTGATGACACAAACAAAAAAGATCCAATGGTCCTGATGAATATGGATTTTAGAAGAGATATAAAAACATCCTGTACTTGTTCAATCATGTGAGATTACATAAATTACATCTTCTAAATTTATATATATTAGATGTTAAATTTTAAGAATATTTACAGATTATTTATTCAAGCTAAACCTACACCAAACCCAAACTTTTTGAAATTTATTCCAGATGGTAAATAAGTAATGCTCAACGGAACATATGATTTTTCAAGGCCAAGAGAAGCCAAGTGTTCACCTTTGGCTTAAAAACTATTTATGATTGATGGAGTCAATAGAGTATTTTATGGAAAAGACTATATTTCTATTTCCAAAAACGAAGAAAGCAAATGGGAGGAACTAAAGCCATAAATATTTGAGCAGATAATGGAACATTATTAATTAGATGCAGAAGGTAAAGAAAAATAATTGATCATTGATGGTTACTCAGAAAATCAAGACACCTAAATCAAAGAAGAGGATTCAGAAGTATAAAGTGTATCTAATTAGGCTATTCAATTAATTAAAGAAATTATTGATACTAGGATCAGACCTACAGTTTAAGAAGATGGAGGGGACATAGTATTTAGAGATTTCGATGAATAAAACGGAATTGTTCATTTATACATGAAAGGTTCATGTGCAGGTTGTCCTTCATCTTCAATCACTTTGAAAAATGGAATTGAAAGAATGTTGTGTCATTATGTTGCAGAAGTAAAAGAAGTTGTTGCTGAAGACTATGTTGGTTCTGATTGATTAATGAGTTGTTTTTAGTTTAATAAACCTGAATAATTTCTTATTCTTCTGCTTCCTCATTTATTTTATATAAATTATTTAATCATACTACACCTTTTCAAATATAACCCATATTCTTATTCAATGAAATTTTAAATCTCGAAAAGTAATTATTATTATAAGCCATACAGGAATAATCTATATTAGCTCAATAAATAAAGAAATTTATTTATGGTGTTTTTTAATAAGCAATTTTAAATGATAAAATAAATATTATTTATAAAGCTAATTGAATACTTCAAATTATCATTTTATAATCTCCAACCATTTCAGAATAATATTCGAACATATATTTGGTGAGTGTCATTTTTTTAGAGGAATAGACTTTTTTTTTAAATAAATTTTATCTATTAATAATAATATCAACTAATTCTAAAAATTTTAGTTCCTTTAAATAGCTTGATTCTCATTTAGAGAAATATATTATTCATCATTACCATCTTGAATCACATAGAGGCATCTTTATATAAATACACCTGCTCATTTCTGATTTTTATATGAGGAACTTTAATACTATTAGAAAGGATAGTTTTTTTTTATTTTGATGTCTGTCTAAGAACGAATATGTTATTTTACAACTTTATAAGCTAAATTTAAATTCTATTGATAAATAGAGTATTAATTCAAATTGAATTATGGAAGACAAGAAGCAAATTATATGTATTACTTAGATAAGTTGTTTAAAAGACCAATCAAACTATCTAAATAATTTACACTACATAACTAATAATTTGAGTATTTTGTTAGTGTATTTTTCCAATATTATTTAAAAAATGAGCACTTATGATAAAATTAAAAAAAGGTAATTCAATATTTAAATATATTAAATAAAATCTTGTAGTTTTACGCTATTAAATCATTATGACATAAACTCAGAATACAATATATGATATTTTTAATAAAATGAACTACATTTAAATCCTACATTCATTTGATCAGATTCCTCACTTAATTTTGTTAAATAGTTGAATAATGTTTACAATTTTCGGTAGCATGAAAAATTAGTTAATTTAAGAGCAAGAATAATTTATAGTAACTTTGATTGATTATTAATTAATTAAATCTGAAGCATTAATAAAACTTTATGTACATCCACAATTAAAATTAGTAGAAAGAATTTAATATTGTTTCTTAGAAAAATTCTCACGAAATAATTTGTTGTATTTATGTAACCATTTTAAATTTACTTTTTAAATTTTTATTTATTTATAGGATTTCTGAAAATTCTTATGAGTGACAGCAGTCCAGAGAAGAAACAAAATGAATTAGAAATGACTAGGTAAAAAAAGGATAGTGATACCAATAATTAAATACTTACTGTATTAAACGATTAATAGGAGGAGTCTTAGCAGGAATAATAACCTTTAAATTTGTAGGAAGGATAAGATGAACCTTCAATGTTGACGATTCCTGAGGAAGAAGAAGAAAAGTTTTATCCTTACTACCATGGTGAGGATAGCTGGATGATATCAAAGTTTTTTTTTTTACATCTAACAAAATATTCATTATTTTTGAAGAGAAATGTATTAGACAAAGGACATAAAATTGCTGATAAACACTTACCAAAATTATCACCTTGGGAAGACTTAAAAGAAACTGTGGAAGTGTCATAAAGAACAGTTAATTAGAAAAAAAAAATTTCTTGTGGTGATTTAGTGAAAATTATTTTTTTTGGTTAATTAAAGTGGATAAGTATAGGATGTTTTTTCTCATACTGTCTAGAAGCAGTTGTAAGAAATGGCGTATCAATGGTAATGAGCAAAGTGATTACTAGTGCTGCAAAAGATGAAAGAGATAATGCATATGGGTTTGCTATATTGTTAGTGTTTCTAAATTTACTTTGTGTTTTTACAAGGCATCATGGTTATAACTTAGCAATGATTTTTTCATCAAAAGCAAGAATGGTACTTATAAATTTAGTCTACATAAAATTAACCGAATTAAGTGCGTACTCCATAAAAGAGGCAAATATAGGTAAAATTTTAAATTTAGTTTCTGGTGATATTAATTACCTTGAATTTGTACTTATTATGATATTCTAAAGTAGTGTATGTTTCATATCTATTATTTTTGGATGCTACATTCTATGGGATAGGTTTAGTGGACCTATAGGAATGATCGCACTTGCTATTATATTCGTAGCCTACCCTATCTAAATAGTTCTCTAATCTTTTAATTCAGAGACTCTAAAAAATTCTAAGTAATATTAAGATCAAAGATTAAAACTGACTAATGAACTTATTGAAGGTGTTAGACTTATTAAAATGTATGCATGGGAACAAGCCTTCAATAACATGATATCCATTATGAGAAAAAAGGAATACATTTGCTTATTAACAATAAGTTTTAGAACAGCCATTGATAGATTATTTAGTTTAATATCTCAAGTTTGGTCAAGTTTTGTTTTCTTTGTTATTTTGTATTACGGAGGATTCAGATAAACAATGAACGTAGCTGAAATGATTTCAACAATCCAATTACTTACATTTTTTAAAATAAGTTGTGTATTTATGGTATCCTATGGAATTTAATCAATAATTCATATAAAAGTATCTTTTACAAGAATTGCAACTATTTTAAACATTGAAAATTCAGAGATGTTAAATTTAGATAAACTTCAATTGAAAACAGATAATAATACTCAACACTAAGATTATAATGGTCCAAGAATTCAACTTTAAAATTTTACTTCATTTTGGACAAGCAAAGTCTCTGCAACTACAAAACCAGTTCTTAAAAATTTAACACTAGATATATAAGCAGGAGAGGCTTGGGCTTTTATTGGAAGAGTTGGTTGTGGAAAATCAACTCTCCTTAGTGCCTTCCTTTATGAAATTCCTGCTTATAAGGGATCATTTAAAATTGATGGTTAAGAGGCAAATAAAGGTGTCTTAAGCATAGCCTATGTTGAATAAGAACCATTTATCTTTCCTGATACTATTAAAAAAAACATTTTGTTTGGTAGACCATATGATAAAGTTTTGTATCAAAAAGTCTTACATGCATCCTAATTGGAAGCAGATTTATCCTTAATGAAATTTTAAGATCATACCGAAATCGGAGAAAGAGGTACTACTCTCTCAGGAGGTTAAAAGGCTCGTTTATCCTTGGCTAGAGCATTATATCAATAGGCTGACTTATATTTATTTGATGATCCTCTATCTGCAGTAGATGCCAGTGTAGCTAAAAACATCTTTCATATGGCCATCAAAGAATTCATTTTTGATTATTAAATAAAAAGAAATCCATCAAAGAAGAAACCTATTGTTATTTTGGTTACCCATTAGGTATAATATGCAGTTGAATGTGATAAAATTGCTATATTAAATGATGGAGAATTAATCTCTTAAGGAACCTATGAAGATATTAAATCAAATTTATATATGATCAATGAAGAATTAGCTTAATAATTAAATAACACAAAAGAAACAACAAAATAAGAATTTGTGAGACCACAATTCTAAAAAAGAACAAAAATAAGAAGTTCTGTTGCCAATAATCTTATAGGTAAGGAAGCAGATCAACAATCATTGATTAACTTAAAAACATATGTGAGATACTATAAATTTTGGAATTTCTTGATCATTTTATGTGTTTTATGTTTGGAAGCTGGTTCTGAAGTTCTTAATAATTTCTATTAAAGAATCATTTCTCTTTTTTAAGAATATTAATAAGAGGATGATATAGACACAGCCTATTATCTTTTAGGAATGTTAACTTTGGGACTTTTCCTTTCTAATTTTTTTAAATATGCTTTAAACACTTATTCTGTTTAAACTTCTACTTAGAAAATACATTAACAAATGCTTAGATCTTTAACTTTAGCCCCAGTTTCATACTTTGATGTGAATCCATCAGGAAGAATTATAAATAGATTTTCAAACGATTTATCTTTGTGTGATAATCAAACAAACTCTGTTAGTTTGGATGTTTTAGAAATTATGGGTGGTTTTTTTTTTGCTCTAATAACTCTGGCTATCTTATAACCATACTTTTTGATAATGATTGTCTTTATTATTGTCATTGATATATATTAGTATAGCTATGCAAAGAAGATAATTAGTTAACTAAAAGAGGTTGAATTGATGTAAAGAAGCCCTTTATTTGATTTTCTAAAAAAGACTTTAGGAGGTGTAATATAAGTTAGAGTTTATGAATAATAAGCTTGGTTTAGAAAATAATTTTTAGAAATATCAAATAAATGCAATCTTAATGCTTTAACCTATTATTATTCTTCAAGATCTTTTGGATTTAATCTAGATGTTGTAGGATTTATAGCTTAGACAGTTGGTATATTCATATTTGTTAAATTAAATTATGATAATGTTGCAATTTTATCTCAAGGATTATTACTTTTGACTACTTATAATGATTCTTTGTAATGGGGATTAAGATAATTAATCACATTTGAAACCTAAATGAACTCTTATAACAGAATGTTCTAGGTTATTGATATTTAACCAGAGGCTCCTCATGTAAAAGAAGAGGATACCAAATATCCAGATTTTCCAAAAGACGGTAGAGTTAAATTTGAAAATGTTTTTATGAGATACAGATAAAATTGTGATTTAGTGTTAAAGGGATTATCATTTGAAATTTTAAGTGGTGAAAAGATAGGTTGTGTTGGAAGAACAGGAGCAGGAAAGTCTTCAATTTTATAGGCAATTTTTAGAATGTCAGAAATTGAAAATGATAAAGAATCAAAATTATTAATATCCGACTTGGATGTTAGAAAATTAGGATTGCATAAATTGAGAAGTAACATTGGAATCATTCCTTAATCGCCTTTCTTATTTACAGGAACTATTAGAAGAAATTTGGATCCCTTCGATAGTTTTACTGATGAATAATTATGGAAAGCCCTTGAGCAAACAGACCTAATAAAGCATGTAAAAGCATTTTCAAATGGTCTATTAACTGACATGAGTGATGTCAATTCAGTTTTTTCTGTTGGTTAAAAATAATTAATTTGCCTAGCCAGAATCATTCTTTTCTAAAAGAAAATTATTGTTTTGGACGAGGCCACTGCAAATGTTGATATGAAAACTGATGATTTTATTTAGGAAACTTTAAAAAAGAAATTTACAGATTGTACTTTAATCACAATAGCACATAGATTAAACACAATTGCTGATTACGATAAAGTTATGGTTGTAAGCGAGGGTTAAGTTATTGAATTTGATACTCCTTTTAATTTATTAGCTAATTCAATTAATTCAACATCTGTAGATAAGAGTACAGAATTTTCGAGACTGGTTAAGAATACTGGTGACTAAAATGCTTAAGCAATTTTTGATATTGCGAAATAAAAGCACATCAAAAAATGATTTTTATTAATTTCTAATAAATAACAAATAATTTTATTATATTGGAACTCAAATATCTTATCAATTATTAAAACTAAAGAATTTCCTTGTAATTCATTAATCTTATTGATTAAGGAATTATAATATTCAATATAAATATTTTATTAAACTCAATCATTTTTGCTATGCCTTAACTTTTAATGGTTTTAATCTATTTAACCAAAGGATTTACTTAGATTTTATCATAATTTGAGTTACAATATCATTTTTATTTATTATTTACAGTAAAATATAAATTATTATAAGAAGAAGGGATAAACTATATAAAGATACAGCAAATTGTATGTTCGATTTAAATGATAACAACATTTTTTTATATTTATAATAATGTATCATTATTATCCTTTATATTATTATCTCCAATTTTCGACTTCTTCTGGCTTGACTAAAAATAATTAATAATATTAGAATACATTCTCTAAAGATAGGTACTGGCTAATTGATTGGTTATCCTGGCTTGACAAGATTTAAAAGGGCAGATACATTGTTATCGTAGGATAATACATGTTCAAAGAGCTTGTCATCCTTTTCTGTTCTTTAGTTAAAGCCTAAAGTGAAATTGATTTTAGCAGAGACAGAAGGCATGAATGGTTCAATCAAAGCACTAACAAATCTGATAGCATTGACTGCAACAAATAATATCACATCAGATCTTTTAGATTCTTTTTGTTCCTTTTCCCATGCTTTTTCATCTTGAATGTATTTGTTAACAAGACTGCTTAATTCCATGGCTTTTCTAAGTGCATCTTTGATTTCAACTTTTTCAAATGCTTCTAGATATTCAGTCTTAAACTTATTCAAGAATAAATTAATAAATTCTTCATCTTTTGGTGTTAATTGATTCAATTCAACTTATGGGATTTATTTGTTATAGTTTTTATAGATGAAATTAAGGGCACGATTAACAAGATTACCAAGGTTAGGTAAAAGTTCATTGTTATTTTTATTAGCAAAATCATTCCAAGTAAATACAGTATCACTCTTTTCTGGACGATTGGCTAATAAATAATATCTAAAGATTTCATTTGGAATTTCAGTATTTTAAGCATTGTCACCAAACACTCCTGTTCCTCTAGACTTTGAAAATTTGCCATCTTCATAATTTAAATACTCTGTAGTGGAGATAGTTTTCAAAAGAGTATAATCTAATCCAGTTCCCATTAAAGTGGATGGGAAAATAACAGTGTGAAATGGAACATTATCTTTACCCATAAACTAAAATAATTCAACATTCTCTGGATTCATCCACCATTATTTCCAATCTTTAATAAAATTGGCTGTAATGCTTAAATAACCAATTGGTGCATCAAACCAAACATAAAATACTTTATCTTTATATTCTTCTAGTGGCACTTACACACCCCATTTAAGATCTCTTGTAATGCATCTTTCTTTCAATCCTAATTTTAACCAAGCTTTAGAAACATTATAAGAATTTTGAGACCATTGTCCGGATTTGGAGGTGGAATGAATCCATTTTTCAAGTCTTTCTTGGATTTCAGGTAAGTTAATATAAATATGTTTAGTATCTTTGATTTCTGGTTTATTTTTGCAGATATAACATTTTGAATTGATTAATTCAACTGGATCAAGTAATTTTCCACAAGAATCACATTAATCACCTCTAGCATCATCATATTGACAATGAGGACAAGTTCCACTTACATATCTGTCAGCTAAATACATCTTACAATGAGAACAAAATGTTTATGGAGTTGTTTTTTAAGTAGTGTATTTTGGATGCAAATGATTGAAAATCTCTTAAGTAATTTCAGTATGAACAGGAGTTGATGTTCTACCGAAATAATCAAAATCAATATCAAACCAATCATAAACATTTTTGTGGATCTCAAAGTACTTAGTACAAATTTATTAAGGAGTCATATTTTCTTAAATTGCTTTCACTTCTGTAGCTGTTCCATATTCATCTGTTCCACAAACATAAAGTGTATTATATCCTCTTAATCTTGAGTACCTAGCAAAAGTGTCAGCACTTAAAACACAACCTATGATATTTCCCAAATGAGGAACATTATTCACATAGGGCAAAGCACTTGTAATTAAGACATTTCTCTTTCCTTTTTGTGGTAGAATTTGCTAACCTAAATTTGTTCTAACAATCTTTTAAGCACCAAATTATTTCAAATAATCTTATGATATTTCTTCTTTTTATTTTGTACCTTTCTCTTTTTGTGGTTGTTATTATTATTATTACTATTATTATGGTTTTTATTATTTTGGTAATTCTTATTCTTATTTCTAATTTCCTTTCTTTGAATCACCTTTTGAGTCTTTCTTTGAATTTTAATGCTATTCAATTCTTCTTTTGATTTCTTCTTCCTTCTTTTTTTTTTCCTCCTCAAAAGCGGTAATCTAAGGTTTAAATTCCTAATAAATTTATTTAAAATTCTTTTACATTTTCCATTGAAGTCAATATTGGATCGACTACAGCACCAACAGTATTTTACCATTTTAACAATTTACCTTAGGTTTTCACTTCAGGTTTGACTCTTTTTAATTTGATATAAGCTATGATATCTGTTTCTGATAATTCTTCTCCTTCTAAATATTTTGATTATTCCAATATCTTATTCAAAGTCTTAATATTGTCTGTCTTGACTTGTTTCTTTTTCTCAACAACAACCTTAAAAAATAAATAAGTAATTTTACATCATTCTTCTTTATTTAAATTACTTCTTTGAGTTAGTGAGCCACCCACCATAATCTCTCATTTTAATATGGATTTCTCTTTACTTTACTCAAATAATTAATGATTGAATAGTTTCCATACACAGAATCATTTTCATTAATTTGAAGTGTGTCACAACATTTACCTTATTAATTAACAAGATTCTTACTAAAATCTAATTTCACTTAGATGTTGTTTTCTAAATGCAAAATTTTAAGAATACTTAACACAGATAATGTCTTTCCACTTAATTTCTTAAAAGCAAAAATCATTAATTTAAAAAATAATTTAATTCTTTCTTTAAAAATATCTTTATAAAAGAGATTCATATTCATATGAAAGAATTGCAAATATATGTGTTTAATTAATAATCACTCACCATATGATACAGAAGAAAGCCATGATAGTTCTAAGTCGATTTCCAAAGTCAAATTCATTTTCTCCGTTATTTATTAATAAATTTTCATTCCCCCTTACAATTTACTATGAAGCATAGAACGCAAATATTTATTCTAAATTTGGCTAATATATCTAAAACTCTGTAATCAATAATTATTTTGATTTTAGTTCTACTTGTAGATATTAGAAAAGTTAAGAAAACTTGAATTATCCTGATGGAATTTAGTATGATAGATAGCTAATATATTGAAAAAAATGATACTTATCTCTGTATTCAAATATAGGTTGTAGTTGGAATTAATGGGAGAGTTATAACCATATAGTTTAATGTACCTGTTCTTTTCTTCCTATATTACATTTAACACTGAATCTTGCCTGCTCTCCTAATTAAGCTCTTAATTCATTTAAAGTTCCTTATGTTATCATATATCCATTGACCATTATTCCAATTTTATTACAGATACTTTAAGCCTCTTATAAAGAGTGAGTAGTTAAAAGTACTGAAGCGTCATTGTTTATGGTTGATTATAGTAATATCTATTAGATAATTCTTCTAGATTTTGGATCTAATCCTGTTGTGGGTTCATCCATGAATAATCTATTTGATCCTCCAATCAATGCTATTCCTAGTTAAACCTTTCTTCTTTCTCCTCCACTTAAGAATTGAACCTGTCTATCTTTAATTTCATACATGTCAAGAGCCTTCAAATATTTTTCAATTGCTTCGGTTAAGTTCTCTTAGCCTTTCAAAGTCCCATAGATAATGAGGTGTTAATATATAGTTAATGTAGGATAGAATGGGCAGAATTATGGAACCAGCCCAAGATTGGTTTCAATATCTCTTATTCTTATTTTTCCTGTTGTTGGCCGATCAAATTTACTAATCATATTAAAAGTTGTTGATTTTCCAGCACCATTTGGCCCTAACAATCCAAATATTTCTTTGGGTTTAATTTAGAATGACAAATTATGGACAGTCTCAACTTATCCCTGCTTTTTAGTTAATTGTTAAACATCAACCAAAGCATCTGTGTCATCCATATTCGCTTGTATTTATTTATATTCATTCTTGTCATTAGAGTAGAGGATTAAGAAATAGACAATCCCTCCTATAATCAGATATATGATGCAGGAAAAGTAACTAAAAATGGGTAAATTCAATAAAATAGGACTCATGGCAAAACCCATATAGCAAGCTGAAAACGGTGATATTATCATCAGCAACATAGAAATCATATTAAACCCAATTGGACTACCTGGTTGAACAATGAAAAGCATTATGATGAAAAAGAAGAGGAAGAATACAAAAAATTATAGTAAAGGAGAACTTATGTAAACACCTTGCTAATTTTGATATAATATCGACAAGCAATTTGAAAAGCAACTCATTGAGACTCCAAATATTGTAATTAAAAAGAATACTTCGAAAAAGTATTGCCGAAAATGTCCAACATCATAGATATATAAGAGGATTGCTGTAAATAGGCCTTCAATAAAGGATGGTAATATATCAGTTATAACATTACTCAACCAGTAAGTGTGTATATTGACCCCACTTGAATACATATACTATTTAATTTTGGTATCTTTATCTTCAATTTGAATCATTACATATAAGGTAGATGTGAGAGCTTTTATTCCTAAGTAAAAAAATACAAACAAAAAGGAATACTACATACCAAACAAGACAGCTAAAAAGATTAATGGTAATGGTAGTGCATATCTCATTTATATATCAGTAGAACTTAAAAGGACTTATACTTTTCTTTAAATTAAACTTATCAATTAGGCTTTGAACACAATCTTTGGTCTTTGTTAAAAGACATGTTAAACATCCAAATCAATATTTTATGTTCCATATTAATAGTCAATTGCAAGATATGAATCTTCTAGTGAATTCAATTAAAGTGAGAATTTGCTTTATGAATTCTATTCTAAATACATTAGAAGTTCATGAAACATATGAATTTGTTTAACTGGTAATACACTTTTAAGAGATGTAGGAGCACATTAAATTACTGGTGTATAACTATCGATTTTTTGGAGTTGAGTTTAGATTTTAGGTTTTTCTTACAACAATTAATTCTGATCCTAAAAGTCCATTTGTAAATGATAACCTACTCCAAAATTGAGTTTAATAAAGTCAGGAGTGCCTTGAGTTACAAGCTACCCGTTCATTAGAATTCCAACTCTAGTTGCTAACTCATCAGCTTCTTCCATGTGATGAGTTGTCATGATAATAGCTCGATGCAATCTTATTTTTTTGATGACTTCCCAAATTTATTACCTTGTCAATGCATCCATACCTGATGATGGTTCATCCAAAAACACAATTTTGGAATTTCCAATTAGAGATATAGCCAAACTTAATTTTCGCTTATTTCCACCACTCAGTTATTAAGACTTTAAGTTAGATTCATTTTTTAATTGGCAAACATCTAAGATATAATTTATTTATTATTATAATTCTTCATCAAGAATGCCTTTTAATTATCCATAAAATTTTAAATGCTCGTAAACATTAAGTTCTTAGTATATGATATCTTTTTATAAACAAATTCCAATCTGATTCTTAAACTGCTTATTATCTATACTCTATCCTAAGATATTGATTTTCCCCTTAGATCTTTCGGACAGACCAGATAAAATATTCATTAAAGTAGATTTGCCTGCTCCATTTGGACCTAATAAACAATAAATCTCATTCTAATAAATCTCCATATTGAGAGATTTGATAATATTTTGATTATCAATCTTCTTCCACATATTCTCTACTTATATAAATGGTTCTCCTTGATTATCTACTTCTTAATATTAAATATTTAACATTGGTCTGTAAAATTACTGTGGTTCCTATTCTCTATTATTAGGATTCTGATTTTATTCATCAACAAAATTAGTGTATGTTTTTGTGTTTTATTTGCAAAAATTACATAAGAAAAAAAACTTTTTGGAACCACTTAAAACTTAATCAAAATACAAAAATCCTAAAGTATAACCAATTATCTAAATTATTAAACAAGTGATATATATTCCAGGATGTAAAAAATATTCTTTACTATTCACTAGCCAATTTGAACTTAATAGTAGCATTTGGTATGCTGTTTATGGTAAAAATAAAGTAGGTAATTGACCAATAAAAGTTAATTTGGGCTCTGGAACAAAATTAGAAATCACAACAAAAGATAACACTACGTTCAAAAGACCAATTAGTTCACTAACCTTATTTGAATTTTTGGAGAATGAACTCAAAAATAATGCCAAGGATGCAATTGCACAACAATATAAATTTTATCCCAAAATTAATATTACAATTTTTAACTATCCATATCCTACTTTATGTAATCCAAATACTATAAAAGGTATCAGATAAATTAGAGAAACACCTATGGTCATAACATAAAATGTTATTATCCATGATGCATAATAAGCATTCGAACTTAATCCCATTTAATATTATAACAATTTAAATTGATCACTTTTCTCTCTCACAAGTAATACTAATGATTGTCTCAAAATTCCATTATTGCTTAAGCAAACAAAAATTATTAAGAAGAATAATCCTAAATTTGTTTTGTAAGCAACGAATATTGATAAAATAACACTTAATATAGGAATATAAAGATTTATCCAAAATTGTTTTGATCTGAAATGTAAAGTGAAATTTTTTCCTAATAATGTTTTAAGTTAATTCATCTAATTCATATAATTATTATTATATTATATTTTTATATTATAACTAATAGCACCATATAGAACCGATTTGCATATGGATGTGAATTAATAATCTCAATACTACTTAATGATTTTCCTAATTATCGATTCATTAACACTTTAGTTGTAACAAAATTTATTTAAAAAAATTATACTATTGATAACACAATATTAAAATAATAAAATAATTCTTAGACCAACATCTGATAACACTATTTCGATAATGATTAATATAAATTTTTGGAAAAATGTCATAAAGGTATTTTCCTGTTCTGTGAAAAATATAAAATTATAATTAAATATTTAAAATATTAAGACATCAAATTCAATTTCTCTTTGAATATATAGAATGAAATTACAAAAACAAACTTAGATGTCAATTAAAATAAAGATCAAATAAAAGTTAAACAATAAATGTATTATATCAATATTTTAAGTTGTAACTAACTATAAACTAACTTTTGAGAAATTGATTTGAACATCTTTTTAGTTCTTGATATTCCAGAATTGAATTCAATCTAATGTAAATAATTATCACATATATAGTGAATAGGTTTGATTATGAAAAATATGATAAACTAAAAGGAGAATAATAAAAAGATTGACATATGGAACTAGATCTTTTTATAAAAAAGTAATTGGTGATTTAGATAAATCAATGATATATGTGAATAATAATTGTAGATTGATATCATTCATCTCCTTTCATTTTGGGTGCGGCTGAAATTTCAGCATTATCATATGGGAAATAGAATGTTGACATGTTATCTCTGAAGGTCCATAAATTGTATTCTGGAACGACATCATATCTAAATTTGTATAAGGTACTCTTATAACATCCAGATTTTTTAATTTTCTATGATAAATGAGATAAGTACCCTGACGGCTGCTTCAATGTCTTTTGTTGAATATTTACCATTTTTGAGATCTGACAGAAATGGAATATTTTTACATCTGATTCCTTCATTAACAATGGCAACTCTGTTCTATTTAGATGGTGTACCAACAGCGCCAACAACAAAGTCATTCATACCATAATAGATGATAAAGTCCCATTTCTTCAAATCTCCTTCAATATGGACTTCATCAAATTGTGGCCATGAACTAGCCTATTATAAAACTTTTCCAAATTGTTCAGTATAAGTGAAGGGGATTTAATGCCAAGGAACATTAAGTGCCAACATATTATAGGCTGCTGTCATTCCTTAATTATAGCATGCTTACCATTGATCACCAATATGACCTGTACCATTAGTGTAATAATAGGTATGGGCACAACTTCCAGCTGCAAAGATTCTCTTAATATCAGTTCTCTGGAAGTAATCAACTTTGACTCTTCCTGCATTATCAAATTCAAATTAATGATCACTAACTTCTGCGAATTCAGTTTTTGGTGACACTGTACTTGGGAATAAGATCACTGCATCAGATTTGAGTTTCTTCTTTCCCTTGAAGACAATGGAATCCTTTTCGAACTTCTTAATCTTGATGTTCTCATAGATATTGATTCCTTTTTCAACATGTAGATCCAAAACAAGATTTGTGAGTTCAGGACCATATTGAACTTGGAATTGACTTTCGTCGTTGGGATCAATGATGTTAATTTTAATGTTTGGATATTCTTAACGAATTGTTTATGCTACTTCTAATGACATTGTATTAATACCTATGATAGACTATAATAAAAAGACCAAAATACCAGATCATTTATAGTTTTCAGTTTCTCCTTCAACTATTAATGAGAATCAAGGGAACTGAAATAAAAGACTTCTTGATTCTCAATTCCTTTAATGGGAGGATGTACAGGATCTGTACCTGTTGCAATCAATATTGTGTCATAAGCAATCTTGTTACTGTCATCCAACTCCACATATGTGTTACTATATTTATTGTTCACATAAGAAATCTTCCTGCCTAAATGAGCATCGATTGCAATAGCTGAGTACCAGTTATCTTTTCTAAAAAAGAAATCTTCAGGTTTAGTTGCTTTGATTCTTTTGCTCATCTTAGTCTTATCATATGGCATATAATTGTCATTTGATATATATGATAACTCTCCTGTATATCCAAATTCTCTCAAAGTTGTTAGACAGGCAAATGCAGCTGCTCCTCCTCCATAAATAATGACCTTTCTTTGATCATTGTAATCTCTAAAATGGTATTGCGGAATTATCTTTTTAGGCACTATTAGAGGGGCGTAAACTTCTATTGAATCTTCATTTTCTTTTAGTCCAAACTTTGGTAAATTATCAATGGAGGGAGGTCCTTCAACCATGCCATTTGTAATATCAAATTAGCAGCCATGTTTTGGACAATACAATTTATCCCCAAAACAAATTCCTTCTGATAAATCAGTTTCCAGATCATAAGGACACAAACTACCAAATGCATATATTTTGCCTTAATATCTAGTTAAAATTATCTAATAATCTTCATCTCCATTCTATATTACAAATGGCATTAATTCTCCCTCTTTTGGTTTCTTGAAACTTGTATATGTGATTAATTGAGTATTGTTATAATCTAGCATTTAAGCTGTCTAAATAATTCCCTTCTTCTATTCTTCAGTTAGATCACTCTGCAACTTGCAGGTGCTCCGAATACCTTTACAAGCAAAGAGAAATATGGGAATTAATTTCAATATTCTCCTCCTCATTTAAAATTTAATAAAATTGTTTCTTGATATTGAATATATTTTATTTCGTGTATAAAAATAAGTTTTCTATTTTTTTATACACTCCATTTTATTTTATTATCTCTTTCTTTTAACTTATGACTATTTTCACCTTACTCCTCGATAAAAAATAACTTAAATGACAAATCTCGTTCCTCTGAGAGTAAACAAGAAATCCAACATATTAGCTATCATTAATTAAATTCACTTTAGACCTTAAAATTAAGTAATTAAAGTTAATTTATGTATAAGCGTATTTAATCTATAATTTTTTAATAAAGAATATTCAAATATAATACCTAATAAGGCCTTGTTTGTTAGATGTGTTTTAAGATGTCTATTAAATAAAGTTTTACTAATATGAATAGTGATTATGATTTTATTGAGTTCTAAATGAAATTTGAATTTTTCAAAATAATTATTTGACTAGTACACAAAATAATTTATTCAAAGGAAAAAGATTTCGGTTATTTACAATAATGAATATTTAATTTACGTAAAAACCAATTTCATGATGATGATAGAATCAGAATGGGTATTTATTTTGATCTGAATTTGTATGTTAATTAATAAATAATATATTAAAATCAATGATAGAAGATTCATTATTTGCTGAATCCTTTTGGAATCCAATACCACTTAATTCATTTTCAAACGATGACGATTATAATGTATAAATTTAGATTTCCTTTAATATAGGTGTTTTAACTATACTCAGGAAACACCCCAGTACAAATAAGAGTCATCCCAGGGTAATTATTAGCCAGTAGTCAATAATTGGATTTATTGCAAACATTCATCACATTAGACGAGAAAGGAGTGACACTTTAAAATAAATTTGGATAAATAACTTTCTTAGGACCATAATTATAGTAGTTTTATGAACACATCAATAAATATTGTATGCATCTAGATATTCAAAATCATTATACAATTGAGAAATAAACTCACTAGTTAGATAATTTTGAGGTATGAGTAAGGGTCTATAATTAGATTTTTCAATCCAGAGATAAAATGACTGGTATTTAAAAGTCAATAAAAAAGTATTCAAAAAAATTAGGAAAATCCTATTTGTAGACTATTGTTGACTATAGGAATTATGAATATTTATATGAGGATGACTAATATCTGTATTTGGTCATGTCATATTTAAATGGACAAAAAATCAACAATTTAACTTTGGAAGAGTCATGTTTTGGACTACTCAAACTATTATACAAATATCACAATCAAGGCTTTGCATTAAACTGTTTCTCTGTAAGAATATTACATTTATATAAGGAATCGAATACTATTTTATTGGATGAAAATTATAATATGGAAATACTGGATAATTCTTAACTTAAAAGAATTACATCCGATTAGCAAAAAGAAATATAGTAAGATGTTCAAACTATTCATAATTATCTTTTATAAAAGTAACAAAACTAATATTTTTCAGATTTCCCCACAAATAAGATACTTTGTAAAACATTTTAGACACAAAAATTCAATCAGTCCAAGAATTGCTCTTCCATTAATTATTTATCAATTACTTTGGTGATAGCCACTTTTTTGTGTTCTTAAACGCAAAACCCTATCAAAAGTACAACAACCTCACTTCAAATCCTTAACTAAATTTGCTTGAAACTTTCAATACTATAAGATCAAGTATTATGGATTCATCAGATGAATCAGATGATGTGTAAGAAATTAATCAGTTTAATTTTTCCCATTCACAATTCGAGGACTCTCCAATGCTCTCTCCTAAGCTGAAGCCAAAACATCAGTCAAGATTGTCAAGTAGATAAGTTGTCCTTGAAACCTTATTAAATGAACACATAATCACACCTGAATAATTCCAATAGTTTTATAAAGAAGAAGACTTTTAAAACGAGCAGGAAATAAATGAGTTTAGTGAAATGCTCTCTAAAGAAATTGAAAATTCTTAATTAACAACTCCCATTTAAAGTGATGTAAGCATTTTATTCATTTTAGTCCACTGCTACCTGTCCTAATACAGTTATTATTCACTCTAGAAAAAATGTCGTCAATCGAATTAGTGATATCATACTTGAAGCTTAATAGGAATTTATTTAAGCTACAAAAAAACCTTATAATGTTAGTAAAGTCTAGAATGTAAGGAAGAATCTATTCAATTTACATTGATATTCTTTATATACCTTATACATAATTTTGTTAATTAATTTATCTTTCGTTGGATAACTAAAATTTTATAATAAAAAATTAGCCGTTTTGAATAACTCTAAATATAATATAATCCTTTAAGGTTTATAATACTCTAAAAGGTTTCTCCACATTCTTTGATTAAGCGACAAACAATATAATTTAATTCAATTCAAAACCATGTCCATAAAATAGTCACAAGTTATAAAAAATTATAAAGCTATTACTTACTGTCAATCTCAATAATTTTATATTATAATTGATTATTTATGTAATATTTATTTTCATATTAAATTGATTAACATATTAAAGAAAGATAATTATATCATTCTTCAAAGCTTAGAAATTAAATATTATTGAAGCACTATTATCAAACATCAAATTCTTTGTACTTTTACCAAATCAATCCTTATCAATAAATTGTAAAGTGTATCAATTACAATTTAAAGTCTATTGAATATTTCATAAAACAAAAACAGAATTTAATATTATGTTAATAATGAACTGGTCATTAGAAAAAGAGTTTCTGTTTTAATATGATCCTGAATAGTAAAAATTAAATAAATAATAATTAATTAGTTTTAGAAATTTAGTCATCTTTATTATTGTATTTTGTTTTTTTCTTGTGTTAAATAATATTCATAGAAAATGTGTTGAAATGAGTACAAGAATGCTTGAAAACGTTAAAACTTCATTGAGCTATTATTTTTTGAGGTATTTAGAATGACTTTGAATTTTTTGGAGTTACGATTAAATAATACATGTTAATTTATAATAAAAGAATGATTTTCTATTTTCTTAAATTAGTTTTTGGGTCTTTTCTCCATGTCAACTTTCAAAAAACATAATAATTTATTTACATTACTAGAATCTATTGTCATAAGCATTAATTTTATTTTACATCAATATAAATTATACTTACTTAGGGTTTCATTTTCATAATCATAATAATTTAATAAATACTCCTACTGTAAGTTACTTTTCTATAAAATTATTTTGATTTTGGTATGAAAACCTAATTATTCATTTAAATACAAGGCTGAGTCGTTATATAAAAAATACATATAACTTAATATCTATAAAAGCATATTTTTTTGAATTTAAGTTTCTTTCTAGTAATATGCTTAAATAAGATGAAATATATTTGATATTTATATTTCTCACAATTTTATAGTAAAAATGTAAAAATTATTAGCTACTAATTTTAGAATTTATTGTTATCCATTATCTATAATAATAAATATTCCTTATATACTTAATATTTATAATCTAAGCAATTGTATAATCTTTTACTAAGACTTCGGAAATTCAACTCATTTAGAATGATAGATTGAGAAATAAACGTAATTTTATCATAAAGGACACAATTATGTTTAATAATTCAATATACACTATAATTGATGGATTAATGTTATATAGAATTAAAATGTGTGTTAATCATATAATAATAAAAATTGAAGAATTTTGATTTTTCATTTGAACATCAATTAGAAAACCTTGATTACAGATTTTGGTCTATTATGTGTTATATGATTAAATCATGACTTTATTTCTTTGAGGGAGTGTTAATTAATCAATCATTAATTAAAAATTCAGATAATTTAATTTGCTATAAATATAATGTATTAATGATCTCAATATTCCTTCTCACAAAATGAAAAATATTCTGAAATCACAACATAGGACCAAATACAATTGAATGTTTATTGTTTAAGTAAATAGGCCAATTAGAACTTCTTGCTCATGAGTATTTATTTTGGATCTTCCTTAAAGTTCTTACCCAAATGTTCTATTTGAGGTAACCAAACATCAAATGTTATACTAATCAAACTTATGTAAAATCTGAATTTCATTAATTTAGTCAATGAATTCTAGTAATTCTCTTTTGATTCACTTTTTGGCCTCTAAGTGTAATGATATTAACATAAGGAGAATAAACTTAAACCAATAAATCCATAATATAAAAGATGAATGAAGAATGCATCAAATAAAATAGTTGGTTTGCTTACAAAATACATTAATGAAAAATATCTAATTTGATGTTGATTAAATTCAGGAAATAACTTTTCTCTAAAGGATTTCAATAATTTATTATAAAAATATGCACTCGGCAATGAGACAAATCCAATGAATCCAAAATTAAGTCCAATATCTTTAATCTATAATTTTTCCTTTTAAGTTAGATACAAGGGTATATTTAATAAAGATCCTTAATAAATAGTATTCACTAAAATATTCAATACCATATTTTTATTAATATATTTATGAATTTAAATTAAACAATTAAAATATTTTAGGAGGCCTTTGAGAATAGCTAGAAAGTACCACCTTTAGTAAATAGAATCCAAATTATACCTTTGAGATAATTAGAGGGTGATTAGAAATCATTATTGGAATTATACAAAATATAATCATAAGAAATGAGAAGAAAATATAACAATAACAGTGAATTATAATAGACGTTAGACAGTAAATTTATAAGTAGAAATTCATCAAAATAAACTTTGTTCTGATATTATTAATATTAATTTTAATATTCAATAACCACTCTTTCTCTTCTATTAATCAGTGTCTAGCATTTGGTATTAATTATAATAAGTGTAATTCATGTATTACTAATTATATTAATAATATTGTTGTTCGTCGTTGTAAAAGTTTTGAGCATAATAATATGCCTAATCTATTTGTGACACTTACAAGGTGGGATCAGGAGTTTGAGTTGTAGATGCAAAAGTTTTACGACGACTAAGAATTAGAAATTGAATACTTATTAGGAATATAACCTTTGCCGATTCCATAAATGACATTCATGTTCTTTTCGAAATCGCTTTGCAAATCTGGAAAGCAAAACTTCATTTGATAATAACATTGCAATGTTAAAAGAGCATCAGATCCGGCTTAATGTTCAGGTCCAATACGTGTAACTTCAACTTTAGTTGCTAATCTGCTTAGACCTGCATCCTTATATTTAGGGTTATCTTTGAGTATGTATTTTAAATCATAGATTGATGGGAAATAGAGTTTCATCATCTTATAGAATTCATCTTAAGTGTCTGGAATACCAGAGTGATGGAATAGATGCAATAGATATCCAAAATCAAATTCACCATGGAATACTACATATTTAATTTCATCATTTAAAATTAATCCTATTTAATATGCAATAATTAATACCACTGCCTGTAACAACTTCACAAAATTCGGAATAATCGATTCCTTTTGATGCTAGATCATCAAATTTGATTCCCGCCTATTCTAACATATTTTTGACAGAACTCATAAGTTAATCATATCTAAAAGTATTTAAATAAATGGTACTGAGCATTAAATTTGAAATGGAATTGCCATGTATTTTTTGCTAAAGGTACTTCTCCTGCTTCATTTGCTAAGCTAATTCCTAATTGAATAAGTTTATATTTTTGGACATTTCTGACTAATTACAAATATTCATAATCCTAATATAATGCAATATCACAGTAACCTTGTCATCACTTTCTGGTTAATCATATTCTGTTCCTGGAAATTCTGTGTCCTAACATCACTAAAATCATTACTAAAGATATGACATTAAATTCTTCTATTAAATCTGCGATTTCTGCAATTTCCGCTTAAAAATTGTGTGCCCAAACGTCGACAATGTTTGTCTTATTGAGATGTGTTAATTTCACTCTGGGATTGGATTCTTTTAACTTCTTTAAATACTAGCAATTACTTTTCTATGCATTTTGATAATTAATTTAATATATGTATATTATTGGACATTTAATATCTCAATATGATCTTCCCCATAATACATACTTCTTAGCCTATTGGCCACAATTGAAGCATAATTCTCCTTCTTTTACTTAATCTTACTTTAATGGCATGCATAAAGTCTTAGCACTGCCAGTTAATTAGACTTATCCATCAATTTCTGAATCCTTCTCCTTTGATTCTATTCCTGACTTTGTTTTCACTTACTTTTCACATTCTTATCTTTCACACCTAAATCATCATTTATTTATCAATACCATTTAGTTAATATAGTATTTCTTTGATTTAATTGATTCATAAATTCTTTCCAATTTTCAGCCTATTTGATTCTTTGATTTAATTCGGTTCTAGCCTTCTCTAACATGGCATTATGAATATTATCAAGTATTTGATTTAATTGATTAAGTTCTTCCATTTTTATTTGATATTTCTTATTGTCAAATCTCTAAACAACCCTAACTTCATTATTCTTGAATTCTCCTGGTCCAATTTCCAATCTAATAGGAACTCCTTTCTATTCCCACTTATTAAATTTCCATCCTGGGGAATAATTGTCTCTGCTATCTAAATGGACCCTTAATTTTTATTTGACCAATCTAAAGATACTTCAATTATAAATACAATTGTCTAATTTGTTCACATCTTTCATTCAACTATTACTCATCAAGATCTTTATGGATAATTGGAATAATAACTATTTAATATTTAGCAATCCTTGGGGGTAATACTAAACCTTTATCATCTCCATGAAACATAATCATGGCTCCAATTGATCTAGTGGTTAAACCCCAACTTGTCTACCAAGCAAATGCCTTTTATTTCTTATCATCTTCAAAATTAATCTCAAACATCTTGCTGAAATTTTAACCTAAATGGTGAGATGTAGCTCCTTGTAAACCTCTTCCATTTTATGGAATGATAGTTTCTACTGTTGTAGTGAAATCACCGCCTGCAAACTTCTCTGATTCTGTTTTAATCTATTTATATTATTAAATCTAATACTCCTTTAATAACTGGAACAGCCAATAATTCACCATAAACTTATTCATAGAAGTCTAAGATAGTGTAAACCTATTTAACAGCTTCTTCTCTTGTGGAATGGGCTGTGTGTCCTTCTTACCATAAGAATTCTCTTGTTCTAATAAATGGAGTTGGAAATTTGAACTCCCATCTCACTATATTTGTCCATTGATTCACTTTTAATGGCAAATCTCTATGGCTTTACACCCATTTTGCAAAGGCTGGATACATAATTGTTTCAGATGTGGGTCTAATGGCTAAAGGTTCATTTAGATCGCTTTCCCCGTATTTTGTTACCCAAGCAACTTCTGCTTTGAATCCCTCTACATGTTCCTTCTCCTTATTTAAATGTTTAGCAGATAGAAACATTGGGAAATAAGTATTCTCAACTTCTTCTGTTCTAATAAGATCATCAAAATATCTTTATATTTATTCCCAAATGAAATATGCCCATGGTCTCAAAATATAACACCCACTAACATCGTAATATTCAATTAATTCTGCTTTTCTTATGACTTATTGATACCATTCTGAGAAATCTGATTTTTTTACTGTTATAGCCAATGTTTATAAATTTTACTGATCTTTCTATTATTCTTTCTATTATTCTTTTTATTATTCTTTTTGTTGTTCCAATTTCTATTCTGCAGCAGCGTCTGTTAATTGTAGAACTGTAAATTATCTGTTTAAGATTTTGAGGAACTTGTTTTATAAATCATCAAGTGAAATTTCAACTGTAGTTGTATTCTCAATAGGATGTAAGGCTAATCTTTAATATTTAGTCAGCTCTTCGTCAATAATAATATTTTTGACCTATATTAAATTAAATGAGCATTACTAAATTATTTGCATCATTGGCAACGGCAAAGGGGTTAACATTGCCTTTGCTTGATTTCAGAGCTTCAGCAATTTGCTCTTCTTTACTTAACCTCATATTTCCAGATGCTAATCCAAGTGTCTTCCAAAACAATTTGCCAACTTGAGTTGAGTGATTAGCCAATATCAAATAGTAATTTGACTAATTGATAATTAAATATATTATACTTTTTTATCAACATACAATAAATTTTTCACGTATGCTGTCCCATCTGCAACTTTAATCTTAACTACATCTTCCATTGTTGGAACTGGATCATGGTGATGAGCAATGTATTCAATCCCCAATTTTGTTAATTATTCTAAACAGGCTTATTTGTTTAGTAATTAGAAATTATTGTCCATAAAAATATTAAAAATAATTTTGAGAATTTTCAAATGATTATATAGATATTCAATCACTTTTATATATATAATCATTTTCTATTTTGTAAATTCCTATTGTACTTTTCAATTTAATATATGAGGAGCATAATTCATCTAATTTGGTTCAAACATTGAAGTTGTTATTATTGGTTATCATCAGTAATATCTTGAGGTATTAAGATTTATAATTTATTCAAACATCTATAAAGCTTATGATACTTACTAATTGTTAAGATTCAGTTTAGAGAATAGTATATTTTTGATTATTATTATAAATTCTTTAAGTATCTAATCCATTAATATATCCACCAATAGAAGTACTAATTCCATTCCAAGGAATGTAATATTCAATTAAAGGTTTCGGATAGAGCAACTATGTCTAAAGAACACCTTCTATTTGTAGTTTTAATTTAAACTAAATTATTCTCCCTCCAATTTAGTATTAAGGATTTGTTAGTTTCTATATTTTTTTAATATCTTCGCATATTAATGAAGAATTAGAAATAAATTTATTATAATGAATTTAATTTAATTTAAATGAACCACACCTTAGATGAATATTTATCATTGATTTTCATCTTCTATTTCTTATTAAGATATATTGACTTCTACTTCATCTTCTTATTATTATTAATTATCCTCATTTTCACCTTCATTTTCATTTTCATTAACTTATTAATTGATTTCCTCGTTATTATTTTCTTCTTAATTTATTTCATTAGGATTCTCGTTTTCATATGGTTGATTCTACTCTACCTCTTCTTTTTCCTCTTATTATTATTCAATAGGTTGATTGAATTATTGTTTATTAAACCCTTCTTGAGAACCAAATTGCAATTAATTAATCAAATTTGATGATTATGATTCAATATATTACCAATATTAAATTTATTCATCAATTAATTTTTATTCTAATTCTGATACTTGTTTGATTATAACAGAATAGAATTTTATTTTTAAGTCTTAAAATCTTTCTATTTCAATGAATCCTATGATTGCTTACATTATATCAATTAGGTTTTATAAATTATCTAATTCATTTTAATTTGTTTAGATCTATATATTTAAATGACTTTTTAGTTATTCTGGTGTTTATTTATTAAAAATATTTTTAAAAAAGTTAGGATTCTTACCTTCATTTAGATTATTTAATTCTTATTGAGTTTCTAACTATTTAGCTTCTAATTTTTTTTTCTATTCTTCGTATTCCTTCTTAGTCTTCAGACTCTAATAAAATGCCTAATTTTAATAAATTATAATACAAGACCTTAATATCTTTCAATTCTTATCGAATATATTCATAGAGTTTATCTATATTTCTCCTTTTGAAAATGCCATTTTAATTATACTAAGTATCCAATTGCTTTTTGATATTTTGATTAGTGAGTAATAAGTTATCACATCGATTATTTTAATACGTCTAAATAAACTATTTCTCATAGTTTGGTAGATGCATAGTCATTATTTTCTCTAAACTTTAATTGTATTATTCTTATGATTGGTACAAATCTCTTATATACTTTTTTGCCAACTTTAATTAAATTTAGTTATTTTTCAATTTTTCCACAAAACCTTCAATTTTCTTATCTAGAGTTTAATCAATATCTCGCTAAATAGAAATATATAATACTCCTTATAATTCAATGAAATTGAGCTGATATTTTTAAATTAACTCTGAGGTCTTTGGTTTTGGCATTTATTCGCTATTGATATATATTTGATTATATACAAAGTCTTATGAATCTCCTTGTCTTTCGATCTTAAGAATAATTGGCTAAACTCTTAACTGTAATAAAGATTCGGCAATAATTTCATTTTATTACAGAATTGTTTCAAGAATCTTAATCTTTCTGATGCAGTTTTGGTATCATTTCCTTGAAACATCTTTTTGCCTGGAATGCCTGGAATGAAACAGCCAGGCCATCTTATTAATAATATATCCCTTAAAGATATGAAATCCTTATATCGTCTATAGACCTCAAAGAATCCAATTTTATCTTTTCCCTTGATAATATAATATGTATATGTATCTAATAAAGACTCGTGTTGATCAAAGGTGATGATATCAATTTGTATGTCTTGTGATTCTTTTAAATCTTAATGCTGATTTTATTCAGTCTCATCTAGATTGACAATTGACATTTTAATAATATTTATTAAATGAAGGGATCACACAAAAATCCTAATATTAATTTAACTGTCCTACTGACATTGATAATTAATCTCTGTCGAGGAAATTAGTTAATCTTGATCATTGTCTGATATAAACTTTGATAACATAATTAACAAAATACACAAAGCATATTTTTAATAGGGAAGATTATTTTGGATATTAGAAAATAGTAAATCTATTAGAATTTTATACATAATAGTACTTTTCATTTGAATATAAGAATTATGAAAAGTTAAGAAATGGGTTGAAGATCATAGTACATAATTTAATATTAGAATCTGAATCCATTAGACAAAAAAATTATTTAGAGAATTGAGATAATAAATTCATTATTTTCACAGATTGAATTATAACATTTCTTAATGAATAATTCTTACTATTATCTAATATTATTATAAATTATATTGATAAATTGCCATAAATAATTATAATTAATGATATAAAACTGGATAGGGAAATTATTATTTAATATTTGCGGAGATCTGGTGGAGGTATTTTATATAAATCTATATATATTAAGGATTTCCCTAATAATGAAATTGAAATAAATAAATGGTAAGGGGTTGGAGAAAAAAGAAACATTAAGTTTAAATAAAACAAAGTAAGAGAATGGATGATGGAATATTTTGGATTAAATGTCGATGTGAAAAGGGCTGAGATTGAATTGTTATAATTTAAAATCCCTTGGAATAGAATTTGGAAAGAACCTACTAAAATTCTTGTCAAAGATGCATTTATTTGTGTGTAAACCAGAGAAGAATTCTCACTTGAATTGATGCGTCTACAGTATTAGAGTGACTTAAAAGATTTCATTGAGCATTGCTATAAGAAACTTTTCAATAATTTTACAAATACTAAAAAGCAAAGCAAACTAAAAAGAGCCCTTAAAAATTTCTTTTCCGAAATGATTATCCTAGAAGTGTAAAACTTCCATCTCAGATTAGAAGATGAAGATAATGCTGTTAAACACAATCGCGTAGCATTAGGAGTCTTATTTAAAACATTGACTTTACAACCCTCTTATAATAATAAAAATGAATAAGAAATTAAAAGAAAATTAGATTTCTCAGTTGAAGCCCTAAGTATGTATCTAAAAATTGAACCAACTTCTAAGCAATCTAATTGTCTTTCACCTGATTATGTAGAATAGCAAGTAAAAAGTTATTATCATTATAGAATGTTATCATAGACCCATTATCATTTCGAATACTCATACATACTAATTTAACTTAGTAAGAGGAAATACCTTTAAAATATATAGAAATTTAATTTGGCGATGATGTAATATTATTATCATTTGTGCTAGATTAAAATAAACATCGATAATTAATAATTTTAAACCATTCTCAAATTATTGAAACTAAGAGATTGGTATTGCCAATAAGGAGATCATTTACAATATCGACCTTAATATAAATCTAGTCCCAAAGATAGTCCTTTTGAATGGCTTCTCTATTGGAAATAAATTGTCACCTTAATTAGAAGTAGAATTAATAAATAAAAAATTAATCTTAAATCTAAAATGAGAAATGATTTGGTTAAATATATTGTTGTTGATTTTCTTCACCAACAATATTAACAAAATGATGATAATCGATATTGTATTGATGATTAAATGATATTATATACAGATATACTATAAAATAAACAGTAAATAGAAGACAAGTTACTCCAAGAAGAAATAGAATTAGTATTCTATAAGGTAAATAAAATATTAAACTCACCTGAATAATTAAAAGATATTCTAGTAAAAATGAATTTAGAATAACCTTAATAATAAGAGAAAAAATAAACCATTTGGTCCTATTTTTGGAAATAAAAGCAATAACCTGAAGAAGGTACAGAATTTCAATCTAAATACGAGAAATTATACACTTCAATAAGCTAAAATGAAAATAGATGTTTGAAAAGATTAGAAATATAAATTTCAAATATATTGGTATTATTGTATTTATCTTTAGATTAACTTAAAAATTGCTTAAGAAAGATCCACTGTTTTTATGAAAATCGAATTAAAAGAATCCCTATTACAGTATGAGTCATTCTTAAAAATCCGAAAATTTATATTGAAGCTAAAAAGAATTACTGCATATGATTGTTTAAACCCTAATAAAGATTTTTAAACAATCTTTTGTTATCATTCATATATTGAGAGATCTTAGAGGCATTAATATTTAAGTTAAGACCAATCACAAATAGAAATTTCATTTGAATATAATAAAGAAGCTAATAAATCGCTTTTTAAAGTGAAATCATTACCTCATTTAATGTCCTTGAATGATACAGTCTTAGCGCGTCTACAGCCGTTTCTCAAATAACTAAGAAAAAATGATTATTTCTATGACATTGTCTTCATAAGTTAAGGTAATTTCAAGAAAAGCGAATTCATAAATGTGATATCAAATTTATGCAAAGCAAATCGTTTAATACTAGATATTAATATATCTCATGTTACAATTCGAATCCCGGAAAGTGCGATCAAAACAAATTGTCCAGTCCTTGAGATTACCCTTGAAAACTACCTATTACAATTTCTAAATACAGTTACACAACAAATAAATAAATTTGCTATTAACTTTTAATATGTTGAAAAAAATTGTAAATAATCCATTCACATCTTGCAGCCAGTTTCAATCACCACTAAAGTTGTTTAATTATAAAATTAAGATGAGCAGAATAAATTGAATGAGCTTACTGATCTAGTGTTAGAAAATAAAATTAGCGATATCTTCATTACAATTCCAATATTAAAAACTGACTTTTTTAAGAATTTTGTTTACAATGTTTTAGGAACTTTAGATAATTTAAAGAAGATTTCTATTTTTTTATAAAAAGAAGATTCTGTTAATTAATCATCATCAGTTAACTCTATAAATAGAAGGAAGAGGTCCAGATCTTGGTCTTAGTAAAGAGATTAATCGTCAAGAAGAGAAGATTGCTCATCTCAAACCAGCGAAATTTATTATGATGCTGAAGAATTCATAAATATTCCCTTCATTTAATCTATCACATAAAGTAGATAGCAAGTATCACCTTAAGAAAAGAGAGAAGAAATGCTAAAAAAATGGAATAAAATAAGAATTAATCTAAATTATTTGGTGAACAAAATATTTAAAGAAGCTGATCCAAAAATTAGTTAATTTCTCGAGTCCTTGAGATTAAAAGCAGTGTTCGAATTACAGAAATTCTAAATTAAAGTTGCTATATAAAAAAATAATGAAAGAAACTCATATTTTTATATTGATAATATTAATGTGACTATTGAAAAGGCTTTTAAAGTTAAGCATTTCGGTTTCCAGCTAGAGATAAATACAATAACATTATCAATTTATAAATTACATTAATTGAAATAACTAAAAAAATATTCAGGCCCATAATCAGATGACATAATGGCCTATATAAATGAAGATATGCTCAATTTACTTCCTTTTTTATTAAGAATAAAAGAGTTACAAATTTATTATTTAATTTCTGTTAAAGAAATTAAATTAGAATTACAAAATATTAAAGAAGCTAATTAAAATTATCTAACGACATGTTTAAGCAATTTCAACCTTTAAAGCTAATTGCCTTTTAAAATTATGTATAAAGAAAAACTCTCTGATAAACCTTTCTTTTTAGAAATTAATAATTCTGTATCTTCATGGGACACTACATGTGATTGCAAATTTATTATGAATATATTATATTACAATGGAAAACTCAAATTATATGAACCCATTTTAGATACTTGTGAGGCAATAATTACTTTTTAAAAAAGCTCTGAGGAGCTATGTTTTGAAACAAAATTTACCTAATTACTTTTTAATATTACTCCATAACTCATATTCACACTTTATTCATTGAACTAGCATTCATTATAAATTAAATAGTTTTTATTGTAAGATTTAAATAATTCATAAGATTAAATAGTTGTAAAGTAAAACTTAACGTAGAAATTTGAAATTGAAATTGAACATGATAATGCTAAATTGCTAGTAGATTAAATTGAAATTTAGCATTCTTATCACTATAAAACTAAATATCGAATTCAATTGTAAACTGCTAATTCTGACGATGAAGTTTCTAATGAAAAAATAACCTAACATTCAAGACACGTCACATTTCATGATCAAGATCCATCACCATCAATTAAATAATAGCAAACACCAAATTTTAAAAAACAAACCTCATTATTAGAAGACGAAATCCTAAAAGATTAATCAAATGAGAAAGATACTATTAAAAGAATTGCTAGTGAAATTGATTTTTCTGAGAAGTAGCGTTTTGTGACTGAGATTTTAGGAGATTACTTACCTATTGAACAGAGCACAAAATACATTTTTGTTAATCTAACAGTTCAAAAGTTATTATTCAATTTAAATGGAATTGAATAATATATAAATGAAAAAGAAAGCAAGTTTGTTAGATGTACTGAAGTTATGGCATTTAAGTTTACTTCTTAAAGGAATTTTTTTCGATATAGTTCTTTAATTAGAACAAAAGAAGAACGAACATACTTTTTGAAAACAGATAATAGGGATCATAAATTAAAGACAATTTATTATTTATTATCAATAATAAATAGAAACTAAAATCAAATTATAATTTATCAAATTGAGTAACTACCTAAAGCGCCATATTTGATCAAAAACAAGTGTTCATAACTTATAATATTCTATTAACAAAATTTTGAAAAACAATAATGTATTTTAGAACCTGGAAAGTCTTCTGGTTTTTGTTGGGAGGATCCATTTTAAGCTCCATCATTACAGTTAGAAATTCACTATGAGGGCCAAACAAAACGATTTTTAATTGATATCGATAGATTCAATAATTAAGAATTGTAAATTGATAAGTAATTGGATTCAACTATTGATAAAGAGTACAGTTTAGAAATCTTTAACGATGGATTATAAAAAGTCATTGTTTTAGCCGAAGCCCAGTCATTGAAAAAGAAAAAGAAATCTTATAAGATATCATGTGAATTGATAGGATTTTCATTCATTGATGAATGGGAAATTTTATACGCAGAAATTAATAATACTAAATATTTTTAATAATAGTAATAGACTGATATAGTAACTTATTAGATTTCTGCTGAAAATATCTAGCTTGATGCATGTGGATTACCAATACCAAAAAGATAATTATATATTGTAAATAATTAGATAAGCAATCTAAACAAGTCTAATGGTTAAAAAAAGTCTATAACATAATCTTAATTAATATAGGACACATAATCTGCTCTTCAGGAATAATTAAAATTAAAAATTAAATAAAAAACAATATCTGAAATTTTGGTTCATTTAAAGTATGTGAAAGTTAGAATCCCAAATTATAAAATCATAATTGATAGCAATCTATTATTACAAGTCTTTTCATTTATAAAACACACAAAATTACTCTTAGATGCTTTCGATACTCCAAAATAAAAGTCAAAATCAATTCTACTATAACAATCCTTTGAAAAACTTAACAATTCAAATATTAGTGACAAATAAATTTAAATCTAACCTAAAAAAATTCATATTGATAAAGTTATAATAAGACCATTTTCTGTAAAGATGAGGTTTAAGAATTTATTGAATATGGAATAAGAACTCAAAACCTTACATCATCAAGCAGGGTAATGAAATTTTCATTATGATTAGTTTGATCACCTTCGTGCTAAATCAATTTCAGCAATTGAACCTTGAATTTTAGCAATATGTTAAAACAGACTATTAATAATTTATGGATGCAAATTATGAACTTCACATTAAAGCTTTATTTAATGTCTTCGGCGAGTCCATAAATTAATAAGTATGAAATTATAATATCTTTAGATAAGATGTCAAGTAAACCCGACAAATTTTTTAAAAAATTAAGGAAATTTAGCAAAATAATTCATCACAGAATTAAACAATTTACAAAATGAAATGGATAAAAATGATATATTTTAAGGCGGTTTACCAGTTAAATTTTAACTACTTTAAACATTTTGTGTTATTAGTAAATCTCTATATGATGCTGCTCAAGAGACTTTTGTTTCTGTGTTATTGGGAATTGGAAAGTATTGTGAAACATCCTAGCCTGACCAAGCAATATAAAGAACATCCTTCTCAAATAAATTATCAAAATTATTTAGAAGGGTGTCTGATTTCTAATTTAAAAGTTAAACTACCTTAGAAATTTCTTTCCAACTATTAATTTCTAAATTAAAAACTAGGAGATATCCTAAATATATTCATAAAAATAGATAAATAACTTCATATAATGAAGATCTATCAAAGTTTTAATTATATAGATTATGGAAATTAGGATTGGATCAATAATTTGACCATTTTCATTTGTCTTTGAATTGCTACTTATTTTTATCAAACTAATTGTTCATATTATTAGATTCTTAATACAACTAGATATTATTAGAGATGAATTAAAGAATGTTTTAATCAATAACAAATACAAATTCTAGTTGTGTCATTAAATATTAGAAATCTAATGTAAATAAGCAGGAAGGAGATGATGATATTGGCATGAAGCAATTAAAGGTAGAAAAACTCACGTTAAATTTTACAATAGACGAAAAAATATTATCATCAATAACTAATATAATCAAATCAAATGTTGAAATTCTTAACGTAAAAGAAAATAAAATATTTAGTATTATGATGCTAATTTGAAAATTTTATTGTTGTTTATTATTTTTAATCATTAATAAAGCAACTATTTATTTTATTAATAAATTCATTATTATTATTATTCTCGCTGCTGCTTTATATTCTTTTTTATTTTTGCCAAAGACTTTAAACTTCTAAATCGCATTTCTTAAACTTACTATTTATAAGACTTTCTTTCTTCAATTTATTTTAATACGTTATTCTCTACTTCAACATTATTTTCCCCTATGTCTTGATTTTTCAAATTCTTATTAGGATCAATTTGTTGTATATAAGAATTTAATTGTTCTATGGCCTTCTTCCTTTAGCATTCTTCATCTAATATTCTATTGAGTTTCTTTTATTCAATTAAATATTCAATCATTTAGGATAATTCAGTAAAAAAAGAATCTGTATCTAATTTTTTTGGATCTTCAAAAAATGCTTGACATATATCATTAAATTATGCGTTAACCTTGAGGTAAAGTTCACTCAAATTTAATTTAAGATTCAATTCAGAATTATCAACTTAGATTTTATCAGAATATTTTAAGATTAATTTTTCATCCTGTTCTTTTTTTTCTATCTATTTTTTAATGTTTTAAAGAGAAATCTTAGACAATTTCTTTAATTATTATAAATTAAAATCTTCTTCTCCTATTAGGTCTCCTTCATTTTTTTCTGCCATTCTAAGTATCAAACAAAGAAAATTGATTTTAGAAGAACTGCTTGACTTTAAAGGAGCAATTTTACTAAATTCAGAAAGTTTAAACCCGTAGGAATCTTTATTTTAAGAACTATTCAAATAATTTATTCCTGCTAGAATGTAACATAGTAGCTTTTTTAATTTAACATTTGATTAAACAGATTAAATTTATTACTCTATTAATTCTAATTCTTTCTAAATTTCTTTTTGATTTTAATTTAACAAAACTTAAAACACATGAATTCTTTCAGAATAATTGTCTATCTTGATTAAGTTATATAAAAAGATTTCAGGCCTGTTCAACACACTGATATTTTCAATTTTCTAAAATTCTTAGACTTCTTGAAAAGTGGGAAGTATTTGAATTAAACTTTCGATGTCATCTGAAGTAAACTTTTGATAGTTCATTTCTTATATATAATTGATCATATCATCCATTTTAATCTTTATTTTAACTAAAATTAATTCAATATTTCTAGATCTATCTAATGTCAATACTTATTATGGTTTAGGTTTGATAAAAGAAGAACTAGGTAATGAACTTGCAATCTTAGTTTAATTCTTTTAGAAATGCTTGTCCAATTCTTCAAATTGTAGTTCAATTTTTGAATCATCAAGAGTTTAGAAAATGTTACTTTTAATTTGCTTGATCTCCGTTATTCCAACTGAAATTAGTTACTAATTGGGTTTTCTTCTTTACCTAATATTAGTTTTATTTTAAGTTTAAACTGTCTTTTATGGTGGAGGAGGCGGAGGTGGTGGTGGTGGTGGTGGTGGTGGTGATAGGGGTGGTGGTAAAGACACAGGGAATAAGGAAACACTATTTTGTTCAGGTAGAGAAGAGCTCATTAAGACTGGGGTTTCCTTGTTTTATTCGCTTGGATAAACCTACAAAGAGCCTTCAATCTTAAATTAAATTCTCGTTTCATCCAATCTTTATGACTGCTGGACTGAAATCGATTATTTTTAATTATCTTAGGTGTTCTAATACACAAGCAATGCTTATTTCAGCTAATATAAGACATTTTGGGTCTGTTTCACTGATAATTATAATTATTTTTACATTATGTTTGGTAGAGGGCTTTTTATGTTTAAAATTCAATTATTTATCTTTTTAAGTCACCTTTTTCTATTTCTTAGTTATTGTATCCATCTAAGCAGTTTTAAGCTACATTTTATAAAATTTTTGTGATTATATTTTTACCATACACTTCTGCTTATGATAGGAATTTTTAAAGTTTTTGGATGCACTCATGAATGCTGCATTATTGATTAAAATCAGAGGCGAAATGCTATAAACTTATCAAAAATTATTCAGGAAATACAACTTATGCTAATTAAACATTACCAATTGAAACCCTATTCATAGGTTAAGTTTTTGGATTGTAGGATATTCTAAATTAATTTATAGATTCCCTAATATTTTATTCCCCTTATTCCAATAATGTTTCAAAGGCTGAGATATTTTTTATAATGATATTCTCAAAGTCCTTTGAGTTTTCCTTAATTCCTACTAGTATTGAATAATCTTCTTAAAACACTAGTAAATTATCTTCTTACTTTTTCTTGATATCCTAAAATATTAATTCTAAACCATGAACTAATAGCAACTATTTTAATTAAATTTTTTCATTAGATAATTCAACAAAATTATTGATAAAGGATAAAATGTTTGCAATCTAATAAAATCTATATATATATCTCTTACAAGTTTTTTGTCTATAGAAGTCTCCAATAACTACAATGTTTAAAGTAAACAAAACTCTTAGTTCTGCAATTTCAACAGTGATTCCACTAATTAATAGCCATTTATTTATCTCCAAGATATTTTTTCATATTATAGGTATATTTGAGCTTAAATCTAGCTATTAGATATTTTTTATATCTAAGATAAATTATTGGATAAAGCAATCAATTGCTATTCATCTAATGTAAATCCTAAAAACAGCAAATTGCCTTAAAGCATCACATAAAGCTTATCATAAATATTCAGGGTACTTCTATTTAAATTTAAATATTCGATCTATTTTTATATAATTGGAAATGCATAAGCTATTAATTAAGTGGTTAATAGTTCATCATTTAAGCCTATGAGTGTTTTAATTTCTTGGTAGAAAGAAATATAGATTAGTAAATCTGAATCCTAATTTAGATGACATAGTTGTGGGTTTTCGTTAATTAAGGCTTAGTAATGTAACACCAATAACACTTGTTTCTATTTGAGATTTAGGTTTGAAAATTTTTTTTTTTCTAAATTTGTATCAGAAAGAATTTAATCAAATATAGCTTCAAAATTATCTGCATTTATTGAATACTTTGGAGGCTAACATATGTTTTTGATCTTCAATTATTTCCCTCTAAACATATATGAATACTACGTCTAATTTGTAGATGACTTTAATTCATTTCCCATTGTAATAATTTAATATTTAAACTTAAAATATTTAATTTTCCATTTTCATTATAAACATGGTTTATATTGAAAGTTTTAATCAAGTTTTATTTCATCAAAACCCATCAATTTTTATAATTAGATTTTTCCCTATTAGCAAATAATACATATATAAAAAAATAGTGTTTGTAATAGATCTTAAAAGTGTTTAATTATGCTACAATTCGATTTCTAAATACATATATGATTTCATTCAGTTTTGTATTAATTTAATATTTAAAACAATACTAGAATTTTTTAATCTTATGTTTATTAAATCTCATTAAACCTAATTTTTTTATTTAAGAATTCGTTAATAAATAAATTTTGTTGTTAAATTTACAAAATCATATAAATTGTAACATGTAAATATATTTTTGAAAGTAAAAATTAGTATTATACTATTTATTTTAGTTGACGTCCAATTTCTATACTATATGAATGCTTTAGAATTTAAATTATTATTAAATAATTTTTATAACTATAAATGATTTCCTTCTTTAGAAGAAGCAAATATTATTATTTTTCAATTTATTAATCTACACCAGGAGATCCAAATATTAGTTAATAAAATATTACATTATAAATTTTTTATCTGATATTTACAAATAAAGTTTAATAAATATTTTCATTTTTACTCAACTTTTAATAATCAAATCTTTTAATTTATATTTTATAGAACAAAATAATAGGGTCGATATTTAGAGTAAATAGATGATTACACTAAAACATTTTTTATTTGAACAATAAATCATGAATATCAAAGTCATTCTTTAAATATCTTATATTGTTTTAACATATTCTTTGGAATTTCCAAAAATTTTGAGATGGTAATCCTCTTAAAGAAACTTACTTAAATGAATTAAGATCAAAAATATATCTATGGAATCTATATATTTTCAAATCATTAATTTCGAAATAAATAGTTTAAGTCATTATTCATTGAAAATCTGATTTGAGGATTTAAGTAAATACTAATTTACTCTTAAATTTCTTTTTATCAATTATTTATATTTTATTAATCAATTTTATATTAGTAAGTGCATATTTTTTCACAGCATAGATAGTTTCTTTTATCAAAACTATTTATTATTATTATAACTCAAATAAAAGACAGTTGAAAATCTTAGTCATTTGGAAATATTAAATGATCAAATACCTAATATAAGTTTCAATAACATTTATTAAAAGGTTGATTAAGAGTTTAAAGAATATGGAGAATGTAAAACTCACTTTAGCAAATATATTTGTATGAAATTAATGATTAATAATGATTGATATGGAATACGATGGGATGCGTTAAAACTCAAAGTGTTGAGATTTATCAAGAAAATTCAAATTAATTATTAAATGATTAGAAGGTAGTGGAAAATCAACAGTATTTGAGTGCATCAGATAAGGAAAATTTATCCTGACCAAGGCAACTTTTGGTAAGGATTATAATTCTACATAGGTGTGAATGTGGATTTTAGCTACCCAGAATTCATGATTTTTGATGTTGGAGGGAAGTACCAAGTTTGTAAAGTAATTATTATGAAAATGCAGATGGACTCATTTTTGTAATTGATTCATCAAATAAAGAGTAGTTATTTTTATGTCAAAGAATAATTATTAAATTTGAATAAGATTTAGAGTACATGAATGTATTTCTAATTAAATAAAATAGGTAGTAATTCTCAACATGTTTACAAAGCAAGATAAATTACATCTAGATAATTAAGTCTTGATTTAAGAATGCGGAATTTTTGGATATTAGGCATAGACAGCATCTTTTAAATATGTAGTGCCAAAACCGGTTAGAGAGTTCAAGAAGGGATCTTAAAGTTAATAAACTTAATAAAAAAATATAAATACCAAAAATTCCATTACACTCAATTAAATAAAAACAACGAAAAATAGCAGTATGATAGTTAATTCAAAGATATAAATCTAAATCTATATCCCTATTTCTAGGTAATAGCATTCTAAATCTTCTCTATATTTTTATTGGAGCTTATCTCATTCTCTAAAATAAGTAACTTAAACTCTTCATTCTAAATATCCATAAATCAAACAGTCTGCTTTACGCATTTAAGTTAATCTCTATATAACTATTTAACCACTTTATCCATCTCGGATTAGTCTTTATTCTTTTTCATTCGTGTTTATCTTCCAACCTCCTTTATTTATTTCATTTTCTTATCATTAATTTTTCTAATATAATAATAACTTCGATAATATTCATTAATCACAATGAAAGCTTTAATTCTTATTTTTTCTAAAGAACTGTCAATAAAAACATTCAAAATTCTTCTAATGGTCAAGTATTCCATTCTTCATTTCTTAATCTACTAACACCAACATTCTTCTGCATTTTCTTAATACATTCTATTTTATTTTTAAATTGGTTTAGCCTACTTTACTAAAAATTACATAACCTTTATTTCTTTCTTATTTAATATAGTCTGTATGATTCTGTTTTTATATCTTATTGAAATCAATTTAATTCATTTCATTATTGCAATTAGCATTGGTATTAATATTAAGTAGTATGCGAATTGAAAATATTTATTTTGATTATAAATAAAGTAAAATTTTTGTATTACAGCTGCTGCTTTCAATTTTTCTCTAAACTATATTTTCCATAATTTTCTTTTGATTCTTATTTATTTAGTTGCATATTTTTTATCTAACTGATATGGTACCAAAAATTCATCATTAAGTTTGATACAAACGAATGAAATGAACACCACATGATTACAATTTGATTATTAGACTTTTCATCTCATTCTTTATTTTAATAACAATGGATTTTGGTTTTGGCTATAATTAAACCACAAACAATTTCATTTTGCCTCTACTAACAGTAATAGAATTTCATCTAGATTTTTCAACAAAATTTTAGCATGATTATTCAACATCTTTGGCAGCATGTTTAATAAACAATTTGGGTTTTGTAGAATTTTGATACGTGAGTTCTTTTCAAAAAGGTTATAATAATTATTAATCAGTTTAGTTTGATCTACATGCTTAATCAATAACGTTAAATAAACAAACAGGAGGTTTATCAACAAATCGATTAATTGGGTGTGCACTTCAAAATTAATACTACATTCAGTTTTTAGAATTTATAAATAATGTTTATGATTTAGGTATTAATTTACAAAGTTTAAAATAATTCTATCTTAACTTATCAACATATTTTCCTAAACATTCTTTTACAAATATTTTTTTTTTCTTTGAAAACATATTCTATAGAATTAATAAAGTCTTTCATTTGAATAATTGATTATCATTTAATCAAATCCATTAAAATTATCGAAAAATTCGAAGCCATAAATATCCAATAATCATTAACGCTTTAACGATATCGTTCAAATCATAATCCAATAATTAGCAGATTTATTTCAAAAGATCTTCATTTTTTTGCTTCAAGTGTTTCCATAATTAGTATCATTCAATTATAGTTCTGCTATTAATATAACAGTATAAACAGCTTAAAAAATTGCCTCAGCATCAATAATATTCACTGCAGAGAAAGCTTATATTAATTCATCATAAATTTTCAGAACCGAAATGATTAAAGTTTTATCTTTAATATTTTGATTACCAAATAATAAATAAAATATATGAAAATTTCTAACCTTTTCAAAAAAGTGAGACATATCTACTTTTTTCTAAAGGATAATTTACAATATCTGCACCAATAATTTATTTATTTTTATTAACAAAGAGCCAAGAGTAATTTCTAAATCTGCTAGAATTCGATTACATCGCCTAATCTTATCTAATAATTCACTATCTTAAGAATTAAAGCTTTTTAATAGGTTAAGACAATATCTAGCATTTTCAGCTTTGCCTTATCCACTCTCTCCAGATATGAGAATAGCTTCTCACTTAATTCGGTAAATGCATAAGCTCCAATTGAATATTTTTCAGCAGCAATAGATTTATAGGTATGATATTCTCACTTAAATTATTTTAGAGTTATGGATCATTAATAATTGCTAGATAGAACATGTCTGCTTAAACATCCTCACGCCTTTCCCACATTTGTCGATTCAATTTTCAGCCATTTTCTTCAATTATATAATTATTTCCATCTACAATTATACCTTTTTTAAATTATCACTCTCTAATACCCAAACTTTATTACTAAACATTCTAGAATAATAGTGATGTGTTAATTATTTTAATGAACAAAGTTATCTGTCTTCTATCACTATTGTTGGCTACTTCTTATGCACTCTATGATTCACGATCCAAAGTGTAGCTCCTTACACCTTAAACATTCAGGGAGAAAGTCTTAAACTCTAAATCACTTTGGATAGTTGAATTCTTTGCTCCATGGTGTGGCCATTGCAAAGCACTAGCCCCCGAATATGAAAAGGCAGCAAAGGCTCTAGAAGGAATAGTGAATATTGCTGCGGTTGATGCAGATGCTCACAAGGACCTTGGAGGACAGTATGGTATTTAAGGATTCCCTACAATCAAATTTTTTGGAGAAAACAAAAGTTCTCCTTCTGATTACCAAGGAGAAAGATCAGCCTAAGGAATAATCAACTTTGCATTAGAATAAGTGAAATCGGTATTATTCTATTTTATTTTTAAAGACTGTGAATAGTAGATAAAAAGGATCATCGTCAAATAGAAATTAATAAAAACAATCGTCTGGATCTGGATCTGGATCAGGATCTGGATCAGCTGATGATGTTATTGTTCTTACCGATTCAACATTTGATGAAAATGTTCTTAAATCTAAGGATTCTTGGTTCGTTGAATTCTATGCACCTTGGTGTGGGCACTGTAAGAAACTAGAACCTGAATGGAATAAAGTAGGATCAGATCTTAAGGGAAAAGTCAAAGTGGCTAAGGTAGATGCCACTGCAAATACTTAATTAGCAACTCGTTTTGGAGTCTCAGGATATCCAACTTTGAAATTCTTCCCTGCAGGTTTCTCCAATGACTCAGAAGTTATCTCTTATGATGGTGCTAGAGATTCCTCTGCAATGATAGAGTTTGCTTTAGAATAATCTAATAAGTCAAAGAAGGTTGAAGTATTGGAACTATTATCAAAAGATATCTTAAAAGAAAATTGCCTTGATTACAATGGTATTTCTCAATATTATCTAGGTGTCTGTATAATTGCATTTCTACCTCATATCTACGATAGTAATAAATAAGAAAGAAATTAATATATCAATTAATTGTTAGAAGTTGCTAAATCACTGAAAAATAAGCCAGTGAATTTCTTATGGACTTAAGGAGGAGATAACTATGAATTTGAAGAAGCATTCTAAAGTGCTGCTGCACATCCTTCAGTAATGGCGTTAAGTGGCAGAAAATCTGTTTATGCTAAACTTAAAGGAGCATTCAGTAAATAAAATATTGAATAGTAATTAAAAAATATATTAATTTAGATTTGTGAATAATGTATTAAACGGAAGAGAGCACTTTAATTAGTATTCTTAACTTCCTCATTTTAAAAAAGTTGACAAATGGGATGGATAGGACCATAAACCAGTTTATAATGATGAATTCTGAATATTGTGTAATTGTATAAGTTATGGTTATCGTTATTTGGCTTTATTTCTTATATTATTTATATTTAATACTCTAATTTGTTCCTCAAAAAAAAGAGAATTATTAATGACAGATATAATCTCATTTTAAAAATTAAAAATAATAATATATTATTTCTGATGTAGCAAGAAGAAGAACAATATTCGTGTCTTGAAGAATTCTTTATTGACAGTTGTAGATTTGGGTAAGTATTATATTCATTTTTAGAGATTATGAAGATGCGATTGGATGCTTTGAAGACAATGTTGATTTGTTTTGGATTGACATAAATTAAAATAACTGCATTCGTATTGTTGTTGAATTTACATTATAGATATGGTATCAGCAAATGGTCATTTATTGATACTTGAATAAATTATCTCTTATTCTCACAAAAAAAACATTGATTTGCAAAAATTAATTAACCATCAAAATTAATATGGTTGTACTCCTCTACGTAATATATGTAATTATATTAAATCAGATTGGGCAGTGTTAAATAATTAATTAGCTATTATAACAATATTATTATAAAATGGAGCAGATGTTACCATAAAAAACTTAAATGGATTAACATGTATAGATGAAGCTTTTTAGCTTGATAAAGCAGAAGTTATAGTAATATATTATTTGTTATTCTAAAGGAATTATTATCAAAAAACATCTCTTTAACAGAAGATCAATAATAGAGTTTCTAAGAAGCACCAGATGTTACAGAGAAGGATGAAGAAGATTAAGTTGAATGATTTGTTTATATTTTATGTAAAAAAGTAATCAAATTACCTTTTTACATTTGAAAATATCAATTTCCTAGTATATGATGACATTTAAATATTCATAATTCTGAATAAATAAATGAGTCCACTGCTTCATTCAACATTAGAATATTCCATTTATATTTCCAGGGATAGAATTGATATTTATGAAGATTTCGCGTGACATTTATAAATTAATGAATAAATAACTATAATTTTAATAATTAAATAATCGAAATTATTAACAATGAGCGTTAAAAAACAATCATATGCAGGAAGCACAACAGATTACTCAGAAGCAATGTTTTAACCAAATTTCACATAGAGAAACCAAGGTCTAAACTAAAATTATCAATTGCCAACATAAAATCAATAATTTCTACCATAATAACCATTTCAAAACTAAAGAATTTCATTTGGCTAAGGAGAGTTTTGCCAACCATAACAAACAATACCAAAGCAAAGATCTGATTACAACTTTCAACCTTAATATCCAGTAACTGATTTAAATAGTACATTTACAATGCTTCCAAAAGTATTTGAAATGGATTAAGACTTTTTACCTCAGGAAATACTCTTCTTGCTATCAGAAGAAAATAATCATATAGACAGATTTAAAAAGAGAGTGGATAGAGAAAAGGAAAAGATCAAAAGAGATATAAGTTCTATTAAGAGTGAAATTTCAAATATGATTGAAGATCTAGGAGTTTAGATGTAACAATTTGTGGATGAACATTATAAAAGATACTTAAATGTTTATGCTGCTTTTAAGGATGAAGTTATTCAGTTTAAGAAAACCAAGTTAGAAGCACCTTTGAATTTAGTACCTCCTCCACCCTCAAATAATTTTGGAGACTGTTCTAACGCTAATTTAATTAGAGAGTTAGAAGAAATGAAATATTAAAATTATGTTAGTAAAGTTAATGCTTACATAAGCAATTTGGCTAAACAAAGGGTTGAATAAATACAAATAATATCAAAGGAATTATTATAATTGACCAGTCAAAATAGCGAATTCTATCACTCAGAAGCAACTTTAAGACAATTGAATAATATCAAATAAGAAGTAGAAGAAAGACTAATAACAAAGTTTGGTGACATGACTGATTATATTTTGCCTTTAGATTTTATGGAACAGAGTTAATAGAAATAAATGAATCAAGAAATAAAAAGTAAATTAAATCTAGAGACTTAATCACTTCCATAATCAGCAATTAAAACAAATCCTTATTTAAATATTTAAGAACCAAAATTAACTCTAAATTTTGAGAATCAAATGAATCAATTCAACTAATCTTCATAAACAATTTAGTAGTCTCCCATCCTGTAATTACAAAACCATTTTTTAAACACTCATACAATTTAGGGGAAGGTCAATGAATTACAAGAAATCTAATCTCAAGACATCAGACATAATGGAATGATATTGTGTTTTACAAATATCAAAGAAAATTTAATTGCTACTGGATCTAAAGATACATGCATTAATATTTGGGATAATTATTCTTTGATATCCTAGTTGAAAGGTCACACTGATGGAGTTTGTACATTAACAGTAATTAAAGCAAATAATGTGCCTTTCTTCTTAGCATCTGGAAGTGACAATGGAGACAAATCAATTAAAATATGGAATTTATCAACTTTGAAAGAACATAATACTTTAGTAGAACATCAAGCAGCTGTAGTTGCATTATTATCATTAGATGATGGGCAAACTCTTGTTAGTGGATCTTATGATAAATCATTGCTGATTTGGAATATCGATAATTAGAAACCAATTTAAAGATTGGATGTTCATACAAATGCTGTAACTTGTCTCACTTTAGCAAAAGGAAGATTCATTTCAGGAGGATTGGATCAAACCATCAATGTATGGAAAATCATTAAAAATGCTTAAGGACAGTTTTAATCAGCATAGTTAGAAAGGACTATTAGAAATCAAACCCTAGTTTGCGCCTTGAATATTGTTTAAATCTAAAATAATGTAATATTATAATATTATCATTTGTAGACCAAAATCATTAGTGGAGGCAAAGATGGAAAAATTAGAGAATTTGATATCAATACTGGCGAACTCTTATCATAATAATAAGTAACTAATGGGCCTATTGTGGAAATGATTGTTGCATAAGATTATGTGAATTATTCTGTCATCTCTATGTCAAATAAAGTAACATACCATATTATCATATAGGATCGAAATTTAGTAATGACAAGTCAAGGAGTAAACAAAGTCTTGGATACAAATGACCAAGTATTTGTAGAATTTGGCTGTGGAGTTTATCCAAAAATTGAAGTTGTTGAGAAAGCTGGGCAATTGTAGTTAAATATCATCTCATAGAAACAAGATGTTTAGAAAATTTTTAAGTATGCTATCTGATTGAATATATATATATTATATTTATTTATAATTTATAAATTAATTTATTGAAATTTATATCTATTATTTTTTTACATTAAATCATATTTCATATTTACATTTAAATCATATTTCATATTTACAGAAGAATATTATGAAAGTGATTTAAGTATAATGAAGCATTAGAAATTAAATTAAAGTAGAGAGCATTTCAAGATTGGGTTCTGATATTTGATTATGTTATTCTAGAAATGTATGTACACCTTACAGAACTATATAAAAAATATTTAGATTAGAAGGAAATAGAAGGGTTTCGTGAAGATTATAAATTAGATAAGGTTCATTAATTGAATTTTGAAATTGTGAATTAATATGGAATAAAATTATATTAAACTTGTTCTAGTTGGTGAAAGCGGAGTTGGAAAAACACAAATTCTGAATTCTTATTGCTTTGGGTTGGCACCATAAGCAGTCGCTGATTTCACAATAGGTTGTGATTACGTACTAAAAAGGGTTCTTTTGAATGGAAAATTCTTAAAATTGTAAATCTGGGATGTTTCTGGAGCTGAAAGAGAATCACCTTTGATGAAAATATATTTGAAAGGAGCTTTGGGAATCATCTTTGTGTTTGATGCAACTGATGAAATAAGCAGATAATAATTGGTAAAATGGTAGAATATAGTGTATTAATACGTTGATGAATATAATGGAAGACACATTCCATTCTTGATAGTTTAGAATAAAATGGATTTGGTATAATAATATGATGAATAAAATTCTCAGTAATTTCTTTAGTAATTTTGTTAAACTTTTGGCTTCTTTGATGGAGTATAATGTTCAGCATATGATAATTAAGGTTTAAAGAATGTGTTCGAAACAATCGTCGATGAAATAATTAGAAGAGATCTAGTAGAATTGTAATTGAAAAAAAATGAAAGTAAAATAAGCAAACTGCAAATAGAAGATAAAGGAATGAAACTGAAATAGAAATCAAGATGTTCATGAATAATATATGGATTTGTATTCAAATTAATAATTGTTATTAAATCATTTACTTTCAAAAACACAGAATGCATTTGATCTAACAGTTTCTACTTTAACTTCTGGTCCCACCATTGTTCTAATATCACGGATATCATAATAAATCATAGTTGGTCTTTCCAATCCCAAACCCCATGCAATCACATTCACATCTTCTGGAATGCCAAGAGGTGCTAACATTTCAGGTCTGAAAACACCAGAATTACCAATTTCAACCTTCTTCTTTAAAACAGGATGATATCCTAGAATAGTGATAAACAATTACCATAAATCTCCATACTTGGTTCGGTATATGGATTATAAGTGGGTTTAAACCACAATTTGTTTATTCCAATTTACCTAAAGAATTCTCTGATGATCCCCATCAATTATCCTAATGAGGCATTCTTATCAATCACAACTCCTTCAATCTAATGAAATTCTGCCAAATGAGTTGCATCTAAAGTTTCATTTCTGAAAACTTTATCTATACTAAAATATTTCTTTGGGAAATAACCCTTCTCTTTATATTATTAAGCAATTCTATAAAGCATTTTAGATGAGACAGCTGTTGTATGTGTTCTTAATATATTTTTTCTGGCTTCTTCGTGTGACCATTCGTATTGATATCCAATACTACCAACACCTCCTGTCTAATGCATAGCTTTTACTTTATCTCTCAACGTATTATCTACTTCTTCGCTGAGTTCTGGATCACTACAAAAGAATGTATCATGTGCGTCTCTTGCTGGATGTTTCTAAGGTTAAAATAAAGCATCGAAATTCCAAAAAGATGACTCAACAAATTAATTTGTTGGCATTTCTTCAAATCCCATTCCAATTAAAATTTATGAGAACTATTTCCTTACTTTTAAGAGAGGATGCAAATTACCCATTGAAACTAATAATATAAAATTTGATTATTACTCTTTTCCCCTTCTGCATTAAGATTAATACTTTTATAATCACAATCCTTCCATTCTCCACTGAGTAATTATTCTGTGGTTAATGCTGCAAACTATTCTCTAAATTTTGAATTGTATTTAACACCTTTCTTCACCTCAAAGTATTTAATAGTTGATATGCTAGCCAATTTTCTTTCAATCAATAGTTTTGCTTATGGTGATCCTAATTTGATTTCATTAAATGATTATAATTCTTGTTTTATTTTATCAGGCATGTCATTTGCTACTTTACTTATCATACCCTTATCCAATTTAATATATCCCATTTTCTTTGCATTTCCAAAACCTTAATCAAACAATTTCTTTTTAGGATCCTCTACTTGTTTTTCTTTCTTTTCTCCTTATTCTTATTTTTACTTGGGTGGCTGATCAATTCCAAATTATTTTTGTAAATCTGTCATAGATATTCCACCTTCAGGCACTTTTTAATAAATCTCATATTCTCCAGATTATGAATTTAATATAGTATTCCCCTCTTCATTCAGAAATAATTAATCTTTTTTTAAACCCTATTTATTATTGTTATCATCCTACCTCGGTAATGATATAATTTGCTGCTTCTAATTATAATAGATATCCAACTAATTCTTGATGATTGATGCCTATTGTCTATGCAACTTATAAGGAATTAATAGATTCTTAATTCTCTAATAAACTAAGAATTTGATTTGCGTGATCGTGTTTTTAATCCATAATTATTTAATAATAAATATATTTAAAATTTTAATCAATCTTCCTTTCTTGTTCTATTCATTCATCTTTCAAACAAAATAATAAATAGCATTATATATTCCTTATCTTAAATAATAAATGAGATATAAATTCAATTATTTTATGAATTAAGCATATGTTTCGATTACATTCATCTATTAATAATAATTTAATATTGGCAATTAAATAATAATTTAATTTAATAAAGTTAGCATATTAATGGAAGAATAATTGTCGCAGTAATTCGATTGTATCAAATTTATTGAATCCCATCTACAAGGTACTTAAGACATAGATATGCAATTAACTGATTTATCTTTTCAACTACAATTGTTGAAATCTGACTCAGAGGAATAAATCATTCAAGAAACAAAAGCAATTTATTAAAACCAAGACTAAATCATTCAAGATACTTAATAATTATTTAAAGAGCTGATCGATTACAAAGATCTACAAGATTAGTATATTAGTCAAACTTTGCCATTTTTAGCATAAGATAACAAACTATATTAAAAAATGGATGAATGCCTAAGATACAAAAAAAATATTAGAGACAGTTTAGACATGTTTGAAATTGTGATGCAATTAGATTAGATATATGATTAGTATTAAAAGATAATTGAGGATAACGATATTTAGTAATTGTTGGACAATATCAAGAATAATATTAGAATTTTTAAAATCCTATTACAACTACCGAAAATGAGTCCTAGATATGGACAAATAGAGAAGATTGTCAATTTGGTTGAATCATATTGCCATTAAGAATTATTTACATCTAAGCAATCATAACAAAAATTAGAAATTCTAGATTTGCTTGATATTTCATCTAGGGCAGCTAGCATTTATTTGTAATAGAGACTAAAAGTCATTGACCTTTCTTAATTAACTTTAAATGATTTATTGAGTACTTAAGATGCATAAGAATTGGTTCATCTTATGATTTCAATCACAGATAATGAATTACAATATTTGAGAAATATGAATAATTTTTAATCGTTTTTCTTTGAATTTTTGAAGTACTTGATTTCATATTTTAATAAAAACTTATTTAAGCAGTATTTCAACTTTGAAAACCAATACAATAGAAATTTAGAAGTATTCCACTAATTATTATTTAATAGTTTCTATATGGTTATTTAACATACTACAACATTTTGTAATCGTATTCTGATAAAGGATATTTGCAACCCAAACATTTTGATTAGATATTAAAACTTGCATTTGAGCCTTACAGTGCTATAATAAAGATAATAGTGAAAAATGAATGTTAATTTCTTTAAGGAAATATAAATTTCTAAATAGATTCCACAAAGTCAATTAATGAGAAATTGGCAAGCTTTGATTTCAATAAATAAGATATACTGGAATAATCATTTAAAAGGTGTTATGATTTGAGTTTCTAAATAGCTTTTGAAGATTGGGTATTTGAATGTATAAAAATTTTGGATAATTTATTAATCATTTTGAATCAAATTATTGATGAAATACCTTTGGATTAATTTGGATCATACATTTAATCAATTATCAATTAATCTGAGAATTAGCAATTCATCAAAGGAACCAATTCAAAATTTTAGATGAAACATAACATTTCTTTGTTTGAGTTACTCATAACTAAGCATTATGAATTACATAATTTTAGAATGAATCAGCTGGTTGAATTAGATACTTTTATTAGAAAAACGATTGAAAAAAATATGGAAGAAGAATTATTGAGATAGATTTCTTAAATTATAAGGGAAAGTATACTTTATTGATATATAAATAGAATTGTAAATGAATAGAAATAAAGCCATTTTAAATCAATATATGGAAACATTATCTTTGACATCTGCACTTAGATAATTAATTGAGGAATGTGAAAATAAACTCTCTATTCATATACTTAGATTGTTATTGCAAGATAGTTTAAATTAAGATCAGGATTATATTCATTCATTTACCACAAATTTAGAGTTAATTGAAAACATTTTTAAATCTATAAAAGCAAATAAAATCAATTTTAAGGCTTGTGTGAATTTGAATTAGAATGTTTCATATGAAGAATTAGAGGAAAAATCGAAAAATAATTATTTTAGTCAACCAACTTGTTTTTGGGCAACAATGCACATTTTAGTAGAAACTAAGTTCATTTAAATCAAAGAATTAAAACCTTTTTATGAAAAATTTGTTATATATGATAATTTATATAAATGATTCTTAAACAATGCAGTTCCAAAGAAGGTTTCGATTCATCCAGTGAAGATGAATACCTTGATTAATTCAAAACTAAATTCAGAACCTTAGATTATTATGAAGGACTTAATAAAGAGGAGGAAAAAAAACAATACAATTCCTAAGCTGTCTAATAATAATATCGAAACCTCACTCTAAATGTTCCTGAGTTGAAATATAACAATTCAACTATATTCTTAGGATAACCATTTTATAATACACAATAAATACACAGATTAATTGAAAACAAAGAATATTCAAATGATTTTGAATTTTAGCCTTAAATATTGAGACCTTTTCTTGGTATGTTGAAATAAGGCATATAATTCAATTCCAGCTTTGAATCTGGTAATTTAGATCGAGTTGACTAGGTAATATTTCCTATTTTTAAAATAGATTTCAAATGAAGAATATAATTTATTCATGAGAATTGACACAAATTCTATCGGTCATAGTAACTGGTTTTATTTCAAAACTACAAATAACCAATTGAACAAAATTAAATTCAATATCTGCAATTTTACTAAACCATAAAGTCTATATACAAAAGGAATGAAACCCTATATATTATCAAAAAAAGGGTCTTAAAAGTATTTTACACAATAAGGAGAATTTATTAGATATCAATAAGTTGGAGAACTTTATGTTTTATCCTTCATTTATTAATATGAGTATGTGGATGATGAAGTTGAATTTGCCACTCTTCCGCCATATACATACACAGAATTAAGAAGAAAGATTAAAAAATGGCATAAGAAATCTAAATAATATCTAACTAAACATAAATTAACAACTACATTAACTGGCCTTGTTTTGCCTCTTCTTGTTATAACTGAAAAAAACTCAAATAAAAATAAAAAAATCATCATCATAACTGCAAGAATTCATCCTTCAGAAACTTGTAGTTCTTTTATGATGCAAGGAGTGATATAATTCTTGTTAAGTGAATCCTTCATGGCATCATATTTAAGAAAAAAGTAAACTTTTTTAATTATACTAAAGTATCGTTTTAAAATTATTCCTATGTTAAATCCAGATGGGGTGATTGTAGGTAATTTTAGAAATGGATTAAGTGGAGTTGATCTCAATAGGTAATTCTTGGAAACTGATTTAACTTTATTACCAGAAGTTAAAGCTTTAAAGAATTTAATTGAAGACAATTCTCCCTAATTAATAGCCTATTTAGACTTTCATGGACATTTAGTAAGAAAAAATATATTTCTGTATGGACCATCATCAAATAGTATAAATTATGATTCTAAAATATTTCCACTGATTCTTCAACAAAGGTTAGAATCTTTTCGATATAAATCTTGTGAATTTGGAATCCCAAAATTTAAGATGGGAACAGCAAGAGCATTTGCAAATTGCTTTATAGATACTTTATGTTATACTATAGAAGCATCATTTTGTGGATATTAAAAGGGAAAATCCTTAAAATTTATTTCAAAAGATTGGATTTAAGCTGGATAATGTATTGGAGAAACCTTATTTTTATATTTTAATTTTAAATAAATCAATTCAAAATAATTAAGTAAAACATAATTGATGATTATTAGAATAAAACTAACTGATGAAAACAATAAATGAAATGTCTAGCAAAGTTGAGTAAACTGAAGCAAAACATGAATCAGACGATGAGAATGACAGTCAATCGGATGCAGAAATATTTGAGGATTATGATAACGATAAGCTAGCATGCTTATAAAGTTAAATGAAGGCCGAATTAAGCCAATAAAATTTGGTTGTAATTAATAAAGGAGATTCTCAAAGAAAACGTATGAAAGCTTAAACAGTATCCAGAAAAATCAAGATATAACCTATTTTTATAATGAATAAAAGTAATTAAATTAATTAATTAGAGATCAAAGAAAACCTATAGCATATCCAGAGTTGAATATTTAAAATTGGGAGTTCTCTAATAAAACAAATCAATCTATAGATACTAAAACTAGCTTCTAACAAAAGGGAATTAAAAACAAAATACCTTCGACTTTTAGATTTGTATCAAGCAAAAGGGCCACATCTCTTCATGGAACATCACCCATCAATTAATTTCCACAGGAAATAAATACAACTCAATAAATATAGCCAACTCCCCCAGTGTAAATTCCATCAAAACTGAATTCCAATAACTTTCCTATCTTAGAAAATACTAGTTAAATGTCAACACCTTAATATTTGCCTTTCATTACAAAACTTTTGAAGAGCAAAAGAATAGTCACATAGAGTTGAACAAAGCTAAATGACTTTTATAAATCTTAAATTATATAATTAACGAAGATTAGATTTTGGAATTAATTAGTAAATATAAAAAATTCTTATTAAAATTTATTTTTATGGTATACAAAATTCAAAAACAGAAATTATTTAAATAAAACTTGATGCCATTTTGAATTTAAATCAATTCCAATAATCTGAGTATGTTCTCATAAAACTTTTAACATTAATAAGGAGAAATGTAAATTAAGAATTATATAACTGTATGTGTTCTAAAATTCTAATTGATTTCTGATAAGTGCCCTTCTAGTTCTTCAAAATATTAATGGAATATCATAATATATTAATATTTCATCGTTGTTCACATTATATATAATTATTTTGTTTTAGATAAAATATATCATTAAATCTGAAAATATAGGGAATTAATATAATTTATATTTTGTTGATTATGAGAATTTTAGAATGTTAATTAAAATAATTTGACAAGCGTTGATTAAAACACTTTTTGGTTATAGAGAACAAAACTAAATTACTGTCGATAAGGTAATTGATAATATATAATAAATTTAGGATTAACTATGATAGGTAAAGAATCGTTGAATATATTCATTAAGTAATTAAATATATATATATTTATTAATATCATATAATATGATTAATGATTTGGATATCAACTTTTGCCCACTTTCTCCTTTAGAATTTCATACAAATTAACAGCAGATAATTTCTGAATAATTCTTAGAATATGAGAATCGTTCTAAAAAATGTAGAGTTAGTTCCTAATGTTTACTAATAAAAAAGTACTATTTTTAGATCATTATAGAAAAATTAGACAAAAGAAATCTAGACCATCTGTCCTTCGAATAGAAGAAGTAGTTAGAAATGTGAAGTTGTACAATACTTGTTCGAGCCAACAGAATCTAGAGAATCTGGAAATTATTTAAAATAAACCTCTTGTGAAATCTAGTTGAAAAGATTTAGCTGACTTGATTTATATTAATACATACTTGTAAAAGTTTGAACTATATAAAGTTTTCATTTTCTCAAATTTCCATATCAAGAAATATAAAAATGGTGGATCAGATTTTTTAACATACCTTAATTATAGTATGTTTAACCTCCAACTACTTTATGATGGTTTCCCTTCTCGGTAAACATTCAATCCAATGAGTATAAACAAATTAATATTAAATTCATACTCGATAAAACTATTATGTGACTCTTGTCAATACATTAAAGATGATCAGGACCTTCAATTTAATGAAGTTTTTTCTTCATTTTTAAGGAGACTTTGAGAATATTTACATAATCAACCCAATTAATTTAACGATTCCACAATTGAGATGCATCAAATACTAACCAAATGAAGAAATGATAATTTTGTTTCTGTAATTAATTATATCTTAGACTTAAATTATATTATGTGAATTATATGAGATGAATATGTTTTTTAGTTGTGAAACAAATAGGAAGAATAAATTGATAAAGAAATGGCTAAATTATCTAGATTGTGTCTATGTAAAAGGAGAATTACTGAATTTAGTGAAAGTTTTACTTTTAAAAGCAATTTTTATTATATAACATATTTATATATTTCAAAGAAAATAATCAGGTACTCTTCTGGTTGTATGAGGCTCATTTTCTCTTGGAGCTGGCTCAAATTGTGTCCTATAATAAATGATAATTGATGTTACTAATTCATCTTAAGTTATTCATCAACTTCAACGATACATGCTTAATTACCACATCTATAACAATAATTAGGAGCTGAGAATATAGTAATAGTCTTTTGATTATGAACCTTTTGTATTCCTTCCATAACCAATTGATGGGCTCTAGCAATTTATTTCAATTTATTTGAGTGTAAGAATTTTTCTGTTATATCACAACCCCAAGTCCAACCTGCCCCTCTTGGAGAGATTCCCCATCCTTAGTTGTTTAGTTATATATCAATATACCATTTTTTGTTTCTTCAGGATCGCTCCATAGCAAATCACACATCAATCCTTCGTGTGGGATATCTTAAACTCTATTAAGTTATTTAATTTGATCTACAGATTCCATTGCAGGTGATAAACCTCCATGAGCACAAAAAATCTTTGGGTTTAATTAAATTTGCTGTTACTTATTATTCAACAATTGCGGAGAGTGGGAGATATCCAAAAACCTCTGTAAATTATTTCCATACGATTTCATTACCATATTTACGAAAGCATTCATCATAAAAACCGTAGATTTTATTGATTTCTCTATTTTCATGATTGCCTTTAAGAATATTATGCAATATACCCCTCAACAATACTATGCGATCCTTATATCTGACTTTAAGGGACAACATCAATGAAAATGTTTCAACTGATTGTGATCCTCGATCAACGTAATCTCCAAGAAATAAGTAATTAGTGTCCTAAAGTGATTTGCAAATTAATATACTGGTAGGTTTCCTCCAATTTAAAAGAGTTCAATGAGATCATGAAATTGACCATGTATATCTCCGCAAATAGTAAGGGGAGCTCTGACTTAAATGATGTTTGGTTCATCCTATAATATCTCTTTTGCCTATGTAATTGCTATATATTAAAACTTTGATGCATAAACTCTTGACTTCTTGTTCAGTCAATATTTATCCTTGCCTTAATTTAGCAATTTATCTATCAATATTACCAATTTCATTGCTACTTAATTTATTAAGTGATGCCATTTTAATATAATTATTTGAACAGATTATTAAAATAAGATATATATATATCCATAAATAATAATAAAAATCATAACAATGGGTGGAGCTAAAGTTGATTCCAAAGATCCAGTAAGAGGGATCATCTCAGGTAACCCCCAATGTCATTCATTTTTATTTTAGGTGGTATAACCGGTGGAATCGAAATTTGTATCACATATCCCACTGAGTATATTAAAACTATGATGCAACTCTATAAGGAATACTCATAGAAAGGAGTCAAATATTGCATTGGTGAAACCTATAGGAATTTTGGAATTACAGGATTTTATAGAGGCTTAACACCTTTGGTCACATTTTCTATTCCCAAAGTGGCTTGCAGATTTGGTGCCAATGAATGGTTAAAGAACAATGTATTCACAGACAGAAAAAGCAGATTCTAAACTTTCTGTGCAGGATTAGGAGCTGGTGTGTTTGAAGCACTTGTTGTAGTGACACCCACTGAAACTTTGAAGGTCAGAAAAGTCATTTAGAAATTAGGTTAAATTGATACATGATAAATTATCAACCACTCCCAAATATAGAGGAATGATTCACGGTATTGGATCAATTGTAAATGAAATGGGATTATCTGGTATTTATAAGGGATTGGTTCCAACTATTGTAAAACAAGGTAGTAATTAAGGTATCAGATTCGTTGTGTTTGAGGATACTAAGAAATTCATCTAAGTATTTTGCAAATATAAGTGTTATAGAAAACTTTTACATTTTTACCTGAACCAGTTGTCTTATTATTTTCAGGAGGTATTGCTGGTGCTGCATCTGTGATGTGTAATACTCCAGTTGATGTCATTAAAACATAAATGCAAGGTCTTAAGGCTCATTAATATAATGGTGTTTTGGATTGCTGTAAATAAACTTATTAACAAGAAGGAGTCAGAGGATTCTACAAAGGTAAATCATATATTTCTAGGTTTTAGGAACTGTACCTAGATTGGGTAGAGTTGTTTTGGATGTAGCTATTACATTTACACTATATGATTATATCGGAAGAGTTCTTAATTTGGTTTGGCCACCAAAACATTGATAGTTCATATAATTTTATTCAAGATAGTAATATAAATCTATAATAAATAAATAAAAATACTAATACAATACAAAAATGACATAAAAAACAATTGATCAATATGTGTTTAATACAAAGGATGTGTTAGGATAAGGGTCATTTGGAGTAGTTTTCAAAGCGACCAACAAAATAACGGGCAGAGAAGTGGCATTGAAAATGATATCAAAGGATAAAATGTTGAAAGATCAAAATGCTATTAATGGAGTAAAGAGTGAAATTTGGATTATGCAAAAACTGAACAATAAAAATATTGTATAATTAATTGATGTCTTAGAAACATCAAATAATATTTACATTATTTAAGAGATTTGCGAATCTGGAGATTTAGCTAAGTCTTTATTATTATAAATTCCCTTAGATACTTAAAATAACATTAATTTGTGAATGAATAACAGGCATTGAAAATAATGACTGAAATTTTACAAGGTTTCATAGAGTTGATAAAATTTGGAATAATCCATAGAGATTTAAAACCAGCCAACATATTAATTCATTAAAACACTTATAAAATTGCTGGTCTGATATTTAATATATTTTCGTAGATTTTGGATTTGCTAAAATTGTAGATAATTTTGCATAACAATTATTTTATTCATAAGTAGGTACGCCATTGTACATGAGTCCTCAAATCTTAAAGAACGAAAAATATTCCACAAAATGTGATGTTTGGTCATTTGGATTCCTATTCTATGAAATCATTTATGGAAGAAGTACTTATCCCATAAAATGATTTATAGCCCCATGGGTTGCATCATCCATACCCTAATTAGTAAAGAATATAAATACACAACCCTTACAATTTTATGATTCTATTAATTAAGTCTCTGATAATGTTAAGGATTTAATTTCTAAATGTTTAGCCATCTAAGAGAGTAAATAAGTATGTTTACTATAATAGAAGATCGATATAGTTGGTATGATATATTTGCTCATCCTCTCTTTAGTGCTTAATTTTCATAAACCCCAAATCTATAATAAATATGCGAAGTACTATCTCATTTCTATTAAATAATAGCAAAAGGAACTTTACATTGCTAACCGTTTACGAGAGATATTGGGTGCAAAATAAATTAACAACAATTAGATAATTGAAGAATTATAATAGAATTCAGATGACATTATTCTACAAGACAAATTGAAGGAATTATTAATTGACATTGATGCTGATTTGGAAGACTATGCAATTTAATACATATTTAATAGTATTGATGAGGATTAAAATGGTTAGATTACATGTTAAGAATTTTGTAATTGGATGATAAAACATGAAGTTATGCATAAATTGAATTATTTTAGATTATTAATGATTTTTAAGTCAGAAGTACATCAAATACTATCAGCGGTCCATATCAGATCCAATAATAAGAAGTTCAAGATAAGAAAGACACTAAAACTATTATTTATAATTTGATTTCTGCGATACAATAATAAAATGAAAATCTGGTAGAATTGTTTTACAAATTTGTAAAAGGGTAAGAAAATATGAGCTCAGATGATTTTGCAGATCTTTTACTGTACTTATTTATTATTATAATATACTTAGGTACTATGATGATAGTTTATCTGATGATGAAATATTCTCGACCTTTTAAGTGTTTGATCTGGATGAAAAAAATGAAATCACACTATAGTAATTCAAATACATTCTTGAATAAGATATAGATGATTATTGATTCATATTAATAATCTAAACTTATTATTATTTAAAAATTTAACATGTAATCAATAAAAATATTCTTATTAAACTAAAATAAGGACTTAAATCATATTTTAAAATACAAATAATCATACTATTTTAACAATAGTTCTATCCTTTATTGATAATTAGGATTTGTATTATTTTAATATTAATTTTTATAAAATTTTGAACAGATTTATTAATTATACAAAGTTACAATATTTGTATCTATTTACTTTTAAAACTCAACAAATTTATTAATAAACTGATATATTTCAACCAAATAATTCATTCATTAATTAATCATTTAACATAGGTAGAATTTTAAATGAGTAAAATAAGAATCCTAAACAATGTGCTATTTATTAAATATTGGAATATTAAAATTTAATAAAATATTATATAAAAGATTAATTTTGTTTAATCATTTATTATTACTTGAAAGTGGTGATAGTAAATTGATACCCTTTTATGGCACTTTTTAAGGTGTTTTACCAAATGGATTAGCAGATTGAGGTTATTGATTTTATGCAATCACCTATTATTATTATTCTTATTATTGTTTTGGTATGGAATGTTATTGTTAAAAGGAGGCCTCTTATGGTTTTGAATAATATGCAGAGTCAGATTTTGGTAAGGTATTACCTAAGTTTTCTTAGTTATTGAAACAAGGTTGAACAAAGTGTTGAAGTGTCTATGAAAATTATTGTTAAGGGTTGACCTACTTTTAATTGGCTTTGTCTTAATAGAAAGCTTATTAATATGGGGGTAAAAAACCAGTATGGTGTAGGGGAGTTACTAGTTTTAAGGCTGGTTTATGCATAGAAGTCATTTGAAATGATGTTTTTCTAGATTAGTTTTATATCGGACTTCTGCTTATGACCATAATGTTTCTTGAATTTTCAGTAACAGTATTAAGCTTTCTTCCTCTTTCATCCTTGATTGGTGTTTTTTAACTCTAAATCAATATTGTTTGTTTGGTTGGAGTTTTATTAAACCCACTTAAGGCTGCAGTTGTATTTCTACTTTAAGCTGGACTTAGATATTTTCCAGATCTATCCAATACTGGAGATACACTTCTTTATAATGGAGTTCTAAAATATGATTGTATAGATAAGTCTCTTAGAACTGGGGATTTACTACTCAATCCCATATCAGGTGGAGGTGAATTAGTTCTTTCAGGCTATCTAGGAGGAGATGTATATCTCCTTATTTTTGATTATGGCAGAAAAGTGCTGCCTTGTTATTACAAATTAGTATCAAAAAGAATATCAGAAAGGGTTGGTCTTGATTATTCATCAAAGGTAATCAATCTTTAAACAAAATTGATCAATTGTTAAGAGTATCTCTTTCTTGCTGATGACAATAAATCCATGATAGATTTAAAATATATAGTTTTTCTTTGATAATCTATACACTCCTCCAAGACTCATTATAAATGATAATTGAATACTTGATGTCATAGTCATTAATTCCAATAAGGTGAGTCCGAGTTAAAAAGAATCAGTTTTGAAAGGATCATCTTTTGGAGTCACTGATTAATTTACTAAGGCATCTAATTATTATGGTGATATGTAAACACTAGCATCTGAATAGGCTAATAATTTAGCATAAGATGTAATTATTTCTGGATATGCATTATGGTACTATTTGATTAATAATTTTAAGTACCAATATTTTAACTTATTTGGAATTATCTATAAAAATTGTTTAGGGATTCAAATCTCCATGAAATAAATCTAACTTCTGTAAAAATGAACAAGCAGAAACTATTTATAAAATTATCTAAATGATTTCGATATAAATTACTTTCCAAATTTCAGCTTCTTCCAGATAACTACAATTCTTCTTATGAAAACTGATCACATTATCTAAAGTATTCGGAATATATTCAAAAAAGAATTTTGTCTATAGAATATTCCCTTTAAATGTTAAATAATTGGATTAACATCCGTAATATTACAATATATTTGGATGATTTGCCTTTTTTCTATCGTTGTGCTCATTCACATTTAAGTCATGTCTTTAACCACTATGAGATTACTTATTGATCTAAAAATACAGATACTTTCGAAAAGATTGACGGTTTACTTTTAGAATCTCTTCTCCATAATTAAATCAATCCTAAATATTTGTGCTGCTTTGATCCAATGCATTCTAAATGATCTTCTAATTTGCCATCCATTGAAATAACTTATTCATTGACATAAGAGGTTTAATTACCCATTTTTTTATTAACAAATTTTGCTGTTATATATAAATATTAAAAAAATAATATAGAACCAGTGATATCAATTATATAATTGCTTAAAATATATCATTTTAGGTCTACCAAATATTATAAATCTTGAAAAGAAATTGCTTAATAATATATATCTTATTCTAGAAATATAGAGTTAATCTCAAATATAGGAGTCAATTTTTATTTTATAATAATAATTGAATTTCTTAATATCAAATGTTGTCCCTTAAAAACGGAAAAACTAATGAAATTTATTAGAAAGGTCTAAAAGTGGAGGTATTAAATAAATTACATAGTTGATTCGAACTCAGTAAATGTATGAGGCATTCACAATAAATTGTTAAATTGTCTAGAAATCAATAATTTTGAATATCAATTTAACAATTCTGCCCACTAAGTCAATTACATTTCAAACAAGACACTACAACTTCAATGTTTGTCAATTGTTTAAGAATTTATAAAATTCTAAAATATAAATAATATTTATATAGCGTTTTCCTTCAGTAAGTATAGATTAGTTACTTTGAGTGATCTGATACAAGAGTAATCCAATGAAGTTGAAGATGATAATTCAAGAGACTTGAACTTGTGAATTTCATCTACACTTGTGTTGAAATTGATTTCTGATTACTAAATATACTATATTGATAAGATTTCTCAGATTCAATTAAATGAATTACCTATAAAATGAAATAAGAAGTGATGAAAATATTATGATAGAGAAGTTAAAATATCAAGTGTAAAAAAAGATTAAGAATCACAAGATTAGAATTATTTATAATTTAATCATTTCATTTTTATAAATATGTAATTACTAATAATATTTCATATATTATTTTAAGGATGAAATCTGATGTTGTTATTACTAAAATAATGGTTACTTAAATCGTTTAATAATAATGAGTTAGGTCAGAACATCAATAATTTAAAATCTGACACATTAAATTAGTTTAAAAGCAAAATTATTATTAATTCCGTAAACAATAATTTTAAATTATATTTTAAAAAATTTGTTCTTATTAGAATGTAAAAACAAAGATAAATACCACTAACCTACTTGTAGAGTGATGGGGATACATATCCAGTTCCAGAATCTATCGAAGCAGATATTGGAAGTTTATTAACATCACCCTAAACAACTATTTAATCGGAGAGAAAGAAATCGTTTTAAAGTCCTTTTAGATTAAAAAGATCTCATTAAATTTTAGAATATACAGAATAACTTTATGTCTGGAATTCGTATCTTTCCAGAAAATTCGTTTCATCCTGATTGAATAGTTGTAATGATTTGTGTTCACTTTATTATAGTATGACTTTTATTTTCATTATATCATATTTCTAGCAATAAAACACCTTAAATGTTTTGACACTCTCTACATCATCCAATCCAATATAAGACACTAGTTATGATATCTTATGTCAATAAAACTTGTTAAATTCGTCAAGTTAATTATACTTCGTCTTAATTTTAGATGCTATGTTATATATATATATAAATATAATACTATCCAATAAAGTACTAAGTTATTCATCATCTCGATTACAATAATTTCTATACATTATACTTAGAAGCATTTCACAATTTATTTTTGATATTGTATAACAAAAAGATTTAAGAGTACGGAAATGCTGATATGATGTTCTCAATTTTAAAGTATGTTATCAGATTTCATTAAGAATAATTGTTCTTTTTAGATAAAAAACTTCACTATAACTTATAAATTATTAGATTTAGATATGAACTTTGCTTTAAGCACGAATGTTAGAACTAAACTGTGTTAAAGAGTGAATACTAATAAATTAAATTAATTTAGAATATAATATCCACACATTATAAATATTTCTTTAATTTTATTCCTGTTCCAAATTTTGATTTTCAGAACTCTAAAAACATTACTGGACCTAGGATTCTCAAAGAAATAAAGTATGTTAGTTATATTAATTTATATAGACTATCTTACGTGAGAATGATTTATATGTTAAATTAATAAAAGTGATTCATTAATAATTTATAGTAAATCAAGAATAAATTAAAATATTAATATCTGTTTGTAATTACATATTAAATTATTGTTTTTATAATTAGATTATAAGGTCAAATAAAATATAAAGCTTCAGGTTTAGTAATAATAAATCGGTTAAATTCTAATAGTTTTCACATCTAATTTTAAGGGTTAAGTCTTTTATGGTGATTCTTTAGAGACAATGGTTTCAGCAGGAATAGTATCTGTTTGAGTCTGTTAATTTTAATATAGAATTTCAACTTATTGGGATTAATTTATTAAGATGAGTTCATTTTGTTGTTGTTCAGTCTACATAACAGCCTCTTAATACTCAGGCAATTTAATTGGTTAATCATTTATTTATTATTCTCTAAGAATGGCTTTTAATTTATTAATTTCATCAATCAACTGGGCATTTTAGGTTTCTTTCTATTTATCTGATTATTGTAATTTATTCAAAAGGGATTAAATTTATAGTTCTTATTTCCCTATTGTTTAATTATAAGATGAATTTTGTAGTTCAAGTTGATTAATTATTTATTATTGTTTGGCAATAGTCTGTTACAAAATATCAATTTGAGAGTTTTCTTCTTGAGTTTTTTATATTAACTTTTATTATTCCTGCTTGATTTAGCCTTCATGATAAAAGTAATTGTGATCTCCCTAACATTAATTCTTGGTTATGTATGCTTTATGTATATAAACAGACATTTAATTAATGTTTTATTTATTATTGATATTACCCATATTTGGAATTGATGATGTATAAGTGAGAAGAAGTATAATATGTGGATGTAAATACTTGAGTCCATCAGAGTGTATTGAAGTGGAATGGTGTGAATTGGCTTCTCAATTTGACAAATGTCCTATTAATTCTGATTGCATAACTTACCAAACTGAATAAGAATGTGATGAAGCAGATGCTAGTTTATGTGTTTGGAAAGACAGTTAGTGTTTAAATAAATGTTAAATTTTGGAATATAATACTTGTTAAAATAAAGAAATAGATTCAAATTGTTCATAATTTAATACTACTTCAAGTTGTGAAGCCTTGTCATGGTGCTAATTTAACATTACTACATCAATTTGTGAACAAAAACTGTAAGTTTCTTGCAGTGATATTTTGAATTCCATTTAATGTGAAGAATATGGTTGTCAATGGGATGATGATGATATGATAGGTTGTTAAAATAATGATGGAAATTGTAGTATAATTTTGAATAAAGATGATTGCGTGGCATCATATTAAGATAATAGGTAATGCATTTGGATAGAAGATTTATCATCTTGCTATTAATCAAAAGATTGTGGTGAATACAAATATGATTAGGATGAACTTGGTCTTTGTGAATCAATATCTAATTGTCATTCAGACGAAAATCAATGTCAGAGTTGCGTTTAAGATATGTTTACATTTGAATCAATTTTACAATTAATAAGTATATTTTATTTTTTTTGATTTTCATTGTTATTCCTCACCATCAAAATTTTGATCAAATGAGATTATACTATTTCTATGCAAATTAGGAGCATTTTTATCCAAATAATCTGATTGTTCTGTCACAAGAATCTGAATACCATCATATTCCTTTTATAATCTATCAATATCCTCTTTTAGAACATTCTTTCTCTAATCCCCATCCTGTCGTCTATATTATTAACATATTTACCTTTAAGGATACCATTTATTCCTTTTTCTATTTGATTTCCCTTATTAGATGATCAGCCTTTTAATTCAATTCTGGCACTGTAATGATATCCTCACTTTATTTTTTCATTCTCATAAAGTCTGTGTCTTTGAGCATCTCAAAGTCCAATTTTTGATGCTAATTGAATAGTAATGAATTAATTATATCTCTGAATTAATTAAAGATATTCTAAATTAAAGGATCTTGTGTAAAATGCAACAATTTATCAGATGTTCCTTATAGAAATTGATTTATTATTTCTTTGATATTAGCATGTTGGCTGATCAATTGAAATTCTTATTCTGAATTCTTTTTACTGATAATTGATCTCGAAACAGAGGAATAATTATCAACTCTAATTTATTATTATAATTATTACTATAATAAGAGTAATTTAAGCTGATTATTTTCTTCCCTTAAATCATCGTTTTATTATGTTAATTGCTCGTATATCTTCTAGAATTTCTTCATTTGTTAATCTTAGATCTCTTATAATTTTGATTACGGAATATGCGATTACTATAGGGTTTTCACTTCTTGACTTTTTTCACTTAATTGAGTTTTTAATTGTTTATTTTATTTTTCTAGTTCTAATATTTTTGAGTCTTGCTTGTTTATCCTTATCTTAAACTCATCTACTTGCATAATTAATTTCATTTAATCTTATTTTACTTTTTCGAATTCACTCTTATTACCAGAAGCCTTTTCTTCGAACTTAATAGATATAAATAAAAACTTTAATGAGTCTTAGATTTCTATCAGTAACCTAATGGTTATTATCATAGAAAGGTTATGATGAATCTCGTTTATTTTTTTCTCTTTCTCTTTCTATTCTCTGTAATTGTATATTCGGACTGATATTATTTTTCTATTAAAACCAACTAGAATCTTGAGTGATGGAATTGTCAAATCTTTTAATGTAATCAACCTATTTGCTAGTATTATTGAAATCCTATTGAATAGATATTTAACTAGATTAATATGTAGGAGGATATTGAATTTATTATTATCGACGAAATACTTCAGACATCTCATTTAACTAAATTAGATGATGGAAATTACACTTTAATTGGGATTTCGAAAAGGCTGCTTCATAGCTCTATCTGGAGTGTGACATATTGGACTTTAATTGAAATATTGTTGAGTGTATGATTGATTTTGATTCACAAACATTCTCTTGGGGGTAGTTTCTTGATTTTTGATTATTCCGGGTCTCAAATAATGTTCTGACATTGAATAGAAATAATTATATTGTCAGTTAATATTTAATATAAAATAATGGAGATAGGTTAATATAATGATGTAATGCAATATGCCTCTTAATTGGCAGATTTGGCTTTGAATGTTGGTATTGATCTTATTTTGATAAATAAATAGGATTTGTGGTGGGTCCTCTAATTGGATACGTGGCTCAATATTAATTGATAAAGCAATAAAAGAGTGTAGGATCATTCTCAACTGATGTCTGTGCGATATTATTGTTTGCAAACTTATTAAGAATTGTATTTTGGTATGAAAAACGGTTTGAAAGCGCATTATTGTATCAATCAGTCCTGATGATCATGATGTAAGTAATAAATCATGCTAAATTCTTAAGGTGGAATTATTAAGGTTATGTTTGACAATAAAGAACAACTCAGTTTATAAGAATAAACCAGTTTCATTCTTTGATAGTCCATTGAATAAGTTTTGGAGATGGAGCTAATTAAATTCTTACATTACTTGTTTGATTGCCTTTTTAACATTTGTATTGATCACTAGTTATTTCAATCTTGGCAACCCTCAATATTGGGAAATTATAGGATTCCTAAGTTGTGCAATAGAGGTAGAACTAAATTGATAATGATTAGGCAACTTTGGGTTTGCCTTAAGCCATAAAGAATCACACATCAAAAAGCGTGAAAGGATTATCATACACTATGATTGGATCATGGTTTGTGGGGGATGCGTTTAAGACATTCTACTTTATAGTGAAAAACTAACCTGCTTAATTTGTGATGTGCGGAGTAATTCAATTAAGTGTGGATATTTGGATCATGTTATAAATAGCAGTATTTAGTTCTAAGAAGAGTGATTTAGCAGAATTATGATTTATTATGGAATTGATATTTGTGATAATGTTATATATCATTTTGGAACAACTGAGTTATCCCAAACACTGCAAGTGTTTTTTCCTCCTTAAAGGTAGATGTATCCATCGACTCCCCAAACGGTATTCCATGAGTTCTTGACGATGAGAGCTTCAGAAGTGAAACCAACAGCCAAAACAGCGTGGTTGACATCTCCTGTGCATGCAGAATCTGGGAAGATGAAATCGTCACCTTTGGGTTTATAGTTCTTCCAATCTGAAGCCTTGACAGCGACTGAAATTGGTCCGTTTTAGAGGGCAGCTTAGTGAGCAGCTTCGTTAGCGGCAATAGCAGTTGATCCAGCGACTTTGTAGGCACCTCCCTTGATTTTGCAGGATTTGTTTTAGATATGTTCCTATAAAGAATTAATTAAAAATAATACATATGGATAAGCATCTTAAGTGGTAAGACCGTTTCTCTTGACATAGTTCAAGGCTCTTGATGGCATACCTCCGTCACATCCTTAGTTGAAATCAATCAAAGTTGAGCAATCAACCAATTATTATTCTGAGAGATCTGGTAATTCACCAGTTTAGACCTTGTAGAATCCTTCCAAGACACCAGTTGTACTGAAAGCCCAGCATGATCCGCATTATCCTTGGTCTTTGACCTTATTGACTGCACCTCTTGTTCTCCAATCGATTGGTGTAGCATTGACATTTTCGAATTAAGCCTTTGGTACTTCCAAATCATCAGGGTTGACTTTGAGGGTCAAGTAGGTGGCAGCGAATTCTTCATCGGTAAGATCTGTGAATTAGGTTTCACCGAAGATTTCTCTTCCGAGCTTTTGGTTTCTGGCCTTGATGTCAGCAAGGTTGGCCTCATAAACTTATAATCTGTAAAGGAGTTCAGATCCAGAGTATTATTTGTTGAATGTGGCTTAGTAATTGGTGAATTAAGCAGCCAATTAAAGCTCTGGAGTGCTTTGAACGTTGTAAAGTGTTCCCACTAACATCAATAAACCTATGGCAAGGATTGTCTTTTCCATTATGTAATAATATTATTTTTCGATGTCATAATCATCGATTTTTATAATACTAATGATGATGTCATCATACACTTTTATTGACCTAGTCATTAAATTTGTAAATTCCCCTCCAGAACGGTTTATATTATACAGAATTCCTAGCCCATAACCCTCCTTGATATACTCAACAACAAACCAACAAATTTTATGTTATCCAAAGATACACATATAAATTTAGTCTACATCATTTAGATTGAAAAATAAGTTAAGCTCAGATAAACTTGATGGGCTACTATTAAGCGATCCCACAATATTCTGGACTCATTTGATATGTCACACCCAATATATGTACCAAAAAAATACAGAAATGAAAAAAAATTAGACACTTGAAGTTATCCCAATTAAAATTTATTGCCCCTCTCATTATCTATAATTACCAATCTTGGTTCTTTAAAACCAATATACTCCTTCAAAGTAGATAAATATTTTAGATTACAATATGATTATAATAAATTGTTATTAAAATTAGTAGAATCTTACATAAAAATTGTTATATTACTACAAGACAAAAATGAAATTATTATACAATTAAACAAATATTATATATGAGTTTCTAAACTTCAAGACCTGGTAAGGATGTTTCATGACAATCCAACTAATGTGGTACCTTGGTTTATTAACAATCAATGGTATTTGTGTGAATCTCCATATTCAAAATGCCCAAGTAAGAGTGATCACTCAAATTATGCCATTATTGTCAATACTAAAATGCATGGATCAGAAATGCTATGATAAATCACTCAATTAAATGCATCCTATATTATCGTTCTTATATTTGACTCCTTATTTACTAAGAGTTGTCTATGATTAATGTAAGAGATCTAATATCAATTTCATTATTAGTTTTATGAAATTTAAAATCAATTATTATTGATTTTTCTACAATATTATTACGATATTTTTACTCTAGAAATAAACTTGTAGGTTCTTAAGTGTGTTATTCTTAAAAGGATGAACAATGACTTCTTATTATATTAAACTTTCACACATTCCAATTCTTCCTATATTATATTTAAATAGTCATAGAGCATTTTATTTAATTTATTAAGGATATATGATATTTAGAATTAAAGATTCGTAATCAGAAATCAATCTCTTTTTTTAGAATCCCTTTCAAGTCAATTTGGTATTATTATTTATTAATTTCCTAAAAATTTATTAAGTTGTAACGAGAAAATATCAATAAATCCTATCCAATCACAGTAAGCGACTATTATTGACCTGAAAGATGATTTCTTTTAATATATGGATATTTTACAAAAATTGATTAAAAATTTATTAAAAAATTGCTTAATTAGAGTAAAATAATCGAATTGAAAAATATATTTAGTAAGTATTTAAAATTATTATAAATAGTTTTTATAGTTAAAATCCAAAAGTTCCAAAAATGTAAATTTTTATCAGATGGATATATAGAAAATATCACCAAAATGTGGTTTTCACCATTAATCTTAGATTATATCAAAAAATATTAAAACTTTGATGGAAATTTGCAAGAAAATCTACTATATATACATTTCTCTACTTTTTTAACTATTAATTTCCTATAACTATAAATTTAACTATAGAGAAAACCTTATACGAGAAGGGCATAATGATATAATTCTCTTGAGCAAATTACTATAAAATTTACCAATCTAACAGCGATGACAAAAGTATCTCAAGGATGAATAATAATTCATATTGAGATTCTCAAATTGTAAATACCTCCCATAATTACTAATCCCAAAATGATATTAATTAATTAAATCTTAGCATTATTTTCAACTCTGCCACATGATCAAGATTACGATAAATTCCTGAATTATTAGAAGATGTATTAATTACCATTCATTCTCTTTGGACAATTGTGTTTACAATTAGAGTCTTAATTTAATCCTTAGTATCAAGTCAAACTAAATGAATGTAATTTCTTTGATCTTCTTTGGCTCATCTTAATATTCACTCCTTAGTTATTCAAAATTTTATTAATAAATTAATTTAATATACAATGGCTGATGAAAATCCAGATGACAATAATTTTGAATTTATCAAATTCCTTCCTGAAGGTGATCAGAAGACCAAGTCTTCTAGAGATTATACTGGTAGAGGATAAGCCAAATATGCCAATAATGAAATCTATGAAGGTGAATATGTTGATGGAGTAACTGTTTCAAATCTAATCCTTAGAAAAGAAATGGTAAAGGCAAATATAATTATGCTAATGGTGACCTCTACTTTGGAGATTTCATAAACAATGTCAAACATGGAATTGGTAAATTAACATACAAAGAAAAGGGAGAATATTTCGGTTTCACTCCCCTTTATTATTTTAGGCTAATGGGAAAATGGTAAGAGACATGGAGAAGGCATTTTTACATTTCCAAACAAGGACTAATATAGTGGATGGTGGGCATTTGGTAAAAAAGAGGGCAATGGCACATATATTTATAATGATACTGGGATGAGAGTATTTTCTAATTGTCTATTTTACATTAGTTAGTAGGGTAATGGAAAGACAACAAGTTTGTATCTGGAAGATGGGTTCTACCAAATGGTACATACTATGAAGGGGAATTCGATAATAATAAGCCAAATAAGGTTGGAATCTGGTACTTCAAGAATGGCAATAAAGTAGAAGGAACATATAATCAAAAAATAATTCCAAATGAAGATTCTGAGGATAAGAAACTTAATATAGAAATGAAATGGGCATCTAATGGATATTTATATTAAAATGCAGATTTAGTAAATGCACATGAAAAATTCTGAATTATCATATTAATATAGGAGATTCTTATAATCATTCATTATATAATTTTAATTATTCCTAAATTATATGAAAGGAATTACATTTTTTCTATTAATTCTAATATTATCAGTATCTAGAACATGCTTTTCTATGTTTTCATCTTTTTCAAATCCAAAGTTCAATACAAAATTGTTTGATTTTGACGGACTCTCCCTACCTTTTAGTGTAGGTGATGCTATGGTTTCAGGCAATCTTCTATCAAATAAACATAATTGTAATATCTCTAATAACATGGCAGCAAATGTCAACACTAATTCAGGTATGCAGAGGGGCATTAATTATTCATCAATGATATCCCTCATATAAACAAGATTCAGTATATTTGACCAATCAGTGCATTTCTAAAGAATAACCATAAGACATTATTACATTTTCAATATAAGAATGCATGGTATTTCTAAAATGAGCCAGAAATCCCAATTTAGTACCAACGATAGATAAATGTGCCATATGAAGGAGAATGAGGAATGTTGTAGGACAATAGAATTTCCAAGTAACCTTATAAATTTTGTGTTTAAATATGCCCTTTCTAGTTAAATTTTGTATGATTGCAGAATGAAATATTGCTCCAAAACCCATTAAAAAGCCTAGATCAATTTAATTAAGAATTACCTGCCATAATGAGAGCAATCAAAAATACAAGTTGAATGTAATTGTCTCTGAAATTGGAGACATCAATCTATTTAATGGTACAATTATATTCTGTAAACTTTTAACCAAAAAGACCAAACTTAGGTGTTTCAGGGAAATACTCTAATCCAGGCAAATTCTCATATGGGTATTCATTTTCTTCAAATAATAAATACTAATCAAATTCATCTATGAACGCATATTCTGATGATTAAATCACACATTTATAGGCTGATTCTAATAATGGATATTGATTAATTGAGTCTCCATCCTCGTAGCAAACATCGATTCCATAGCTTAATGTGAAATTGAAATATGATTGGGTAAGATTTTCTTTGGAGATTAAGTCTGCATAGTTTCCACAAGCATTTTATTCATTTTTAGTTTAGCAAACTCCTTTACAAATAGACGTGCAGTTTTTTTCATAAAATAATTCTCTGTATGTATATTCAGATCTTCTTCCACAAATAGAATATCCCTTCCAGATTCCAAAATCTTATGAGTTGATAGATGCTATTTCATCACATCCCTCATCAATATCGGAAGACTAACAATGTTCACTTTTCAATTTATCATAATCAATTTCACCATTCTCATCTTCTTCTCCAAAGCCACAGTCACATCCTTATTATTTGCTTAGTATAAATACCACTTGAGGTTTCAGGATAACTGTATTCAAAGAATGTTTCAAGATTGGATGGACATTTTGAATCGTTTATTTTTTGAATTTCAACAATTGGTTTAAATTCCCAGTTATCATATAGATTTCTATCCATTTAGTAGTGATTTATGTATAGAATCAAGGCCAATGGGAAGATCACACACTCTATAAGGAAATTGAGATATTGAACAGATGCAGCAAAGTGAGTGGATTTCCAATAACTAGGTTTTTGCTTCATTAAATAAAATATTATAATTATATATCATGTACTTACATTTACTAATTTTTCCATTGCGAATAATATTTTCTTGGAGGACTTGTAATGTTTTTAGGGATCAATTAACAATTCGCATATTCGTTGCAATGTAAAAGGTGGCCTGGTATATTAAATGGAGAATAATATACTTTTATTCAAAAACACAGAGGAATTGGAGCACTATATCTAATTCATCCTCGAAGCCTTCATTCTGAGCAGTCTTTTCATAAGGGAACAGCTTTTGCATATTTAATAACATATCTCTGGTTGTGATGACAATAAGTGATCTCAAATAGAGCCAGTTATATTTTTGAATTTCGCCGTTCTGAGAGATAGATTCTAATATTGGTTTCAGCTGGCTCATTAAATTATTGATTTGAATGGGTATATCCTTGAAGTATTAAATGAGGTCTTTTACTTTCTTGATCCGAATTCCTTATTGGATTTAACTGACAATCTCTTGGGTTTGCTCATAGAAATCTTTGAGTTGGTTCTAATAGTCATGTTGAATCATTTCTTTATTTTCATTCATTTTATTTAATTAATTAATATATAAGGCATAGTTGAAGTATAAACTAGGGGTGTTGATTCTAGGGAGAATGAATGCAATTCTTATAGACTCAATCCCCTAAAATCAATATGCTCAGAAAAATCTAACAATATTAATTAAAAATAAAGATGAATCCAATTTAATAAGCATGGTTAAAAATCCTGAACCCAGTATCTGTAGTGATCAACGAGAAGCTGGCCAAAAGATCAGGATTATTGGGTAAGATTGGAAGATTCTTCCTCATTGGCCCAAGAGAATTTGGATTTCATCCTACAAACTAAATGTTCATTTATTTCAACAGAAGAGTGCTCTTTGCAACAGCCTTCATGGGTCACAAATACTCAGTCTTAAAGTAACTAACACCAATATGTTTACAATAGAGGACTCACTCATTAAGGATATCATATGTTGAGACCAATGAGAGCAGCTGTATTCTTGGGACCAATTGCAGTTTTGGCAGGTCTATTTAGATTGGTCTACTATTCCTCTGAAAACAGATCCTACTAGTATGCAATATTATTTGGATAGTTAGTCCTGATAATTTGGATTACGTGATGAAGAAAGCCACTAATGCATTACATTTTCCATTGAACACTTTGAATCAAAGATTATCAGCACATTACACAGAGATAAGTTCTATTTATACAGCTGAAATGATGAAGAGAGTAATAATCTATTATTATTCAAATCTTAGTATCATAAATAACATGCCAAAATAATCAAGGAGAGATCAATACAATCAGAACATGTTAAGAAAACTAAATATGCGGATCCATCATATAAATATGTCCCAATGACTCCAGTCCACATTGAAGATTTAAAACTCGCTTGAGATAAATAATAAAAATATAATGTTAACAATCTTTGATGAGTTTTATAATAATAAAAATATCCCTGACTTCCTTGATGATGATGGCATACTCATGAATAAGGAGAATAACATCCAATTGAAAGAATTGTAAGCACATTTATAAATTACTTCCAAATTAGTTTAGTCAATAATGAAGACTTAGTAACACAGATGCTCTCCTTTTTCGAGTATGATGAATTAGAAACTGATCACAAACGTGTAATCAAATATCCTTTTGTCGTAAGCGAATTGTTAGGATCACTTTATGCTCTAAATGCAAATCATCTGAATTTCCTGATCCAATTGTTGAATTCACATAATAGTCTGCCTTCCATCACAATTGGATACATAAGTAAAGTCATTATGAATGTTCTTAAACACAATCCATGTTTTGTAATCATATATCTTAACAATTTAGTTTTGGTAAAATGTCTAATTGCCATAATTGGGTATTTTACTGCAAGATATCAATAATTATGCTATAGCTGAATTAATCTATTCTATGATTATATATTAAACATAGGACAATCAATTGGACTATTTGAAATAAAGAATGGAATTGGTCAATTGCTTATTGAATGATATCAATACTGACAGAAGTGAGGGCATTTCCAATGTCATCTGCATGTTATTACAACAAATTACTGAAACCCTCCAAGAATAGAAATCCCTCATTATTAAACATCTATTTACTAAATTAGACATCTTTTTATCTGCTTTGCCTTATAGACCATAACCAATTTTAAGTATCCTCATTAATCTTATTAAACATCAATAATATTATGAATCTGAAGTCAATTAAATTTACAATCATTTTCTTGAAAGATCCAAAGAATTATTTGATGATTTGCTTAAAAACAGTGGTTCTTTTGGTCAAAATAATCTCTCATACATTCAATTTTATGATGTCTTGACCAATTAAACTTATATTTTACAGAATATCAATGCCTAACATTTAGAGATTGCATTGTTTGTATAATATTATTATATATATAGCAACTAATTCAAAAGTATCAATTTCATAATCAATTACACAAATACGCAACAAGTATCATCCTTAAATTAATTCCATAAACTGACTCTCAATAATTACTTTAAATTGCCCTTTCTGAGTTTAAGTATTTAAAATTTATAATATAGGATTAAACCAATAAAGGAAAATAGAGGATATGTGGTTTAGATAATTAACAAAATAATTGAAGTGAATTTTAATCTACAAATTTAAGAAGAAGAGTTACAAAATATAAATTCAATTCAAAATAATTATTTTTTTGGATAGATTCCTGATTAGAAACCTACATTCAATTTACAAGAAGAGTTTGAAGCAGCAATGAATAAATTATAAATATGAAATCATTAAATTTGGTCTTCATCTTCATCAGAACTACTTGGCATATCATAATTCTTTTATCCAGTATTCTCCTTCTTTTAAGCCATTTCCAAATACTTTAATTCAGCTACTTTCAATTCCTTATCATTCTGACATTCAGCATAGAGATCAAAAGCCTCTTTGTTTATCTTGAAGAAGTTCTCTCCCCAAGTGAATTTACTAAGAATGTAATCTGCTTATTCTCTGCGACCACATAGGGCTAATGTAGCTGCAATAGCTTCAACACAAGACAATTTGAATTGTTTCCCAAAATTAACTGGATTCACTGCTACCATATGAGGTAATAATCTTTCATTGGGAGACACATAAGTAATTTCTTCTACCTTTGCCCATGAGCAATCAATCACACAAATCCCTTTTTATAATAATTCCTCATCTTCTTTTGATACGTACTTCTTCCCATTTGCACTTACTATGATTCCTTAGAATTTCACTTTTGGCTTAATTGCTGTCAATAATTTAAATCTTTCCATTTTTCTACCTGTGCATTTCTTGACATCGCATTAACCATAATCAATCATAAACAATTTAATATCATTCAATCTTTCTTCTTTCTTAGTTATTTATTATTAATCTTCATCTTCACTTTCATCTTGACTGTTACTCTATTAATTATCTATTTATTGCAATTGATGCAATGTTATTTGCTATTGATGACCCTATTATTGTTTCTAGTCTCTTTTGTCTGATCTTGCTTTTTTCCAATTTTAGTACCTCTATTTATTGTTCATTAATTATTTTTAATAAAAAAAAGTCTAAAATATACATGAAGGCAAATCGATTTATTATCCATAATCCTACCATTGAATCTTACCAATTGGAAGAGTATTACAATCATTTCAAAAGGATGGAGGAGATCGATAAAGAAAAAATGAATATTTATAAAAGTATAGAGTCCAATAAGTCGGCATCTAATTACAGATTTCTTATGTTACAACAAACATCCAAATTTAATAAACAACAATAATAGAATGCTCAAGATCGTCTTCAAAAAGTACTGTTCACAATATTTTACATAAGTTACTTGATAATAAAATCGAAAGGATAAAAGTGAGAGATAATCCATATGTCAATTAAACTAGATTAAGAGGTATATCTTAAGTTGATCTAAAAAGTCCAAACATTAGTTTCAATAGTTCTTTAGAGAATCTCAACTTAATTAAAAAGCTCTAAACTCTTAAACCCAACATCTCTAAAAAAGATCTGGATTGCCATTATGAGAAATAAAAGGAATATGGGAGTAGACTAAGAAAACTACCCAAACTTCCAGATTTAGACAAAAAGAATCACTATTTTTTTTGATTTGTATAATTTAAATCAGTCAAACTAATTCTAAAACTCTTCCAAGGAATCCTACTCTGAGTTATTGTCATCCTATTATAATGATTTAATCTGGATATTGAATTTTTCATTCAATCCCAAAATCCTGTTGTATAATTCCCCATTTTCTTATTACACATTAGTTTAAAACTATTAACTTAATGTTGGATTTTCCTTATTAAAAGCAATCCAAAATTTCTCCAAGTTTTAATCACTCACATAATTCTGAGTTACAGCAATACTATCTTCAACATTCAATACAGCATGCCACCATCCATTTGGAACATAAACAGTTTCATGTTCACTCTAAATGAAATCATAATATTTAATATTTTATTAATCGCAGTGCTTCTTCACCAAAGGAACTATGATACTAAAATAATCAATTGGATTATTAATATTCTCTAAGATATCCTTGCTAATTAATGATTTTCCTATGATTTTAATTTCAATCAAACATACCTTTAATAATATTCTTATCAATAGAAGGTGGAAACATAACCCATCTTTTCTTCCCTAAAACAACGCAATTCCAAGCAGAGGTTTCATAGGGATCTATATGAATCATTGATCCTGATTGCTTAGGACTAATATATCAATTGATTTACCCACATAAAATCCATCTATATTATGGTCTTCTCTACTTCAAGTAGGCTAGGTAGTCTTATGGAAATAAGTATGGTATCTTGTATTAATTTAACATTTTTTGGGGAATGTCTCCATCAAATATATATAAGGGGTTGTAATCAGTATTGTTCTAAAAATATTGAATGTATTGATCAAATCTCAATTTCAAATAGTTGCCATCATCATCTATGGCACACCTGAAATAACATTCCTTATAATTTTAAATTAGATAATCCCAATCCCAATTTTCCCAATCCTTGTCCAACCCTGTGATAATTACTGGAACCTTAGAGTCGTAATGGGTTTAAAAATCTACAAGAGACAAATCAGAATCGAGTTTGATTGGGGATTCCTCAACCTTTTCTAGCAATAAATCATTGAATCTTAATTGATATTGATTTGATGATCTCTGTTAATATTTAAGGAAGGTCTTCAATTCATCAATATTCTTGAATTCAAATTATTTTTATGATTGGTTCATAAATAAAAAAATAATGAATGTACCTTTATTGGATCTGATGATTATATTTATATTTATTAAAAACTACAATTAAGTTCCGTTAAATGAATTAAGCCTCAAGTTCTCACTCCAGAAACCTTTATAATTATAATGGAAGTGCCTATTCAACAGACAGCATGAGAGTGTATAGTAAATCTCCTAAAAATGCGTAATAATACAATAATCGATATTAACCCTGTATTTATTCCACAATGAGCAATATTTAAAACTTACAATCTCTCAAAAACCAAATATCTTAATTATAATCTGTTTTAACTCAATAACATCGAAAAAGTAGTTTCACAAGATCTAAAGCAGACTCCTCAGCAAATATTTCAAATGATAGATCCTTCTACACCATGATTAAGGAATAGCTGAAATAGGTGAACAATTTATAAACCCTTGAAAAAGATCAGAACAATTAAAATATCAATCAAACTACTCAATAACCAAAAAAGGATTAAGTAATAAACAATAAGAAGTTCGAACAAGATACAGAAAAACAGTCTAAAAACATTACTCCTTAAGGTAGTGCTGTGAAGAATGCAAGCATCCTAAAAGATACCACAAATAATGTGATTAAGAGTGAAAAATAATAAGCATTAAGGCAATTGCTATATCCAGTGAGTGAAACTAAAGGAGAAAGAAATACAAGGACAAATAATACATTAGAAGAGTAGCTTCGAGTGAGACTTCAAGAAAAGTTGACTTATTTGGAATAGAATAAATAAGATAAAATGACTAAATTGGTTTAAGGTACAATCTATTAATCAATTTGATAGAATTTAAGAATTCAAAGAAATTATTAGAGGAAGACTATTAGAATTAGGTTTAGAATGAGATTTAAATTTTTGAAAGGAAACTCAGAAAATTGATGATGTCATAAAATAAGGATAAGAAGCTAAAAAGACTTAAAAAAAGTAGTTTGTTATTGAATTCTAAATTAAATCAAGAGTCACCTTGTATGGTATTGTTTGCAATAATTTGAATAGCTTAGAGCTCATCATAATCATCAGAAAATGAAATTAGAAGTTCCTACAATTTAATGAACACTTTCAAAAGATCAGATAGAACCCAATTAGTCAGTAGTTTTAAAAAAGATTGTAAAATTTTGAATTACTCTAATGATAGCTTCCTTAAATAAGGATAAAAAGCAGAAGGTTCGATTTGAAAATGAATAGGGCACACGCTTTAAAACAGAAACGGAAAATAATTGATTTGAAGTTAGAAACATAAATATATTTTTTTTATAATTTATTTAAAAAACCAAATGGGATAGTTATACAGCTTTGTTCAAGATAATAAAAAAATTGTTGGCATAACTGCAGTTGCAGCTTTAGGGTAAGAATTGATTCATTATAAGGGCAACAGCGACAGTGGTTTATAATAAGAGAAAACAATATTTAAGTTAGAGTGATATTTTTAAAACACCAAAACAACTTGATGATGAATATTTTCCTGCTAAAAGACCAGCATATTATTATGAAGACAGAGAAGATACTTTAAATACAAGAATAACGAGACCAGGAAAAATAGATCAAATTATTGATTCTATTAATGTTAACTATATCCCAAATTCTGAATGCTTAGAACCCTAAACAATTGTTGACATACTCTAAAATACCATAGAACTAGCAGGAGATGAGTTTATTCGAATGACACAAAAAAATAGGACTTAAAGAAGATAATTTAAAGAAAATTAAAAATTAAATTAATACCGATACTAAATTATTAAATATAATGAAGACTTAGAAGAACTATTAGAAAAGGCATAAGCAGAGTTATTAACTAGATTAGATATTAATAAAAATATTTTTGAAGAAAGCATGCTAGTTCTAATGGAAAGAGGGTTTTTTCAATAATTATATATGTTATAAGCAAGTGTCAAATAAAAAATAAAAGAAAAAATACCCTCGAAAAAAGATTTATCTCTAAAATAAATTAAAGAAATCATAAAGTTCAATATTAGAATATTGAAAGAGCAGCCAGATCCTTTTAAAAGTATTATTTCTTTTATGATTGTAATCAATATATAATACTTCATAGAATAAGCAAGATTAAAAAGATTATATTCCTAATGTAATAAGTTTGTTGGTTCAGGATTTTATCTATTAAAAATATAAGATTGAGGAAGAAGATCAAATAAGAAATATTTCTAAACCAGGTATAAGTCATGAATTTAAATATATTTAGAATGTATGGGTGATCCTGAAATTCTGCACCTATTGGGTGAGATAGAAAATACCATGTAAGAATTGATGCAAGATTTGGGATTAGGAGGATTAGATTCTATTCCAGATAATTTTGAAAATTTTGCGTGAATATTTATATTTATTTATTTAGAGGAAACAAGAAATAAATATTATTATAAATTGTAACAGTTCAAATAAAAAGATGTTCTTTTAAATTCACTTGCTTTTTGAAAGTTCTTCAAGTTTATATCTACATTATTATGAGTAAACGATAGCATTATATAATTAAACTCTTTCATATATTATTCGTTAAAGAATGAAAAATAAAGAAACTAACTAAATCTCAGATCAATTTAACTTAATTGGACTCGCTCATAATATCAAAACATTGTGCAAAAAGGGCAACAGTTTTCTTTCTCTTCCTCTTAGATATCATTTGAATTATATTCTTTCCAACTTTCTACATAATATATTTGGCATAATTCATTGCTAAATGTAATTTTATGTGCTTTGGACTTTTTAAGTATTGGTTAACCTGTAGAATCAAGACGAACTTTCTTTTATGAATTGGATTTTTGATCAGAAGAGAGCTATCCTTTAGATTTAAATTAGGATGATAATTAATCTTTTTAGGTTGTTTCAATGCTCTCTGATTAGTATTTATTTAATTGAGTTTGCTCCTTAATATTGAAAGGGATTTCTATCAATTTTCGATCCGTTTCATCCTAAGGTTGTGGATAAATTTACATAACAAATGTGATGATTATTAATAAAATATCTATATATTATACTATAAATAAAACATTATTAATCATCATAAAGAATAATAATAATGATAATTTCCAGTTCCTAATGTCATGAAAATTGAAATAATAATTGATAAAGAGAGTGTAGGATTGTATATAAAGATGGGGAAGAGAACTAAAATGGTTTATTTTAAAATTCTTTATTTTTGAATATAAATCCAAATCTTTAGTTGATTCAATATTATTTAAATGTTAAATAATTGTAAATAAAATTTATAAAACCATATTAAATAACTTAAACGAGTTGATTAGCATATGATTCTAAACATTCACCATATTTTGGAAATAGTAAATTAAGGAGGATTTGCAAAATAATACTGAATCAGGGATAGTGATTAAATGAAATTGGCATTAAGACATAATTTCTGATATTGTTATAGTTATAAAAAAGAGGTCGGAAAAATTAAAGTAAATTAAAAAATAATATCAATATTGCGAAGAATAATTACGTTTAAATGGATGATAATGAAGTATTGTTAAATACATCAACATTCGACATTGAGTTGAAGCTATATTTATTCAATTCGATATTTTTTTAATAATAAATATGATATTTAGCAAAGGTCTAGTGCAAAATTAAGAGTTTTGGAATAAATCTGACATTCCAATATTTGATAAGGAGGACTTTCAAAGTGTTTAAGTGTTAATGGGGAATTTTACAAAAGTTGGGAGGACCTTCAAATAGAGATGCCTCAGAACTTACTTTTTGGTGAAATAATTTTTATTATACTCGGATGTGGGAAGTGGAAACAATATTAAAGGATTTGTATAATTGGATACTGTATATTGTTAATTTAATTAATTGGAAACAGGATTTTAAATAGCATTAATAAATAATGGTTACTAAATTCACCTGAATACAGAGGACAAGCAACAATTCAAAATCTGGGTAGATGCTTTGTCTAATTGTTGTATCTTAAGTGATTTCGATAAAGTATACAAACTGGGAATACAAATAGGTTAAGGAAGTTTTTCAACAGTAAACCAAAATATTTATTTTAAGGTTCATTAATGTTCGAATGGGGATGGTGAGATATTTGCTGTAAAAATAATAAAAAAACAAACAATAAAATAATTTAATAAAAATAAGAGTTATGAGGAATAATTATTAAATGAAATCTAAACTCTTAGAATGTTTAATCATGCTAATATTTTAAAATTATACAGAGTTTATGAGAATCAACAAAAAATATGTTTATTGACTGAATACATCGATGGTCCAGAGTTGGTTTCGTAACAGTCTTCAAAAAAGATCTATTCCTCGGATGATTTAAGAATAATGATAATTCACCTATTCAGTGCAGTTGAATAGATTCATTAATAGAAAGTGATGCATAGAGATATTAAACCATAAAACATCATATTAAATAATAATAATATACAGAACCCAGTTCTAATTGATTTTGGATTGGCAGCATTTACATGTTAGAACAATGTGCCTTTTCCATAATGTGGAAGTCCTGGGTATCAAATTAGACTATATTTAATTTTAGCTATTCAGCCCCTGAAGTATTGAAATATGATGAATCTAAAAAGATATACAATCAATAATGTGATATCTTTAGTTTGGGAATAACTTTATTTGTTGTTCTTTATGGTTATAATCCATTTAAGCAAAATGATTTAAAATAAACCATTAAAAAAAATACTGATGGATATTTCGAAATACCTTCATCCAAATATCCAAAATCATGTAAATACATCTTTATTAATCTAGTGGAGAATCTAATCTGCCAAATGACAAAAAAGTACCCTAAGGATAGAATTACCATTAGAGACGCATTAGACCATTCCTTTTTCAAGACTCCTTTTTTTTGTTAAATTCAGTTGCCAAAATAAATTGTATCTAAATAATATCGTGACATCATTGCCAAAGGAGAAAATAACACTCATATTCATGCCAGCATGGAAATGGATTAGAATATCAATTATGTAAGCCAAGCTAATACTTAAACTACTCCTCAAAACAATGGATATAAAAATAGAACCATTTCAATAATGAGTGTGCCTATTAGCAGAAAGAGCTAAGACTATTAAAAATAACAAGAGATTAGTTCATATTCTAGAACTTCCAATGATAAGGATTGTAATCCACAGGATAAAATTCGTATACCGTCTAAGACATTATCTTATCAAAAAAACATTTAATTAGATTTTGAGGACGAATATCAACTGAATTGTTTGGAACATGATAATAATTTTGTAGATCAAGAACATTTATATAAACTTAACTTCTCTATTAACTAAAAGTTATTTTAAACCTCTAGGCTTAGTGTAAATAAACACGATAATTGACTATTTTGTATTTTATATTTATTATTTCCTATATATACTTTATTTGTTTATTTATCATTTATATTTTTGAAGAATTCCACCAGATGAAGCAACCAAACAACCTGCTTCGTGAATCCAAAGTAGTGGTTCAGGGAAATTCTTCTTAGGTCCATTGATCACTTTGATTTCCCCATCAATAACAGAAATAAATTTGTGAGTACCATCCCAAGAAGATGTAACAAATAATCTAAAAGATATTAAATGATCTCTTTACTTTTAGTCTATTCTAATAAGAAATCTAACTATAGATTCATGAGCCTTGATAACTTACTATATTTCGATTGATTAAACAAAGGTGTAAATTCTTACTTCTCCAGAACTATTTCCAGTAACAAATCTAACTCCATCCAAAGCAATCACTGACTTAATTTCACTTTCCTAAGAAACAATTCCAACCAGATCTCCAGTTAAAAATTTGTAAGCCGCAAGCATACCATCATCAGAAACTGAGGCTATAATTTCTGGAGTTATCAAAGCTATATCATTAACACTTGCTTAATGGACAGCTATCTTCTACACTTACTATTAGTTTTAAGTATTAAAGATTTTAATAGTCTTAAATAACAATAGATAATTACTCCATCTTCTGAACATGATGCTATTAGATTTTTAGGTAAATTGATGACCTACCAAATGTATTTGTCATGAGCATTGATGACTTTCCATTTGTCAAAGGTTTCCCAATCCCAAAATTACAACTAAAAAGATTCCTCATTCTCTTCAACACTTATTATTATTCCTTATTATACCTTGCAATTATGTATGTTTTTTTATCTAATGTCACTGAACACAAAGCCGAGATATCATTTTCACAATCTACTTATGATATAAATGAAAAGTTTTTGGTTTTGTCAAATATCATAATTCTAGTCCCAGAACTATAGGCAAGTAATTTTTAATCAATCGAAATGATCGATTTCACTTAAGGATTCTCTTACCTCTCCATTTGGTTTGGCTCAATTACCAGGTCTTTCACTCCTTAAATCTTTTTATTTAACTAACATTTATTACAGATTTAATTTATTCAACCAAATACTCTTGTTCTTGTTTATTCTTCTCAATTAAAAACTAAAATGTAGGCTCCTACAAATCTACCTTTGGAGCCTCAGCTACACTCTAGAATCAATTAGATTTATTATCATACCTATTTACTTATCTATTCAATCTTCTTAGAAATTTCGTTTTTGTATTGAGTAAACTCATTTAGAATCATTTCCAATTTTTTTTTGACTCCCTGAGCATCTTTTAAAGCATCTATAAATTTTCTTGCTTCCTGCTCATGAAATAGTACTTTAGTCAATAGACTTGCGCTTAAATCATCTCCTTTTTAAAAAGGAATCTGCTAATCAATGATAGAACTAAATTGATCAATAGTATTTGGAGTGACTAACTAGATTAGGATTATCAAATTTATTTACATCGAATATGTCGTCAACGGTGAAAAGATTATTGGGTAATTTCTTAAATATGCAATTTACAAATAACTAATGGATGCCATTTAATAAGATTTCATGAATAGAATCAGCTGTTTGCACTAATTTGATTCTCAATTATTCGGTCTCATTAAATAATGGAGTCATTTTTAATTTGTATTCCCCAACTAAATCATTAGATGTTTAAGTTTAGAGTTTATTTTACATTTCTTTAAAAGTTACAAACTATTCCTTCATTCTAGACTGTTTGCACAAAGCGCATGCTTTAAATGTTTGACTTCTGTCTGTATAATTTAAACTTACACAGTCATAAGCATTATTGTGAATTTTACATTTATCCTCCAAGGAGATACCCCCTTTTTCATTAGCCTTTTTGTTTTTGCCACTACAAGCAAACATAGTTATTTGAAATTTAATTAATCTAATTAATTACAGTATTATTATCAATTATATGAATATATAAATTTAATATTTTACATTATATAAAATATTGATCAAAATAAAGGAGAAGGAACTGTTTTTTAAGAATGTATTAAATATTCTAAAATGTTTTTATTGGTTAATTACTGGTTGAGGGTATTTTAAATGGAATTAGTTCCTTAATATGTTACAATTTAGCTATACTGCTATCGATAACAATAATAAGAGATTGCCAATTTACAAGTAGATCAATAAGAAATTTATAGTAAAGGCAGAATTATTGTTATTTAATCAAAAAGTTGGGATTACTGTTTCACCAATATTTCATAGTTATAATATAAAATATTGTAGTTTCCCCATGGAATAGCATTGTTTAACTGAAGTTATTTTATTGAAATTATAGCAATCATTTATATAATTGGAATATTACTAATTTCATCATTGATATATGACAACAAATTCATGTATTGGGAGATGGTAAAGTTGATGTATTTTCATGAGCTAAATAAAATAATTATTATACATAAAATTAGTATTTATTTCAAGGCAGCCGATGAAAGCTCAAAAATATGATCTATTCTAGCTTTCGTTTGTTTTCGTTTCCTAAAATAGAGAAATATATATCCAACGGTTGTCATTAACCAAATGCCCAACCAAATCCACAATACTCTCAAGCAATAACTTATATCTGCACAAGTGTAATTTTATTAAACTTTAACACAACATTAACAATTAGACGAACAATTTCCTTTTATCATTTGAACACACGAAATGAACAATAAAATTTGTAAGTACATATTTTATTGTAAAGTATTGTTTTATCAAAATGTGGGCAATATATATATTATAATGATTTGATATTGAATTAGATCATAATTTTATTATGGAATCAATATTTCAACTAAACTAAGATTGTCATTTCAATATAGAATTTTAAACATAACAAAAATATATTCCTCAAATACTAAATATATAATATTTGGTTGAATATTACTATTAATCTTCTAGATAACTTAAATAATTTTAATATATGTTATCAATTTGTAAAAAAACTAATGAATTCCTATTCTTCTATTGAACCACTATTGTTTTGATCCATAATTCTATAGACTCTATTGATTGCTGCCTTATTCCAATCTAATTCAAGCTAAGAAATTCAATTATTAAATTTACCTTTTTGAGTAAAAAGATGAATTCACTAATTGATAGATCTTTAGATTTATTAGTGTCAAACTCTTGAAAAACATTCACTATAAACTTTTTACCACCTGCCCTTGCTATTAGTCTTTCTTTAATCTATTATAAACTATTCTATAAATATTCTTGGAATGCAGTGTCTTCTTGTTTTTCATCAATATTCCAAGCCTTAGATAAAATAGATGTAAAGGTTTCGTCTGATGCAATATTTAATGATAGTTCTTCATGAAATTCCATAAATTATTCATAGGTTAATTCATCACCTACACGAATATTATCGATAAATGTCTTCATTCCATCTGTTAAATTGTCAATCTTATAAATTTATCCTAGATTTATCGGGTTTATCTTACTTAAAAAATCTGATGTTATTTTAGTATTATGTTAACTCTCATATACTTTGAGTACCATTGCATTTCTTCTTTCATTCATCTCTTCTCTAATAAATGTTAAAAATTCTCGAAAACTCAAAAATCCATCTCCGTCTTTATCAAAATATTTAATCAGTGCTTGTAATTCAACAACTTTTAAGAACATTCCAACACTCTTCAATAAGTTATCTAATTCTTCTAGATTTAGTTTTCCGTTACCATTTTTGTCATATTATTAGAATATTGCTCTAATTTTAATGACTTTCTTTATACTTTAATCTTGATAATGTACAATAGGGATTAGCTTTACAAACATGGTTTCTGAATCTAAAAACCAATTCTTACACAGCAGTTGGCAATCCCACTCCATAATATGCCATAGTTTTTATTTATATTATTTAATAAATTTAACAATAAATAGAAATTGGTATACTTATTAATTAATCTTTATGAATTTAATTAATCACAACTTTTTTCAGCAAACAAGAGTTTTATAAATAAGTAAAATTCATTTCATTGAATGAATTGAGAAGAGACTGAATAAGAATTATATTATGGAAATTCAAACTTAGGTTTATTTTGAGATTTTTCACAAGTTTTCTCTAATTCTAGGTAACCCTCTAGATTCTGTACTTATAATTTAAGTTATTCATTTTGGACTTATGTGCCACATTAAGTTTTTAATAGTTTATGAGTTCGATTTTTGATTTATAAATCCTAAAATTAAACAAGTGTTTTTACAGATCTCCCAGGAAACTATCGAGCGATCTAAGACCATTTAGATCCTAGTTAATTATACAACTACAATAATTTTTGATCTTCCTACTTAGACCATGGCTATTACTTTACATCGATAATATCTGACCTTAACTTGTTTATATATCTCTCCCTTATTTGTTTCCCCGTTTTATTTTTTAAAACTTTAATATATGATATATTATCTACTTGCTGCTATTGTTGCCCAATTATTTTCTTCCGTATTAACATTATCCCTGATTATTTAATCTTCCTCAGGAGTCCATTTGCTTTTCTATGATTATTCAGGTTTATGTTTTCTCTACCAATACTATTTACATTATGTCAAAGTTCTTCCTGGCATTCTTTCAACAATCCTCTGCCAATCGCCATTAAATTATTAATACAAATTTGCTAGTATATCATTTTCTTCTTGAGTCCATTTTTTCATTTTTCCAGTCTAAATTCTATTCTAACTAATAGATTACATTTCTTTCAATCTCCCTACTTCTACTTCTGGATTCAAAGGTGCAATCCTCCACTTTAGATTAATTATTGAAACACTAAATTTTGCTCAACAATCTAGAGTCGTTTTCTATTACAAAATTATGTGTAGACGACAATTTCTATAATGCATCCAAATTTTCAGAAACATGGTTAATTTCTTCCTAGCAACTAAAATTTATTTCCTCCAATTACTTTATATCTCCAAGTAAGTCACATTCAAACTATAATTAATTGTTTTAATCTATTATGTCATTCTGAAACTAATCTTCCTAAACAAAGCAAAACTAATCATCATTCAAAGGATCAAAGTTGAAGTCTTCATCATAGCTCATTTTAAATAAATATAAGTAATTATCGAAAAAAAACAGATCAAAAATCATATTCCATCATGTTTCTATCATCAATAACATATAATTCTTAGTTTTAGACTAAACCAATTAATGAATTGTTAAAAATATACATTTTAATTTACAATTGCTAATCTATCTGGTTAGAATATTATATAAATAATTATATAAATTGCGTTTTTCAACATAATTAATATTAAATTTCTTGACAATTCTTGCCATAACTTGTAGTGCATCATTATAATTTGATATTAAATATTACAAAATAAATCAGTCTAAATGAAAGTCAAGAATGAGGTTTCGAATAATGTTACTTCTCATGCAATTTAATAAAGAAAATAACAACTAACATTTTTAATTAAGTTTTATATAATCAAAATTTTTAAGGCTCAATTGTTTTAAAATTTTTTTTGTTTCCAAAGATCAATGAGTTATTTAATATTTCTATTTTACATATTTTATGCAATTTCTTATTCTTAATTTAAATTATCTTGACAAACCATGACAAACATACCCATGTGAATTGATGTTAAAGTATTGTGAAGAGTTTCTCCATTGCTATCTGATTATTTGAAAATTGGGTCCAGAATACCATTCAAAAGGATTTCAAATATGCATTTAGATATCAGAAACAAGATTGCTATAACCTTATCTTTGTCATTTTTTGTTAGAGACAATAAATCATCCTTAAATAACGTTATGCAAGATAACATATAAATCAATTAAAAGACTGTTGTTTATTTAGCTTCAATTTCCTGAGACTTTTTCTTAGTTAACTTCTCTAATTAATACATTTAATAGAGGATTGAGTATAGAAGATTGCAATGATTGATGTCATTTTCATCATAAGGCTTCTTTCCTTCATTTATGATAATTTGTTTTTAAATTTAATAGAATGATTGTTTTGTTGTTATTGTAAAACAACAGCATTTTGCCAATGTTTTTCTTTTTAAATATGGTTGATTTAACTCTTATATATGATATTTAACTAAAATTTCACTTAGAGCCTACATCTAACTAAAACTCAAATATATTGTACCAATTGACATAAAGATGTTCTCCTTTGCCTTTTTTTTATATTGGAATAGGGGATTCTAAATTTTCGTTATCAAACACACTGTTCTATTCCTCTTACCTATATTCAATTGAATATTAAGATTGATTTTATTGTTTTATTTATATTTATTTTTGTCTTGATAAAAAATTCTGTTGTTAAACTATGTTTTATTATTCGTTATGCTACATTTAATCTAAATTATCACACTAATCTTTAGATTCATTTGCAGGTTCTTGCCGAGAGTATCGAGTATTCTACTTTTGATTTAAATCATTTTTAATATTTTTGGAAAAAAGATTTACTTAAATGAAATCCACTCGTTTTTAGTATTATTATTAGAATTGAGATTATTAAAATGTTTAATCCATTGTACTGGCTGTGCCGAGTCTTTCCATCAATTTCTTATCCTCATTATTAATCATTTAAGAAAAAGTATTTATTAATATTTATAAACATTAATGAAAATTATCATCAAAATTTTTGACCATGCTTATTAATTTAAATCACCTGACCATTCCAAATACTCCTTCTGATTACTTTTTATTGAAATAACAGAAAAATATTTTGTTAATAAAATTTCAGTTATTTTATTAATCATTATATAATTCCTCTCAGATTTAATATATATGATTGATAAAATAGAAATTCTTTTCACTTTTAATATTTTGAATTAATTACTCATCTATAAACAATTTCTAAATTAATTCCTTAAATGTTCTTTTTTCAATATAAATCATATATAATTTTTCAATATCTCTATTTTTTATTATATTATGAAAATGCTCTTTCATATGCACTTTTGAGAATGATGTTTTCTTTCTTTATTATTAGCAATTAATTGAACTTTATCAATTCATTGTGTTGTTAATCCTTATTCTCTAGATTATTTTTAGATCAAACAAATAGTTTATTCGAACAGTATTTTTCAAGACTTATATACTCCTATCTAAATTATTAAATTACAATTCATTGTTTATTTTTTGTGGATTGGTTTAAAATTTTATATAGTTTGATATTTAAAATGTTTTCTAATTGTATGACTTTGGAGCTATACGCTACATTTATTAGGATATATTTGTTATTATTCAACTTGAATTATTAATTGTATAAATAGTATAATTGGTCCAATTAGCCTAAACATTTATCTAGATATAGTTATTTTAGGACTAGAGATTGCATCAAATATTCTTATAATAGTTTTCCTAATTAAATTTAAATCACTATGAAATAGATTTATAAAGTAAGACAACTACATTAATTACATAACCTAATCTATAAATTGAACAGATTAGAAATGATAATCTTAATGGAATAAAAGAAATATATATATTATGAAAATTGTTTCAATTAATGTAATTTGTAATAATTAAATTGCCCTAATGATATAGAGCCTTTTAGATAATACATAATTATAAAATGTCATTAATTCTTATATACTCATGCTATTCCAAAAAGGGATTTTACAAATTACATAAAACAGCAATCTCTTGATTTTCTTCTCCTTTATTGCATTATTAATATTATTATAAAAAATATATATGTTAAATTCCAAGAAGCTAATTAAATAAAATCAGTTAACTGAATTAAATAATTTTCTTCTCTAAGTAAAGCAAGCATTTATTACAGATGTACATCATAAATAGTTTAAATAAAGGATTTTGAATTTGCAAATGAACCTGAAAAAATAATTGATAATAAATTTCCATTATAAGAAATTATTGAAAATACTATTCCTTAGATTAAGTAGGATTAAATAAAGCAAGCTACATTGTAACCTTAGGATGATATATAGAATTTGTTATCGGGTTTGACTACTCTGTTGGAAAAAAATTTACAAGAATCTCATAATTTATATCAAATATTTCAATCTAATAAGTAGTTTAATAGTAAGTGTTAAGATTCTAATTCCTCCTTTTAATATTAAAAAGAAGAAAATATTGAAGCATTGCAAGAAGATATTAAATTAAATGAAATAAAATTATTGTAAATGCAGAATTCTCGATTACTGAATAAAATTGAGTCACTTAACGAATAGATTGCTCAATTCGAATCGGATCTACATGAAAACTCGAAAGATTATCGATAATTGGTCAGTCTCATTAATTCTACATACTGTATTTAAAGAATTCAATATATGGTGTAACAAAATACAATTACTATTCTAGGGAAAGGAAACGATGAAGAAATAGAGTAAGGAGTTTTTGTTATTGTTGATGATTAAATAATTTTATCTCCTAGTTATTTAGATGAAAATAAAATGATTTTAGATATTTCTCAAATTTTAGATGTCACTTATAAAAATGATTTCTAGATTATCATTCATTATAATGAAGGTAAATTAATTTTAATAATGGAAAATCAATAAGATTTTGCTAAAATTGATTTATCTCTATGGTCAACAATGCGAAGGAATGCTTGTTTGAATTCAGAGTAAATAATATATTTTATTACATAAGTAAATTATTTGAGAATAGTTTATTTGAAAGACCCTTCAGATAAGAAATTAATATAGACTTTAAAAAACTAAAAGAGCAACTATTTAATATTATTCCATAAATGGAATAGGAATCTAAACAATAATAATAATAATAACAATACTAATAACAATAACAATAACAATTCACTTTAAATATAAAAGGCTCTGATCATTTTACAGAAGTTCACTAGAGTAGTAATATATAAGTTTAATCTCAATAATCACCTGAATTAAAAGGAACATAACCTAAATAACTAATTTAAGTAAATTAATAAACTAAATTATAACATGCTCTGCTTTAACTAAAATAAGGATTTTGTATGATTAAGTATTCAGAGGGATAAAGAAAGCCAAACATCAAAATTATTTATTTAACTGAAAATGAACAATACATAAAATGGAAAGATGAATTATAACCATTTGACTAAAAGAATACATCTGAATAAAAATCAATTTAAATTTCATAAATAAAAGAAGTCAAGGATAAAGCTCAAGGATCCGGTTTTGAGAAGTTTAAGAAATATCGATAGGGAAAAGAATCATTAGGCATCACAATTATTGCTAAGAGAAATTTAGAGTTAGATGCACCTAAACAAGAAATTAAAGATTTATTTTTAGATTGTTTAAAGATATTGTTAGACAATAAACAAAATAATAAATTCGAATTGAAAAGCAAAAAGTGAAATCATATTTAATGAATACCTTCATTTAATAATTTATATTATTCTGTTAGGTTGTGAGTTCTCATTTTCTCATTATAATTAATCCTCATATTTACCAATATGTGAAATAAATATTAAAAATAAGGCTACTGTTAGTACGCCAGACTGTTATAATCCATAATATATCTATTTTTTTTATTACTAAATACATGTCTTTTTGCTTTCTATTGGAGCAAATATTCTTATTGCATCATCTAAATTCTCATTATTCAAAGAGTAAACTTTTAAATCATATTTTCAACAACAACAACCGGTAATTCATTTCTAATACATTTAAAGAAATTAAGAGAATTTTCTATTAATCAATCCTTTAAACAATGTATTTTAGATTAGATTTAACAGCAGAAAGTGATTCTTATTAGTATGTTTACAATTGTTACTAGCCAGGTTTGATGAAATTTCTATTGATAACGATTGGGTGTTGTTTTACAATATTTTTAAGAAAGAGAAATAATTGTTTTATAATTTGTTTGGTGTTTTGGAATATATTAAAATCTTTAATTTTCATTTTTCAAATTATGGCAGAATAAACATAAGACAAACAATTCAAGGGAGTTAAGAAGTTCACTTACAGAGGTCTCTAACTTGAAGAGTTGGTTAAACTACCTATGGATAAATTAGTGGAATAATTCAGAGCAAGATAAAGAAGAAGAATCTCAAATCAAGGGGAAAAAGTACATGCTTTCTAAAATTTAATGAAAAAGGTAGAAATGTGATTGTAAAATTAGATTAGAAAAAGCAAGAAGGAAACATTGCCTGGTGAAAAACCAAAACCAGTCAAGACTCATTAAAGAAACACAATTGTTGTTCCAGAAATGGTTGGTTCAATTGTTGGAGTTTATAATGGAAGATAATTTAGCAATGTTGAAATAAAGTTTGATATGATTGGCAGGTATGAGTGGTTTAATATATATTTTAGATATTTGGGTGAATTTTCATTAACCTATAAACCAACTAGACACGGAAAGCCAGGTGTAGGTGCAACTAAAGGATCTTAACACACAGATTGATATTATGGATTTAAAAGTACATTAAATTAATTTATATATATTTTTATTTTTTTCTTATCATGCTTGAAGTTTACTTTCGCTTTGTTTTGATGTAGTGTCTTAAGACAAAGTCAAAGGTTTATGCTTTTCCAAGAATCGTTTATATCGTAACTATTCAATTATCTAATTTCTTTATTTTAAGAGACTCATATTTTATTTAAATTTCTTTTATTCTCTATCCATTTGCTTATCACATTTATTGTTATATTCTTATTTGATATGTATGAATCTTCCCTAATTTTCAGCACTCAATTCTCTAATTTTATCAAATTTCTCATCCAATTCTTCTTATTTTTTTAATTTATGCTCAGCTAAATATTGATTCTTTTTTGCAAATTTTTCTTCTACTTTCTATCTTTTCTCCCTTATTAATAATTATAATATAATACTCGAACAATTTGAGTTTATCTGAATATCGTTTTTAAAATTATTCTTCTTTTTATTTAACTTCTTCAATGTGTTCTTTTTCTAATTCTTAAGATTTATGATATTTAAGTTTCTTTTTCTCTTTATTATGAAATTTTTCAATAACTGAAGCTAAATTTGAGTTATATACATTCTAAAATTAAGCTTCGCTTCTACTAATTAATAAAGGTAATTTTGCAGACCATTCATCAGGTTTCCTTATTTTTTTGATTGATTTTCGAGTTCTTTCAGTTTATATTTCTTTTAATCTGCTTTACATCAATTATTAGTCCTATTCATCTTTTTTTCTCAAGACTTAGTGTAATTTCTCTTCATATATCCTTTGCTTTTCTTCTAATACATCTACATATGATTATTTAATTTGGTCAACTCTCTTTTATCTAATAATTATTTTAATTTATTAATTACGCTTTTTCTATATTCTATTCTGTCTGTAGTTTCTTGACCTAAGCATTTTTATATTTCTCTTCTTGGACAACTGTTTTCATTTTAGTGGAAACTTCTAAGCTTTTAGATACATCTTTTCTTGCGATTTCGGACTTCTAATTTAAATTTTTTAATCTATTCTTTTTCTTCTTTTCCAATATTACTTCAAGTTTCTCTTTGTACTTTTCTTATTCCTCTTAGTTTTATTCTTCTTATTCTTTTCTTTTCTATTTACTTATAACCAAGATATTTACTTATTATAGTTTGTTGAATTTTAATAATTGACGATCACTCGATTATACTTGAGTATCTATCCAACTTTCAATCATTTCAGTCGGACTTTTATAAGGAGCATATTCACTTATATTGATACTGCTATTCATGCTCTGATCTAGAGCTTGGATCGATTTGGGACGTTACTATTTCTCAATCCATTCTTCTCTTTTGTATTTATTCCGTTATAAAATCACAGACTTTTTAATTTGGGCAACTTAGAAGTAGTGCAGCCAATATCTCTTCTCAGTTAACTCTTCTGATTCTCCGTTTTTCTTAAATTCTGATTTATCCCTAAGTGTTAAAAGGATTAATTATACAGCAATTCTAATTAATAGGAATAGATGTTTAAATCCTGTAAAGCTTTGTTAGTTTTGGGGGATTAGGGGTCGAATTTAGTGTTATTCAAATTTACAAGTGTCTCGTTGGTTTTGATTTTGAAGTCTTTAAGGTATTTCTTATCTAAAGTCCTGTCATAGATGTCTTAAACTCTCTTACTTGGGATTGCATGTTTTCATCAATTTAGTGGTCAGTTTATATACAGGTTCTTCGATTCTTATTGATTAAGCCTATTCATTTTATTATTATTCCATAGTTTAAATAATTAATGGATAAAATAGAAAAAATATATGACTACATCAGAGAAAAAGGAAGCAAATAGTTATTCATCCTAATCTCGATACAAATGTCATTCCTAATAATATCATGCGTCACCTTTATTATACTTGAAAACAATTAAACTGATGCAGAATACAGAAGAGAAAATTTATACAAATGGTTGATTTTATTATTGTTTAGTTTATCCTAATACTATTATGCCTGGCATTCAGTAATTATTGATGATATTAAATAAGATTATCAAGAAAAACATGTTAGAATTGCTTGCTTATCTAATAATATCTATATGCACAACCACAGCTAGTACATTACGCTATTTCTACATCAGTATGAATGAAGAATTAGACCACAAAATAGTAAGTAATTTTCATAGACTTAGTTGGTTTAAAGTGTTTGTTACATATATATTGTTTTTTCAATATTTGTGCAAATTGTGGGATTGATTTCTTATAAATACTTCTTAGAAGCCTTCAGAGATGAAATATTTAAAAAAATAGGAGCCTCTGTGAATGAGTAGAATAAGTTTAAATGGTTTACTTCATTTGAATGCCTTCTAGAAGTTTATGCTTAATTAACACTTTTGATCTTTGTCACTTTCTTTTTTTTCTTTGATACTTCAATAGATGACTAGAAATAGGTTCACCTTATTGCAGATATCTGTGCAATAGTAATAATTATAATTGGATTTGCCATTGGTTATATAGGAGTAAATTATAATATTATTAAAAAGGTGAAAAAAAGACAACTCAAATTAGTCTATTTATATTTTGGAGTTGCCTTCCTAATTTGCATTGCTGAGAATGTCAAACTGTTTTTATTTTTATAGTATTATGATTATTAATTCGAAAAAATACATTTAGATTGGGCAACATTTTCAATAATCACAATAGTTTTCTCTAGCAGCATAATTGTGTTGGTAAATATATCTAATACAATTTAAAGGGATATAATTTCTATTATGGATATAAATGTGTCTAGTTGAAATTGATGGATATCAAGACTTTTGATGCGGATAAAAATTCGAACGATCATTTTTTATCATAATATGACTACTGAAATTAACATAATTGTCATTTTAATAAATATTCTTAATCAACTAAGGTTGTGTATCTATTTCTCAACTTCCTGCCAGTTTAGCTTATAAAAAATTTATAAATTTCATGATGTCAAACCTTAATTACCAAATTCTTTTTGTCCTTAGTCTAAATTATTTAATTTATTATAAACAAAATCTAAACAATATATATGATTGTATATTAACTACATATATTAAAATGAAATGATTATTCCACAGTAATATAAAAAGAGAAAGAATAAAATTTGGACAATCAATTAATTATTTACAATTTCTTGTATAAAGCAATATTCAAACTAGTTCAAATGGCTTAAATGTTTCTCAAAGATTCCATTTGAGAGGCTTAAGGTTGTTGTTGTAGTGTCTCATTTATAAGTGGTCCCAGATGGATTCTTATCTCGTCAGTCCTACTGCTCCATTAAAGCATGTCAGAATCTTTCTTAATGCAGCCTTAATATTTAAGCATGGATTCTTAATCGAACAAACTTCTGCAATTAGGACAGCTCTGGTGATAAGTGGTATCACATTACTTTATGTACGTTCATCCATTTATCAAAACAAGTTGTATGGAAGATATGATTGCAAAAGGTGACTCTTACAAGTGAATCATCATAAAAAGGATCAAGACAAATCAGGCACTGATTATATGTTGCAAATCTATCGCATCTAACTCTAAGTATTCCATATTCTTGAGATGGAAAGAGTATCTCTGTTAATGATGGCAATTGCTTTAGATCATATTTTATTTCCACTTTCTTTTTTGCTTTTTATTTGGGATAACATTTCGATTTCATAAGACAAAATATAAAACATAAAGCAAATGAGGACAGAGTAGTAGATAGAATAATAGTTAGAAGGTAATCATCAGAAACTGAATTAGAACTCTCCAGATAAATAAGATAATTTGAATCAAAGTACACTAGATAATAAAAGTTGATCGTGGAATTTGATTATTCCTTTAAATCTATTACATCGTTATAGCACTCCTTGACTTGATCTAATGATATATGTAATGTGGTTGTAGTTTATTTTGAGATTTAATTAAGATTGAAATTTTAAGTGATGCAAAATCCATAGAATGAAGTCGAATTTTAAAATTGTAATTAAACTTCTTCTTTCTCGTAAAAAAACTACTCAATATCAATGTAATAAATCTTTCCACCTTAAAAAATCTACTATTATGTGAGATCATCAATGATTAGATTACAATCTTAACCAATTTATGCAATATTACAATTACAATAACGAGATTAACATTCAGTGTCATGTTGACAATCCCTTTTATATCGTTAATAAATACAATATGCATTGATTGGAATTTATTTATTATATTCTTACTAAAATATCGGCTTCATAATCTGATTGAAACCCAATGTAGGAAGATTCATCATATTAATAGATTTGATAGTAATTTGATATTAATAAGTTGATTGATTATTTCTGCAGGATTAAATACTACGTTTATTTCATTTGATAGGAAAACCAATTCACAATGCATCTAATTAAATAGTAATACTCACTTTTCTTCAGAGAGTAGTTGCATAAAGTTGGATTAGGTCGGCTTTATGATGCAAATAAATAGAAAAGGTCCTACTTTTTTTGGATCTGTAAATTGGGATTCCAACGTTATTTTTATTTAATTATTGTTTAAATTGAAGGGCATTGTGATAAAGTTAATTCCTTTGAATTCATTTTGTTAGATAATGGGCCATGTACTGACATATTCTAATAAAAGGTATAAACATAATATCATAATTATAAATTATAAAAAACAGTTTGGCAATTCAAAATTTAGAAAAAGAGTTAGTTTAGAATAAGCATAGAATTCGAATAAAGAAATTGGTTAATCCAAATATATATATATAAATATTTAATTAATATGAATACATCCTCCAAACCATTCATTATTAGACACATACAAGAGAACTATTTGGTGTCATCTGATTCATCTTCTTTCGATGCGATTGTGGAGAAAAGAATATAATTTGTGCAAGGAGCAAACACCTTCATAGCAGTAATTATTAATTTGAAAATAATAGGTGATGTTGAGTTATGATAGTTTGTAACATGGATTCCAATTTTTCTAATATTATGATAAGTGTCTGTCATATGCGTATATGATTGGAGCTTTGTTGATAGGGAATATATTTTGGATTTTGTGTTCAATTTTTGGGTTTTATTCAATCGATGCCAAGAATTCCCAGAAAATTCATAGGTATCAAGTATATACGACTAGGGGTATTATTTTGCATTATTGTGGGTTTTGTTTACAAGGATTCTTGTCTATGGATATATGGCATATCAAATGAATTAGTTTAATATATACCCCCAATCAGAACAAGCTATAAGTGACATCGTCTGTGAGTCACTCAATCAAACAGGATTGATTATAATGCAAATCACAATCGAATCAGTAGTTTTGTTGATTATGATCTACTTCTCTCGTTCAATCAGATATTACATAAAATGTAAACTTCGAATATAACATTAGAATGGGAAGTCAATGAATACTCAAAGAATTGGCCAGGAATATGAATTAATATCAATCATAAGATCTTCTATAAATCATTATTTTTATTTCTCCTATTTAAAAGTCTTAATTACACCCATCAAAAGTATATCATTATAGTTGAATAATAAATTATTCCTATTAATAGCTTATAAGTTAATACTAATTTTTAGATCTTCAAATTCATAGATTCTTAGTAGTTAAATAAATTTATTCTAAATCCGATATCTTTCTAATTGTTTTAATAATTAATGAATCAATTGCAATTAAAAAAATGGATAATTAGTTACTCAATGATTTGACTACTCATATTGAGTCCACTTTTATATCAATCCTAAATTATGATAAATTTAAAAAATGAATCAATAGTTCAATTTCAGATTTGGCTAAGGAAGAGAGACTAGATTGGGATAAATAGCAATATATTTTATGAAAAGAGTTTAATGAATTTGTCTAGTGTTTGAATTCAATTTAATCTATAAAATAATTAATATATAACTGTTCTAGATGATAGTCAGAAGAGATCGCATTCATCATCAAGGCAAAACTAATCGAGACTTCAAGTACACTGTTTCATTTCATTCAAGGATGTAGGATTCATTGAAAAATACTTCACATAATCAAAATAGTTCTTTGGATGGAGATAGAATCGCTACATTATCTATTCCGAAAAATAAGAAGTTCTCTGAAATCTTAGACCAAAAATCTAAAAGAATTGTACAATGCAAAGATCCAGTTGATGAAACTAAAACATCTGCCAAAAAATTTTACTAACATCATTTGATCGGCTACCCAAGGTATTCTTCGTTGTGCAAATTAGATCCTCCAATTTAGAAGAGAAGGAATTGATGAAACGAGTGTTTTGTGGTGATTCTAATACACTCTTCTTTGATGAGGAACACAGACAAAGTTAAGAAGGTCCAATTCATACTAAATGTATAATCTACAATACTAATTTATTAGAGGAGTAAAAGGAGAAATTGGCTTAACAGAAAAGAGAGGAGAACACCACAGGAATTCAAGAAACCTAATTAGTGGGTTTGGAAAATAAGAATACACTTGAAGGCAAAGTAGATCTAGAAAAAGTTAGAGATATCAGAAGAGCTATAAGAAGAAGATATGCCAATAGAAAAAACTTCTAAAAGATCTTCAATTTGTGGGATGAAGATTCTAATGGTGCTGTTAGTGTTAAGAATCTATACAACATGATATAAAGATTAGGCATAAATATTAACATCGATGAGGCAAGAGTCCTATTGGCTAGTGCTGATATGGATGGTTCAAGTGATTTAGGATTAGATGAGTTTCTGGATCTCATTTTCAATGATAAGGATGCTCTTAATGTAAATTTAAAGGCATTGCCAGCATTAACTGAGGATGAAAAGGATTCCTTAGTCAAAAACTAGGAGACCATTGATTATCTCAGAAAGGATGCTATGCAGGCTAGAGATAGAAGACATTAAAATCAAGTCAATCTCATTCTTAAAAACAGAGTATTTTATCTCACTATAATTTAAGTTATAATAATTGGGACAATAACTAACTATGTAGGATGAGTTGTAGAAAGGATACATAAGTTATGGAAGATTTGAAAGAGTCATTAAGAAATTAGAAATAGATCCCAGTATATTATCTGAATAGGATCTCAAAATCCTGTATGAGAATTTTAAAAACCAAGATGACACCTTTGATTATAAAAAGTTCTTAAATCATTTGAAATCATTCTAATTGAAGGAAGAAGTTTACGACGATCCGTATCTAAACAAAAACCAAGAACCAGTAGATAAAAAGTAGTTGTTACTAAAAAGTATGAAATATTAAGAGGATCAACTCATTACACTATTTGACATCACAAGATTAGATGCCTACTCTTTGGAGAAGATGAAGAAGAAGACTAAGACCCTTGTGAATAAGATTTAGAGATATATCCCATCGCAAACTAAATTTGAAGAATTTCTAAAAGGTAAAATCTAAGGGAATAATGTGAATGTGAAGGAGTTCTCTCATGTGATCGTGCAATTCTTGGAAAGTGTTAATGAAAGATACTAAAAGTTCGATCTTGAAAGCATGCTCAGTGTATTGCAATTTGGCCAATATGAAACATAAAAAGCTGACGAAATTGTTAGGATATTGTTTAAGTATTTGATAGATCCATTTAATTTAGTGAAACTGACTAGGAATTTTATGATAGAGCTTAATTGAGATAAAAGGGACCAGCTCCTCCTGAAAAGGTATCCAAAGTTGACTAACCACTTCAAGCTATCGAAAATAAGGAATAAGATATTGAAAAATAAATCTGTATGAATCTATTAATACTCCAATAGAGTTTTATAATTAGGAAGCAGGAATGACGTGGTACCTACCTAACCAAACTAAAGAATTATCAGATGTATTGATGAAAGTTGAGAACTCTCTGTTTAACAAATCCGAAAGAGCCTATAAACTATTTAAAGATTTTGACAAAGATAAGGATGGATACATCTCGCAGTAGGATATGAAATAGAAATTCGAGGAGATGAATATACTCAATGGACAGGAAATCGGAATATTAATTAATTATGTTGATCCGACTAACAAAGGATATGCAACCTTCAATGAATTTCATGAGAAACTCAGAGCTGGAATGACCATCTTCGATACTGCAGGGAATCAGTTGATTTCAATTAATAGTTAACCTGGAAAGACTTTTTAAAGTGCAGCCAAAGCCTTCTTACCTGAATTGTCAAGATTAACTGAAGAATTCAAAAAACCTTTTAGACCCCAAACAAATCATACCGATATCAGGCCTTCCACTAGGTTTGGAGCCACTCCTGCTTTCAAAAACACGTTTTAAAACTTTGTTCCTCCGAAGACTTCTCCTATGTTCATGACTCAGGGGGAGAGATTCTCAAAAAACAGGGAATAATTCATTTAGGATGAGAAAAGTCAGAACAACCAAAAATACGAAAGCAAACTTAATAGAATACGACAATATCATCAATCTATAGAATAAAGAATTTAATCTGCATAAGAGTAAAGGGATTAGAAGGATGCAAGCAATTTAAAATCAAAATAAATGGCACAATGGACATATGAACATAAAGCCCATCTTAAAAATGATTATTTATGATTAAATATATATTTATAAATGGGATCATCTTGTGCTAAATTTGTGTGTTAAGACCATGTGGATTCTGATCTAATGAGTTTAGAATCCAAAATGAAAACATTGAATGAAATGAGTAGAAGTACTAAATTTTCTTCTCTGAAATTGAGTATTACCTACACCGTCCCTGTAAATTAGAAGGCTTCGGAAACGGAAATACAGGATCAAGATCGCCCTATTCACAAAATCAATAAAAGCAAGGGGAGAATGAAAAACTTCAATTTTCAGGAAGATCATCAACAATAATTTTGGCTTTCTCAAGTTTCTAGGATTACTGAAAGTCCAGTGAGTGTGAAAAGTGAAACCAGAAGAATCAAAAAGAAAAATAACCCTAAGCGAGATCTTATTTAGATTTAAAATTTAGATTTATCATTTTATATTCAGAGAATAAGTTACTAATTAGAGAATAGAGAAGTGCAATCTCAGAGAAGTATCCTTAGGTCCCCCTTGAATAAAAGTTTAAACTCTCTCTCAGAACACAAGAAAGTACATTTTGCTTAGGGCACAAAGTTTAGGTCCAATAAATCTTCGCCCTCTAAAAGAACTTAACTTAAGCAACATAGAGGAAGTTTAATTTGATTGTCTTCTGAGTTTGTATTAGCAATATTTTTATATTATATTTTTACCATATTCTTAAATGGGATCATGTCAAATCTAAAGAGTAGAATCCGAATCTAATTCCTGTAAAGAGTCTTCTTCAAAGTGCCAATATTCCAAATCATCAGTTATCATGAATCAAATTGTCTAACCTACTAATGCTGAAAATAAGCTTGAATTAGACCAAATAATTGAAGACGAAGAAAACTTGCTTACTGTACAAACCAGAATCAAAAAGAACAAGAGATTCTACAATTTTCAAGAAGAAGAATCCCTCAGAAAAATATCCAATAGAGATGAAGTTGAATCCCTCAAAATAGGAGCAAAACAAAAACGACGCCTATTTAGGACCAGTGTAACACACAGTCATTTTGATGAAATTAAACAACATTCACCACCTCTCAATCAATCTTTATAAACAGAAAAGGAAGATGATGCGAAATCTGTGAAAAGCATATTAAAAAAAAATAGCAAATTAAAAGATAGTCTAAGTGGCTCACCAGAAACTAGATCTGTTCGCTTTGCAAGAGGCACCATCTTTAGAACCAAAAGCCAACGTTCCATTCGCCAATCCAAAAATAAAAAGCCTAATCGGCCTGACTCTAGACAAAATGAATCTATCAACTCTTTTGAAAATAAAAGTCCGAATTGGAAAAGACACAGGGAACAATAAAGAGTTTAAATTACCAATGTTCCGGTTCTTTTTTCAATGAATCAAAATATAGGAGTTAAAACTAAACTTTTCTCCTACTATTGAGAAATCTTCATCTTATCTCAATGTTGATAACAATTAATGAGTATTAGATTGTATTATATCATTAAATATGTTCTTTAATTAATATAGACCATGTTTAATAGGGTTGAATTTCGTAACTAAATTCTTCACAAATTATTTTCGTAAATTTGATGATATATTGTGTAGACATGCCTAACATTTACTCCTTTTTTACCAGAGTAACAGTACCCAAAGAATGACGATTAAATTTGTCAAATAACTTAAAAAATATTACTTTTAATTAAATATAATAATTTTTTATTTTCATTTCTTTGAAAATTCATTCCGAGTATTTAATACTTAATTTTTAATTATATAATTAAATAATATCATAGAGAATTTGATAAATTCTCGTTTGATTCGTTAAACAGAAAATCTGAATGTTACTTATCTATGATATCTTAGGCAAATTCTATAGAAATAAAAAAGTAAGGAACAATATTTTAAGATATCCATAATTAGATACATATTTTTTAATATAATTATTTCTATTGATTAGTTTTAGAATTTATTTAATCCAAATAGAATTGTTGAAATCCACTTCACTTTAGAAGGGATTTGGGGCTATTGAGAATTCATAAAATGAATTATGACTAATATTTCTGAATTCATACTATTTTCATATTGATGAAGAACAGAAAGTCTTCAATATGTGATCTCAAAAAAATCCAACTAAGTAAGATAAAGGCTAATTACAAAAACAATCTAATCATGCTATTAAGATACAATAATAAATTTTATAGTATATATATAATTAAAAATCAGTTTATCTTTTGATATTTACAATGTCGATTTAGAATTTGTCTTTATTAAAATAATACTGATATGAATGCTACAAATAATATCTAATATCTAAATGAGTATTATAATAAGTATATTTATACTAGTTTAGATATATAATATTTTAATAGTCTATAATGATTCTTCATTAATAAAAATGATAGTAATTATATTCGCTATTATCTCAATAATATTGTGCAATTTTGATGAAAGCATGAGATGGGGAACCTATAAACCTCAATTAATTCATGCAGTAACACAACGAAATATGAAAACATTTAATCCGATAACAGGAGCTCTTATGTATGCAGATCATATTGGGACAGATGATCGATCATTAGTTTATAAGATCCCAGATTTAAACACTGAGCAAGTGAAAATTAATCCAGTTCATCATAATGGTAAGGACTTTAATGTTTAAGTGATAAGTGATCCAAACACAAAGTCTATAATTTAAACAACTCTTATAAAATTTCCAATAGAATCTAAAGTGAACTTTGTTGATGAAATCAAAACCTTAAATATTGAAAAGCCATTGTCCTTGTTCTATGTTTTAACCATTGAGCAATTCAATCAATTTAATTTGGAAACAAGAACTTTTGAAGTAAATGTGACTAACCATGGTATCAGAGTTAGCACTTACAATGAGGATGAAACAAGAATAGAACACTTCTTTATCACGATAACTGTAAATGATAGAAATTATTAATACAATTGCACCGATGAGAAATTGTCAAATCTAACCATAAGGACTTTGTTTAACGATTACATTTTTAATTATGATCCTAGACCAACCTTGATGTAGGCAATCTTCTCCAATAGTACAAATACCAATAATTCGAACTTGGTTGCCATTGAATTCAGAGCCTAACCTGGAGATAATGTAATTATTCAAGTAACACAAACTGATAAATATATACCTGATTATGGATTTGATAATCTGGAATAGTTGAGTGATAGTTTGGCAGCAGTCAACAGGTTCAATTTTAAAAAAGTATTTGGAACTGATAATAAATGTGCCTATTCTAGTTTTAGTAATTTGATGGCAGGCTTATTATTCACTTATGGAAATCTCAGTTGTGTGATAAATAAGGATACGTGCACAGCCTTTAAGCCAATGTTAAGTCATACACCTTCAAGATTTGGATTCCCTAGACCTTTTCTATGGGATGAGGGTTTTCATAATATGATTGCTTGTAAAATCAACCCAGATATTTGTCTATAAAGTTTAGAAGATTGGATCAATACTATGTCGATTGACGGTTGGATACCTAGAGAGTAACCAAGAAGTGAAGAATTGAGATCATACATTCCTTGGTTAAAGGAGGATCCTAGAGAATCAAATCCACCAACATTCTTCTTTAATTTTGAATATCTGATTGATAACCATCCAGAATATAAGGAACGCATAGGAAAAATCTATCTAAAGCTCTTCTCTTGGTACAATAACTGGTTCAGAACCTAAGCGATTTTCAATGATTAAGGTAAATTTTCAGGATTTTTAAAATGGTGGGGTCCTGATGAGGATAGTAATTTAGGCTCAGGTCTTGATGATTGGCCAAGAACAGATGGGAGCAAGGTATCGAAATATAATATAGATGCTTAAAGTTGGGGATACTTTTTCACTTTTCATATGGCTAAATTAGCAAAACTCTATGATGTTGGGATAGTTAGTAGTCTTGAACAGAGATTGGAACTAATTTTGAATAAGATGAATGTAATTCTCATAATCACTATTTATAGTCTGATATGCTGGACCCAAATGACTTAATTTATAAGGATATACTCTATTATCCTAACACAGATGATTAAGTATTTTACTCTCCTCATAGAGGGTATGTGAATCTATTCCCTCTAGGATTAGGGTTGATTGACAAATCAAGAGTTGACATTATCCAATAACAAATAAACTTTATGAGAAGTAGCACTATGTGGACACAGTTTGGTATTAGATCTTTAGAAAGTAACAGCACAGAATTTAGAAAGAAATCTAATTATTGGACTGGACCTATTTGGGTGAATATTTAATTTTTGGTGTTGAGAGCATTAAAATTATACTATTGGGAAATTGATGGAGTATAATAATTCTATCGCGATTTAAGATCTAATATGATTGAGACTATATGCTCACAATATGAAACTAGAGGATACTTCTACGAGCACTATAATCAAAATTTAGATGGTTTAGGATAAGGCAATAGACCATTTAATGGATGGACTAGTTTAATAACTTTAATAATAGCAGAAAAGTATTGAAATATAATCAAAATTCCTTAATTTATTTGATTTTTAGAAACTAAATAGATTAATAATGCAAAGTATTTTAAGATTCTAGTTAATCACATAAAAGGATTTTTTAATTTTTTATGTAATACATTTATAACATCTATTCGAATCAAGATTGTGGAATTTATCATTAACTTTAAATATAAGTGTAAAGAGAGAGGATTTAATTTAAATCTTATACTATTTAGTAATGGAAATAAAGATCTCTTCTTGTTAAATGAGAGTTTCTGATATCATTCACATTTCTTCCCTGCCACTAGATTGTGTGTAATTCCACATTCAATCCATTATTTATTCATCAATTTCTATTCCTTCATCTTAAATCATAGTCCCTATTTTGCATTAAGTACTATTATTAAATATATTTAATGTTATATGAAAATTTATAAGAGTAATTACAAGAATGCCTTCCTGAATATTAACGATAGTTTGTTATACAAAACTACTAAAATTTCTTAGATGCTTCAAAAGACAAAGACCCAGTATATTAATAGTTTGTATAATTGATTGATAAATTCCAATCAGCATCAAGTTAAATAGAAGTAAGAATTTGATTTAATGGAAGGTAATTTCTAAGGACATCGAGAACCTAAAAAATGCTAAGGCTAGATGCAAATAGTTGCTTGAGGAGTAAGTCATAAAAGTGGAGGATGTTGTTGAAGATGTATAGGCTGAAGATCAATTGACGGAGATGCTAGATAATTTATCTATGTTTACATTTGAGAAAAATTACGAATAGGCTATAGAAAGTTATAGATTGTTAATTGAAACTCATTAATCTAAGAAGTTTATGAAATTGATTAAGAAACCAGAAATCAAGAGATAATTGGATGAAGCATTCAAAAGTCTTTGTTAATCGATATTCAATGATTACATAAGTCAGAATGCTTAATTTGATTCATCTTAATTAATGCAATATTTGATGGTGTTAAATTAGGTTGAAATGCTTATCAAAGGATATCTGCAAATACAATAAGATAAATTTGTTAATTGGATTGAATAATAAAATTAATTCAATGAAAAACAAGTTTAATAGTTTGTAGGGAATATACTAAAAGTGAATCAATAATACGAATCAATATTCGGAGAGTATCTGAGGAAAAACCAGTTATTGTTTTCTTTTATTTCCATATGGAATTAATAGATTATCCAGAGTTACTTCGATAAAATTCAAGAGAACTTTTTCTAGGATGTTGTGTCTTTTGATGATATATTTTCTAAATCTAAAACCTTGTTGAATACATTTTCTCAATATCAATCCAAAGGAATATCAATAGATTTTGAGATTCAAAAGGAGCTAGCCATTTATATAGAGAATAAGGTGAATGAGTTGTTTGGAGTGTATGGTTAGAAGATTAATTAGTATATGCATTTCAATGAAAATAAGTTGGTAAAGATTGAGTTTCTGCCTAATCTACTTGAAAGTGATAAATTATTAGAATCAAAGGAGATGGAGATGTCTAACAAACCTTAGGAGGTTAAATTAAAGGCTTCGGCTACGATAAAGAGTACATTCGATTCACTCAGCCAAGGAGTATCTATTAGTTCTTGTTTCTTTTGGAATATAGTCTTTAAATTAGGAGATTCTGCTTTGAATTTTTTTAATCCAGAACAATACTCTTTATTATCGACAATGTTGAGTGAATCAATATCTAAATTATTGATTCTATTCATAAAAGATTATTTAAGTGCAATAAGAACTAATAGGAAGGAAGGTTAACTATTATTTGAAATAGGAAATTTATTTGGAAATTATAATTTAAATAGTACTTTAATTAATTATTTATCAACAAGAGCATCTAATCTACCTATCCAAAGCAATAGCGAATGGAAAAGGGCGATTCAAGATTGGGTGGATGAATTAAAATAATTAATACAATAACAATATAAAAATACGTATTTGTAGATGTTACCATTTTGGATTTGTGAGCATGGAAAGATTTACATATAGAAGTAACTTGTAGTTCAAAAGCCATCACCATTGTTTTTGATGATTGGATTTTCAATAATGGAAATGAACAATCAATTTAAATCACGGATACCTCAAGCACCAACACTTTATTATTTAGGGTTGCTATGGGATTATACAAAATATTTGTTGGAATATTCATTATATTGGTCATACCACAATTAAGGGAAAAACAATGAGGTGTTTTTGTTGGATGCTAAATCTAGAAATGAACTCAAATTAGACATGAACCAAATAAACCTGCAATTCCAATAGAGTTCTATAAAAATACAACAGATATCACAAGACGGATTGAAGTAGCTGATATTGGACACTCAATTTGTTTTTGATCTTTTCAATCGATTCATAGGGCAATTGCAACAAAATGATTAATTCTTACCGAAGTTGGTGTCATTTTACTGTAAGGATAAGAAATGTTAATAACCGCAGATGAATAGTTAATCTTTCGAATAGTATTTCACCTAAAGTTTTCAATAAGATATGATACAAGCAAAAAATTACATCGAACAACAAAGAAAGAGTATAGTGACATGATATTATTTGATTTAAATTTATAATTAATTTAATGGGTTTATGTAGTAGTAAAGTGCGAGCTAAACATGCAAAGTTGTCTGAAATTCGAAAATTTTCCAAATTAAACATTCACTAATTCTATCGTTTCTCACAAATACTGGGTAGCGGTAGTTTTGGCACAGTTAAGTTAGCATTCTGCTTAGAATAGGAAATGAACGGTCAAAAATCAAAAAGCTATGCTGTGAAATCCATAGACAAGGTATTTAACAAAAACAAACTTAGCATCGTATTGGGAACAGGTTGCATTTGATCAACAGAGAACTAGAAATATTGGTTTAACTAGATCATCCTAACATAATTCGAGTGTATGAGACATTCGAAGACTTGAGATATTATCATTTTGTGATGGAATATTGTCGAGGAGGAGAATTATTTGAAAGAATAGTAAAGAAAGGTGTTTTCTCAGAGAGGAGATGCTGCATCATAATGAAACAACTATTCTCAGCTGTTCATTACATGCACCAATTGGGAGTTACTCACAGAGATTTGAAACCTGAAAACCTAATGTTGGTCTCTCCAGATGACGACTTCGATATCAGAATCATTGATTTCGGATTAAGTAAGAAATATCCCCCTCCTCAATCAACAAATTAAGGTAGATCTCAAGTTCGACAATAAACTAAAGTAGGAACACCCATCTACGTGGCTCCCGAAGTCTTATTAGGTAATTATTCTCAGACTTGTGATGAATGGTCTTTGGGATGCATTATGTATGTTTTACTCTGTGGAGAACCTCCCTTTTTTAGTAACAATATCAAACTATTGGAAGACAAGATCTAGAATAAGGAAGTCTAGTTTAGTGAAAAAGTGTGGGCTGAAATATCAACTGAAGCTAAATCCCTTTTGGTTAAATTACTTGATAAAAATCCAAAAAAACGTATCACTTGTGCTTAGGCACTCCAGAGTTAGTGGGTCTTGAATTTTAATACGACAGCACCTCTTCGGATGGAATCCATTCCTAATAATGAGCATGAGAATGAAAAAACCATTCGTCTTCTTAAGACTTATGGCAACATTTCTAAATTAAAAAAGGGAACCTTAAACATCCTTTTAAATCAATTAAACGAGTTGCAAATTCAATCGTTACGATTCAAATTTGAAGAATTCGATAGAGATAATAGTGGTACCATTTCTGTTAAAGAAATGACTAAAATTATGAAATAGTTAGGCTTAACTGATACAGAAAAAGAAATATAGGAATTGATTAAAAAATTTCATATTTTAAAAAAGTCTGACTCATCAGTTGATGATCTAGCTATTCATTACTCTGAGTTCATGATGGCCTTGCTTAATCAATAATAATATTTGAATGAAGAAAGAATATGGGGATTATTCAAACAATTCGACATCGATAATAAAAATTATATTACTACTATGGATGTTCGAAGAGCCTTTGAAAGAAGAGGCAAATCCTTGTCCACCGTCAAAATTAATACCATGTTTAAAGAAATAAGTTTAGATAGTTAAGATAGAATCGACTTCCAAAGATTCCAAGATATTATGCTAGCTGACTCTCTCAAATCTTAAGATGTTGATGTCGACATGTATAATATTAGTAAAATGCCAACTAATATTCCACAAAACCTCCCATACCTGAATTAACCATTGGGAGACTACAATATTGGTTTTTGAATATAATATAGTTAAATTTTAGTTTTCTAATACCATAAATTATTAGAAAATAATATTATTTGAATGAAGAATTCCCCTTTATCTTGATACAAATTATTATTTGTAGATAGATATCAATACTAATAATAATTGGAAATTCTCAAGAGAGAATTAATGATTACAATTATGAATTAATGATTTATAATACCTATTCTTTAAATTAATAAAATAACAATTGAATCTAAAAGATAGGATTCTTAAGATCATGATATCAATTTACAAACCATTATAGCTTTAGATATATTACTCATTAAATAAAATATAAAAATAAACTTTTGCGAATTGATATTTGATTTTCAAAGGAGACTGAATTTTTGAATGTGGTATTCACTCAATCAGCTTAAAATTATAGTGGAGAGTTTATAAAAATATTCTTACAAGCGTTTTTTAATAAAATAGACTCGATTATTATTTAGTTGCAACCACTTCATAATAAATGATATAAATAAATTAACAACAATCAATAAAGCATATCTTAATAACATTGGGTTAATTAAAATTAATGGAAATGCTGAAATGTAATTAAATAATATAGGAACATGTAATATTTTATTACCTTACATATTAAAACTATCAGTATTTATATAAAGAATAATAAAAAGACTAATAAAAGATTAGATAATTATATCATGAGTTTGTATAAGAATTCAACCTGAATAATTATAATTTATTGATAATTGTTAATTACAAAATCTAATATCATTTTCAAATAGGAGATATTCCTTCTAGTTTTTAGATGTTTTTCAAAATAATATCGCTAATGTTAAATAAAAGTAATACTTTTTTAATTGTTAATTCTTCTAAATTGCTCTTATTGTTTTACTAAAACCGTCTGTGTATTATTTTTCCAATAGCTTTTCCTATAATTTCTTACTTTATTAATAAAGGTTGTCAACATTGAATTCATACATAGAATTTAATGATTCATCATCGGTTCGAGAATCCTATGATGCATTCAATTCTACGTGTCTCAAATTCTATTATTTAAAAGACTAAGCTGGTTTTCTTAATGGAAGTTTAATATTTCTATTTGATGATAATCCTCCTGCAATAAGAATATCTTCTTAAATTTATTACTAGACATCTTTATCTTTATATGGATCATATTTAGGATAGTTTGTAATATATTAAATTAATTCTAGATCATTATTAATCAATTAATTCTTAACAAATTGACTACCTTTAACACCCTTCTATAAAAATGGATAAATGTGTTTAATATTATTCTATTAGCTCTGATCGAATGTTTATGGTGTACTCAATTTCTGCTCAATGTTTTTCTTGAATTAATAGTTTACATAAATCTACTTTTTGGCTTTCTAGCTTTCAATATAATCTTTGATTAGTAATTCTTCCATGTATTATTTGGCCTTCTTATTAACGAGATGACGAATAACGTGTTTTTGTTAAGGTGCTTCATATTTGACTTTATTGGGATTTTAGTGATTTCTTGAACTCAATAATTAATATGGATTTTAATGTTTAATGATATTTACTGAACTTCCTTTAAAAATTAATCTATTGTTTGTACTGATATCTTTTTCCTCTGACTTCTTCTATAAGTTTTGAATATATTGATCACTAATATCATACATTTATTTGATCATTCCTACATTCTTCAATTCTCTACTTCTCTTAACAAGATCTTCCTTCTCTCTCTTCTCAATCTTTTCTTCTATAAGGTCCCTGATCATATCGAATCTGTCTAATGCTTGTTATTTTTTGAGCATTTCTTCATTTTTTTAATCCAATAATTTCAAAAAAGCAACGTCATGATTACCTTCATCTGTTACTGCTGATCTCCGATAAGTTCTAATAATTTTACTATCTAATAATACACATTGATTTTTGGTCTCTTCTATTTCTTAATAACTGCTGGAATTAATTTATCGAGTTTTTGAGATTAGTTTTTTCTAATCACAAATTCTTCAGCAGATATTTCTCCCATAATATACTTAGTGAAATTGCTTCGTATGGATGGACTTATAGACATAGCATTATGAATTTGCAATGGAACTTCGTGTAAATATGCTCGATCAATTGCTGTTTCTGTATTTCTTTTCAATTAAGTCTGTTTTCTCCTCAACAAGGCTTCAGATAAAAAATCACCAAAGACATCATTCCAATTCTTCAATCTGGCATCCTTGGGAATCGAAACACCTTCACTCTCCTCTGTTTTAATAAGAATTCTAGGCACATCGTGATTGGTTGACTGAGCATTGAAGAAATATTATTTACAGCAACTGATCGAGTTGTCTATAATTATGATTCAACTGTCGTCTCATGACACTACAGAAACTTTCTTCTTTTTGGCAAAAATACTTTATTCATTAATTATTATAAATCAATTAACCAAATTACATTAATCATGACTACCTTATTATTTGATCCTATTTACATGACCTAAAGTCGATAACTCATATTATAAAATACTACATCCTACTTTAGCAATTATTAATTCAGTTAAGCAGGCATAATTACACAGGAAACAGCTTGTAAAAACAAAATCAGGATAAGAAATACACAGTCTTGCAGTGTTTCTTAGATTGCTATTTATAGGGTTGGAATAAAAAATTATAGAAAGAAAGCGTTGGATCTCAAATTTGAATAGGATTTTAAGGCTAATAATTAAAAAATAATTGAATATTTCATCAGTAAAGTCGACTATACGAACTGTATTAATGCAGACAAGAAGGCATACTTATACAATAAAAAAACTATCCAAAAAGATGAGGATATCAAATTTGCAAACTAAAAAATGTTAAACCTGATGAAGATAAGGAAGTTATCTGTTTATTTAGGTATGTTTGATTAGATATTGAGATTTGAAAAACCAATCACCACTAGAAATAGATTATTTCAAGAACAGACAGAATTTTTGATGGTATCTTGAAAACAGCCTAGAAAGCTTCTATATTTAGCTTAGAGGATAAAGATCTTTCAAGGTAAATATGTAGGAGTGAGAGGAGATGAAGAAGAACTCCAATAAATAATAGGAACTAGAATTCAAGATGTTAATAAAGCTAGATAATTATCAAGTGCCAAACTATCATATTCAGTATTGAAGGAATTCATTAAATCGAATGAAAAACATTTTATTATAGGCCCATAAATAGATGAATAGGGAAATGTTTGTTTGAAGAATGTGTAATAATTCTTAGAATGGGGGCTTGGTTCGCGAATGAATCCAGATCTGTCTAGATTAAAGTAAATTGAGATTGACCGATATGTAAGGATTAAAGTGTTATTTTAGTGAATAATAATATATTGTATTGGATGCTCCAATTACAATTAACAATTGGAAAAGAATGGTTGCAGTATTTTTGAGAAGATCTGCTAATTAGTTGAAACAATTACTGAACAAAATCCTAGTCAATTATTAAACAGTAACTATATTTGCTATTTCTACTCTAGCATAAGAGGATAATATATGGAATCTGAAGAGGACAAAATAAAGGACTTATTCATGTAATGGAATGCTAAGGTTTTGGAATTACAGAGAAGCAAAAGGTGAATGCATTTTGGGAAGATCTAGAAGCTTTTCTCTTGAAACCTGCTAAGTTATCATAATAATGAGTATTTTGGATATTTAATATTTCTGTGTATTTGTATATTTTCAATGCTTTTATTAAAACACCTCTGTTGCATTTTAATATTTCGATACAAACCTATCATTTTCGACATCATAAGTAGGCAATACCAATATTCTATTCTTATGCAATTCCTATTGGATTTTGTAATTGAGTGCATACTAATATAATTCAATTTCGCTTTACTTATTTTCTACGATTGACACATTCTAAGAAGTCTAGTCCTTCGATTGCACACATTTTATTTGGTAAATTTTCTTTATTGATACAAGCTTGCATTCTCTCATAAAAAGTGATACAAGGGTTGATCCCACCAGATGTATTGATTCCAATGTATGACATTAAAATTAATTAATATTATTATTATTATTATTTTGATATCTGAACAGATGATAAAAATTACATCTTTAGATAAACCCTACCTTCATTCATAAATGCTATTTCTCATGTTGAAAACATTAATTCACTCCGAAACAAGATTTTTCATATTTTCTTTATAACATAATGAAAAAGATAGATCTATTGCTTAAGCGATTTAATTTTGGAATTAGAATATGCTATTAGTAATTATTATTGATGCTATACTTTCTGATTGAAATGACAATTTTAATCACTTCCAATGATAGTGGTTATTTAATAATCTAAACAATGATGTAAATCTGTATTTTTATGCATAGAATGAGGCAGTGTTATCAAACAATATTGATCAAAACAAGAAAGAAAAATAGATTACCTGATGGAATTTTATCAAACTATCTATTAGAAAATAAAAATAAGGAATTTCTCTTTTAATCTTTATCAATCATTTTTTATGTTTAGAACTGGCTCTTTCTTCTAAACTCCTTTAATTAATGACCTATCGCTCTCCTCATTTTATATAGCACTTTGAATATTGAAGTATAATAAATTATTATAAAATAATAGTGCTTCGATTATTTTCTTATCAATCTAATTGATATCAATAGCTTTTGTACAATGATAAAATAAATGATATATAGATGAAATAAAATCTCAGTTGTTATTAGAAATATTAAATTTCTTATTCCATCACCTTATTTGAACAACTCCATTAAATTCTATTTATTTTAATTTGAAAAAAATAACAAATGTAAATTATATATAAACATATTATTGATCATAAATAAATAAATTGATAATTCATAATTTTTTCCAATATTTCAAATATTAATTAATGAATACATATAGCTCTGTTAAGTAAAATTTGATATATATTGAAGATCTATTGAGTCTCAAATTTTAGGAAGAAGAATACAAGAACCAAATGTAGCTGTTATGTTTTGCAAACATTAACCAAATCAAAAGCATCATTCTCCAGAATCCTTTTTAGATTAATTTGTCAATTTGAAATTAGTTGAACCCTAAAAAATATTATAAAAGCAGAAACCTCCCTAGGTGTAATAGGGCAAAGCAATAGCTAACACTGTTTAACTTTTAAAACCCGCCTAAAGTTCAATCTCAGTAAAAAAATAAACAAAGCGAACAATATCCCCAAAAAAAAAGAAAGCATAAACAGTTGATTGTGTTCAAATGAACAAGCCTAAATCATAATAACAGAGAAGGGAATAAATGGGATTGGGAGAATTAAACGAAAAATAAATTAAGCAACGAACGAGTAATTTCAAATTTAATTTTAGAAAAAATAAAATAAAAAGAGAAGTCAACAGAACAACCTCTCAAGAAGAAGCCTTATGAACCTAATACTAAGCTATAATCTTACATAATATAAAAGAAAACCGTAATTTACAATAATTACATGTAATAGTAATTGATGGTTGAAATGGAAAAATAAAGAAAGTAACGAAATGCAATTAACAAGATTGGAGAACTTAGCCTAGTTAAATTAATCCGTCAAAGATATATTTAAAAAGTGCAAGACTTAAGAGAACTCTAATTTGCAACCATCTAAAGCGATTGTAAAGAGAAGGAAGATCGAAGCCTAAAAAGAGAATGCCTAGTAGAATATTAGACAAATCAAAAATTAAAATAAAACTAAGTAGTTGCAATAAAAGTTTGATGACATTTCTCATAGATATCAATAAATCCAAGATGTTAGATATAATGACATAAATAATGTAGAGCAATGCATTTTCGAGATGGATGAAGAAGATGATTAATATTCTGCTGTCAGTGATAATTAATTGGTTCAATTAGCACTTCAAGAACTTTAAAAAATAAAACCTACAGAGTATCTGATTAATAAGGTTAAATACATAATCGAGAATCAGAACAACATTGATTTAGATTTTATTACAGAATAAGATTATTAAGTAATTCAGTATCATCTTATGAATCAAGCTGCCACTAAATTATAAAGTGTATGGAGAGGAGTATACGTTCGAAAATAAATACTTAATGAATTATAAAATATGATGGAAGAAGAGTATGACAATTTATCACAAGAAGATCTTTCAAAGACATATTAAAGGAAGCAGTTTTAATAAGAATTTATTGGAAACATATCCAATTCTAACTCAAAGGGAGTATGTGAATCAAATGTCTCAGCCTCAAATAAAATTGAAAATCGTTCTTTATAAGATTTGAACTTTAATCAAGATTAACAGCCTAATAAGTATGAATAAGCAAAATAACACTTTTATTCTGAAGAGGATCAAGCATTGGATATTAAATTATCTGATTAATTGTCTGAATTAATAATGATCTAACAACCTAATAGTCCTATTGAATAGACTGAAGACTTTTCAATATAGTTTGGGTAGATTGAGAAGAGAAATTGTTTGGAATAGATCGATTCCTTTGCTAGAAATGAAGATGAAAAAACAAATTCATTATCTTAATCTGTAGTTTAATAAATTTAATAAGAATTGGATTCATGGAATTGTTAAATAGATACTCTGTTTTAATAAAGTAATGATGGTGATACAATATCAAAAGTCAAATAATAGATCTCTTAAACAGTTATCAAGATTGTTAATTCACATTTGAAAAAGTCAAGGGAAGTTAAATAATTAAATGAAAGTGCACATGATGAGAAAATTAGAAATCAATATGAAGCCAATAATGAAAAGCATTTTAATGATACAATTAAGAGGTTAAAAAAATCTAAAGAATTTGGTGCTGAACAATTACTATACTCGTCAAGGGAAATTGAGTAAAATAATGATAATTTGAATTTGGAATCCCAATTAAAATTGAAGGAAAATGAACTTTTAAATATGAGAGAACAAGCCAGAAACTTAAGATATTTTAGTGAATTAAAGAAAGTTAAGTAAGATAGCAATAAAAAATAAGAATTAGATTTGTGGC